CTAACACTGGTGCTCTGCTCCCAAACTGGACTCTCCCGCGCCCTAAGCCTAGACCGCCTTCACGCCCCTCACCTGCTCCCCACGCCGCACCCGTGGGGCAGGGATCTCGCCCCGCGATCGAAGGTCACGGGGACAATAGGGGCGGGTTCATTTATTTTTCCCAGCGAGGTGGGGCAGCTCAAGCAGGCAGGCGGATTGTTCTACAGAGGCATCGCAACCGGTGGGGTGTATTGTGCTATGTGAGTCTAAATCAGGGCTAGTGCACTAGCCTCGTAATTGGGTCATAATTGGTTTTCGTTTGAAAGGTGTTAAGCTTCTAAAGCTAGAACGCGGCCTCGCCGCCGTCGTCGTCGTTGCCACCATCATCGTCACCGTCGTCAAAGTACTTCTCGGCATTATAGTCGTCGTCGTCGTCGTCCTCGTCGTCGTAGTTGTCGTCGGCGTCCTCCTCGTTCTCCTCCTCGCCGTCCTCATCATCACCTTTGCCTTCGTCGACATCGGCGAGACTCTTGAGCCGCTCAAGCATGGCAGCGGCCTCGTCGGCTCCCAGCTTCAGGTAGCCAAGCCCGTTGGCGCTGGTGTACTTCAGCACCGCCAACAACTTCTTTTTCAGCACCCCCATCACCGAGTACAACTCCTGCGGGAACATCTCGATGGCGAAGGGATGGTCGTCGATGGTGCGGGCGACCTTGCGGGTCTTTGTGTAGCGGTCCTGGTAGCGCTCGATGCCGTCGGGCTGGGTGGCAGTGGCGGCGTTGTCGTCGGTGGTGAAGAAGGCGCCCTCCGCCATCAACCGCGTGAAGGCGATCTGCTGCTGGGCCGGCCCGATCTCGGCCGCCCGCGGCGCCCCGTTCACGGGGAGCACCACCGACGCCTCCTCGCCCCCATTCAGCTGGATGTCGGCATAGTCGAGCCCAAACGGGAGGAGCACCCGGTTCTTTCGAAACCCTCCCAGCATTGGCGATGAGCGCGGTGCGGCGCGCCGCTTATCAACAACCACCAAGAGGGAGCAATGGAAAATTGTGATCCCTTCAGAATTTCTATTGTCATTGACTATTGGTTTTTGCTTCTTCGTCTTTTTACTCGAAGACAACTCTTGGTTGAATTTTAGGCTTAATTGGTGTCCAGAACTTACGATTTTGAGCCGCACCTACTCTAATGTGTGTGCTACCAATTGACACTAAAATCAATGAGTGTCTTTGAGGTTCAAGTTTCAGAAGTCACTATTAGAGAGGCAGTGAAGTTAGGTGTTTGGAACCGTACGCTATGGGGTTAAATAGCTCTCAAATGGTTAGCAGATAGGTCCTGTCCTTCATGTGTCTAATCTCGCTACTCTACCCACAATCAAAGTCAGGACTCCCATCACTTAGATCTCCGTTTAAATCCGGAACCTATTCCCCAAATCGAACTCTTCTTTGCCGTTAATATGTCACGTTGACTCACCTTATCTTTCACCCTCACTATGAGCCTACCGATTCATCGAGCGCATCGCTTTACTGCGATGGGCAAGTGCGAGCGCAACGGTGATAACTATATTCACCACCTCCCACAGAACCAAAACCAATTGACAATCTGTTAACTGTGGTGTTTATTGTTTGCTTCAGCCTCCCGCACAACACTAAACTTACCTCCAATTCTCTATCTGCAATGCCTTAAAGTTACCCCCCTGGTTCAACACCTACTCTACCAGTTAACCAACGTTAATCTCCCCTCAAACGCCGCAAATAGCTGCACTCATCACCCTATGCCGTATCAACCCACTTTTGTGTATAAAGCCCCCGGCCCCAGCAATCGCAGCACCGCTTACTCTCCGCCTTCTTTGTTTCGCACGGGGTAGTGACTCACACGTACTGACCCCTGACTGTGCCTGGCCAAACAATGTCCAAGTTCAAGCACTCGAACACCAAGCGCCGCGGGCTGGTGGTGTACGGCTCCGTGGGCAAAGGCGGTTTGTTTTTGCCCCAGGACTTCAGCGACCAGCCCGACCTCGACGAGGACCAGCAGCCCCTCATCACCCCGCAATCGCCAGGGTTGGCCCACCACCTGGACATCAGGGACGAGCTCGTCGCCCAGGAGCGTGAGTTCTTGCTGGACTTAAACCTCCACCCGCCAGCCGACGACAGCGACGTCAACCTGATGTTTTCCGAGGCGTTGTTGTCGCAACATTTAGATGGAACTACCGCCAAGATCGAGACCAAGGCGTTGGCTAAAGCGTCAATCCCGTTGGTGGCGACATTTGTCCTCCAGAACTCGCTCTCCACCGTGTCGGTGTTCACCGTGGGCCACTTGGGCGCCGCCGAACTCGCGGCGGTGCTGATGGGCGCAATGACGGCCAACATCATGGGCTACGCCACCATCCAGGGGATCGCCACGTCGCTCGACACGTTGTGTCCCCAGGCATTTGGTGCTGGTAACTACAAGCTTGTGGGGACGTACATGCAGCGGTGCATCGCCATCATCTTCCTTGTGATGGCCCCCATTTTGGCTCTGTGGGTGTTTTGGGGTGACGGGTTGTTATCGATTGTGGTACCTGACCCTGCTACCGCTCACTTAGCCGGAGTTTACCTCCGTGATGTGGCTCCGGGTGTCCCCGCCTATATCGTATTTGAGTGCGGTAAACGGTTCCTTCAGGCCCAGGGGATCTACCACGTGCTGACCCTCTGCTTGCTTGTGGCGGCTCCGCTTAACCTTGTGATGAACGTCGTGTTAGTCAACTGGTGGGGCTACCAGGGCGCCCCCATCGCCGTCGCCATCAACTACTGGATCATGGCGTTCTTGCTCTTGTACTTCACCATCTACCGCATGCCCGCGTCCAAGACGCCGCTGGGACTCGACCCGAAAGAGTGCTGGCCTGGTTTTGACTGGAAAAACATCTTCAGTGGCTGGGGTAACTTAATCAGCTTGGCCATCCCTGGTTTGGTAATGTTGGAAGCAGAATTTTTATCCTTCGAGATCATGACGTTAATGGCATCCCACTTAGGTACGATCAATTTGGCGGCGCAGCTGATCGGTGCTACTTTGGCCTCGCTCACTTACCAAGTACCTTTTGCCGTCGGTATCGCTGCCTCGACGAGAATCGCTAACTTTTTGGGGGCTGGGCTAGCCAAAAACGCTCACAAGACTACTCAAGTCGCTCTCGCATTTGGGGCTATTGTCGCCCTTCTCAATTTCGGCGTCGTCTACTTCGGCAAGGACTTCATTGCTCGTCTCTTCACCAACGACCGCCGGGTGATCAAGACCCTCCACAAAGTCATCTGGCTCATTGCCCTCATGCAAGTCGTCGACGGCATGAACGCAGTGCTGGCAGGCTGCTTACGGGGCCAAGGCCAGACGAAGATTGGCGGGGTGGTCAACTTATTAGCCTACTACGTGGTGGGGCTCCCGCTCTCGATGTGGCTCACATTCTACTCGCCGTGGAAGGGGACGTTGGCCGATATCTGGGTCGGGTTCGTGGTGGCGCTTCTCATCATTCTGGGGGTGCAATCGACGGTGGCTCTCCGCTCCGACTTCGGTAGACTCGTGGCGATGGCCAAGGTGAGAGGGGGTGCATTTGTTGGACATTGAATAACATCGGGTAATTTTAGAGTATTAATTAGATCATCCACGACTTCACGTTTAGCTTTACAACTCTCTCTCAGTGCATCATTTGTGTCATTCGTAACTATATACAATTTTAAACGTCAGTGGGGCCAAAGTATTCGTAAGTAGGGGTCACGCCCAATTCGGCGAACTTGGCCAAGTATTCCCTCATCATCGGTCTGGGACCAAGCAAGAACACATCGGACTTGATGGATTCGACATCGGCAGGAGCGATTCTCTTCGCGTTCAAAGTACCGATGGCGTCGGTGACGTCGGCGCCCAGCGAGATGTACTCGACCACTTCCAAGTTGTAGTCCTTCGACCATTGCGACAATTGGGCCACAAACGGTCTGTTGGCATCGCGGTTGCAGTACAACAACTTCGCCTTCTTACCCTTGGGCAAAATGTCTTCGAGGATAGCCATGACGGGGGTAATACCAATTCCGCCAGCGATGAACGTGGCTTCGTCCTTGTCTTCTTTGAACACGAACTTACCTTCAGGAGGAGCCACCTTCAACACGTCGCCTTCCTTCAAGTTTTCGTGGATGAAAGTGGACACTAACCCGCCGGGCAAGTGCTTCACCGAGATTCTGTAAGTGTCGTTAGTGACCGCAGAAAGCGAGTACTCACGCAGTTGTTCGTAGTCGAAGCCGGGGATGTTCCATCTGATACACACGTACTGACCAGGCACCGCCTTTTGGATGTGGCCGTCTTCGGGCTTGAAGTAGATCGACTTCACGTCCTTACACTCGTCGACGATCTTGGTCACCTTGAACGGCTTGAACCCTTGCCAGTCGTTCTTCTTGTACTCCGCCGACTCCAACCCAATCAAGAGGGAAGCGAGGTTACCGTAGGCAGCAGCCCAGGCACCGATAAAGTCGTCAGTGGCAGCATCACCGAGCATCTCCTTCATCGTGGCGATCAACAGGTTACCGACGGCCTCATAGTCGCCGGCCCGGACTTGCAAACCAACGTGCTTAGCGACAATTTGCAACACGAAGTCAGTAAGGGGAGTCAAGTCGTCGATGTTCTCAGCGTATTTAAGCAAAGCGAACGCGAGGATCTTCGGTTGTCTCATGAGCTTCTGGTCGGTCTGGTTGAAGAAAGGCTTGACGTCGGGGTAGTCCTTGAACATCTTCTGGTAGAAGTTCTTGGTAAGCTCCTCCCCCGCCGCCTTGAGCGTGGGGACGGTGTCCCGGATGATTTGCTTTTGCGCTTCGGTCAATTCCACTTGCTTGTACACGGAAGCCATCGGTGGTATGTTGTGTAGGGAATCTTTAGTCACAAAAAATCAGCACTGAGGTATAAGGATATTTATTTACTGTAATTTTCGCAACATTACGGGTTTGTGTGCCATGCTGTCTGTGATGAAGGGTCATGACATGCATGCAACGAAAACCTCTCATCCGCATCGCCGTGAGATGAGGCGATGGAAAAGAAATACACAGGCAGGGTAAATATCATTCAGTGAGTGATATTATATGGTTTAGATGGTGGAAAGGACCTGTTTTCAATCCAATTCTTTACGCTAGAGCTAATGTAGCTGACTCATCTCAATTCGCTTTGACAGGAGTCGCCCACATGAAGTCACGGTGTGTGCCAGAAATCAGCCCACCAAACGCCGCTGCTCATGGCATTAAATGTCCGTAAGAAATCACCACTGACCCAAACAGCTGACAATAAGTACTTGATTTTTACATTAGCGATACGTTCAAATCTACTCACCAGACATATCCCTGATCAGAGTACCGTCTCCACCCTACGATGCGCTTTCCAGAATTTCATATCAGAGAGCAACCATGTTGATCAATATTATCGATAGTAGAATGTCTGCACAGCTATACGCGGTGAGACCATAATCACTACCTATTTGCTTAATTAGTCACCTTTTTTTCCAATCCCTGATTCCCTCTTCTCCTAATTCTTCCGTAGTTTGTCAGCCTTCCGAACTTTCCCTTCGTCTAAGCGTACGCGGCATCGCGTTTTTCCTCACGTGTTGAGCACCAACGCCAGCCAATGATAACCCGCACATATCCAACCGGCACCCCACCACCTCTCCCCACAGAGCCCTTTAATCGATAACAAAATAACCTAAACGTTTAGTGATACCTTTTATCTCTCATTTACCTTAGTTTAAACAATTTTCGCTGGCTCCCCATGCTCGTTGGTCCCCACACCCTAGGGGGGTCGTTCGCGATTTTTCCACCAATACACCCACACTCCACGACCGTCCATCCTATCCACCATGGTTCTCGGCGAGTTTTTCATTGGCAGACACAAGTGGCAGAACGTCGAAGAGACCCCGATGCCCCTGGACGTCCCCGACGTCGAGGAGGTCGGCGCCACCCTGGCGCCGTTGTTGAGTGCCGCCTACTTCATCGGCGCCCGCTGCCAACCTTACAACGACGACTTCATGATGTGCAAGGACGAACACAACGGCGGTGCCCTCGAGTGCTTGAAGGAAGGGAGACGCGTCACCCGGTGTGCGGTGTCGGTGCTCAAGGACATCAACACCCACTGCTTCGACGAGTTCAAATTGCACTACGAGTGTCTCGAACAGGAGAACCACCGTCTCGGCCACTGCCGGGCGCTGGAAAAAGTGTTCAACAAGTGTGTGTTTGACAACTTGAAGTTGGAAAAGAAGATCCCCGGCCCCGAGGCCCAGATCCACTTGAAGGAAAACCCCATCTACACTGGTTCCACCAGAGACCCCAAGGTGACCGCCGAGTTCTTGAAGAAGAAGAACGAGCAACAACAACAATAGGGAGCATAGCATAATATACGTAAAATTTCGTTGGTAACATTGGACTGAATGAGAGGTAATCTCTGCTACCAAATGTAAGTAATGCGACAACTAAGACATTGTAGTCTTTGTGTTAGAGATCTAAACTGAAAAATCATCAAACTCGGCTATGTGTTTTTGAACTTTACAGTGAGTTTGAGCTAAGGTCCGCAATTGACAATTTGTTGATATATTGACTCAACTATGCTTTTGCAATTTTTCAGTTGGCATCAATATTGTAAGTTCTATGTGTAGAGTAGCATAAAATTTCATGCTATAGACTCTTGCAATTGTGGACTGACTCACTGTTAAATTGGTAGTCCTGACGAGAAATATTAAGAAAAGTTAATCTTAGATAGATGGAAAGTCGAACCATCTTATATGCGCTCATATCTGGAGAAATAACTATCGTCAAAATTAATCGAATGATAGACTCTTCCTGATCTCAGGCAACTCCAAACATCTGTTTATCATCGGCTGATTGCTAAATCCGATGCATTGCTGGTATCGCGGACTATAGCAGACTATAGAAAGATTTTAGGGAGAGGTCGCCTGATAGTAAACTAGTCGCATCGTAAGACAAGTCCGTGATATTGATGATTCTCTTATTGCTTGATAGTATCATCAGCTATAGACCAACACTTGGTCGTCTTCACGTTTTGTTGTCATCGTTGGCAAAATAACGAACCACAAAAGTTATCGTTCACACCTCAACTCGTTTCAGCCTAGGGTTACAGCAAATTAATAGAAGTGAATCACTACACCAGTCCTTGGCTTTGACGATAGTGGCTCACGACCTTAGTCTATTTCTGTCAATAAAAATAATCCCCTTAGCAAATATTTTATCCATCACTTGGGCTCGCCGCCTTAAGCGACACTCGCAGCTCCAGCAAACTTTTTTCCTGCTATATCCGCCATGGACCCGAGTCTAGAATGGGGTATTTTCTGCTCGCTGGAGCTGCACCACATGCGATGTGGAAGTGGTGCATCTATGGGCCAAAAACCGAGTGCCAGTTGTAATTTAGTGATTGCAACACTCAACGGTTATGATGAGGCACACGCGTTCAAATTCCAGGGTGGAATATCGCTTAGCTAGTGATAATTGAAAAATCACCGTGCCGTGCTCACAACGCAGTCGTAAACGAGCACCTCGCATGCTTCTTCTGCGAGAACATGAAACGGCTCCGAAAAAAGAATAACAGTAAGGCGCTATCAACGAGCACATGGTAGGGCAGGTTACATATGCGGAGCCGCTGATTGGACGGCTGGGTAAGACATACACAAAGGACAATCTTCAACAAATGGTTAAATTACATATATGAGATCGCCACACAAAGCTTAAGGACAAAATTTCATCTGGTTGCCGAACCGCTTAATATTTTTTTATCCGGTTAGCTTCGCCTCATATTTGGACATTTAGCCCCTCGATCGAAGCCCCGCCAACGGTTGCCTATTTTGCACCTTTCCTCAACAAACGCTGGCCGAGATGTGATCATGCGATAGGCACATCTCCGGGCATATATGTATACAATACGCCTACATGATATTGGGGCGAAATCGCCCGAGGGTTGGGACATGATGCTCGAACGAGAAGGCTGGAGAGCTCCGGGAAAGTCTGGAATGAAGTAAGGTTTTTTAGCCAAAATGGGGCGAAGGGGCACGTGAAGAGTCTCCTGTAAGGAGGCGTGAGAATTTCATGACTTGAGGCTTATACTGAAACAGGATGGAGTGGTTGGTAACATTAAGCATTAGATTAATTAGTTAGGTGTGGGGTTGTTACCACATTCACTGATGATGTTGTTTGATGGGGGAGCAATGCAATTTATTCGTCGTCGGTTTCTTGGGCCATTTTTTCGTAGCCCAACAACTTGAACATCTTCCAGACACAGAAGGCAATGAGCGACCCGATCATGGGACCGATCCAGTAGATCCAGTGGTAAACGGGGAACGACTTGGCGGCGACACAGGCGCCAAAAGAACGGGCGGGGTTAAGACCAGCACCGGTGTAGTAGACACAGAACAAGTGTCCCACGAACAACGAGATACCAATGATCACGGGGGCAAAAGTGTTAGCCGGCGACTTTTCCACCGCCATGAAGAGCACAGTAAGACACAACAACGCGGTACCGAAGGCTTCGATCATAAGCCCACGACCCTTGGAGCAGCCACCGCCGAGACTGTTGGTGAAAGCAATGGGACCGGGAGTCATGGCCGAGGCGGCACCAGCAGCAGCCATACCGGCGATGATTTGGGTAAATCATCATTAACAAACCCCGGATGGGGTGGACGGCACGGGCAGCGATCAAAGTAAGGGTGACGGCAGGGTTCAAGTTACCACCGGAGATTCTGGCGACGAGGAAAATGGCCACCATGACCCCAAAACCGAAACCGAACGAGATCATGATCAATTGATGAGGCGACGACCCCTTGGCTTCCTTGAAGGCAGCATCTTGCAAGAGGGGTTCTTGGTTGGCAATTTGGGCAACCATGAAGGCAGTCCACAAGAAGATGAAGGTCCCGACCAATTCCCCCAACACCGCCAACAAGTCGTTCAGGATGGGCGACGATCTGAAGTAGACGTTTCTCTTGGGCTCGTTGTACGCCGTCTGGTTGGCGTCAGCGAGTTCGTCGGCTTCCACTTGCGCTTCGTGATCGATGTCAGTCATATTGGAATGGCTACGGCAATAAAACAGGTTGGGGGCAAGTGGTGGGGTTTATATAGTCGCAAATCTGGATGAGGAAGCAAGGAGGAGTTTCACCCGATGCATGACCGGATATAATTAGCACCAAACGTTTCACAGCCGCTGAAATTGATCGGCGGCGACGTGCCAACAAAAATCTACAGCAAAAATGTCTCCGACGTTTACTACCCGTTGCCGTTAACGGCAGCTCGAGTACGGTGGCTATAGTGGCTAGACCCACCTAAAACAACTTGCTCCGTCATCTCCACCCTCAGAAGTCCGCAGGCCCCATCTATGCTCGTGACAAACAGAAAAAAAATAAACTCGATATTATTTTATGCTACAGCTCTCTGTACGCCGTTTTACCCAGAGGAGGGTCCCTTCGCCATGATGCGTCCCATATGAATTGACAGCTCGCCAGCAGCGATTGCCCCTATGACTAAAATTGGGGCAGCAATCGTTGACGATGCCGTGGTTGCTTGGGGGCAGTCTAGGTCCCTTAGTCATTCGGTGCGTGAAGCGGGTCAGCCGCGACCACCAGCCAATTGGCACCGTCCACAGCTATGGCAGAGGACCTCTAGGGAAATGAAACCTGCTGCGCCCGGCCTCCCGATGTCGTGGCCCTAACCCAGAGCGCATAATGGCTGGGGCCCCGTTACCCGAGGTCTTCGTTGTTGTCCTGAGGGCCAGGGCTCCGTGACAAGCTCGTAGTGCATATGCGTGCTGCCATCGAAAAGTCTTGCAGCATAAGCCACACCTGATGGAATTGTCCCGACCCCATGGAGACATGTGTGTCTCTAGACTGAGGTAAATTCAAGTTAAAACGTTTCCAAACATTTCGTTTTACCATAGTGACACGAGATACCTTTCGTTTACTGGCATTTCAATAAACGTCCTCGACTCATTCCACCAACAGGCACCAACCTAAAAAACCCTAGCCGTGCAGCCCCAGACTTCCGCAGAGGTGGCCACCGCCCTTCCAGTTACCCTCCACTTGTCGCATGCGCCTGGCGTAACCCCTACTTTCAACCCCACGGCTTGGGGGAACCGCTACCATGTGATCTCGCCCGAGATGAGTGGGTACGTCGCAGTGGGCATCGAGCATTCATGTAGTCAGGTGCTTCTCCGGATGCACCAGCCAGCATGAAAGGCTGGCCACTTTCCCGAGCCAAACCACGCCATAAGCTGATTCACCAGGAGCCGCTTTTCTCGCCTCGAAACCCACCAGTTCTCATGGAGCTGTCTCGTCCCCTCGATCCATACGCAAAAAATGTCGCTTGACTCTGCCTCGCAGCGACGGATTTTTACCCGACGAGCAGCAGCTGAGATGGTGTATTTTGCCTACTCCATCTAGCCCAAAACGGTAGTGTTGCTGCTGTGCCGCACCACGTTATGCTTCCACCCCCCAAAGATTTCGCTGACATCATCGCAGTGCCCCATTGCTCCGATGGAACGCAGGAGGGTAATGACAACCCGCCAATACGAGATAGGCGGACTTACGTCTCGCTACCACCCAGTGAAAAATGCCGCCCCCTCATCCTATTCCGGTATTAAGTATGGTGGTGTCATTACGGCGTTCATTGATTGCACACTGTTGCTTTCATTGCCGCTGAACTCCGGATTCCGTCCCTCCGCATGAGGGTTACATGCTCTGCTGAGAATTTCACTCGTGCTTGTGGCCGGCGTCGGATCACAGCTGCCACCAAAACCCTACGGAGACCACGGCTTGTATGGTGCTGCCGTTGTATAAATTAACACTGTATCTGTCATGGCTAGAGAACCCTTAATGGTGGTACGGGGTGCGGGGGTCGGGGCTGCGCGCGCCAACTTCGCACTCGCACTGGTTGCGAAAAAAAAACCCTTTGTTGACTAGCGGTTGGTAGCGGCGGTAATCGCAGCGGCGGCGCCGCAAATTTGTGGTGAGGGTCGCGGTGAGCAGGGGGGAGGTGACACCACACACAACGAGGGTAGTGGTCACGAGGTAAATAGTGGGGGCTTAGTCGCCAAATTGTCAGTGGAGCTGGCTTGGGCCTGGAGCGCATCGGTGCGAGGTGGCCTGTCACGTCTCCGTCACCTACGGTGTTTAGCAGGCCGGTTACCTCATATCGTGCGCGACCTGTCCGATCCGTGCGACCAGTGCTGAAAACCCGTCAGGGCCACGGAGAACGTTGCCACCGGGCCCAGGGTGACCACCCTACCTCAAAATATAGTATCTCTTACCACCGTCAATATCACCGAATCCCCAAACTGTAGAGTTTTCCTTAAGTCCGCGCGATTTAGCCCCGGTTTCCCTCGCCGGTAAATCTTGTACCTGTACTTTTAGTACCCTCATCCCCTAGTTGCGAATGGGGAAGGTTATCGGACGGTTGCCAGCTGCAACCTTTTTAAAGGCCACATATTTCCGGCAAAAACCGTTTAGCCCCGATCCATTGTCCAGCCACAAAAGTATTGATAGCTCCCACAATATGTCTCGGGGCCGACCTAAACCTAATTTGAAAAAACTCCGCCACGAATGAAGCGTTGGGCGTGACTACCTCAAAACACGTTTGCTATGAATTAAAAATGTCTTGCCAATTTCACTTGAAGCGGGCTTTGTGGCGAGACATACGCAGTCAACGATTTTTTTTCTCTCTAAGTGGCTCGCTCAAACTGGGGGTGGCTGCCGCTTCGTGGCGTGGTCACTAATTCCACTATGACGAGGCGAATTAAAAAGTGGTAAACAAACTTCATGAAAACCGCTTAACGCAATTCATGCCATTACTCATATGGCAACTCCAGCGGATCGGGAAGGCTTTGTCTCCCGTTGGAACCGCGAGTCTGGACGCCGCCTAAATCGTTGGTGCGCACCCCCCCTCCCCCCACTCTGGTTCCTTCCCTTTCTAAGACTACAATGACTCTCGCCCGCCCCCTTGCCAAAGCGCTTCGAGTAGCGCTTATCCAGCTTAAACTGGGTGCCGATAAACAAGCCAACTTGGCCAATGCCCTGAAACTCATTTCGGAAGCGGCGAAAAACGCCGACTTGATCGTGTTGCCCGAATGCTTCAACTCGCCTTACGCCGTCGACCAATTCCGCTCCTACGCCGAAGAGATCCCTAAAGGTGAAACCACAGTGGCTCTTTCTGAGCTCTCAAAGCAACACGGTGTCTATATTGTCGGTGGGTCCATCCCCGAACTCGATATCGCGTCTAATAACATCTATAACACCCTGGTGGTGTTTGACCCTAAGGGAGAGGTAATTGCCAAGCACCGTAAGGTTCACTTGTTTGACATTGACATCCCCGACGGCATCACGTTCAAGGAGCTGGAAACCTTGACTGGCGGCGATAAAGCCACCGTGTTCTCCGTTGGCGACTGGGGCCACGTCGGCTTGGGGATCTGCTACGATATGAGATTCCCTGAATTGGCTCAGATCGCCGCTAGACTGCCTCACAACCTGTTCGCCATGATCTACCCGGGGGCGTTCAATACTACTACCGGTCCCTTGCACTGGCACTTACTCGCTCGGGCCCGCGCTGTCGATAACGAGGTCTACACTTTGCTCTGCTCGCCCGCGAGAAATGCTGAAGGCTACCAGGCCTATGGCCACTCGCTTGTGTGTGACCCCATGGGGGCGATTGTTGCTGAGGCTGGCGAAGGCCAGGAAATCATCTACGCTGAGTTGAGCCCCGAAAAGCTTGCACTGACCCGCTCATCGATCCCGGTGAACTTCCAACGCCGCTTCGATGTGTACGAAGACTTTGTCGGTGAAGGCAAGGCCAAAGTCAGCGACCTTTAAACACATCACCCTAAATTGCAGTTTAGGTCCCAACTGCATTGTCCGATTCATCTATCATCAGATCAAATAGAATGCAAGCACCTACGTTAAAGACGTCACAAACTTTAATTTACGCCTTAAACTTCAACAATACTCAGTAAGATGATGTAGCCAGACACTAGTGTTGATCTTTGCAGTTTTCGCAAATTTATGCTTGTTTTAGATTTACCTGAAAATCAACACTCCTCCGACCGTCAATCTAAATTGCACCATAGCACATCACTTGTTGCATGGAACTAAAACTGGAAAGTATCTAGTTTTTCATTGTTCGTCTATAAGATCGTCTATTCCTCCTCGTCTTCGTGACGCTCGATGAACTCACACACGACGTCCTCGAACTGTTGCGGCTGTTCACTGATGACCCAGTGGCCGGCGTCAATGTCTCTAATCTCGAAGTTGGGGAAAAATTGACCGATATCAGCAATCACTTCGTCGGGGACGTACTCGGATTGAGTACCGCGAACGATGAGGGTGGGACCAGTCCACCGCAGTTGTCTAAAATCGTAAGGCCACTGTGACACAAGCCCCTTGGTGACGGCATTGCCGATAATGTCCAAGGGAATCTTCAGCGTCACGGGATCATCTTTTTTGCCCCGGTTCATGTTCATCAACAAGAACTGACGAATCACCTTATTCGGCTCCACTTCGGCAAGCTTAGCGTCGACATCCTTGATATCGGTGTACTTGTATTTTTCTGTTGCCAACCGGAGCTGGTTGATATAGCGGCTAAAACTCGACCCCAGGTTGGCAAAGTTCACGGGAGCACTGTCAACACTAATAACCATCTTCGGCAATTGGGGACGTCTCAAGGCAATCGCCATCACCGTCTTGGCCCCCATCAGGTGACCAAGCAAGATCGGTTTGCCTGGTTCCTCGGTCAATTCCGTGTTACACCAGTGTTCAACATCGGCGGCCAAACTGGGGATATCGAGCCTGGGGTCGTGGGGCAGTTGACCAAAGTTACGGAGATCAAGCGTGTAGACGTTGCGGGACAACCGGTTGGCGAGTTGCTTGCCCACCGTTCTGTTGTTCAGCTTGGACCCAAACAACCCGTGCAAAATGACAATCGGCGAATGGTTGGGATTGCCGCCATCAGCGGGAGCGAGCTTCTCCAGGACAAGGTTCACCGTGGGGATCTCGAGCGAGAGGGCATCGTTGGCAGCAGCAGACAACAGCCGGCGCCATACGGAGCGGAGACCTATCATATTCGTGACGTGGATGCGAAATGGCAGAGAGAGCGAGATGATGGTAAAGACTATGAGTATCCACAAGTGTGGTCTAAACAAGCTTTTGAGGATAATCAATTGAGTTGGATTTATTTAACATGATGATTAAAACCGATAGAATTTCACCGTATTTCGAGAAGTTGATGGTGGTTATCAATAAGATAGATGTATGACCTAATTAGGTAAACGAAAGAGTATAATGCCTCGAGACACTCGGAACTACCGGGGCAAATTGATCCGTTTGGTGATTATTCACCGACTCGGGGTTAAAGTTAGACCTTATCATTCCGAATTATTAGTCAGCGGCCTCGATGCCTCATGCTGCTATGGCTCCTAAGCCTCCCTCAACTTGACTACCAGAGATCTTCCGGTGAAAAACCATTACAACAAAATTTAAACTAGTTGTTTCGGATTGAACGACTGCTACTCGACAATGTTTCACCATTGATCACTTTTATAAGATTTTGCAATCTCCGATAGAGTAACGATCTCGCCATTGTGGCGACGCAACGGTGCTGTCGGCACTGGCTCCGACAATTGTTCCGAGTGCTATAACTATGCGTCCTCCCCCCGCACCGGACCTTCAACAGCAACTACCTTTACAAAATGTTGTTTGAATTGAACAATGGCGTCAAGATACCCGTGATCGGTCTCGGGACGTGGCAACTGACTCCCGACGAAGTGTACAACGCCGTCACCGAAGCGTTGGCCGTTGGCTACCGTCACATTGACACTGCGTTCGCTTACGGTAACGAGGAACCCATTGGCAGAGCCATTCGTGATCTGGTGATCCCTAGAAACGAATTGTTCGTCACCACCAAGTTGTGGCTGACCCACCACCACGACCCCGCCAAGGCGTTGGACATCTCGCTCAAGAACTTGGGGTTGGACTACGTCGATCTCTACTTGGTGCACTGGCCGGTGGCGATGAACCCCAACGGCAACGACCCCAAATTTCCTTCTCGTCCCGACGGCACTCGTGACGTTGACGAACTGACTAACTTCGTCGAAACTTGGGCTAAGATGCAACAGCTCGACCCGAAAAAGGTAAGAGCGATCGGGGTGCTGAACATGCTGATCTCGAACTTGGAAAAGCTCTTGCTGGCGCCGCTGACGAAGGTGGTCCCCGTGGTCAACCAGGTGGAATTGCACCCGCTTTTGCCCCAGCCCAATTTGCTTAAATGGTGCCAGGACCACAAGATCTACTTGGAAGCGTACTCGCCCTTGGGCAGTACCGACTCGCCGTTGTTGTCGAACCCCACCATTGTGGAGTTGGCCGAAAAGTACCAGGTACCTCCCGCAACCGTGTTGATTTCGTGGGCGATCTGGCGTAAGACCATCGTCCTCCCCAAGCTGGTGACCCCGGCGAGAATCAAGCTGAACTTCAACGTCGTCCACTTGAGCGAAGCCGACGGTAACATCATCGATAAGGTCGCCCACGAGTACGGCACCAAGCGGTTCATCAACCCCGACTGGGGCGTGAAGATCTTCGATGACGCCGACGCCTGAACTCTTAGATATACTGGAAATAAACAAAAAATAAGGACCCAAGTAGAACAGCTTTCTTTTATCTTTGATAACCCATTTGAGTCGGCCAATGAGCACGAACTCAATGCTTACTGCAAGTGTCACGTACTTGACATTCTGTCATCTTATAGACGTGTTGATCTGTCAGTGTGACGTACTTGGCAAAATCATCCGTCACCATGGCCTGTATAGTTTACAGTTGACTTGCTGTGTTTACCATTCCAACTTCAAGCATGCTCAAAAATTAGTGTACCGATGTGTTTATCACTTTGTTGACCAGATGTTTACATACATAAATACAGAGGTGTCGACACGGTGGGTAGCGCCCGCCTTGAAAAATGGTGACACGCCATTTTGGTATAGCTGCAAACGCAGGGGTTTGAGTGGAGGCGCGTAGGCGATGACGGTGCGAATTTTCATTGTAATGCGGGGAGACCCCTCACGGGGCTTCCCCAGGGTCCCCCGTAGTGGTGGCGTCAATTGTTTGGTGCCTCAGCACTACGAGGACTAGCGCCGGCCGTCAAGACGCGCGCGTCGGGGGTGCACGGTGGGGAGGAGGCGCTGTTTTGGTGCGTGCGGCTGCATAGACGACGACGACAACAATTAATCTCTACAAGTCACAATAAGCCGCTGGAATCCTTACTTAACCTTTATTCGTACAAAAAGAAACGTCTTGGGCGACAACAGTCAATGTTGTTCCCCAGTCGATGGGGCAAGCGGCCACTAGAAATACAGGTATAGCTGCAAACGAGACACCACGCCCCGCGATACCGTGACATCTTAGCCCCTGATTCAGGACGTGAGACTGGTGGTACGAGGGGCATTCTGGCCTGGCTAGAGAGGCAATGAAATGCTTGGGATAACAGCACTAGGAATTAGGCCACCGGCGCATGCAAATGGGTAGTGCGCAGACAATGCCTCCATGGCATCGAACGTGCTGCCTTAGTCAATCAACTTGACATAGTTCGAGGGACAGATCCCCACCTGGCCGTTGGCCTTGCGCGCCTGCCACCACTTGCCATCGATATCGTCGACCTCTAAGATTTCATCCTTAACGAACGAGATTTCATTGATGTCGTCGGGGTTGGCGTCGTAGCTATAGAGCGCCTTCGCCTTGTATCGGAAGGGGATCAGCAGGATGGTGCCGGTGTTTTCGCCGTAGGTGGTGCCAGTTGTTCGCTTGTTCAGCGAGGTGTTATTGGTAAGGTCGCGGTTGTTCATGTCGGAGCTGCTGAAGTTCTCGAGCCCGTTGAGTTGCGACGACAGCATGTAGCCAGCCTGGTTAGCAGCGGGCTGCACCGGGGCCCCGCTCGCGGTGGCGCTCTGGTTGGCCTTATTAGTAAGTTGCAGTTGTCTCAAGTTGTTGTCTTGGAAGTGGGTGGTCAGCTGACTGTTGGGCAAGTTGACGGGACTGACGTAGCGCTTGTAGTCGTAGTCGTCTTCGTCGCCGCCGGCAAGCTTAGTTTCAGCGTGGACAGCAGGACCGGAAGGATCCAGCGGCGGCAACGTGGTGGCGTGGTTCTTGAGCGAGAACGAGTCGATCAACTGGTTCGTCGGCGACTCGGGGTGGCCGCCGAAGTAGACGATCCACACCACGTTCAAAATCAGCAACAAAATGCAGCCAACAGCGCAGGCCAAGTTGGGCCCGTTGCCCAGGTAGATGAGAGAGTTGGTGGTGTTGGTAGTGTAAACAAACGCCACCAGCACCAAACCCACAAGGGTAAACTTATAGAGCTCGATGTTATTGTTCAAGTAGAGCAAAAACACCACCACCACCACTGCGAACTCGTACATCACTCCCCACCACGAAAACTGGGGGAACTTCAGCTGGTCCAGGGTGGCGGCGCCGACCAAGGCGACGATCCACGCCAAAAAGCCAAACGACACCGTCGACACGGCGAACGGGTCCGCCAAAAAGTTCAGTAACTTAAACCCCATGGGCGCGTCGATTCAAGCCAAGGGAGGAAACACGGGAGGAGAAGGGGGGAAAAACAGTCACCGGGGTCAGGGTTAACTGGGAGGGTAACAGCAGGGGATAGCGAGCGAAGGGATAGGAAGTCGGCTTCAGGGGCAAAGCAAATAGCGATCTCTCCGTGTGTTGTTTACGCCTTGAGGCCACCCTAGAGTTTCGCACGCTCGAAGGGCGGAATCGACAATTTTTTTAAGGCCCCCTCGGCGCGGTGGCAGGGAGTTTGAGGGCGGAATGTTGCAAATGCAGGCGCCAGCCCGATCGCGATAATATTTGGGATGCGCCGGGTTGCGAGGGAGGCACTATCATCGAGCGTCACTACCCAGCGGGATACCGCATCCAATACAGGTTTATGGGCTACAGTTAATTTCCAAATAACATCATGGCATCAACGTAGCCCCGCTACCATCGAAATAAGACGCTATAGATGCATTCGTATCGTCCTCTTCTAGCCCCTGATGGTGACGCCGCGTCTCGCTTGTGATTCGATCAGTCCGCGGTCGCCCATAACTTTCTTCGCCCTCTCGTGGACAAGAACACCACAATATCACCTATTTCACCCCCTTGCCCCTCCTACCCCTTAAGTCGCTGCCCATCGCCCTCGTTAGTGTTTTCCACTCGTCACCCCAAAAAGGGTGTGGGCGCCATGCCCAGCATCGCGGTGGCCGCTGCGAGACGCTCAGTGCCGCCACATGTTAAAAGAAAGTAACTCGAGCTAAATATAAACCCCACACTACCGTATACTCCTTTACTTTGAAACTATAATCCACTTCAACCACGTCTGACATCCTACCTACTCACCGCATCCAATGTCCGCTTCCCTTGATTTATTCCCATCTCATCATCTAGGTTCGTCGCGTGCAGGCACCAGCCGTCGCTGCCCAGACTCCAAAGACACACACACACACCACGCGCGCTGGCCGACGACACCCACATCACCCTGGAGAATGTGTTATTTAGGTTGCGGTGGCTTGTCAACTACCAGGCAAAGTAGAGCGGCTTAAATCTGCCTGGTGGGCTACAACAGTCCCCTAAGTCCACCAGCTAAGCGAAACCTTTTTGGGCGTTCCTGCCGGTAAACAGGTGTACCCCTTCCTGCCTAAGCCACCAGGTAAAGCTCTAGGCGCCCAGGCAGACAGCCAGCGACGCTTTCCCCAATGCTGAATTTTCATTGCCGCCGGCCATCTCACTAGCACACTAGCCTGTAACCTTATTAATGCCGGCAATTGCAGACGACCATCTCGCTTTCACTTCCATGGGCAGATGGCTCCTGTATGCTAACGGTCTAGACCCGCAAGGGGGTCTCTCACAATGCATGATTCAAGTTTACCTATTGTCAGGTGTCAGTATAAAAATGGCAGTAATAAGGGACCCTGTTCAGGCTAAGCTTTCTCCTCATTGTTTATTGTCTGATTGTCATTGGAAACGGGGCTGAGCCTGGACAACACACCCTCATAACAAAAACATTCCCTGGTGATGTCGGTAATCGTCGTCGGCCCGGGCTCGTTGCGGTCTCAGGCGATATGCTTGTCGGTGGTGCCAAATACATTACTGGGCCCTCCCCGTTTCGTCCCCTACATATCTGCGCTTGCCTCCTGGCGTACATGCCACAAAATCACTCATCGTTCACCTACAGTACGCTGAGCAGTAGTGCTTTTGTTTATCTGCTGGACCGTACAGAGCCCACGGCCCACAAACGCACCACCACCAGCAGGGTCTTCGTGGGGATGTGGTCTATGCATTATTGCTACCGTAGATACTTGGAGCGAGTGACGCTTTCCCAGTCGTCCTTCTCCACCATCATCTCCACAATGTTCAAATCAAGAAGCTGCGGAGCCAGATGGCGTGTCACTACCAGCAGGTACACCTCCTGGAGCAACTTCGTCACTTCTAGCAGCCGCGGCTCGTCCAGCGGCTCCCGCCGCACCACCCGTGCCAACAAGTCCCGCAAGTTGGTGAGCAGAGTGTATTTGAGTCCCTGACTGGCAAAGTAGACGTGGAAATTGACGAGGATTTTAATTATCGTCGCCATAAACTTGGTGAACTCCCGCACCCCAATCTTATTCAATGGTACCAGGAGGATCCGATGCGGGATGATCACTCGCCGCGTGGTTCCCAGCGTCGTTTGCGTGATTGCCGGTGGTGGCAGGGTCAGCACCAGCCGTCGTACTTTAGTGATGGTGGCTCGACGCTGACTGTTTATGGTTTTGCTGGAAAGTGGGAGCAAAATGTCGGGTCGATGAGGAGCAGCAGGGGGAGTCTCGATCGATGTCCCCGTCACCGTTTGTAGACTGGTCGTGGGCATTGACACGCGACGGTTAGGGTAAATCAAACTCATGGGCGTGGGGGAGTCCTCTGGCTCTTTCTCATCCGTCTCAGTACTATCGCCTCTCATTTGCGTTTCTTTCTCTCGGATAAGATCGTAAAACCGCAGGTTAGGCAACATCTGGGTCTGGAGCTCATCGATGAACGGTAGATCAACATCGAATAATTCTGATAACACCATTTGGAACCGGATCAAATTCTCAAGAAATTCATTAAGATCAAGAATAGGCGCAGTGGCGATATCGTCAATGTTGATGATAGGCCGATGGCAAAATAGTAGCTGGTCTCGTCGATCAAATAACGCAAGCACCACAATGTCGAACCACGAGGTCTGAATGCGGTTGACGGTGTTTGTCACCGTGCGAGTATAGCTCTCAATCGACCTAATTTCTGGGGTGGTCTCCTCCGCGCTGTCCCCGCCAAGCTTGTCAATAGCCTTTTGCGTAGCATCTAGTTGCTGCTCCACTGCCGCCAATTGCTCATGAAGCTTGTTGATAGCTTCAATTGTATCGGACTTGGCTCGGTCGAGTCTCGAGCATTTCACTTGAAGATTAAGACTTTGGAGACGGGCTATCTGAGTCGCCAATAACTTCAACGTCGGGGTATCGGGGTCCGACCTTGACTTGGCAAAGATATCGTTGATCTCCTGGCGCTTCACCGCATTGGCCTTCTCGTTAGCTCGTACGCGTTGGGGAAGGTCATCCATGACAACGCACCGCAGGCTTCCACTACAGCGAGCAGGACCGGGAACCAACTAAATGAGCAAGGGTAATGGTGTAGAACAAAACTGGAGCTCACTCAATTGTCGGCGTTGAGCGAATTGTTGGGTATCAGGAATCGTGTGGCAAATTGGTTTAGGTAACAACCTATACCGGTAGTCGCAGTGCGAACAGTTGAAACTATAGTCACGCCTGACGGTAAACAACAGGTGACCAAGTATGAAACTAAGAGACCAGAGAAGTCAATGGTTTGCTGTAAACAACACCACCATACCACAATCAAAAATTTTAAACTGAACTACGTTATTTGTCTCATTAATTGCGAAGAAGATCGTATTGTACTCTAAATTGGTCTATCAACAAAAAATCTCTTTGCTATTACTTGGCATCGTTCAATAATTATTTAATTTATCGGAAGTACTTTGCGTACGACAGATTTTACTATTGTCTCACTATGACCCCATCTGGCATCACCGATAACACCCACTTCAGCCGCACTTTTCCTCAGGCACTGAGAGGGGATGCTCAAGAAGAATTCGCTTAGTCCCGAGGAGACGCTGAGGCCTCTCAATTTCACCCAGCCCCTCCGCATCGCCTTCTTGGGCGGGGCAAAGCTGGGGAAGCTGTCACTCATCTCGAAATTGCTGATGGGCACTTTCAGGGACAACTACTACCCTACCCACAAGATCAACCCAGTGTTGTTGACCTACCTGCCGCAAGACCGATTATCCCGTGTCATTATGGACGAAGGCAATGGTCTGAATTCTCTCAGAGAGCTTGCTGACCACCGAGAGCTCCTGCTCAGCCCTGTGCTCACTAGCGCCTATACGCTGACTCCGGCGAAGCCGCAAGATCTCAATGCTTTAATCAGTCTCCAATGGAAAAACCAATACTACCAAGGGTTCTGCTACCGTGGTGATGCTGCGCAAGCCGGTACTTACGTCCTCCCTCACGTCAGCCCGTTATTGGTGGAGATGATCGATACGCCTGCGTTTGACCCCGCCCGCGTGGTACCGTTTTTGGAAGCACTGTTGTATATCAAACTCGGCAAGGACACCCTACATAATCTTGCCGACGAGCCGAGACGCCCGGTACTGACGCATCCGCTCCTCGTGGCCCTGGGGGCTCTGGAGCTCAATGGCAATATCGATGGGTACTTCTTCGTCTACCTGGCAGTGCCGCTGTATCAGCCGCCGCTGTACGACTCCCATGATAACGAAAATAGTAAGGTTGGCGACGATGAGCTCCCTGAATGCGACATCAAAACGTTCAGTTTGTTAGGGGTGATGAAAGCGGCGTTGGACGAGGCCTGGCGAGAATATAACACTTTCAGAATGCGATGGAACCAAGGGAAGGAACACGATATATTCCATTTTACTCTGCTGTTAAAGCACATGTGGAAAGATAAGCTGATGGTGGAGATGGAGCAAATGCGCCAGGAGCTCCGGCGTCAAATCACCCTCATGGATAATCCCGTCGACCCTCTGGATCCTAACTCACCACCACCCATCTGGATCGTGTGTACTCACTCTAAGCTGCCGTTGCGACTGCCATTGCTTATTGACAGAGGTGAGAAGTTAGCCAAGCAGTGGAATTGTGGCTTCATTGCCGTCGACAATACCGACGACAATGTTGACGCGGTGTTGGCACTCATGGTTAAGGAGATCGTCGAGCGGAAACGGTTACAACTGAAGCGTAAGAAGTGATCAATCCGACTAATTTGCATGCACGTCATCTATACTTTTAATCTACTCATATTTTAATTCTACGTGCAAAAACAACTTCGACTCTGGTTAAATTAGATAACGCAATTTTAATAGCTGGTCAAAACCAGTTCAATCAACATAATACAGCATGCTCTTTATCAATACTAAGGTCAAGTACCCCTGTAAAATTTAGCATTACAATTCAAATTCTCTTGACTATTATTGACTCAATTGCTCAACACTGATGCTTTTGTACTCCATGTTGCTTGATGCACTTTGGTAAATCTCGGAAAATCACTTAGGGGTGAATTGATCCGGTGCGTATACCTTCCCCCACCATGCCCTCATTTGAAGACATCCAAAAGCAAGAGGCCAATGAAGCCGAGACCACCCGTCTCCTTCTGTTTGATACCGTTGACGCCTTTGAAATTGGCAGCTTGGTCCGCTTAAAGGCCTTGGAAAAGTACCCTAACAAGCCCGTGGTCGTCGACGTGTCGTTGGCTCTGGGCCAGGTGCTTTTCCACGCGACCACTCCCGTGGCTGGCTCGTCGCTTGACAATGACATTTGGATCAAGAGAAAGGCTAAGACCGTCTTCCGGTTCGGCTGGCTGAGTTACTTTATGGGTCAGAAATTAGCCTACAAGAAGAAGTCGTTGGAACAAGCCAATTTCTGTTCGGAAACCGAATACGCCACTCATGGCGGAGCTGTCCCCATCAGAATTGAAGGGTTCGATGGTGTGTTGGCGGTGCTCGTGGTTAGTGGGCTTGCTCAAGAGCAAGACCACCAACTTGCCATTGAAGGGCTTCAGGAGTACCGGGCTAACCAGGGGAGAACCAGAGCCGATTCCTTGGATTAGTGAGTTGTATATTGTCTGGTTGGTATATAAATATCTTTACTGGTTTTACGTAGAGCGTGAATCATAAAGTTTTGTCATGAAATGAAGGGCTTCTCTTTGCCGAATGATGATCAATTGATTTGCTTAGTAATGGCTTGGCAGTTGATTGATTCACCATCGCCAATCGCTTCGAGTGCCTGATGCAATTTTGGCCACACTTCCTCTTTAAGTCGTAGCTTTTCCTCTGGTTTAAAATCGGAAAGTACCCACGCTGCCATTGTATCTTTTGAGGCATTCTGGGGCTTGGGCCCAATGCCAATACCCAACTTGTACACGTTATGGTCCAATCCTTGTTGCTGAAGCCAATGGTGAATGCATTTGACGCCGTTATGGCTCTCATTCTTTTTAAACTCTGCCAATCTCACTTTCCCAAGGGCAAGCTCAAAGTCGTCAAACACGACGAATATCGCATCATGAGCCAAATTGATTCGGTTGTCTTTGATCATAGCATCAAATGCCCGCTGACTTTCGTTCATATAGCTGCCTGATCGAGCAAACACTGTGCCATCGCTATCCACCACCAGCGAGTACAATTTATGCTTTGTGAGCTGTTTGGCATGCAGTGATAGCTGTGCCAAGGCCTGATGACCGACACTGTGACGGTTCGAAGGGCCTGGGTTGCCAATAGAAAACACCACCACCGTCATCGCTCTTCCTTTGCTTTGCCGTTAAATGCTTAATGTCTTTGTGGTTATGAGCGAAGGCAGGTGAACTGCCTAACGCGCACCGCTTTCAGGGCCCTACTCTCCACACACGTCAACTGATCTCGGCTACCGGCCCTCGCAACGGTATGGAAAACGAGGCAATTGTACACCTGGAAGGTCCAGGAGTGGAATCAGTCAAGGAAACAGGGTCTGGGTTGCTTCCTGAACTCAACAGCCCATCCGGGCTCAGTCCTCCCGACTCGTCGGCGGACGTCATTCTGCCCCGAGCCGACGTGTTGGCTGAATATGAAGGAGATAACGATGCTCTAAGCAGCGGTGGAGAAGGCCTACACACAAATTTTATCGATGATTTCATTGCTGACTCCAAGACCGAGGGGCATGCTGATCTGGGTGAAAATAAGATAAATGGAGCTAATTCCACCAAGGAAGGTGAGCTTTTACCTGATTTTAAAACAAAGGACGAACCAAAGAGCGACTCATTGCAAAATACCGAGGATCTTCTTGATATCGGCTCTGAACTAACCGAAACCCAAGAGATTAAAGAAACATTGGAAGATACCACTAAGGATGTCATAATACCAAAGAAGAACGATGATGCCTCTGAAACCATCGAATCAACTGAAAAGAAAAGCACAGATATCGAGGAAAGTTTATCACAAAAGGATCTACAGAAACAAGAAGATGCCATTGAAGATTCACGTTTTGAGAAAGACATTGCTGCCACTACCAATAACGAGACAAAACCCAACAATGACGAAGTAGGCAATAATGTTGGTGATGACGATTTCGATGATGATGATGATGATTTTGATGATTTCAACGAGTTTCAAGGGTCGACTGACTTTGAAAACCCCATAATTGATGATGTCGAATTTTCAGCATCCACCGATACAACCGGCGTGTTTCCCGAGTCTTTATTCAAGAACCTTGATGCTTATCGCTCCAAACTTGATGATGTGCTTGCCTCGATATTTGATGACTTGAACGTTGTTGACAGCGTGACCAATCGCGAGGCAATTTCATTACTTGATGATAGATCACGTCAAGTTTCTGAAGAGATTGCAAGACTCCCCCGATTGAAACCTCCTAATTGGACTCGACTGATTATCCGTCACAACTTGCTTATAAGTTTGGGTATTCCCATAAATCTCGATGAGACCGCTGGTGCACCAGCTGGGGGACTGCTTATGGCAAAATCTGGGCCCTCAGCGCACAAAATCGACTGGAAAGGACTTCCAGTACCCGCATTTGAGGCCCTCAACCTCGAGCAAGCTGCTGCTGATGAGATATTAGCCAAGTCGGCTGCGACTTTGTCACGTATTGATGTGGACAACCTTACAAACTCAACTGCTCAGTTTCTTCAGACCCAACCAGAGTCAGTGGTAGACGCGAAGCTTGAGTTATTCAAAAGCAACTACACTGAGTTGTTGACTCTTGCCAGCGTCTGGCAGCACCAGTTGGAAGAACAAACCAAAAATACCGAGATCTATGGCGAAGTCGTGCAAAGTATGATTGGCTACAGTCACAAGAAGCAGCGGGAAGAGATCATGGAGGAGAAGCGACGAAAATAGCCATCAACATTCTCAACCATTTTTCGAGTATCATTGTAGGTAAGTCGACCATAAAACTTACGAGAACCTAACACCAATATATATCCCTAACCAACCCGCCAAAACACGTAATTTCGCGTCCTTAGGCTTAGGATCAAGGGCTTATTCCATCTCCGCTTCGTCTGTGCACGTGCCGCGTGATTCGCGCCGCACTGTTTACCTTCAGGCGACACGTATTTGGGAGCCATGGTTGAATTACTGGACTTCCAGCGACAAGAGAAAGTCGGCGAAGGGACTTATGGGGTGGTGTACAAGGCCCTTGACACCCGCCACAACAACCGGGTGGTGGCGTTGAAGAAGATTCGCTTGGAACTGGAGGATGAAGGGGTGCCGCTGACGGCGATCCGGGAGATCTCGTTGTTAAAGGAGATGAGAGACGACAATATCGTCCGATTATACGACATCATCCACCTGGACTCGCACAAGTTGTACCTTGTGTTTGAGTTCTTGGATTTGGACCTTAAGAAATACATGGAACTGATCCCTCAAGGCCACGGGCTCGGCGCCAACATGGTCAAGCGGTTCATGAACCAGTTGGTGAAGGGGATCAAGCACTGCCACCTGCATCGGGTTCTCCACCGTGATCTTAAGCCCCAGAACTTGTTGATCGACAAGGAAGGTAACTTGAAGTTGGCTGATTTTGGTCTTGCGCGGGCGTTTGGGGTGCCGTTGCGGGCCTACACTCACGAAGTGGTGACTCTTTGGTACCGTGCCCCTGAGATTTTGTTAGGGGGCAAGCAATACTCTACTGGTGTCGACATGTGGTCGGTTGGGTGCATTTTCGCTGAGATGTGCAACCGCAAGCCGTTGTTCCCTGGTGACTCGGAAATTGACGAAATCTTCCGCATATTCAGAGTGTTGGGTACCCCCACCGAGGAGACGTGGCCTGACGTGGCGTACTTGCCTGACTTCAAGCCGACTTTCCCCAAGTGGACCAAGAAGAACTTATCCAGCTTTGTGCCTTCGTTGGACGCCGACGGGGTCGACTTGTTGGAGAAGATGTTGGTGTACGACCCCAGCAACCGGATCTCGGCCAAGCGAGCATTGGTACACCCGTACTTCAACGAAAGTGACTACATGAGCTAGATGAACCCCCAGCCAGAAATACCCCTGCCAGCAGCACTATCTTTTGCCTGTGCTGATGCCGTCTCCTCGCCAGTAGCATCGCCAAACACAAAAACTACATAACGCATCAACAATTCAAAGTATATACCGTGACAAACATCATTGTTATGATTACGTCTATTCGTCATAGTATCTCTATACAAGCGATGCAACTCTCGGTTCGAGAATGAGCGAGCCCTTGGGCTCGGCGGAAATGCCGTCGGCAGCGGTGTACACGGTCTTGCCCCCGACAATGGTTTCGTCGACTTTGCCGACGAACTGCATGCCGTCGTAGGCGGTGACCTTGTTTTTGAACAACACGTCCTTGTTGTGGATGGTCCACTTCGCTTCCGGGTCAAACACCACGAGATCGGCGTCCATGCCCACCTTAATCTCACCCTTTCTGTGGGACAAACCCACCTGCTTCGCGGTGTTCTTAGAGCACCACTCGGAGATCTGGGCTACCAGCACGGGAGGCAGTTGCTTCTTACCTTCAGTGTGGAGAATAGGCAAGCCCAAGCCCACGGAAGAAATGCCACCCCACGCCTTGAAGAAGTCCATGTGGTTGACTCCCTTCAAGTCAGGAGTGCAGGGCGAGTGGTCCGACACCACGGTGGTGACGACGTTGTCTTCAAGAGCCTTCCAGAGGTTCTTGCGGTTTTCCTCCAGTCTGATGGGAGGACAGCACTTGAAGTGAGTGCAGCAGTTTTCGATGTGTTCCGCCAGCAAAGACAAGTAGTGGAAGCAGGTTTCTGCCAGCACCGGCAACCCCTTTTCCTGAGCCTGTTTGAGCATGGGCACGGCCTCCTGAGTGGCTAAGTGGACAATGTGAAGCGGCACGCGAGGGTTCTCCTCCAGACACTTGATGATGTTGCTGATGGCGAGCGTCTCGAAGTTATCGGGTCTCAGCGCCAAGAATGTCGAGTATTGCTTGGGGTCAAGGTTATCGGTGGCGTGTTCATCGAAGTCGTGGGGTTCCATTTCCGCGTGGAACATCAAAAGAGTCGGTTCGCCTTCGACGGTGGTCATCGCCTTACGAATGTATTCCGGGTCAATGGCGGGGAATTCATCGACCCCCAGGTTGATCAAGAACCCTTTAAACCCTCTCACCCCCATACGGATCAACGGCTTCAAGTCTTCCAAATTAGTGGGGACAAGACCACCCCAGAAGCCAACGTCAACCCAGGTTTGTCCCTTAGCAGCTTCAATCTTAAGGTTAAAGTTTTCCACAGTAGTGGTAGGAGGGATAGCGTTTAAGGGCATATCGATCACCGTAGTGACCCCGCCAGAAGCTGCCGCCTGAGTGCCAGTGGCGAACCCTTCCCATTCCGTACGACCAGGTTCGTTAAGGTGGACGTGGGCATCAACAATCCCCGGCATAACCACTTTGGGAGACACATCTTCCACTTTGACGACGTTGTAGCGGGCTAATGTGGGGTCGTCCTGCTTGAGCACTTTGGGGACGATCTCGAGGATGGTCCCGGTTTCAGAGGAAACAATCACGGTGGCCGCAGTTAACTGGCCGTCGATCAACACTTGGGACAGGGCAATAGCACGGGACATCGGTGGTTGAGATAAGCGGGTCTTAGAGCGTTACTCTCGCATTATATATATGATGCTCGGAGATTCCCGAAATCGCGGTTCCCCGAGGGTTCAAAAATTCAAGGCGGCCTCTACCCCGGTGATTCCATCGATCGAAATTGATTGTTAACGAGTTTGAAAATCAGAATGTAATACTATTGTGTCGTACACACCGTTGATTGATGATCTCTCTCGGGTCATGCCGAGGCAACACGGTTTACCCGATTCTGCTTTTTGGGACCTGGGTCATGAGCCTGTATATCACACCCGATCTCCGTCCTTCATATCAGACGTGTACTTTCAATACAAGTGAGGTGCCCATAAAACCAAACGCGTCTATTTATTTGATCTAGACTCAAATCATACTAAAGAATAATCACTAAGAATGTTTGCTGAGTGTATGTTGCAGCCATGACGACATACGGCAACTCATTTAAGAACAGGCAAAAAAAAAAAAAAAACGTGGAGATTGTTGTGCAATTATGAGCCCGAACAACGTCACTAAGCAACGGCAATGTTCGCCACCGCTTAGCTGCGCCCTAAGGATGACCGCGGTCAAAACCTTCGAGGCCATATTACTAAAAGACACTGTGCTTGCTCTCGACATTAGCTGCCACTCCTGCCACTGTTGGTGCTCCTACTGGTTGCTGTGTCACTCCCCCCACCACCTCACTAGCCGCACTGCGCAGAGTTTTTTTTTGTTAATCAGCCCCAACCTAACGGCATCGGCACGTTTTGAGCCCGCGCCTTCCATATAAAGCAGCCAACCACGTTCACATCCACCGTGCCACCGCCAGCGGCTTCCCCCGCCATGAGGTTAGCTTATCGCTCGCTCCTGTCGTCAGCTACAGTATGCAATACTACTACGAGTCTGTTTTCGATGAGCAAGGGCTCGGTGAAGGCCCCTACCCCCCAGACTCACTCCGAGTACCGGCGCCTGACCCACCCCACGCTGGTGCCGCTCAACAAGCTCTTCTCAAACGCTTTCCCTTTGAGTATTAAGGAGCTGTGGGAAGACTACCGTCAGCGTAATACCCCGCTCAAAACTCAGGACCGCTTGCTCCGTTTATTACCATTTTATCCTCATGCTGACAGCCTAAACCGGCTGGCCCAGGTCGTCCAAACTCAGTTGGATAACGGCAGTTTCATCAACGAGTTCGTCATATACCCCGACCGCAAATCGCAGGCCGATAGCGCTGATTTGAACCACTTAATCATGGTCCACGGCTACGGTGCTGGGCTTGGGTTTTTCCTTAAAAACTTCGAGGGTATCGCTCAGAATAAGAACTGGGTGATCCACGCCATCGATTTGCTTGGTTACGGTTGTTCACTGAGACCGAAATTCGAACTTCCTAGCGAGGATTTGAAGCTGGTGGAGGCCTGGTTCCACGACTCATTTAGGGAGTGGCTCGTCAAGCGTGATTTGGTTGATTTAAGCCAACAAACGATGGTGATGGCCCACTCGATGGGGGCTTACCTCATGGCCACTTACGGCATCAATCGCGATGTCAACTTCTGCAAAAAGCTTTTAATGGTGAGTCCCGGGGCCGTGATTAAACACCGCAAACCCGTGCTGGTGCCGCAATACTTTGCCAAGCTTTGGGAACGGAACATCTCGCCGTTCTCTCTTGTCAGAAATGCGGGGCCGTTGGGTTCAAAGTTAGTCAGTGGATGGCTGTCTCGGCGATTCGCTAAGTTGAGCCCTGAGGAACGAGTAAGACTTCATCGCTACTCATACGCGATCTTCCAGCAACCAGGGCTGGGGGAGTACATGCTTAATTACTTGCTTGCCCCTGGGGCTGATGCTCGCTTCCCTTTGATTGATCGTGGCATTCATAAGCTTAATTGCGAGATGCTGTGGTGGTATGGTAAGGAAGATTGGATGGACGTTTTGGGAGGCAAATTATGCACTAATATCATAAACTCCGTCCATGGTCGCGAACAATCCACCGTCCACGAAATTGAAGATGCCGGCCACCACTTGTACTTGGACAATTACCCTCAATTCAACCAGATGATGGTTGACGAAATGGCCCGGTTTGATGCTGCCGAGGCTTAAAGCATATTATTTACCCGTATATAGAGGTTGATTTGGGTGATCTTCAGATGCCAGGGTTTTGGCTGGCCATATACCCCTTTAACCGCCAAAAAAGTAATTTGATCTTTTAATTAAAGTGTTTCAATGAACCTAATTACACCAGAAATTATTACTTAATTAATTAATAGCGTTTCTTCGCCTACCTGTTTATTTACATTGCGGCACCGATGCGAAATCGCATCGCATGGATGACCTTGTACCCCCGCCAAATGAGCGAGGCAGTCTCCTATACAATAGCGTCATTGCTGGAGCAATTCCTCGACGTCCTCAACCACAAACTAATGACGAGGTGAAGCGGGAAACACCAAAAACTGATACCACCGAACTTAATGAAACCAACGCCAATTGGAAACTCCTACGCGTCACCGCTAACGCCCACAATGGCTGGGTCCGAAGCGTATGTGTGGACCCGTTAAATACGTTCATTGCCAGTGGTGGGGCTGATGCTGTGATAAAAGTGTGGGACATGACGGCGGTGAACGTCAAGGCCGAGATCACCGGCCACATTCTCCCCGTTCGAGCATTAGCGGTGTCGCTGCGATACCCTTACCTTTTCTCGGGAGCTGAAGATAAAACTGTTAAATGTTGGGACTTGGAACGAAGTCACACGCCTCACTCATTGGTTCGAGACTACTACGGCCACGTTGGCGGGGTGTACGCGGTGGCATTGCACCCTGAGCTTGACCTCTTATTTACCGCGGGGCGAGACCAGGTGGTCCGGGTATGGGACATCCGGAGCCGGACTCAAGTGATGCTTCTACAGGGACACACCAACGACATCTCCGGGTTGGCGACGCAGGCGATGGACCCTCAGGTCATCAGCTCGCTGATGGACAAAACCGTGTGTCTTTGGGATTTGCGTAAGGAACAACGAGCACTCCAGATCACTCAACACTCCAAGAGCGTGCGGGCCATTGCTCTTCACCCCAAGGAGCTCACGTTCACTCTGGGTGACCTGGCAGGAAAATACATGCAATGGCTTCTTCCGCGAGGCCAGCTCCTACAGAAGTTTGCGACCGCCTCCCCGGATAAAATAATTGAAACCATGTCGATCAACCCCGTCACTAATGAAATCATCGGCGGGTATGCAAATGGCAAGCTTGAAGTGTGGGACTATGTTCAAGGTATATCTACACAGACACTCCATTCGACCGCGGTCAACACTACCGAGCCCAGCCCCATATTCACCTCGGCATTCGACATGCTGGGATCACGATTGTATACGGGAGAAGGCGACAAATCAATTAAGGTGTGGGTGAATGGCGAACTAGATTAATCACGATATAGGTTTATATATATTATGTAAGCGCAAATCTACCGTACCTGTAGTCCCTCCTCTCAAAATATTTCGGAGGCACGGCGATCGATAAATTTCATGGAGCTAGCGTTGCGGCTCTATGATGCCATACACACCCTGCAATGTCCGTTGAAGGTCATTAGCATCATCCCTGGGGAACAGCAATTCTCAGTGGTGACTGATGATGATCAGCGTACTCTCGAAATTGGGGTGCTGATGGATACCTACCTCGCGCTCTTCAAACAATGCCATGACTTACAGCACGCGGAGCTTGAGCTTTGGGACGAGTACATTTTGACGGTAGGGTACCTTTTCACTACCAATGAGAACCACACGATGATCTTACGCCATTGGGAGGCCGTGCAACGGCTTGTGGCCGAGCGCGGGCCGCAATTCCTCGATACTGAGCTCGATGTGGTGTCGACCCTTATCGCCAGCCGCCTCTCTCGAATCAATAAAAGCTCAAGCTTATGGCTTCTTATACGCAAGCTTGTGGCCCAGAAAGGCTTACCCTTAACGGAGAGTCTGATGGCTCGAGTAATGGCGTCGTTACGCCATCACTTTGCCAACTACTACGCCGCCAACTTCGTGCGCTGGTATGTGGCAGTATTGTTGGATCAAGGACAAGATATCACTTCGATATTGGAGGCGGTGGTGGCGGAGTGTCGTGCTAATCTTCGTGACGTTAGTCTTTGGTCGCTTCTAGGGTTTATTCTTGCCCCTGAAGTTGAAGGCTACGTTAGCGAATATGAGAGATTTGGTGGTTCGAAAAGGGGATTGTTTAATACTAAAAGACACCAGATGGAGATGCAGCAGGTGGCGGTGGACCAGATCCAGTGGCTCTTGCTGGTGAAGTGTCCCTATGAAAACCCGTTTGTGGTGCTCCGCCAAGTGGTGGGCGAGCGGGTGTTTGACCAGGTGGTACCAGACCCTGTGATCAACGTCACCCAAAGTGCGTTTATATAACGGGCGATTCAGCGGTCACTTTGATGTTGAGGGCGAGCACTAACATCAAAATCAGCGTGGTAATGAAAATCACCGACATGAGAACGAGACGTGTTGCCGGGAAATAGTCTTTCCGAAGCAATAACTGGACGTGGATGTACCGGTAGTAACCCATAATAAGTGCTACGGCGCCAAGCATCACACAGAGACCGCCAATGGGACGCGATAGCCGGCGGATCGTCCGCTGTCGTTGCTTGAGGTCGTCCTCCACCGTGTCTGGATCTGTCTGCATGTCCATACGATGATACTGGGTGAATAGAATGCCAAACAGAACAAACGTAGTCGCGAGCCGCATCCACAGAAGCACCGTGCGCTCGTTGGCCATGTGGTCTCGAGCCACCAGGCCGTTGTTAGCGATGCGCACGTTGGGGCGGAATAAATCGTACCAATGGCGATCAGGTGGAGTGATTTTGTCGTAAGGAATTTTTGGCTTTTCCCCGCCAGTGTCGTCAGTCACTTCCATGGTGGTTGTAGTGCTGATTTGGCTTCGCAATCGTGGTCTCATAGATAGCAATGGGTGATGCGCACAATAACCTGGGGTTAACGTAGAATAGTGCACCGCGTGCGGCAGAAGCTCCAGGGTCTCAGACAAGACAAACACATCTGAGACTTCAACCTTAACAAGCACTCCGATTAAAATTGTAAATAAGAAGTCATTATAGCTTTGGTAATAGAAAACCATTTCTAAGGCCACAAAAACTTACTGATAACGTGTCATTGACTGCAATTTACCTACCTCTTGAGAGAGGCATCGCGCGTTTTGGTGATCTGGCTCGGACACTGAGGATACCATCACCTAATGTACGACCCACGGAAAGTCGACCTCACGGTGGTGGTGATCAAGGCGTATGTGCTTGGTGGGATATTTTGTCTCAGTACCATGGGGCTCATCCTGCTAGGAACACAATGCCTTGCATCGCCGTGGACTCCAGTGTTGGTGTATCTCCAGCTACTATGTGGATTCCACATGTTGGAGTTCATCACCACCAGTCGATATAACCCTACCGAAGTTGACTCGGACCTGTTTCTACTTGACGACTACCAGATGCTTGCTGCAAATGTTTTGGCCCTCGTGGAGTACCTGGTTAAAGTGCACTGGTATGGATATACTCCCAAATATTCGTTGGTAATAGTGGGCCTTATCGTGGCGCTAGTGGGTCAAGCATTCAGGACGTTAGCCATGTACACTGCTGGCACACTGTTCAATCATTATATCCAGCGACAACGCCTGGATCGCCATACGCTTGTCACCCACGGCGTGTATCTGTGGCTGCGACACCCGCTGTATTTTGGCTTTTGGTGGTGGTTTGTCGGGCTCCAGATCATGCTACAAAACGTGTTCATATCCATTAGTGGCGGAATTGTTCTCTGGCGTTTTTTCCGAGGCCGCATCGAATTTGAAGAAGGGTTTTTGGTGGACTTCTTTGGCGACAACTACGTCGAGTATGCTCGCCGCACCCCAGTGGGGATTCCGGGGATCGTCACCCGTCCCCAACGACAAAAACAAAACTAGGACATTTTGACGACAAATACACACAATTAATCGAGTAAAACAATGAAATAAAAATTCTGTACTTTTTCTAATTATGCTCTATAAATGCCTATTCGTTAGTGCCGACACCGAAGCCGTTGATGTTTCTGAACATCAACACGCCGTCCTTACCGTCGACGTACTGGCACCAGCGGCCCAGCTTCCACAACGACTTCCACATGTTTTCGTCCGAGTGCATGTAGTGTTCGCCCATGACCTTCTTGATGGCTTCCAGGGCCTCGCGGGCGTTGTAGAAGGGGATTCTCAGCACGTAGTGGTGGAGAACGTGGGTTTCGATGATGTCGTGGAAAATGTACTTGCCGACCCAGCCGAACTCACGGTCGATGGTGGCGCCAGCCCCTCTGGCAAAGTTCCATTGGTGGGGTTCGTAGTGGGGCATCTTGGGGTCAGAGTGTTGCAAGTAGGTAATGAACACCAACCAGTGGTTGCACAAGATGTAAGGGACGAACCAGTTGATGAACATGTTCCAGCCGCCGAACTTCTGGTACCAGGTGTAGACGACAGCGGCTTGCAAAAGCACCCCGATGTCCAGCAACACGATGTACCAGTAGTCGCGCGATTCGAAAAGCACCGAGTTGGGGTTGAAGTGGTTGGTGTTGAACTTCAGCTTGCCGGGGTATTTCTGGCCCGACACGTTGGTGAACAAGTAAGCGATCCACCCGCCCAATTGTTGGAACACTAATTGGGCGAGGGTGTAGATGGGGGAGTCTGCGACCATTTCCTTGACGTGGGAGTGACCGCGGGCCTCCAAAAACTCTTCCTTTCTCTTAGGCACAAACACCATGTCTCTGGTCATGTGCCCGGTGGCCTTGTGGTGCTTCGAGTGGGAGTACTTCCACGAGAAGTACGGCACCATCAAGTAGGAGTGGAACAACCACCCCACGGTGTCGTTGAGCAAAGTGGAGTCCGAGAACGCCAGGTGGCCACACTCGTGGGCAAGCACCCACATCCCGGTGTAGAAGAGGCCTTGCATCCACGCGTAGCCCGCCCACAACGCGCCGCGGACATAAGCGTTGTCGATAAGGGGGATGTAGGTGTTGGCGAGGTACATCGACGACGCCACCAACACGACGTCGCGGATGGCGTAGTACATCGACTCGGTGTAGCGTCTTTCGTAGCAGTGGGCGGGGATCGCCTTCAAGATGTCCTTGATCAGGAAGTCGGGCACTTTGAACTCATCGCCGTAGGCGTCGGTGGCTACTAACCCCGTCTGGACGTTGGAGAACGACGCGACGTTGCCCGACTTGTTGATGGTCTTGGAGCCGACATCGGCACCCGAGGTCGACGCACCCACTCTGGAGACTTGACTCGACATGTTCCCTGGCAAACTGAGAGAATCGCAGTGGCTGTCCGCTGGCCCTTATAACCAAGATTTTTATTTTTTGTGCGGTGAAAAAAGAAAAGCTGGATACAGGCGGCACCGATTCGGGCGAAGCTCGGGGCTCCACCACGGCCAAGCACAATGGCGTCGACGGCGGCTATATTGACAACCACCGTTGCTGTCACTACGTAGCCACCACCTAGAGGTTTGAGGATACCCGTTTCTGAGGGGGACCAGACGCGGCGCTGCCCTCCTGCTAGGGGACGTCGCGGTGAGATGTGCCCCAAATGATGGGTACAGCCCCATGTGCAGACAGGTCGTTCTTGGGGTAATTTACTGGGCACGAGGCATGGGGGAACGTATTGGCTTGCCCCCAATCCACGTATTCCTTCGGCACAAGGGAATATTCTCGTAGCTGCCGTTGGTAGCCCCGGTCCCCTACATAATCTATGAGACACGCACACACCTTGACCACGTTGGCCTGAAAGGTCATCGTTGTGGGTGAGGGCTTTGGCCGCGGTCTCGACCCACCGGTGGGGGTTTGGGTAATGCTACGTTTTTTTTGCCCGCGATCATAGCGACGCTCCCCGATGCAGCTACTATCGCCAGACACTTCCGCGGGGTTTGAAGGCGAGCCCGCTGATTTGTCTGAGTGAAAAACTTTCGCGCATCGACGGTTAGTACCGAGGAGCGAATTTAGTGGAGGCTTACAACCTAAACGACGGCGACGGGGCACCCCAACCTTATTGTCGACAAGTTAAATCTAATTCTCTTGTAGTTAGTAAAGCGCAGGGCCATACAATCAGCACCACCGCGATTGGTCAGCGCCGATTGAGCATAATTGAGGTACATACGCCGCTGCACCGAGGCCAACAAATTGGTTAAATCACGTGGGAATGCCCAGAGGAGGGGGGCCGTTGGACAAAGAGCATCAACGGTCGCCACCGTTTAAAAAAAGGGGGCTCAGCGGGCTTCGATGGCATCACGTACACGTAGGGGCTAAAACGCGGTGAACTGTCAAGAGCGATGTCAGACAATTGTGGCCACGTATTTCGGCAATGGCCGCGAGCCCGTTGATAACGCGATTGTCTCCTTTTCTTTTGCGGTATCTCCCCCAATGAAGCCACGCGCACGGCGTTGTCGCCACTCCCCAGTCAACGCACATGCCTGGGGAATTCATCCCCAACTAGATGTGGGAAATACATTAATTGCAACCCCAAATTGCGTAATTGACAATAGACGCCAATTCAATCTGCGCGAACTGTCTGCAGCCGTACATCGTTCTGGTTATTTTAGACACTGTCGGGGCTCCAAAGGGCAATCTAAGGGCGGAGAAAGCGACACCTCAAACAACGGCCTCCCGATCGCCCTTTTGGATCCCTTTATCCGCTCGTACCAGTCCGGTATGGTGTAATGGCTATCGCGGTTCGCTTTCACCGAGCAAATCAGGGTTCGATTCCCTGTACCGGAGTTCCTTTTTGGCACCTGCCTCAATCAAATCTAGATCAGATCAGATACTCTCATGCTCTCCTTAGTGCTACTATTTGTCTCAATTACTCACGTCATTATCATTACTGTATGGTGGATGCTAGCGAATGTTAGCGAGTCTAGCCGTGTTCATGTGAACATTAAGGTCAAGGCGGTCGGCGTCCTCCTCGATCTTTTGAAGACGAGCGTTCTGAGCGTCGACTTCAGTACCCATTGTTTGTGCCAGGGTCTTAAGCTTCTTGGCGTATAACCCAATTTGTTCCAAGTTTTGCGCCAACTCCTTTTCGATTTCGTCGTCTTCCAGATCGTTTTCGAATTGGTACCGTTGGGCTTCTTGCAATGCTTTTTCCAGGACGTACTTTTGGTAGACCTCGCCGTTGGTGGCGTTATTGGTGATCCCCGTCTTCAATCTCATTTCTGACGCGTACATCTCCAGACGGTTATTTTCACGCATATACTTTTCTTGGGCCTTGGCTGCCTTGATTTCTTCTTCCTGTCGCCGTAATCTCAGCTTCTTATTGAAGGGGTTACCGTAGGCAGGAATGAAGATCAGTCGGTTCAACCGGTGAAGTTCACTCACCTTATCCTCAGCAAGTTTCGTTTGAGTCCCTGCGAGAAGCATGTTTTGTTCGGAATTGTACAACCGTTCTGATTGCGACCCTAAAATACCCATGGTGTTGATGGCAGCGGCATCGGCTTCTTGAGCCATACGCAACGTGTTTCTCGTCGATGCTAATGATTCTTGCTTGGTGAACCGGATCTCTTGCTTGATGGCTTCGATCTCTTCATCCTCAGAGTTCACTTGAGCGTCCTCATCATACATTTCGTCCTGGATGTCCAAGTTTAAATCTTCCTCTTCCGGCAAATCGTTTAAGTCCACTTCCTCCGACCCTTGTGGCCCATTGTATCTTCTAGCAGGAGTGTGGCCTTCGAACATCGAGTTGGTCGGCACTAAGTTGAGATCAAGCAGTTCGTCATCGTCACCAGCAGCGGTGCGGGAGGTGGCGGCAGTACGGATACTGGCTGAACTCAGCGAAGGAACCGCCGTACGCGAGCTTTGACGAGAAGTAGACCCTCCGTAAGGATTAATAGAAGGTCTCGACGACTCCCGCGACGACAGGCTTGGCTTGGGAGCCCTCTGAGCGTAGGGGCTGGCTCTGGCGGCCAGCGCTCCCAGAGACGCCGGCGGGGCTCGACTTGACCGCGTGGGGTTTGCGTAAGGGTTGTTTGGATCAGCCTCAGGTTGACGAGAACGGCTGCTGCGACGGGGGTCACTGGCGGGGGCCGATCGAGCTCCGTAAGGGTTATGCTGAGGGGGGGCACCAGGGGCGCCGGTAGGGCCAGCGCCGCCCGCAGGAGCTTCATTGCCAGGAGCGTAAGGGTTACCGTTGGTGTTACCAAGGTTAGCGTAGGGGTTCACCGGCGCAAACCCGGGCTTTCGAGTCGCCCGCTCCTCGGCGTAGGCCTTGAACGCCCCGAACTTTTCCTCTCTGGCGCCACCGAATTTACTCTTGGTGATGATCCCATCCTTCTCCATATCACCCAAGATCTGGTCCTCGGTGGGGTCCTTCTTCTGGAACACTTTTCTGATACCCATGGTGGTGGACGTGTTCTGTTAGCTGGTAAAGCTGTATTCTCCGCAGCGAGTATATATGATGGGGTCACGTGTCAGGCTGAGCCTCGCATCTTACTTTTTGAGTGACGAAGCAAACACTGCGGGGGGCGAATGACCCCCGGCAGAGTGAAAAGTTTACCATCGGATTGCCGGTAATGCCGGGTATTAGTAGGATAGGAACTCGTGTCTGATGGGTTTAAGACGATATAGTCGCCATCCTCTTGCTGATCCTAAACTCTATTCTCGATGTGGGGTGATTGCGCGCTAAGCGTGATTTGCCTCTATACGGTATACGACGATGTACGCGGCAAAATTTGACGACGTCACTTAAACGTAGGATGCCGTGATGTGAAACTATTACTTCAAAGGTATCGAGGTTTCGCAATTAATGACTCTTGCGGAGGATAACCTAACTGAGTAACCATCAGAACCCTCTCGCATTGTGAATGCGGAAACCTGGCTGCAAAAGAAACGGACGGTTCGGCATATTCGAAAAGGCCGCCGATACTGGAAAATGACGCAGGTCCGACTGAGCAGAGACTTCCGCAACTCCGACCCATACAAGTTGGAACCTAAGCCTAGCAGCGATCCTGATTAAGTTTAGCAAACTCAAATGTCCTCCTTGAAGTCGTCAAGACCTCTCGTCAAATGTTAATCAGGATCTTAACTTTGACGCAAACTTGGTATCCCATCACGTAGACTCAAAAGACCATTTCGTTGTTTATTCGATGAGGCATTACGATTATAACTCGCAGGTTTGATCGTTTATTTTGGATCATGGCAAAATTGACGTATTACCATATGCTGCAACTCTACTAATCCGGTGTGGCACTCGAAAGTATCTCAGGGTGACTTTACTGCGTGATACGGGGATTCAATTAGCGTGAATACTGTGGAGAAGTCGATATCGAATTAGCCAAAACAAAAAAAAGCTCTTTGGCGGGGAATCGAACCCCGATCTCCCGCGTGACAAGCGGAAATACTAACCGTTATACTACCAAAGACGGTGTGGGATTGTTGTATGGTTTGTTCGGCCTTAAAGGAATACCCGTCGAAGATACTTACACACTGGTATAGGTTTACTGGGAGGTGACCGANTGTTGTATAGTTTGTTCGGCCTTGGAGGAATACCCCGTCGAAGATACTTACACACCGGTATAGGTTTACCGGTAGGTGACCGGGGCATGGGTATTCGCCGGTAGGTTCCGGCGGTGGTGCACTCGGGAGGAGTCCGCGTGAGTATTATATAGAAGCATACGTGATAACTCCGGCAACGGAGTTGTCACGGTGCGGGCAGCTTAAGGTGTTCAACCCTAGGCTGAGCTGAAGTCACCCGCTCGTTGGATGCACGCCCTGCATACACCGTACAGACCCAGCACATACCCGGCGGGGTGTCGAGATCACAACCACNGGTGTCGAGATTACAACCATATGCATCTAAACACAGTTATCGAAAGGTATCAAGTTTGAAGTAATGTTGGTCTCGACATCCCGCCCTTTTTACGTTTGGCTATTTCGAGTAGTACACGACTTTCACCCAACTTAATACAACAGGGATTATGAGCCTAAGTAACACTCCGGTGATGTTTGAGGACGTACTATTCAAGCGATTTATCGATCATGATTACATCTCTCAAACAAACGACAACAGTTTGATAATCAGAAACTGACAGTACAGCCTAGGTACATCATTGTCTGTCAATGATCGTGCAATTCCATATAAAAAAATTCATTATTTCGATAGTTCAAATAAATCACTCTCCCATCGAGTAACTATGGTATAAACCTGTGCAAGTACACCTATACACATAGTACGACCAGATCCCATATTACGATCCACATTAAAATGAGGAACTCGTCAACTCTCCCAACTAGTCGAAACAGAGTCGAGCAATCGATGCAGTGCCATCAGTGTTCGCGCGAGGTCTAGGCATACGCTTGTCAGCTGACCAGGCCTAATCTGTCGCTGCGGATACAACCATACGGAGTGTCCTGCTTACCGCCAATTGAAGATGTGTTGAAAGATTTGTAGAAAGATGCCGCTATCTCCCTCGCCAATGGAATGATCATGAGGTTTTAATGGTTGCAGCGTGGTTGAACACGAGTCTAGTCCAGCTAGACGCACCCCATCTACCAATCCTTTGAAGTTTCCGGTTGCTGGAGGCGACTTAACCATACCAGCAAACACCGAGTACCTACAATAACGACTGCCGCTCAATGAAGGCAGGTTGGCAGTGTCAAAAGAATTGTCAGTCAGTAGCCGGTACCATGAATGTAGGTCGAGGTCCCAATTGGTGGTAAAGCGGAGTGAGTTTTAGCTTCTAGTGGAGGTCGCCGAACCCTCTACTACTGTTGCGACTACTTTAGATCTTTTCTACGTAAGATGACAATGCATGGCATTCCCCAAAATTTATTGATGGCCAGGATCTCTTGCAATGAAAAAGCTAGCTGAGATATTCGACTATCTCGAAAGTTAGGCCGTTCATTGCTGCTGACTCATGCGCGAAAACTGAGGCATCCCGCCAGAAGGCCGGGGCGCAGTCGAAGCTGACAGTTCAACGTGTCTAGTATGAATGTTACCTCTGATTCTTAGGATGAACAAATTGGTCAAGTGAATCTTTTCAAACCCCCGCCGTTAGATTTCCAATTTGGGAACGAATAGTTCACTCCATTTTAGCAAACAACGGCTTGACGAAAGTTCTCGAATCAAACAAAGTGATAACTATTTCGCTCGATCAGCAGATCAATCTGAATAGAGTTCGCTTTATCCATGAACGTTGCCTTGACTTCATGTCGCCAAAGCGCACCGCTCTTGTTGATCGGGTTCATTTATAGAATAAAACATTTGAAAAATGTTGAGTCGCCATAATCATAACCTTAGTTAAACTTAATCAAAATCTGTTCTACATATGAACATGGATACACAAGAGCGGGGTGCTCCTGTGTTTCGAATTCAACTAAAAAAAATAAAATAAAAAAAAAAGTTTGAGGGAAGAAGGTAGTCGATAGTCGTGTATAGTGATGATTACGTAACCCTATCTATGAAAGGTGTCCCGAATACAGCCACAGTAAGACTAGGTATAAAACCAGATGAAGTCTAGATGTGGCGGATTCAACCCACTTATATGCATAAGTCGACACCACCCGCTCCTACAACGCCGTCCGGGCTTCGCTAGTCCGCCAATGAGCGGGGTGCCGTTCATGCGGCTTACGCGATAGACCGAGTTCGCATCTCTTACCACAAAGTTCAAAATAGTTTTTGACTAGCAGCGCGGTGCGTTATACACAGGATGCAATTGGTTGAGCGGAAACAGGCTAAGTAACGCACTCAACTCAATGAATTCACTACCATATCGAATGACTGTCATAACTAGCGTTTGATTGATATCGAATAGAATCTAGGATAGATATTGTACTCATCAGAACGTCCTGCATTTGTGAAATTATACTGCAAATAATGTGTAGGCCTCCGAACACACTCTCTCGATCGTAAAGAATATTGGAAGAGTTGAGCACCGTCATCATTGTACTCACTAGTCAAGCAATTAGTACATAAGCATAGTCAAATCTGGCATTGCAAAATGAACCTTGAAGATAATGACGATAAGAACCTTTTCGAAAAACAAAAGTAAAACAATTCTTTACAAACACTCATTGTAAAAATGAATAACATCACTATAGTGTTCAAATAGTACTCGTGACGCAAGTTGAAAATTTTTGAATTTTCCCCTGAAAATAATCAAAAGTGTGGTATAAAATCAGGAAGAATCGACAATATCTATTCGTTTGCTCTATAAAACTTGTTGGTACTGGAAGTATGTTTGATGTGATTTTGGGTGAGTTGGCTTCAAAATGGGCGTCTCTATGTGAGTATAATGGTGGAAAAAAAAAGTTTTTTTTTTTTTTTTGCGAATTTTTTTTTGAACGACTTTGAGTTTGTGGCGTAGTCTATTGCATCCAGTAAGCACTAAAATTGACCTGCGGTGTTTGTAGAAGTGACAGGATAAATTTTACACCTCGTCTATATCGATATTTGTATGCAGGTGCATCAACCAATATGCAAGACAAAACAAGGTGAGTTGTATTACGCACTTGCGGAGTAACTAGCTCATGTCAATAAGCATCATTGTAGTATAGGAGTATGTCTATTTAGTTTGAAGAGTTAAGGTAAGTTGTGCCACAATCGCTGACTCTTATATCACGCTATCAAGTTTGGGGTTCTGCACACAAGCACTGCATGCGCATATCATTCATGATTTTGAATGATGTCTCACATCACCTGTATTGACCCTGAAAAACAAACCAATTATACTAATGTGATGTATATGGTGCAAATACCATTTATAACAGCAAATGGGATTTTTTTGAATTTTCATAAGAAAAACTTCAAAGTGTGATATAAAATCAAGAAAAATTGCTGCAGACTTTTTGTTAGTTTCATAAAATTCTTTGGCATCAGAAGTATAATAGATAAATATTTAGGCGAGTTGACGATCAATTTGACGTAGTTGGAGCAATGACACTGAAAATGCATTACCTGCAGGACTGGTGGACGCATCCTAGATATTCACAGAGCTACAAGTTGCAATTCGTGAGTAGGCCAAATATGTTACGACTGCTATACTTAACAAGCCATACTGCTGGCTGCGAAAGTCTTATGGAGTTGAATTGAATACTAAGGTATCTGACGGGCTTCTATGTGCGATTTCAAATCGATCCTGTCGATACCTTCTCAAAGTATGCATTCGCCACTGATAAGACGTGTTGAGTGAGTTCTGATACCATTTCCATGATTGGCACGGTTCAAATATATGTGTAATAAACATCAGAAGATGTTCCCGACATAAAAAAAAACTTGAAGTAAAAATTTGAAATTAAAATTTGAAATAATTTTTGACGAGCGACGCAGAGCATTATATGCAGGAGTTGACGGGAATCTGAAAGAATTTGATGAGTGGCGCACCATAACATATCGTTTCCAGTCCGGATACCATGCACAGGACTGAGTGACAATATACAGGACATCCAGTATATAGACATAGAACAACCCAGGCAAACGGGGTGGTCAAATATATGGAGTAAGAGGAGGACCTAGGTACTATGCACCCAGGGAGTGAACCCGTAGGATGACATCACGCATCGAAGGGTTAACAGAGGCAGTAAGTTATATGCAGGACGCAAAAATTTCAAAACTAGATTTGAAATGATTTTGACGAGCGGCGAGGTCACTATATGCAGGACATACTCTGTTGAAATGAAGGGGATTTTTTCAAATGTACTGATCGTATTGATCGATCAGTTTGTTTGTTGCATTTGATGCTGAGTGTGACGTCCCTGAGGAGAAATGTGGTCGAATCTACCTCACCACCCTCCTCCCCCACATGCATACGCACCTCTTTTCGTATGCAGAGTTGTTTGTGAATCCCAGATATGGGGAATACAGGTAATGCCATGACCACTCATTTTAACTTAGAAATAGTGTATGCTGTCGTTTTAATATAGAGCGCTTAGTATTGGCAGCTTACCCTTGCTCACATATCGAATATTAGCTATTTGCTTTTCCTAAGGTTTAGCGCAACTATGACAAGCATGCGTTGAGCGATTTGTGGCTACTTTGGTTGATAGTCATTTTGTCTATATTCAAAACTATGTCGAGCTCAGTAAATGGAATGTCAGTGGTCTCAATTTCTCATGTATAACCTAGCATGAACCTACAGCAGCAGGATGTAAGTGGCAGAGGGCGTAACACGCCTGGGTTAATCTGAACTATTGTTGTTCGTGATTTTGGTTCTAGTATGGAGTATAAATGCAATATTTGATACTTCTGCCAACTTATCGGCAAGAGCCGTACGTGGTTAACTGGTCGAGTTGTCGTGTCAAGCATAATGATGAATGGCAGCAATCTTACATCCTTAACAACGTGCTTCAGACAAATCTATACAAAATTGTCACAGTTGATATTAATCCTTAAGTTTGGGTGTTTTAGTTCTTCAAGTGAGTAGATAGTGCATGTTGGTTTTCTTAAAGTAATGTGTAAATTCTATAAAACCGTAAGATATCTTCGATCTGTTGTCGCCATCAGTTTGGCGAGAATTGATATATCCCTTTCGTGTAACTACATTGAATTCAATGATACTATTCGTCGAATTACATTTCTATATTTTAGGCCTCTTCGTCTTCATCTTCGAGAGTGAAAGGCTCTGGCACCGGCGCTTCGGTGATGTACAACTGCCGCACAGTCTTGATCAGCTCCTTGGGTTCATCAGGCGTCAGATCAGTCAAAACAACAACACCCCCCATAGCCAGCTTGAGCTTCCGAACCGGTTGGAAACGGTTGTTGGCGTCAGCACCAATGTATTGAACTTGCAAAGGCACCACTCTGGTCAAGTTGGCGATGCGGTAGCTGTCTTTGGTGTGCTTTGGAAGTACCAATTGCTCCTTGTCTTTCTCTTCCTTCTCTTCGTTGGCAGTCGGAGCCGAAGATGTCGGTGCAACATCAGTAGTTGTGGGTGCCGAAGGGACGGAGCTGACCGAGACAGCGCTGTCTTTGCGTTGTCTGCGCTTGTGTTTTGCGGTGGTCAGAAGAACAGCGGTTGCAAACTTGCTCTCCTTTTGTTCCTTGTTTTCTTCCACCTTCGAAGGGTAAACAAACACCTCTGGCTTACAGTGACACACAACATCGAATGCTTTGGGAGCCTTCAAGTCCAGAGTGACGCCAATAACCGTGGTAGGAGCAAATGAAAGCAGCAAAAAGTGAGCCATGGGGAACCAATACCACAGCTGACAGAACAACGCCAACCCAATAACACCAGGAGTGTTCAAAGTATTCGTGTGAGCGTTTTCAAGGGATATGGTCAGGTTACGACCACCAGCGTCGATAATACCTTGAGCAAGAGTGGCACCGAACTTGGCAAGTGCATCTTCATGCTTCGCCTTGATTGTCGATACGTAATTTTTGGTGTACTTGGTAACGGTTGGAAAGGTGGTTTCAGTTTGTTGGATGAGAATCAATGCCAGAGCCATGTGAGCCGCTTGACGAACGAAATCGACAGGGTCACGCAGAAGGGGCTCCACAATGGCAAGAGCTTCAGCATGAGCCTTCCCAGCACCGGCAATACCAAGGGCCATGGCAGCACCGTATCGAACGTGAGGGTTGTGCAGTTGCGACAAGAGACGCACAAGTTGGGGAGCTTGAGTGTGATCGCGGACAAGGACGAAGCCAAGGCCAAGGACCGCTGCCCGACGAACATCATCCAGGGGGTCCAGAACCGCCAAGTGAAGTAACTTTTGGATAGCCCCGTTGTCACCAGTGCCACAGTATGCGAGAGCAAGTGTGAACGCACCACCGTAACGCAAGATCAGCAGCTCTTGGCTAAGCATGTCTTCAATGGCGGCATCAGCGCCCAGCATGCGGCCAAACTGAAGGAGAGCAACACCGATGGCCAAACCCCGGATAATGTGTTCATGTTGAGTTTCCTTAGCGTAGGTCAACATATCTTGAGTGGCTTCCTCGGAACCCAGGCCCAGCATGACGAGACCCATAGCAATACCGGCAGCCTGACCCAGCACAGCCAGGTCCAGGTAAAGCACCACCTTCAACGCTTCGTAAAGTTCGACCAGACGGCACCCCATCCCGGCAACACCAGCACCAAGACAGGCACCGTGGAGCATAACGTCAGTGTCCAGAGTGCCAGCAGCATTACCATGATCATCGATAAAATGTTTGAGGTAGTCCAACACTTCCTTACCGTGACCAGAAAAGATAAGACCGAGAGCGAAAAGCGACCCTCCTCGAGTGTAAGCACCGGTGGCAGCGGCAGCGCCTTGTGCCGACCCGCCAGCGCCAGGAGGAAGATACGGCCGCAAGATGGTACGCCCATGGCTCAAGTTGCCCTTATGGATGACCCCGAGGGCAGCCGTAGCCAGGAACTTCAGCCAGTTGGTGGCTTTACCCAACCACTCGAGGTTTTTCCGGAAAAACAGGTCGTCGGTAGTGCCAGCGTGCATGTAGGCATTGGCGAAAGTGACCGCCAGGTGGAAGATCAGCAGACGACCTTCGAGCAAGTCCTTGGTGCGGTTCAAGATGCCGACGTCAGCAGCGTTGTTTTTGTAAAGGAAAGTCAAGTCCAAGTCGCACAGAGGCACCCCCAGAAGGATCATCTTCACCTTGGCGTCCTGAACGTCCTTCGCCACGTCCACCAAAAATTGTTGGTGAGCGCTAGAGACAAGGTCAAACGCCCCTTGATAGGCCACAAGATCGAGGCCTTGAGACACCAAGTGGTCGAGCAATCTCACCGCCAACTTGGTGTCGTTGAGTTGAACGACGATACGGAAGGCCACGTAGTAGGGTTCGGGGTTTTGGGGCGCAGTAACGTCCATCAACACTTCCACAAGGGCGTTCAACACTTCAGTGCGGAACGTCGGCGACAGCACCACCTGGTTGGCGACGCCAAGCACGTAGCTGACAAGCTGAGGCAGCCGGTTCAACACCAGACGGATGACGTCCAAGCGGTAGGTTTCGAGGGCGAGGCCAAGCGCCAACTTGTCGTCCTGACACTTGTGGAGCATTTGTTCGAAGATTGCCAGTAACCGGTGGTCAGCGGGTTCACCTTTGCCGTGGTAGGCAGCGGCTTGCGCTTCCGTGTACTGGGCGATGCACCGCGACACCGTTTGCTCAACGTATTGGGACTTCTCGTTGATGTCGAAGGCGGGGCCGGCGAGGAGGGCGTAGTTGACTGATTGGTCGTAGTCGCCAAGGTTGTAGTAGCACTTCGACACCACCAACGCCGCCAATTGGCGCAGCGGGAACTGCGTGTCTTCCCACAATTGTTCGAGGGTGTCGAGCGAGTTGGCGATCTCGGCCCAGTGGTTGTTCACCAGGTCGTTGAGCAGTTTGAGGGCATATTCCTTCAAGGTGTAGTCCCCTGGCTCGTTGAGCAACAGGAGAAACGGCGCTGCCGACACGAGGGCCATGGTGATGGTGGAATATATGATTTTCGCCACCGCGGGGAGTTCAAAAGCGTCGGTGCGCGGCGGTGGGTGGCGAGTAGCAAGAGACACCAGAGCGGGAAATAAGAGAGAAAATCGAGTTCTTTGTTATGAAGAGCAGTGATTATTTGTGTTTGGGAGTGATTGGACGCATATCTCAGCGGTATTTTAAAATTGGGCTTGGTGAAGATACCACCTCATCGATCCATGTGGAGACGTGTATACGTCGAGCACTGAGCCGTGATGTCACGAGGACATTGCACAATCTCAAACACGTTTCACCAGTAGACCGTATCCGTCACCAAACCTTTTTCAAATAATTACCTCTACGATGGGCTAACCTCGTGTCTATTAGTCATTAATGCATTGGTGCTAAAACTGATGCCGAAAAATCAGGCCTCGGGGCTGATGAGGATCACCAGGTCCCCCCGCACAAACACCATGTCGGTGTTCTTCGTCTGTTCCAGCCCTTCCTCCAGAAACACCGTTTCCTGGGCCTCACTCAACACCATGTTGCAGTGGGAGTCGTACGCCTGCAACCGGCCTTTCATCTGGCGCGCCCCACGCAATTTCACAACGACGATTTCGTCCAACTGGAATCTGATCAAATCAAGCGGCTCGGTGTTGTTCATGCCTGCTTATTATTGAGGTAATGATCGCTTGACGGTCTTCTCACCCTTTTGCAAACGTCGAACCAAGGTTTGTTCGCCGGGTGCTGCCTGCAGTACGCGCACCCAGTGGAAATCTTTCACCACCAGGGAAGAGCAGAGTTTCCACAGGCATGATGATGAGACACGCCCTCGCTAGTGTTCGAGGGCTCCGCACGTCGCTGGTAGCCCCGGCACGCAAGCTTCGCTTCGAAAACTTGCGGGAAATCAAGTTGCGCGAGCCGGTGGTGCCCAGCCACAAAAACTTCGATGTGTCGCCCGACCATCCGTTGTGGGGTTTCTTCCGTGACCAGAAGGCGTTGCGGGTGCTGGACGAGTTGGACGCCGACTCCCGGGAGTGGCTGATGCCGGAACTCCGCCGCAAATCGTTCGAGGACTTGCACCGCTTGTGGTACTTGGTGCTCCAAGAACGTAACGTGCTTGCTCGTGAGGTGAGATTGCTGGAACTGATCACCTACCGTAAGACTCAAGCCCACCAGGACTTGGACGATAAGCTTAAGTTGACCCAGAAACGGATCAAGACGGTGTTGCTTGAACGTCAAACCGCCTACGAACGGGTGCAGACAATGGTGGAAAAGAAACAACAGTTCCTCGACCAGTTTGCCGAAGACTACCTTGCCGCCGACGACGCTAAGCTCCCGGGGATGAACGACAAGTTGGTGAGATTGCAGTACGCCTTCTTCGGCATGGAACCGAGATTGGAGGACTTCCACCGCGACGACATCGACCCCACGTTCATGGAAGGGTTGCTGTATGTCGCCAATCTCAAGGTGCAAAAGTATAACCAGAACGCTACTCAACCCATCGAGTTGCCGCTCAAGGCGGTGCTGGAAGAGTTGCCGTGGTTGTTGCAAGCTCCCGAAGCCGCTGCTACTGAAGTTGCCGAATTAAGACAAAACGGAGTGCAAGCCGTGCCTCCCTACCAGGCCATCGAATATGTCCAGACCAAGTTGGGGTTGTAGTCATGTATATAGGAGAAATCTACAACGCTTTTTATCGAATTACGGAATGTGTGCGTGTATTTAAAGTGTAGATAATTGTGGTGAAAAATTAGCAAAAGAATTATTGCTTCTTTTCGTAGGCCAGGTGGGCAAGCTTGTCGGTCAACTTGTTCAACAGTTCGTCGGCTTTTTCGCCCAAACGGTACCAGTTGATCGAGTAGAGCCAGTTGACGGCGGTGATGATTTCCTGGTTCCAGATGTCCTTGCACGATTCGGCAAACGGACGTTGGATGAACTCGACCTTTGACGTCACCGGCACGACGTCGTCCCATTCGTTGTGGGTCGACAACATCCGCTTGTTGATGATGTCGTCCAGCATCTGGAGGGAGCGGGACGCGATCGAGGCGTTCTTCTTGATGTATTCCCCAGTGTAGTACGTCAACAGCAGGGCTAAAAGCACCCCGCCGAGGAACCCGTGGATGCGTCCGCCCATGATCGTGTATGCGGTGGATGGCAGCCACTAAGAGATTTCGCTTTTCGCTAGTGCGACCCGGGCGCCTCGCTGGTGACGGCATTGAAGAGTATCGGCGAAAGCTATAACAGATTAACCATGGAATTGATATCACATTAGTTTATGCTGTAGTGACCACAAATCATAATTGAAATAGGTCTTCGGCAATATCTGGGCGACTGCCACCATATTGTTGTGAAGATCGCATGTTAAAGACACAATCATACGACTATGGTTTCACGGTCAATTGAATAAATTATTACGCATACGAGCTTATACAAATCCACTTTAGGATTCTATTTTAAATTAAGAACAACGGTATTAATTACGATTTGGTTAGATCGTTTCTAGTGTCGTGTCTCCATCAACTTTTTCACCTTTGTACGATTTGGCGCGCGCCACCATAATTACGGTGATGATTCCCATACAACACGCAACGATAGCGAATGCCAATTGAGCGGCGGAGAGACCAATTACCAGCCGCCCAATACGACACAAGTTCAGGGGAAGCTGGCCATATAACGTTATCTGGGAGTCATCACAGCTATGGGCACCGTAAAAGATTGACATCGTCACCAACGTAGCTATCCAGAGCGCCAACGTGCAAAAGTCGAGAAACAATCCTACCGACGCCACCAGAATCGATTCCCAATCGGACCACATCATAATTGGCACCACAATCGCCATGGTGATCGATACCACTGATGTAGCGAGTGCCAAGTCAGCATAAGAAAAGGAGAAGCCGTGGCGCTGGTAATTGGCCTCAATCGTCGCCGCCATGGCGAGAACAATGATGCTGAGAATAAACTGGATACAGCGAATAATGATCGTTAAGAAATTAAACGCATAAGACATATCTCTAGGCTCCAAACAATCGCCAATAGCGAGGTAGCTTCATCACTATATCTACTGTAAAATTATCACACCATCTTGAAATTCAATTCTATCGTGCCATTCACTCCACTCTTTCCTTCTCGTTCATTTGCGCTTACTCCTTGATTGTGGCTTCATTTTGCGCCTGTGTGTCTAACCTCGGAGACGTACGATGACATCGGTGGCGGGGCTGTCAAGGTTTGGCCATACCCGGTTTGAAATTGTAGCAACTAGCGACCACAAACCGCGTTGCTTTTGACTCGTGACTAAATTTGTCGTCAGCAATTCAATATTGGGGGTAATTTTAGCGGCAATTTTAGTGCACCTCGTCTGCCACCAGTCGCCGTAAGTGGAGGAAAGCGGGGGCACCGTTGCTGCGGTGCGCGTACAGCAATACATCAGCCGCGCAACTATAATGACGGCAACCCCTGAGTCCCTCTCCATAGTTGTAGCGACGATTGACGAAGGAGAAAAAGAACTATGTGAATTGGTAAGCCCCAGCCCCTGGTTTTGTGGAGGGGGCTATGGCGTTTCCGCAGTCTTGGCCACGCTTTTTCTCCCGACTCTTGGCCTGAGAAAGTTGATGACCTCATAGGGCTGAACGACTCATCGTGTGTGCGTGTGTCCTGCACAGAACACATGAAATTGGCGACGGGGGGGTACAAGTGGGCTAACAATACAAAAAATTCCTTGATTGCCAGACGTCTTCCAATTGCAGTTGCCCCGATGCCCTCGATAAAAGACTTTGACGACGCCGTCAACACCGCCCGCGGCTACTACGACCGGTACGGGAACTACCACCGCAGCTCGTGGGACCGCTACCGGTGGCTCCTCTGGCTCTTGTTGTTGATTCCTCTTTTCTTCATCCTTTGGGGGATCATCCGTCGCCAGAGATCTGGCAAGGTCGTCACGTTGAACCAGGGCTTCTGGAGACCCGGCCATAACCAGGCTCAGCCTCAGTACAACAATAACCAGCAGTACAACAATCAGGCCCAATACGACAACCAGTACTCGCAACCGGCGCCAGCCTACAACAACCAAGGCGACTACAGTGCTGGTTACCAGGAAGGTTACCAGAGCTATACTCAGGGTCGTGCAGACGGCCACAAGGCTTACGACAACGACATTCACCCTCCCGCGGGGCCTCCTCCTGACGACTACTATGCGCCGCCGCCGGGTCCTCCTCCTGCCGCCACCAAGTCGTAAGGTCATGTTGGTGTGGGCCAATTAGTTATGGTCCCATCTTTCCCTTACATATTTCCTTTAGAGTTATTTTATACCCCTCGCCTTAATATATACCAGTGTACGTCTAAATTACGAAACCAATTCTCGTCCATGTGGGTGGTGGTCCAGCGCAGGCCGCGGTGGCTTCGGCTCCGGTGGCTCTTGTTTCTCCTCATGATTATTCCCTTGACGGCAATGATAGCGCTCTTGTTCACTGGGTTGTCACGAAGACGCCGTCGTGCCCGTATCATCACTTCCACTGCGGCCCTGCTGCAAGTGTGATAGTTAAGTCCGACTATACTAGCTGTCTATAGCTTAATACTTTAATAAAATCTGTCGTTGAGATTTTTGTGGTTTAGCGTTGTTTTGTAATTAGCTTTCAACTCAATCTCTGCGAATTATGGGGTGTGGTATGGTTGTGCGGGCGATAACGTTTGAAAAGATTCGGTTTAGTAAAATTCTGGTTTTGGGGAATTGGCGATAAATTCACCGTTTGTGGACATTTTTGACTGTGACTAATGTCAACCCTTTTGTCGTTACGACGGCAGTTTCACCTGACGACACCGTGGCAAGTAGTTAGCAACCATTTAGGGGGTCGTCGGCTTCTCCTACCGTGCGTTTAATGCAAGGAACAAGACCTACGCTAGCTCCCAGAAACCTTGATTTCGTCGTCATTGGCAACCGCATGCCAGCATGAAAAACCAGATAGCGGACCCGCAAATCGTCACATGGCATGGCGTTAACGAGGTTTATTGGCATGCACGTCAGTACGAGCGAATTTCACCATGGCTGGAGCTGCCGTCATTGTTGTGAGTTACCACACACGGAAATCGTTCCATTCTGAGAATTATACCCAAATTGTTGATCAATTTCCCTGTCACAGGGTCAGCATCGATCAATTGATCGAGCCGTGGTGGCCACAGACCCGTAGAAGTAGCGCCAAGTGCCGGTCCAAGGTCATCTCGTCAACGGGATAGTATGGGGTTAGCCAGGATTAGCCAGGGCTAGCCAGGGGTTGATCCACTAGTGGCATTGCAACCGGGGATGGGTTAGTTTTACCGGCTATCGTCAGTTGCCGATGGCTGGTGGTGCCGACAGGAGTGCGCTGGTACCGCGATACCGCACCTGGTAACCGCCGTATCGACCGTCTATATTCTGAGCTAAATTGTCGGTGGTGGGCTGGACGAGGAAAGCTTAAATCGCGGTAGATCTAGACCTTTGTTCGAATACACCTCGCTAATGTGAACGAGACACCATGGTACGGGTGTCGGGCGTGCGTGTGCGCCTCGCCACCAGTGACGAAAAAATAGTTGCGGGTAACTGACGCAGAAATGGGGCGGGATTGTCCATGAACGAGGAGGGCTTGCGCCAGCATCGACACACCCCACATACCCGTGCCAAACGAATGGGAGGGATCGGCATCCTGCCTATTGTTTCCACGCATAAGCGCCCGGCACGCCGGCGCCTGGCGAATGACAGCGGGCACGGCATCATCTGCTTTAGAGAGATTTTTAGCGAGGTTAGGCGTAGGCACCGGGGAGGCCCTACGTGGCAACCGGAAATGGTTCTCCGGGGGCACCACGGAGCCTCGCGTCGCCATCATAGTGGCAGTTTCAGACATGCCTGTGGCGGGTGATGATGAAATGGCACATTTATCAGCGCTCTGGTGAGTGCTGAGCAAATTAAGGTGGGAGGGTCCAGTGGCAACTGGGGGCAGGCGAAAATAGAATGACGTCTCCCCCGCCAGGAATGTAGCCGGGCGCTGGCCGCCGCCCCGAATACTATTCGCTTCGTTCGCTGGCAGCAGCGTATGTTTGCGGCTGGGCCCAAAGCGGGCACAGTATATGGTGCTGCCGAGCCCGATTGGCCCTGCACGCGTCGATGACATCGACACCGGTGCCCCCGATGGCCGGCTAGCGACGCTGCCTACCGCTGGGTTATTATCAGACTGGCGGCTGTTTGGGAAGGGGTGCCGCTTGGGGTGCACAGCACAGAAAGGCGATTACCGCCCCACGTTTGCGGCTCGGCGCAACCGTGAGGTCATGGTAGCGACACCCACAGCGAGGTGGACTCGTGGCAAGGAAAGTCCTAAATTCTCTCAGCAAATTCCCCTTCGGATGAATCATTCCTGAGCAAGGGTGCGAAAGCGAAGGTGGGCCGCTGCGTCTCGTACCCGCCTGCTTTCTAGCTGTAGACCCCGGCCTTCCATTCTCACCTGGTGCCTTACTAAATCAGGATACTCTCTACTGAAACGGCATGAATACGGCATTTGGAACGGCATTGAGAAAAGCCAAGCGACGATAGACTACCGACCGCTTAGTGTCGTTTTTTAAATTTCGCTTTGTGACGGGAAAGTCGGTGAAATTTATGCCAAGATGACACAAATGGCAAACACTGTAAAGGTGTGAGGTTTCTCCGACGACACCGCCGAAATTTCCAGGGCACTGACGAGCAGTAACAAAGACCGTACCATACCCTCAATACGACAAGTATAGTGAAACAGAGAAAAAGAATTGACAATTCCTAGCCAAACTGCTTTCGGGTCGACGCTGTTCGTTTCCGTACTGTCTCTGAATGTCTCCGTGTTGTCGGGATCGCCGCCACCTCACCTAAATGCCATTGTTACCCATAATTATGTCCATTGATTGTCCAATGATAAATGCGTGCTATGTACAATGCAATTTGTTTGTAACCCAAGAATAAGCTACCAGAGCTTTATTTCCTAGGGGCCAGCGCCGATATCGGGGCCCAACTCGTCCTTGGTCGGCCACGGCCAGTGCAACACGTCGGCGGGAGTCACCTTGGGCGGCGGCACCTTCGCCAGGTCGTGCTTGACCTTGTGGTAGTGGTCGATGTGGCGCAACGCGTGGTCGCGAGGAAGCAGCCGCAAAAGCACCAAGAGGGTGTGGCGGTTGGGGACAAAACCAAGCAGCTCCCACCACTTGATGATGGCGGCGAGCTCGTCGGTATACGAGTTCTGCGCCAAAAGGTGGAGGTACTGCTGCCACCCCACCTGGCCCATGCGGGTGGTGGCCACGTGCCGCTTCCACTGGTGGACGGCGATCTGGGGAGCAAATAGGGTACTGCCGTCGACTAATTGCCACTCCCAACGTCCTTTACGTGCAGCGCGGATTAGTGCCACGAGACTGGTGGCGTTGGGGACATTGTCGACCATCACTAAGCGCTTGTAGTGATTCCACACCTGCGAGGGCTCTGCCATCAGCTCTCCGTCTAAGAACTCGCCAATGGCTTGGTTGGTGTGTACCGGCATCAGCTCAAACAATTGGCGAGCGTAGTCAAGTGCCAGCATCTGTTTTGCTTCCGCTTCGGGAGGAGACCACGGAAACGGGTGGTAGCGTAGCCCTTGGAGGCGGTGGCGGTATAGGAGTCTTATGTGACGAGGCACAAGAAGACTGCGAAGCTGAGGCTCAATCCCCATAGCCTCAAGAGAGGTGGTGACGGCAATAAGCCCCTTATACAGCTTGACGGTGGCCAACACAGCTTCGACGATATCACGTGTTACAAGGGTGTCCTGAGCGTGTTTCTCCAACTGATTCATCACCGTAATCGCCCGTTCCTCGGTTAGAATACCTAAAGGGCGGAGCTTACGGAGGAACATAAGCCAGAGCCACAGCGTCAGTCCTCCACGAGCAAGCGCCTGGTTGAATGATGCCAATAACGTTTCTGGCTTAGTGCAAAGAGAGAGTTCGACGGCGTCAATCACGTGTTGCTGAGCTTTAGTCATTGAAGCGCCGTTAATGTAGGCAGGATGGCGACCCCACAATTGCCGAGCTTTCGCTGGCAGCTGAGTAAACACGGCCATGGCGATACTACCAATACCGTAGAGGTCAAGGTCAGCCACGGGGCGTGGGAGGTAGCCCACAAGCAGCTCATACACGGCCACTAAGTGGTGGCTGCTTTGCGAATGGTGGATGTTAGCCGCGTAAAACTTGCGGATGAGCTGCCACATGGCGTAGTTAACCACCTGGGGACGTTCCCCAGGGAGTACAGTCACCAGATGAGCGAGGAATCGCAGGAATTTCGCCGCCAGCACTCCGTAGTAGCCAATGGCGTACCCCAACAAATTCTCGAAGTAGCCCTGGACTCGGCTTGGCTCAAGCAGCGCCGTCATCTCGGGACCGTACTCAAACCATATATCCACCTGGAGGTCGAGTTCCCGCCTCAGCCGGGGCAGGCGGGTCAAAATATCCCCCATGATAAACGCGGGGATGTCGACCATATTGATTAATGCGCCGCAGGCGTCGGTGACTCCGCGAGCACAGATCAGGGCCACGTAGCGCCTGAGGTCGGAGGGCACTTCCTCGGGTTCGTCCAACAATTGGTTGGCTATGGTGGCCTCGAGAGGCAGGGCCACGGCGCGGGTGACGATGGTAGTGGCAGGGTGAGTGCGCTGGAGCTGGGAGCGGAGAAGGGTGCCGGGGATGGTGTTGTCGACCTCGAACGGCTTTAGTCGGGCCCGCTGGTGACTCCCTACCGCTCGTCGGTACGCCTGGCGACACGCCTTGTCGTAGAACCGGTGGGAGATCATCCATAGGGTTTTCGCGATGCCAGCACGATTGTCGCCTGCGCACCAATATTTACCATTGGTGCGCGACCTGAGACCAGTGCGAGGGAACCGATTATAATGAGACACATACCAACTCAGTGATTCTTTGGTGGATAATGGTTTCAAATTCGGTGATTAGACGAAGCTAATTAAACTAGTTCAAAAAAGTTTAACGGTGTAAAGAAAATATTTGATCCTAGCTTGGGTATGAAACTCTATATTTACAGGGTTTGACATTGTGAGCTGGGTGGTATTAGATTTTCCAACGCAATCAGTGTGGTCCATGAACCAGCATCACACTGGTCGATTATAATACTGACTATGACAGATTTCAGATAGCATTATTCAATGAACCCTGTGACTAAACTTGAATCTTTATATTACATTAAGACCCGAAGTTCACAAATTGATGAATGGTCTTTCAAATACTCAGCAAACCAAAAACCATTGCAATACATTTAAAGTTGTTGCCATAACGTTTTTGGTCCTTCTTTTAGTGTATAAGTAGTTAGTGCCCACTATTTGTCCTGCACACAGCCGCATCACTCATCGTGCATTACTTAGTTGCCATCACCTATCTCTAGTTGCCCCCCTTCCCTTACACCACCAAACGCCTTATATCAATTGGCAATCCTTTCATACACTATAAGGGAGATCCTCCATTACATTTGGGCCAATGCTGTTGCCTCATCTTAGCTTGGTTCGCGAGGCCAAGCGGGAATTAGACGCGTCAGGTATTGACGACACGTCTCGACGACGGCGGAAACGGGCCAGACGAGGCGATACTGTCACTCCCGAACCACTACCACAACGAGCACCCACACCGATTTCCATTTCTAGCGACGATAGCCACGATGGCGGCGATGGCGGCGATGGCGGCGAGAATGAGTCTGATGACGACTTTGAGGACCTTTTCCCTACTGAAACCACCTCTGAACCAAAGCTGACACTGACAACAATAATCAAACATACCGAAGCATCTGATGATGACTCTGACTTTGAAGACGTGGACCTTGGAGGAGTTCCACAGGCTCAAGACATGACACAAGGGGGAGTCAATCCCTCGACTACTACAAACAATACATTGGTAATTCCGATTCATAAACCGGAGGAGCCGGTAAAAAAAGTGGCCAGAGTCATCCCTAAGGAGGAACGAGCGACTCGGCGATGGTGTCACATGGCATTTATCGTGGCTATGATCGGTCATTGTCTTATTCGCAACAAGTGGGCAAATTCAGTGGATATCCAAGAGAAGCTTGCTAAAAGCGTATCTCTGCAAACACGAGCGTTGCTTCATCCGTCTACTACAGGTAATAACCTTCTCCCCGTGGTGAAACTGCGTAAGTTCCTTGATGGCTTAAAGCGTACCATGCTTGTATTCTCTAAGAAATGGAAAGTGGTATACCAAGGTCTTATCTTCAAAACTTGGGGTGAACTCGGCATGTCGCAACGAGGCGTGTATCATGGGAGAATGACTCGAGCCAAATGGCAACAAATGATTCTAGAGTTTCAAGGTACCAGGGATATGGGAGCTCAAGCTTTCTGTGCCATGTTAAGAGGTCTTGGGGTTCGAGCCCGGCTTGTCCACTCAGTACAAGCTCCTGATTATACCTCGATTGTGCCTAACGTCGAGCCGCCAAATAAGGAAAAGACCGACGACTCAAGACCAAAGCCAATGGGTTCAAGCAAACAGCAATTCCTTCAACAAGTGAGAAGCTTTAATCCCAGTGATAAAGACTCACCAGCTAATAAGTTTATTGACTCGTCGTACCCGATTTGGTGGGTGGAAGCATGGGATAAATACGCTAAGAAGTGGGTGGCGATTGATCCTGTGGTGCTCAAACACTTGGAAGTACCTCCACAACGACGCAAATCAAAGTTTGAGCCGCCTGGCTCTGACCAGCGGAACCAGCTTCACTACGTACTTGCTTTCGATGCCCGTAACCGAGTGAAAGACGTCACTCGTCGCTACAGCTTACAGTTCAATGCTAAGACGCAAAAGAAGCGCATCGGCCAATATTCAGAGGAGTCCCACTGGTGGTACGCCAATCTCATGCGTAAGCTTAGCGGTGACAAAGTCACCCAGCTTGATGTGCTTGAACTTAAGGAATTTCACGATCGCGACTTAGCTGAGGGTATGCCTAATAACATGGGTGATTTCAAAAACCATCCACTTTACGCATTGGAATCGCAATTACACTATAACCAGGTGGTGGAGCCCAAGATCAAAGTGGGGACGTTTCGCCCAAAGACCCTGAAAAAGGGTCAGAACAGTGCACCGTTGATCCCCGTATACCGACGAGCTAACGTCAAAACGTTAAAGCTGGCTAAAGCGTGGTGGATGCTTGGTCGTCAGCTCAAAGTTGGTGTTCAGCCTTTGAAAGTGAGACCAGCGAAACTGGACGAAGAAGAAGATGAGCGACTTTACGCCGAAGATCAAACACAATTATTCATTCCTGAGCCAATTAAGGACGGCGTCATTGTCAGAAACGCTTTTGGTACTGTCGATTGCTACGTACCCCTGATGGTACCCGAAAATGGATGGCTTATCAGCCTGGAGGACTTCCCCATCAAGCTAGCCGAACAGGCAGCTCGCATCATCGGCATTGATTATGCGCGAGCTGTGGTGGGTTTCTCATTTAAGGGACGCCGCAATGTCAAAGCCACTGAGGGCGGGGTGCTTGTGGCTCTGGAGTACCGCGAAGCCATGGAGGCAGTCATGGACTGTTTGCTTGAAGAGGAAGTGGAGAAGATCAGACGCGACAAGGAGCTTGCTGGCCTTAAATTGTGGCGTTTCTTCATTGCCAAGCTCCGTGTTGGTGAACGTCTCAATCGTGTACACGGTGAAGTCGAAGACGACGTCGTCTCAGAAGTTGAGGATGAAGAGGCAGAGCTGGACTTCAGTGTGGGCAGCGAGGACGAAGGTGGCAGTGGCGACGAGGTTGTACCGCAACAAGAGTCTCGTGAAGCGCGAATGAGAAGCAGGAGACAGCGGCTGGAATCGGTGGCTCCCTTAAATTCGTCCGATGATGAAGATGACTATGGTGGAGGGTTCATTCCTGAAAACGGTGGTGGATTCATTATATCAGATACCGACAATGGTGGTGGAGGTTTCATCGTATCAGATAACGATGAGGGCGGCTTTATCGTGTCCGATAAAGAGGACCCCGTCAATAATCACGATGATAGTGGTGGTGGTGGGTTTTTCGTTGCCGAAAACGACGAGATACAAACGTACGAAGGGTCTGGTGGTGGCTTCTCCAGGGAGGCATCGCTACAGGCTCAGACACCTCAAGAGACAATGGCAAACACTCAGGCCGACGTTGATTTAGACATACCGGACGACATGTTCGATTACAACGAGGACGGAGAACTCGTGTATAACCCCGATGGTGCGGTTAACTCCCCCGATACCCCTAGCCCCCAATCATCGCCATCGGCACCAAACTCGCCGGCGCAGGCTCCGGTGATGTCTCAAGGCGAGCTTCACCAGCTTGAACAGGAAGAGCAGGAGTACGACTTTGACTACGACAGCGAGTGACGTCCTAATTAGTCGATGAGGATGTACATCGAAAATCTAGACTGCAAATTAGCCTTTTAATGCATTACGAAACTAAACTATAATTGGATGAATAATGTGCCGAAAGCGATGACTTTAGAGAAATCATATATTTGTTTAGGGAACCAATAGCGTGATACTTTTGCGCGCAATTTTTCCTAAGCCGCGCTTATCTTGCGGCCGCGTACATATCAAAGCGCAAATTTCGTTAGCGATTTGCGCTTTTGCCACGCCAATCTCTCGCCTGATTGGTCTAGCGACGGTGGCTGTACCTTCCGCATAGTACAGATGACAATTTGAGGGTCACTAAGTATGACACTTGACTGGTACGACACCTGATTTGCCGACGGGTGCTGGCGTATGTCCGTACTGAGCCCGATGCGCCTGGGAACAACCTTCCTAAAAAGGATGTCACATTTGCGCAGCCGTATGAGGCTCCCCGATATAAAAAACAGCGATCTCGGTCTCCACGTTTTTGACAGCTGCTAAAAGTCTTGGCACCGGCTTGTCACTGCACTGTGACGCTTGATCACCCAATGGTTTCTGTGGCAGAAAACGTTCTTGCGACGATCGGGACGGTGTTCTGGTGCATCCAGCTCGTACCCCAGATTATTCGCAACTACCGAGTCAAAAACTGCGAGGGCCTCCCCCCGTTGATGATGTTCTTGTGGGCGGCGCTGGGGGTGCCGTTTTCGATCTACTTCTTTGGCATCGACGGGCTGATCCCCCTCCGCATCCAGCCCCAGCTCTTCACCTTCTTCTGTCTTGTGCTGTGGGTGCAACTGCTATACTACCCTCCGGTGAAGATGGATAGGAAGCGGTTGCTTATGTATGTGGTGGCGTTTGTCGCTATAGCGGTGGGGCTCGAAGTGGGGTTCATCCTTTGGTTGAGACCGCTCCACCGCCGCGGTAAGACGTGGCCGATGCTTATTATCGGGATTATTGCCCTGTTGTTGTTGGCGGTAGGGTTAGTGCCGCCTTACTTTGAGTTGTGGAAGCGCCGGGGTCGTGTGGTAGGGATTAACTTCATCTTCTTGACCATGGACTCGTTGGGGGCGTTGTTCCTGATGTTGCTGATTATCGTCGGCCAAATGGACGTGATGCTGTTGACGCTTTATGCCATAGTGCTTGCCATGGAACTAGGGATATTTGCATCTCAAATAATATGGTACCTTTTGCTTGGTGGGAGAAAGATTATTAAGGAGGAGAAACAAGCCGCGAAGTTGGCGGCGGAGGAAGCGAGTGATGTGGCACCTGACACTGGTAGTGACACCGGCAGTGAAGCTGGCGGTGACCACAAATCCATTGCTCACGACCTACCCGTTAGTGACCACACCGATGGAGACATCGAGTCGTCGATATATGACCGCCAGGTGGAGGTCTTCGACGACACCAAGAAACATTGAACATAGTTCTGTTTTAGCATATTACGACACTTTAATAGATAATTGATTGGTTTAAGCTTGTCCTGCTTGTATTTTGATGCCAAAAAAGTTTTCAAAAAAAAAGTATAAAAAAATTGAATTAGGTCTGATTAGGGCGTGGTGGAGGGACCCGCCCTTCACGAGCGTTTGCCGATGATCGGCATAAGTTTGGTGGGGACGGTAAAGTACGAGTTCTGCTTGGTGGCTACACCAGCGAACCCACAGGCCCACCCCACAATACCAGTAATAATCGAGAAACTACCGGCGGCTTTCGTCACCTTGGGCAGCCCGGTGAACGCCATGGCCGCTAACATGATGAACGTAAGGAGCAAAGTAGTGCACATAGCAAAGAACGCCCACGTCGCTTTCAAAGTGAAACTCCACATCATAAACGTGAAGATCACCCACCCAAGCATGAAAAAGCCAAGGGCATTGCCTAATTGAGCGTGGTCAGTACCATACGCCTGAGCGATACCAAACGCGGGGAGCTGTACGCAGCCAAACGCAAACCAGAACGCACCGTAGGAAATAAACGATAACGCCCCGAAAGTGTTACCCATGACCATTTCCCAGTAGCCAGCAAGGGTCAAGAGCAACGCGCCACAGAACATCGCCATGCCAATGGTGATTTGGTTGACGTGGATTCCTTTAACCCCCACCATAATAAGGCCCAGCGTCACCGAAGATAAACCAAAACCCGCGAGCCCTAAAGGAGCAGGGTTGCCGAAACTGTGGGTGGGACCAGTCAGGTACCGTTCCACCTGGAATGTACCGCCAAACGCCTGTTGCAACTCCGAGCGGAGATATCTGCGTCCGCCCAAAATTACATACTGGTTATCGTCACCGCACACTTCCACTCTCAGCAATGGCTGCGAAAGCGACGAGCCCAATGCTTCCTTCAGCCCCGAGTCCGAGGAGACTGACATTTGTTAGTTTCTTTGGGTCTTCTATGGAAGAAATTTAAGCTGATTAAATAGTGTGATGTGGGGGGTGGGGTAGCGGTGTGAATTGGCCGACTTCGATCGTACTTGGATACCGAACTGATGAAAAGCGGGTGGGGAACACGCACCATCGGCCCGGCTTCGTGGAGAGTCATTCACCCCGTAAGTCATTCGCAAATGCGCTAATTACATTAACGTGCTGAGAGCTGCTGGTTAGTTGTAGTTAGCACGATACATAGTGGTGTCAATGTCGCAAATTCACCGTGTATCGGCGAACAATCGTCGGTACGACGAGTACGAGATTGCCAATGTCGCGTCCAATGCCTCGGTCTATGGTCGTTTGATGCCTAGACAGCAACGCCTGAGAGGAGGGGGGAGAGTGGGGAGTGCATTAAACGTCTCGAAATGGTATTAATGTTGCAGTGCGATCGGTCCTCGTATATATCACCGCGTGCAGAAAGTGGCACACGAAGACATAGACGAAGCAAAAGAAACCCATTGAGAGTGAGATCGATCTAATATGACAAAGTTTGATGGGTTAATGGTGGACTTCTTGTTAGTTGTGCCACGTTTGTTCCCCGCTTGGTGATGACGCTTTCCCCGCATTTGCCATGGTAAAGCTTGGCGCTCAGGCGAGCCCTACATCTAGGGCCGACTGGAAGTGCCCTATGGGGAATGTCTCAAGCATCAATCATCTCTCCAAATTGGTAGGGTGCAGACAGGACGAGTTGGTGATCATTGCCACTGAACGATCACGCGTGGTGCTTGAGGTGTTGTAAATACAGCTCTGCAAATTGCTCCAAACTATGAAGCTATGGGAGTTTTGAGTCATGGCTATCGTGATTGTGTGATCATTACTCTAACGTTTTACCATCATGACGCGTTCAGTAGCTGGAGTTCACTGATGATGAAACCACAAGATCCATGCGATCCAAACATGGATCATAGACTATAGCCCTTCACCAATTACCATTATCGTGTAGAGAGGTTTATATGTGCTATCAGTAGGAGAAGTACTACCGTTTGTTCTCGGTGGCAACATAATTAATACGAGTGGCATCATCAGGGGGCGCGTCACGCGCGTAGAAGATATCTCCAGTGTTGAAGTGCAATGGGTGAGAGATTGAGGTGGCTGGATACCGAAATTGAGTCATTGAGCATATCAATGATCCCGCTATTTAATTGATTGATCATTTTCCAGAAATCGAGGAAGTTGCCGACATCTTGGTAACCATCGTGATGGAATCTTTTGTTGTCGTGGGGTTGTCCAGTGCTCGCAACCATGAGGTCGCACTTTGTCGACGCTCGCTTTGAGGCCACCTTTTTTCGCTGGGGCAAACGTGCTCGGCATTCGCCCCCTCGTCAGTGAGCGGGCTCTACTGAGTGCCTCTACCGCCTTTTTTCTACGTCGCGCCAGCGCCGCCATCCCCCGTAGCACTAACCCCCTGTCGCTGGCGTCGGATCATCGGACCACCTTCCCCACCCCAACTCCATAACGCCAAACGTGGCGAATGTCGTCGTTCCACCCGCTAAACCTAGTTGAAGACGACAAAAAGGAGGCTGACGCCGAGCACTCCCGCGAGCTCCAGACGGAGCAGGCGATCCAGCTCTACCAGCAGGCGCTCGACCTACACCACCGGGGCGACCTCCAGAAGGCGTACGACACCTATGCGGCAGCGTTTCGGATCGAGATCGTGCTGAACCATTATTTTGAGGAGGAGTCTTTGGTGAGAGGGCTCCAGAACGGCGGTGACAATACTGCGAATGACGACCTCCAATTCCTCCTGCAAAACGTCCGACGGCTTCGCCACCTTTTATTCCGTAATCGGGGGATGTTATTCCTCGATATCCTTCGTCATTTCGTTGATCAGCGGGCGCCTGAGCTTCCCAATGAGGCGGATATGCCTAAGCGCCCCCACCGAGGCGGGAAGGGTAAACTGCGAGGAGACTCTGGCGACCGCCTGGTAAAGGAGGAAGGTAAGGAATCTTCAGTGGTACTGGTCGCTTCTAATGATGATGACAAGGACACTAATGATAATGTTGTGGACGTGAAAGAGGAGGTACAAAAGGACAAAGACACTGAAGCCAATGGTGCGACTAATGGCACCACTAATGATGCCAACGATACTCGAGAGGCTGAGGTGAAACAAGAGGATACCAATGGCCACGTTGCTAATAAGGATGATCTGATGGACGTTGATAAGGACGACGACGTTGTTGAAGTTAAGCCTGACCCTGAAGTTAAAACTGAAGCTAGTGGTGATGCCAACGACGTCAAGGCTGACGACGTTGAGGCTGAATCGGTCAAGCCGGACTCGGTCGTTGAACCAATGGAAGTTGACTCTAGCGATGACTATGTCACTGCCGACGAACAAGAGTCGCCTCCGCCTCAAGATCTCGAAATCTATAATGCCATCACTAAGGGTGATTACGGTATTATCCCTCAACTCTGCGAGTCGCCACTGAAAGAGGAAACCGCCGAGAAGTTCCGCCAGATGTTCTATACTGTCATTGACGACTTTTGCATTGCGTTAGTGTACGATGAAGGTGACGAAGACCTCTTGTACACGATGTACGAACTCTACGCCTATCTTCGCGAATGGAGACTTGCTCGTTTTGCATTGGACTACTTACTTAGTGGTCCCACCGAGCTGGATGATGTCATGGGTCTTATTGGCGAAGACCCCGAAGCTGTCGCTGCCCTCACCAGATTGAAAAATTACCTTGAGAAAGCTGATATTAATGATGCTAATATCAAACGCATTGATGCCAAATACCGCTATTTGGACGGCATGAAGTCAGATTTGCAGGAGCTGATCGCCAAGACCCAAAAAGTCGTCGCTAAGACCTGGGTGTACAAGCCTGGTGGTGGCTGTAAAGTCACCGACGTTGCTGCTGATGTCTCCGACCTGTTTGAAGGTATTGATTGGACTACGTTGGTTGACCAGTTCGATGCTGCTACGCGACTGGCACTCATGGATGAACAATTAGTCAAGGAAAAGCGTGGTAAACGAGACGCAGTTGACCTATACTGGCTTCTGGGTACACCTGTGGAACGGGTGAACCTACGAGTAATCGCTGCCGACGACGAACCGGAAATCATTGAGCCAGTAGAAGTCGAACCAAAAGACACGGCTCCTGCTCCCCAAGTGGAAGAACCCCAGCCGGATGTGGTGGAACCTACGGAAGTGGAAGAACCGTTACTGGAACCGATGCGGGCTCTGAAACGGCTTGCTCGTGGTGGTGATCTGGGTACGGAAGCTCCCAACGTGCCGTTACAACCAGAATGGTTTGTTGAGTCAACTGAGTTTTTCCGCAAATTCTCGGCTGTAACCAGTACTGAAACCGGAGTCCATGTTGCCGAGTGGGTCGTCAATGTTGACCAACTGCCCGCGTACGTTGCTGGCTTCCTCCACGCGTTGAACAAGTGGACGGCCAACTTATCCACCACCCTTCTCAATAGTGATAAACTGGCTCGCACCGCTGACCGCACCAAGTTGCTTGACGTGATCTCCGGTTTCGCTCTGTCAAAAGAGCAATCTACTAGACAAGTACCTTTCCTCACAACTGAAGGGGTAAACGAAGTGGTGGTTAAGATCAACGATAAGAGAATGCATTATCTCGATGCCAAAATGACGATGGTCGCATACCTTTTGGGACAACCAGCAATCGAGTACAAGTGGTCGCCAAAGCTTTACGAGATAGTGGAAAAATGGGTGATTCAATTAAACAGCCACTTGTACGAAGGTGCTTCTCGTTTACAACTCGAATCAATGATTGGTATCTACGAATTGTTGGTCAACAGCTTTCTTGAGCGGAAACCAAACCAGGTGGACTCATCAGCGGCCGGACGCAGATTATGGGTATCGACACTTGAGTTGCGAGACCTCACGGATCGGTGGGAAGCGAAACTCGAGCAAACGCTTGATTCATCAACAGATCCCGAATTCTACCAGCGGTTTGCCTGGGCACGTATTCATCGGTACAAGTGTCCCAACATCTACGCTCCCGACAACGCGTTCGTGCTTAAGCTGGTGGTGGAAGACTTGCAAAATGCCACCACACGGATCTCGGTCACCTACCCTAATTACCCGCTGATCCCACTGTTGCTGCCTGAAGCCGTCGACGCCGAAGCCACCACACTCAGTGTGCTTGCAATGTTCACCAAAATCCTCGCCCATGATGGCGGCGAGCTGGTGGAGCTTCTTGAGCGGATATTGATAAAGCTGAGCGACGACGACGACGACCAGACCATCGCTGCCATTCGCCAGTTTTTAGAACGGCTGCTGATCGACATGACGATGCTGTTGTGGGGCATTCTTTTCGGGGTCTACGGCGACCAAGGTGAACGACTCGAGCGAGGATTTGCTCAATTTGCCGCGGCAGTGGTCGCCTACCTTGACGACGCTAATGCTCGCCACGACCCGCGTTCGGTGATCACCGTTATCGGCAGCTTAGGCACAACGTTGGTGCAATTGTTCAAGTACTTGCTTCCACGGCTGTGGCAGCTCATGACGCTGGCGTCGGAGGAAGTAGCCCGCCACACGCTTAGGTTGTTTGAATGGGTGTACATGTTTTCCATCCACGAAGAAGCGCTGATCTACAGTCTGAGAGTACACTCAGTGGAGACCCAGCTGACGAAGAGCTTTAAGGCATTGAAAGATGTGTTGGTCAATTTGGCGACGGCAGTGGTGGTGTTTGCTCCGCAAAAGGTCCAGATCGAGATGTACCTGATGCTTCACGATTTGTTAGGGCTGAGACGTCTCTGTCTGGCCGCCCTGGGCGTGTTTTTAGCCGTGGGCCAACAGTTATTATCCGGTGACCCCAACTCGCGCTTCCAAGTGGCTCAGATCATCCACTGTCGCTACCACTACCTGGTGGCGATTGAAGGCAAAGCACCCAAGTCCCACGACACCGAAATAGCGACGCTGAAAGTGCTTGATCGCGGTACCTGTTTGGAGTTAGCTCGCGTGATCCTCCCGCAATGCTTCGCTCGTAACTCGTTGATTCATCCGCCGAAGCATGAAATGAGAAACATCATCGACGACTTCTATCAAGTGCTTGGCAAACCCGAGTTTGAAAAATCGCGGGCGTTAGCGAAGAACCAAGCAATGCTCGATTGGTTTTTGGACTATACTCGTCTCACTCCTCACGTGCTCAAAATGGCGATGTATTGCCAATGGCAACCGTTAGAGTTTGTCACCGTCGAGGATAACCACTCGGAAGTACTGCATTTGGGTCTCTACTACTGTCAAGCAGCAGCAATGTTTGCCCAGTACAAAATCAAGAAAAAGAGTATGCAACTGCGCATTGTCGACTTGGAAACTATCATTGACCTCTTGAGGTACGACTTGGTGTATAACCCGACCCGGTTTGAGTCGTGGATGCTTCTCGGTCAGGCCTATGGGTTTCTTGTCGAGGATGACGTCATTTGGACGGCTGATAAACTCAATACACCCGAACGGAAAGAGGTCACTGCCAACTTACAACGTAAGCTGCTTATCGCGTATTTCATGGCGATTAATTTGATCAGCCATAGCCCTAAGATGGAGCAGAGCGCAGTAATTGCACAGCTCACGCTGGGGCTCGCAAAGGAGTTGTACCTGGCGGTGAAAGTACCCATGGACGGTTTAGCGTTTAAAGTGTTGGAAAAGCCTCGGTTTATCAACACGTTCAACAAACCACCCGAATTCATCACGGAGCTGGAACGGATGCTGGCGCCGCCGAAGATGCTCTTGAAAATCATCCAACAATTGCTTCAATTGGCAGTGCAAGCCGACGACCAGGAATGGGAACACTATTACTACTTGGCTAAAGTGCAGAAGCTGTTGGATAAGCCGACTCAGTTGGTGCTTGAAACCATCCGCCAGGGAAGTCAGTTGGCCCACGAAGACAGTCAGGGCGGTGGTGACCGTATTGTCGAGCCTCACTACCAGCTTGTGGTCACGTTATACAAGTACGTGAAGGCAGATAAGCTCAGCATTGAAGAGGCGGAGAAGTGGTTAGCTCAAGACGAAGTTGTCGGCCAAGTGATCACGGGGATTGTTGACGAGCCTAAACCAAGAAGAGGTGGTCGCCGGAAAGTGGTCAGAGAAGAAAAGGCTGAGGGCAAACTGGAGGAAAAAGCCGAGGACAAAGTTGAGGTTCAACCTGAAGAAAACGCCGAGGATAAATCTGAGGAAAAGGTTGAGGACAAGCGTGAGGTTACACCAGAGGAAAATGATGAGGACAAGTCTGAGGAGAAGCCTGAAGACTCTAATAAAGGAGACGTGGCTAAAACCAAACGGGAGGCTACTCCAGAGATCATCGAGATTGATCTGACTGACCCGACTCCTACAGTTAGTCCGCAGAAGATCAAAGATGAAGCTAATAATGACGATGACGACATTATCGAAGTGGATGCCAATCACCAACGCATTACCCCTAAACTGTCTACCTCACCAGAGAAGGTAACCGCTTCACCAGAGAAAGTAACTGCTGTGGAAAAACCTACCGAGACTGTCCAGAATGGTGAGACGAAGAATGATGGCACAGCCACTACAAGCAATGACGCCACTGTCATCACCACCACCACTAAGGATACTGCCAAACAGACATTCTACCGCAAGATCGTCCAGGCGTTGAAGCTTCTTGAAACTTACGACAAGCTCAACTGGCATCACCGTCCCAAGTACCGCCAAGCGCAAGTGTTGTTTGACGAGCTTGACGATGCGGTGGGGGCACTCAAGCCTCTCGGTCTGCTTACGTCGGGGAAGCTGTTGATGAACATCTGGAAGCCTGAGTTCGAACGGGGTGGTAAACACTTCTACTACACGTACGAGTACGCCATGCTCTACGTGCGGTTGTTGACGGCCACCAAAGATCTCCAGCAGCTCTCAGTATTGTTCCCGCGGTTGAAGAAGCTGAATGCGACGATGATCAACTTGTACGACGCCTGGGACTTGGTGTGCCAGCTGTTCAACGCGGTGTTGAGAGAGGCGTTTGGGTTCGAGTTGCGCGACAACAGCTACACTGAGGCGTGGCTCATGAAGCTTCTGCCGACGGAGATCGGTCCCAAGAGTGCTAAGCTCATCGAAAAGCTTTTACAGGACGGGATCCCGAAGGAGTTGGAGGAGGTGTTGTTACTTTTGAGTCACATCTTTGAGATGAAAAAGTTGAATAACGGGTTTGGTCCCACCAGTGTCATTGACGACACCATTGCCATGCTCTTCCTCAAGTGCTGGGAATGGTTTGAGCCGCAAGCACCGAAGCCTGAATCCAGCGAGCCGCCGAAACGGATGGCTAAAAAGGAGCTTTACCCCGTGGCTTCCGAGTTGGCGAAGCAATTGAAGCCAAAGATCGACGAAATCAAGCCGAATGTCGACTTGACCAAGTGGGTGAAGACTCAGTTGCCGTTGCGGAAGGCGGAGCGGGAAGAACGGGAACGGGTCGAAGCCGAAAGGAGGGCGCGGTTGGAAGCGGAAGTGAAGCGGAGAGAGGAAGAAGCTGAAGCCCGAATGCAGATGTGTGAGGGAGCGAGACGACAAGCCGAGGCGGAAGCGCGGCTCCAGGCGGAAGCCATGGCCCAGGCCGAGCGTGACAGCCAGCTCGTGTCACTCCAAGCCAGCGGGTTTGGCCAGCTGCGGCTCCAACTTAATACTGGCCACCCTCCCCAACCGATGGTGGCAGCTGCGGCTCCCAGCAAACGACCCGCTGACGACTCAGATGGTAGTCTGGAGGCGAAGCGTATTTGCCTCGACACCCCGTCTCCCCCTGCCACCGGTGGACAATAATATTTTCGAGTGATGATTAATATAAATAGAGTTTTTTGATCTAATGCACGTGCCTTGAGAGAAGCTTTTGAGGTCTGCGGGGTACAGTGGTGGCTAGTCAATACTAATATAGTTAAGCAGGGGAGCGTTGGCGATCACCTGTGGAATTAGGCGACCGCCATGTGAGATTTCGCGACAGTACCACCCAACAATACTAAAAGGCGAAACCCAACTCCTGGCGACAGCAACGGGGTCCAAGATTGTGATCGATATCTGCATTTGCTTCCAGTGGATAGGTTTATAAATCCGACTAGCCCTCCCTCAGTGTAACTCTGATGGCACGTACCGTCACTCGTCTCGGAGTCACCCCGCACTAGCATGTGCACGGGCAATTGATATGAACAAAGGCAAAAGCTTCTGAAGATGCAATAGCTCAAAAACCTGTTGTTATGAAAGTGTTATACCTTGGAGGCTTCCTTCAGAACGCCGAGCGGCTCCGGAAGCGGCTGCAACCGCTTGAAGCGGCCATGGCGCGTCTAGGCTACGAGCTCGACTACGTGAGTCCGCCCCTCACCATTGCCCTGAAAGAAGGCGTGTTTACCAGTCTTGGGCGCACCGACAAGGAGAAAGAGGCCAAGTGGCAGCTGATCACCGCCCGGGGACTCAACCGGTGCTGGTGGTACTACGTGCCGGGAGCCAAGACCCAGGGAGCAGGCTTGGAGGAGAGCATGGCCTATATCGTCGACTATATCAAAAAGAACGGGCCCTACGTGGGCATCATGGGCTTCAGCCAAGGGAGCTCGGTGGCGGCGATGCTCACCTGCTACTTGCCGCGAGCGCTCCCCGACTTCACTCCCTTCAGGTTCGCTGTGTGTATTCTGGGGTTCAAGCTTGGCCCCGAGTTTGCCCACTACTTTGAGGGCAGTCAGACGGTACCGACGAAAGTGGTGGTGGTGTACGGCACCATGGACTTCGTGGTGCCGGCGGCAGGCACCCAGGGTCTCTGCAAGCTCTTCCCGGGAGCCACCGAGGTGTCTTGGCGAGGCGGCCACGACGTGCCTCAGGCCACCGACATCATCGATCAGGTGGTCAGTAGAGTCGGTAGTGCCGACACCAAGTTGTGAAGCCTAGGTCGCTAGAAACCTGGAAAAAAAACATGGGCGAAGGGATCGGCTTAGGATCATTGTAGCCTGATTTATGGGGGCGTGCGCCCTCGCCTAAATAGGAAACATTATACGATTACGTAAGGGCAAGGCTAATTCGGACATAATTTAGCGGCGACGAGCATGAGCGATAACTTCCATGCGAGCCCTGACAGCCGCCACTGACAGCGTAGGTAGGTTGGGTGCCAGCCGTTCGCTGGAATTCCCTATCCAGCCCCCGCAGCTTGCGGGCTCGGGCGGACACTAAATTGCCCCTGAGACACAGACACCTTTTAGTCGCTCGCCTAGCGCCACTAGAGCGCTAACGGCGCCAAGCTTTAAACAGGCTTTTAGACATTAGATCATCTTGGGGATCAGGGGGAAAAGCCGCTCTAAGCCGCGCTCAAGGAAAACATCGGTGCTGCAACAGACTTCTACAGTAGGGCTAGCGGTGTGGGGTGAGTAGGCCAAATTCCGTTCGCCCGCAGGGCGATCCCCGGCTGATACGACACCTGAAATGCCGGCGAGGAATGTCGGTGGTGGGCGGGTGCTTTTACGGAGGACGTCTCGGCGTTGTCGGCGGTGAAACCCGCCGTAAGTCAGCGTTATCGCCCAGTGGCCACAGGAAGTTATTTTCCGCAGCGCGGCATCGCTCGCAGCAGCGAAAAGATAGCGACATACGCACGCCCCGTGGGCGATACCCTGGGGGGTTAGGCGCCGCAGGCGCTCACTGGTGATGGCCCGCTGCGGCGCCGTCCACCAGATATAGGGATAATATTATTGGGCCGGGTGACGTATACCAGCGTAGGCGACGACGATGAACAGCCGCTTTGGTTTTTAGGGGTGTCACCGCGCCATAATTATGTCAACGCAAGCATTACCAGGGGCGCCACCAGCGCTGGGATGGGCGCTTGCCGGCGCTCGAGGGCGCCGCGATACGAATTGCTAGCATGGGTAGAGGGATGCCTAGAGTCTAGATCGGGGCACACCTCGTATCGACGACAAAATAGGCTATAATTGCCCTCAGTTCCAGCGAGCATTTTTTCCAGCATTCTCCCAGCGTAAACGGCAACCTGAGCACTGAGACATTCCCCGAGGGGGATTGGCGGCGACAATGGCCCGGCGGTTTGGGGGTGCCGTCACCGCCACCGCAGGCAGCGCCGCCGCGGTGAAATGTGCCAGGCACGATGAGGAAACTGGGAGCGCCGGGCGCAGGACGAGCGCAGCGGGGCGCATGAATTTTAACACGATTTAGGACAGGCAACCACAACTGCTCGAGCGCCCGCAGCGGCGGCTATCTGGAGGCGCCCCATTAGCGCTGCTAGGCGCGTGTTCGTCATAGGGCGACACGAGGTGTCTGCAGCGCCATTCTTAGAGACAATAGCGCTGACTTAATGGGGCCTAATCTCATATGGGGCTGTCGTGGTTGGTTGGTCGCTCAATAGTCACCAGGCAGGGCGTGGCGGGGCGCGCCGCCATTGTCCTGATAATTATGGGACTATCTCGCCATTGTCCTCGTCCTGTTTCACCTGCTCGGAGGTCTAACTATATGGGGAAAGAATCAGATCTACGGAAGAGAAAGCAGATCGTTGGCCGTGGATCGCCCTAGCGCCGGCTCTATCCCCTCAGCGCCGGGCGCCAGGGTAGCGCCGACGATAGCGCTAACTGCGGTAGTTGTGAAAACGCTTATTTCCCCATATTTGTGGTGCGAGGTCACGCTACCCGGTGTGCTTCCGTCACGCGCCATTGTTGGATAGGCATCGTATTATAGGAGTCGCCATTGTGGCCCGGTGTCTGTCTGGGGCTGGGGTTCCGCCTTTCCTTAGTGCACCAACCTCCGTCCTGATGAGCGCGCACCACGCCGGCGCACCCCCATGCTTCGCGCCTCCCCCAAGCCCGAGGACGACGACAAGAAGCCCGAGGTTGTGGCGTTTCTGCGCCGGGACACCGCCCGCCAGCGACCCAAGCAGGGGATGCTGGTGTACCTGGCCGCCGCCGCCACCACCGAGGGCCCCGCGTGGTTGACCCGGTCGCACATCGCCACCAAGTACGAGGCCTACGCCACGACGAAGCCGCCGCGGGCGCTGGTGGTGGCGCCCGACTACGGCGCCTACGGTGGCAACGCCAGCGACGGCGCCGGCGCCCGGCGCCCGTTGAAACTACTGCGGCAGGCGCTCTACTGGCACACCCAGGGGCGCGGGCGCGACCCCGACGCCGTCGACGACGTCCTCAACGGCTACAACCCTCAGGCAGCCCCGGCGGACTACTACCACCCGCGAGAACAGCGCCAGACCTACCACACGTTCAAGTCCCACATCCTGAACCGCGAGGACCGCGACATCAATCTGATCGTGCGCCAGCACTATAACCAGCGCACGAAAGTGCTGAAAATCCAGGGCTCGCGAACCAAGCTGCCGATATACCGGTTGCGGACGTTTAACAATGTCATCAAGTATATGCTTCTAGGCAATTTCGTCAAGCGGCGCCCCGACGCGCCGCTCACGTTTTTGGACTTGTGTTGCGGCAAAGGGGGCGACTTATTCAAATGCGAATTCGTGGGCGTCGACCAGTATATAGGCGTCGACATCTCCGACCAGCTGGTGCACGAGGCATTCCACCGGTACTCGCAGCAGAAGGCGCGGTTCAAGCCGGGCCCGCACAGCCAGCGCGACCCGCGACGGTACAATTTTGAAGCGTGTTTTGCTACGGGGGACTTGTTTTCAGTGGAGCTCCCCCAGATCCTCGAGCCGAATTTTCCCGGGATCATGGACAAGGTGTTCCCCGTCGACGCCGTGCTGATCCAGTTCCTGCTCCACTACTCGTTTGAGACGGAGGAGAAGGTGCGCCAGCTTCTCGTCAACGTGCTGCGCTCGTTGCGGCCCGGGGGCACGTTTGTGGGGACTATCCCATCGCTGGACTTCATCCGCGATAAGATCGTCCGCAAGGATTTCCAGGTGAACGAGCTGAGCGATCGGGTTAAATTTGGTAACGACATCTATAGCGTGACGTTTGATAACCACCCGCCCGTTGACGGGGTGTTTCGGCCGCCGTTTGGAAATCGGTACGACTATTTCTTACAGGACGCCGTCGATAACGTCCCCGAGTACGTGGTGCCGTTTGAGACGTTGCGGGCATTGTGCGAGGAGTACGGGCTCGTGCTCAAGTACAAGAAGAACTTCTTGGAGATGTTTGCCGCTGAGATTCCCAAGTACTTCTCCAAGTTGAACCGCAACTTGATCGAAGGGTTGCAGCGCGACGACGGCAAGTACGGTGTCGAAGGGCTGATGAAGGAGGCGGTGGCATTTTACTTAGCATTTGCCTTTGAAAAGGTGGGGTAAACTATATCATATAATCACATAATCTAGAGTTTCGACAATTTTGCATACTTTTAGAAAATTGTATTGAGACACTATCACTCACGAAACAAGTCATTAAAGAATTTAAAAGGACTGCTAGATGGACGAAATTAATTGAACTAGTCTTATAGTACCTTACTTTACTGGTAGATATTACGTGGTATGTCTTGCTTTGCTGCGCACCTCGTTCTGTTGCCTCGTCATTGATCCCACTTTGATGATTCGTCCCACGATTGCCTCCCAAAACTAAACCCAAAATTAGAGATTGAATGAAACGAAACTCGGCACTTTATTGACTGCCTTAACGAATCGTATTGCTTAGCTAAACCTCGATAGTTCTGCCTCTAGACCTCGTTTTACACTAAATTTCGTCGCGTCGCTTAAGGTCGCCTCGAGTCGCGCAGAGTACAGCCAAAACAAACCACCGCCAATACGAAGTCTCGTTGCTACCACCCCCTCAGATACACCCTAAGCCATCGCTGACCTGAAGATTGGCTGACATAAATACACCACTCGCCCTGCGCAATCGTGCTGTCAACGTTGCCGCCAGACAAAGAGCACCTGCATGCTCGCTACGCTGTAGGGAGGCAATTAGACGATAAAATATTTGCGACGATTTCCGCCTCGCTTAATCACCCTCAAAGTGGGATATGGCACTGGTAAGCGAGATCACAGCCGTTGGCACCGTTGCCGATGGTGCAAGCGATGCCGTCGTGGGGAAAAGCCGGCAGCGTATCGGTAGATAGACGATGAGTCGTGGCTAACTGAGATCGCCGGTGTCGCTTGAGATTGCCCAATTTTGAAGGGTACGGAATTTTCATGAGCAGTGTATGACGATGCCAAGGCGAAGCTGCGGTTCCGCTGGAGTGTAAAATAACTTGATATTGACCCTTGGTGGCTTGTCTCGTAGTTTCGTATTTTTTGAAGAAAATCCAGCCTTCCGATCTTGGAATATTCAGCGCAATTGCGTATCCGAGTCTGATACTAGATTGATCAAATAAGTGGAAGATCAACTGGGCTTGTGTGTATGATTTTTAAATTAGTTTGCTCGGTTCGCTCTTGGGGTGGATCCTTCATTGGGTAATTGACGACAACTTAATAAATCACATAGAGGTCGACATATACTTATGGAACGGAGTTGCTCTACCTCAACTTTGTGAAACGACACACAAAAAATTGATTGGTGTAGCTGAGAAGGTTTGATATGGCCTCAAAGTATACTCAACTGGTTACACATATCATAGTTGGGAAAAACCTCAATTGCTTATAGTCCACGGGTATGTCATCTCGCCGCCCCCAAATTAGTGTAGTGGATCAAATAGATGGATTAAACCTTCATTAGTGATTTCGGAATTTTTAGCCCCAATTTGGCGGCGATGTTTTGGTCGAATGCACCTTTTGTTCATCATCGTGACAAAACGTCGATAGCAGTTTGAAACACGAGGCGACGGGGGCAGCCGGAAACCTAACGTCAGCAGTAGTATCCACTTGAAACTAACCTTTTTCACGACCATCTGTTTTTATTTCCCCCATTAGTCTCCGTAAGAGGTCATTTAGGTTCACTCAGGTCGACATGCAACAACCACCACCACGGCAAAACATTGCTCACTCTGGTCTTGCTGTTGCCAAAATGTGAACAATCACCTTTTAGGGCTTTTTATCACATTGACATTGGTCAGACGATTGTTGGCAATTAGTAATTGGGGGCACCCATAAGAAATTGATCACGAGGTAGTGAAGTTTAAGCGAGGGCGATGGCGATCATCATCAAACTAAAACCATAGGCGACACCCCAGTAATAACAAACACGGAAGCCGCTTTGTTTGGATTAGTAGCGGATTAGCCGGCGGCTACAGAGGACGAATTTTCTTGTGCCGCTTCAACCCGGCACGTCGTAGCATACTCCCGCAACGGCGAATCTAGCACAAAACCCAAGAACATTCTACCGAGGATTTCAAGGCGTCGCCGAGATGAGGCCGGGGCCGATGAGCATTCTCTCGCGATGCCGCTACGAGGGTAATTCCGTCTCAAACGGGTAATGCTTCGTTGCGCTTTCGGGGCGCCAGCATCGCCGGACCCAGACGTAGGTACCAAGGGGCGAGAGCTCGGTTAGCGTCCCCGCCAGCGCAGCAATGTAAATAGAAAATTACCAACGATGACCCTTAGACCCACTAGTGATGACCTTCGTCTATTACAAGTTACATCCATCTGTTTACAGGGACTAGCTCTGCAGAGAATATCTGTCAAGGCTAGCCCTTTGCTCTGCTACCGGAAGTCCATTCCCGCAGGGTTCGGGGCCAGGCCCACCGCATCAGGCAAGACTAGCGGCAACTTTTGCTACATTCCTCGTACACCGCTGTCGCCGAGCCCGCCCACAGACACCGAGAAAAATACGGGAAAATATCGTGCTGGCCAGGCATATTCGCTCGGAATGAGTGACCGTCGAGAACAAAATTCTGCTCAAGGTCACGGCATCCCCAGGACGAGACACCACACCGACGCCTGCCTCGTAATTGCCAGGGCCGACGATAGCGGTCGCGAGGCCACTATTTGGACCACAAACGAATTACCGCAGTGCAGCGGGGAGTTTTCCGCGGACAGAGCCGCCTAACCCACGTCAATTTTTGTCCCAGGTCCCCAGGCAGGATTAGCTAGCTAAAGTAGAGGCCACAAACCACTAGCGACTCCTGCCTGAAGAACTAGCTTAGATAACTATACTTTCTTCTAGTCGCGACCCGCGTACACCTCGCTAACGCCACGCCCGCGGCAGCTAGGGTCCAGCCCGCATTCGGGGGCATTCAGCCGTCCCATCGCCCCAACAATAAACACCCGTGCTGCAACGGGCCAGGAATTCTGCTTTTTGCCAGAGATGCCTAACCCTACAAGCAGCAGTGTTCACCACCTGGAGTCATTGTGCGGGTGCCCGTGCCCACTGGAGCAGCGTTGGGGGCCCCTGAGGGGTGCTGCCTTCCGGCTCCCTTAGTGAAACAGAGCTTAGCATTGCTATATCAGCTAAAGCAGGTATGAGGCAACTAAATAAAGCCAGTCATTGAAGAATTAAACCAGGGAACATTATTGGTCTTTTAAGGGTAGTTAGCGGCTGGATTTGGCTTTTGGGTTGGTGGGCGAGATGGTCGTTTGGTGGTGTCGTCCTGGTTGGGCGGGTGTTCTACCGAGATGCGATATGGAGAATATTATTTCGCATCTGGCACCACCCCTCGCCCCCGCGAGAAAATATCTCGATGGGGGCGCGAAATTATTTTCTGCCGACTATCCCTCCGATATTATCCCCTGTATCAGCAAAGAATGCCCGTTGGCGCACAAAATAATTCCCCCAGCTCACCGACGTAGCCCTTCCGCTCTACAGAGCCCTCTCCACATACGAAAAAATATAAAATCGGGTGTCTCTGCCGCCCATAAAACCCCCTCGCCCCCCGCCTCTTCGTCACCGATTCGTTTCACCACTCGTATCAGGCCCCGCCATCCCCACATCCACATCTCGCCACCCACACCCCCTACCCGAAATCGGCGCCTCACAAAAAGCATCCCCACCACCGCCACTCGCACGCCATTGTTTCCTTGACCTTCCTTCGTGCGCCGAGTGCTTGTTTGCCGCCGTCTCTTCGCCCCCTACCTCCAGACCACCGCCCCCAGCTCTGCTAAGCGTTATCTGCTTGTGTGCTTATTAAGCATTAGAGCATCCCCCCTGCTAGTGCCTCGCCCGCTGAGCTACTAGCCGTTTTTGGTCTCCGGTCTCCGCCAGCCGCCAATTCCTTCCCTCAGGCGCCCACGCCGCCCACACCCGTGAAACAGCCCGCCATCGTGTCCGCAGTGATCCTCCCTCCCCCTTTGGCGGCGTCAGCAATCTATGGCATGTCAAAGTCCACCTCCACCTCGCCCAAACTGGATAAGGTGTCGATAAACTCTATTCTCAACGCTGGCGCCGCTGCCGCTGCCCCCGCCGATGTCCCCCCGTCCCAAGCGCCGTTGTCGCTGCCGGCGCCGCTGCTGTCGCTGCCGCACGCGCCGCCCCTGGCGCTGCTGCCGCAGCGGTTGCCCCCGATTACTAACTCGCCCGGTACCACTTCTAGCGCCGCTGGCGCTGGCGCTCCCGTCTCGGCGGCGCCAGCAGTCCCGCCCGTAGTGGCGCCCCGTCTCGGCGCCCCCCTTACCGCTACCGCGGCGGTGCCGTCGATGGCGATGCCCCCAATGTACCCGCAAAGCCAACGCCAGGCGCCGCCATTCACGGCGCCATTGGCGCCTGCGCTCCCTCCTCAAGGGGCCCCGCTCATGGCCCCAGGTGCTGCTCCTATGGCCTCTCATGGCGCCGCTGGTGGCGCCCCCGGCACTATCGGCCAAATGGGCGCTCCCGGAGCGCTGCCCGCTCACCACATGCCGCAACCGCCATTAGTATACTACCCGATGGCGGCGGCGCCGCCTCAGTACCCGTACCCGATGGTGCCGGGCGCCCCTGGCGCTCCTGGCGGCGACCCTCACGACTACGCTGCCCACGAAGCCCGGCGCGGCCGGCGCTACCGGCGCCGGTACCTGGAGATCGTCCGCCTCTATCTGTGCCTGTTCCCCGGCTGCGACAAGCTGTACGGGTCGCTCAACCATCTTAACACCCACATCGTCACCAAGAAGCACGGCCACCGCAAGCTGAAGGCCGACTTCCAGAATAAGGACGAGCGCTCCGGGGCGCTGGCGCCGGTAGTCAGCGCTGCCGACGCCGCCTACAGTTCCGGCAACTACTGGTACGGCGCCCGCCCCGGGTACGTCCCCGAGCAGGCGGTGCTCGCTGCCCACGCGGCTGCTGGCCAGCCTGCGCCTCCCGGTTACATGTTTCCGGGAGCCTACGGACAGCCGGCGCCGGCGGCGCACCCGTTCCAACGCGGGGCGCCCATCTACTACGCTCCCGTCGGGGCGCCGATGGTGGCGCCGCCGGCGGTGGCCAACCCTGGCGCCAGCGGCGCTCCCCCGGTGGCGCCGCCGCCAACACTGGTGCCGCCACCACCCCACGCGCCCCTGGCGACCCACCTGCCGGCGCAGCCCGAGAGCGCCCGCCTGGCCCACGCCACGCCCTGAGCCACCTCCTCTTGTCATTGCTGTCTCATATCATTGCATGTATTATTAAGGTCCCGTCGCTGGCTTGTCTGCTTGCATGCCCTGCTTATAGTCCCTTGAAACAAGGCCTGTAACCAGCGCTATATCGTATCCCATAGATTCTAATACAAACCGTTAAACAAACCCTGGTAAAGAAACTCTATTTCGACTGTTATCTACGCCAATCCCTTTTCTTTTCAGTGGTAATTGTGGTGGCAAATGCTCCGAGCTTAAATTTGAACAATAGCCCATGTCTGGGAATTAGCCCATTGAAAACGCGCCCTGTGCTTATGCGGATGCCAGGGCTGCATAACCGAGCATCTTAGTTTTAAGCTACGATTGAGGGGGTGAAATTCGAAACCACCCACATTATACATGTAAACTAGGGGGAGCAAAAAGCGGAGTTCCTCGCTAAGCAGGACTAAAACACCTGACTAAATTACCCGAGGTGATATCTCCCCCACGATGACTAAGGAATATGTAGTTACTTTTTTCCGGGAGTGGGGAAACCGCAACACGGGAGGCCGGACGACATCCTAACCCTAACCGTCGTCGACATACGTAGCAGCGGTAAACAGCAACGGTTGAGAGACCCAATTGCCTTACCCGCTTGAGTGATGACTCAGCGCCAACGGCGCGTCGGCAGCACCGGAAAAATACGCCGGTTTGACGTGCTAAATTCGGCAACGCTCGCCCACAAAGATACCCCCGCCGGCAGCGCCCTGTGGTGCCAGTCGAGGCAGGCGGAAATGCCGCTGCCACGCTGAAACGCTCAATTCACAGTAACCCTAATACCTCATCTTAAGGGTCTCCAATCCCCTCGTAAAGAGTCATCGTAGCCACAGGTCCCACTTACGAGACCGGTTACGGTACTTTCGTAACCTCGCTTCTAAGCCTCAGAAGACTAACATGGCACCCCGGTAATTATTTTGTGGCGGTCGCTATCGGTCCACGGCATTTGTGCCTCGACTTTATCAGCACGGCACCATGTACTAGTGGGGGGTCAATGGTGGGGTGGGGGTAGAACTGTGAATTACCGCTAAGCCTCACGGGAACAACGACTAAGCCCATTTTAATTTTAATTTATCCGAAGGCATTAGCCTCCGCAAGTGGCAGGGCCTAGCATCGCGTCAATCTGTACCCGGATTTCTGTCAAACCTGTAAGTAGCGTGCACAGGATTTTCCGCCGCGGGCCATCGCTGAGGTAAGCACACACCGCGAGAGCCCACGATCGCGACCACGTCATGAGTGCCGAGGGCCTTCCCCCAGGGTCTCCGCCACCACCAGCGGCCGATACCTCCCAAACTGAGGTTCCAAAAACTAATGAAGGCCAATTAAATCATACTACCCCGAAAGACGAAACAGATCAGACGATTCTGACGGGTACAGCCGCTAATGCTGCCACCGCCTCACCAGAACCAGAGATCAAGCCACGGGAGTCTCCTGAGCCTGAAGCCAAATCTGAAGCATCACCAGAGCCAGAAGCTAAACCGAAGAAGCGGCTCACGTTACAGGAACGGCTAGCACTTGCCGCTAAGACCAGGGCTAAGGCAAAGACAGACGGTAAGGATTCTTCAGCCAATAAAGAAGCCAAGGAGGTTAGGGAGACTGATGCGCTGCCACTGCCGTCGCCACTGCCGTCGCCTGCACCCACCACACTGGTACCTACCCTCCCCAACTCTCAATTAATGGCTCAATTGGCAGAGGCGAAAAAGCGGATTGCCGAGCTCGAATCGGCATCACAATCGTCTAAACAATGGGAGGCGAAATTGAAGGCTAAGGACGAACAGATCGATGCGCTTATGGCCGAGGGACAAGCGTTATCGAAGAAGGAATTGAAACTTAACGAAACTATAAAAAAGCTTCGAGTTGAGGCACGTGACCATAACCAAATAGTCGAGGATCTTCAGGCGAAACTGGACGACGCTTTGACGCAATTGGCAGCATTGGAAGACGTGTTGAAAGTCCACAAATTTACTAGCATCGACGACCTCATCTCCGCCTACACTCAGCAACTGGTGACGGTAGCTGAGCTCACTGCCACCACTGATAATGCGTCCCAATGGCAGACTAAACACCGCGAACTTCAAGCCGTTTACGACGAAGAGACTGCTGCTCACCGCCAAAAGGCAGCGGCGCTTGAAAACGCTCGTTTAGACGCCGATATGGCTCGCCAACAACACCAAAGCGAGCTCAAACAGCGTGATTATCGCATTGCTGAATTGCAACAACAAGTAGAGCTGGCTAAGCGTGAACAGCAGGTGGAAATCAGTCGCCTCGAACTGAAGATCGAGGCGTTACGTCTGGCTAGCGAACAGAGTGATCCCGTGGTTGCAGAGAACGCCAAGCTCGCATCGTTACAAGCACAATACGACGCCGCTCAGGAGAACTGGAAGCTTTTAGAACTGAGGCTTTTGGCGAAGATTGATCATATCACTCAAGAGCATGACGCTTTAGTGAAATCTAAAGCTAAAGTGGTAGCCGAACTTAAGCACGCTAATGTATCAATTGCTGAATCAGCTGAACGTCAACGTGAAGCGGAATCTCAAGTGCACCTGCTACAACGTCAAGTTAGTCAGCTTGAATCAAAACTTAATGATCGCAACGAGGAAGTGGCTGAGACGAAACGTAAATTGGAACGTGTGCAACAGCTCCACGCTCAAGATCGTAAGGAGTTGGCACTGAAACTCGAACAGGCTGAAGAGAAAACGAAGCATGCCGTCGCTGCTGCTGCCACTGCCACTTCGGGAGCCCCTAATGCATTCACTCACCAGCCATCAATTGAAGATAGCTTTGCGCCCATGCCCTCTCTCGATGGGGTCGATGCTATGCCTCCGCCTGAGTCTCCGGAGATCGGGAGACTGGTCCCCATCACTCCTGACGACGAGTTTGACCTGTTTTCTCGCCGGTCGCTGGTGCCGATGGCCGAAGACGAGCACGTTCCTCGTGGTGGCCACGCCCATATTCAAATGATTAATAAAATGGCGCTGCTGATTCGTCAATTGGAGGTGGAATTAGCCACTTTAAAAGATGATAACGCTCGTCTTGCACAAGAGAAGGACGCAGTGCTGCTTCAACTCCTTGACCTGCTTAAACAGAACCAATCAGAAGAAAACCCAACTAATCGCATTGCCGCTTTGGAAGATGAAGTGGCCAAGATGAAGTCGAAGGAGTTGACGCTATTGGAAGTGCTTGGAGAGAAGACGGAACAAGTGGAAGAGCTTCGCGCCGACATCGTCGACCTCAAGGAGTTGTGCAAGTTGCAAGTGCAACAAATGATCGAATTGCAAGAGAAGAAGTAAGATGTGAATCCTCATTCGTAACGTCGTGATGACGCCAACTTTAAGCCTTACTTCGAAGTAGCGGTGACAGAGAATTCATTAGCGAGTGGAAAGGGCTCGGAAGTTGGCTGTCGAATGCATTTCATCGGTTTGGTTATCTTTTGAAAAGTCTGAGCACAGTAATGTCGCGATGATTTACCATTATTAGCATCACTTACCGCGGGTATAACTTAAGCGAATACGTAATAACCTTAAGTAATGACAGAAAACCAATTACAACTAGCAGATAAATCAATCCCACCTGACAGTCTAATGACTTCAACAATCAAAGTATATTTTTTCCCACCAGCGCTGGTAGGGGCTTAGACGTGATAGCCGATCGCTGTCCGTATGACACAAGATCGCACCATCAGTGGCTCACAAGAGTCTGCCTAGACCACAAGATCCACTCAATTACATGCCCTGACACATTGACGTACAAGATTTTAATTCGCTTTTTCCAATCAAATTCACGCCTATTTTGGCGCAGGGTGGTTCGCATTAATGGTATGTACGGCCATACATGCACAATAGCCATTGAAGCAAGATCAGACCTGAGGCGATAACTCTTGGTACGTATAACACCGGGTACGTATTTCAAGAGGGGGTGTTATCAATGGAACGAAAAGTCGTGTAGATTAAGGTTAAGGTTGTGACTCTTTCAAGAGAGCACCAAACTTTACCGAGAAAAAGCAAATAGACCTCATACTGGATCTAGCAATGGTGTGATGATTGATCACTTGTTTACATGCTAGTGCTTGGCTTCGCTTACCCACGTTGGCTTTGAAGCGATGCTCGGCTTCACGCAAATTCCACCTATGCATCCACAGGATGTGCCTTTCAATTAGCATTCACCGATGCATTTTGTTGATGCATGGGAGGGTACGTCAGATTGGCCACGCTTAGTGGCAAGACACAATCCCAGGCTTGCAGACGACATCAAGTGACACTTTTGCATAAATAGAAATGAAATTGGCTTGGCGCAGTCACTCCTCAATTGAATGATGAGTGTGTTTTGACGAGGTCCAGCGTCAGAGTGTAATGTTGTTATCGACACCAGCTTCGCTATTCCGGATCACTCACCGGAGATAACAATATTGTGAAACGAATCTTTCTCCTGTTAGAAAACCGAGCCAAATGATTCTAGAGAGGTTGATCAAGGGAATCTAGTACACATCACGTATTCTGGCTTTTAATGAACCAAGTGGACCCAACAAATACCTGATGGGAGGACTAATAGTCGATATAAACAACCATATTTATCATCCTATGCGTGATGGTTACTGTAGTGCTCAAACACGTTTCATCCCTAGAATCAGGCAACCCCACACCATCACCTGAAACACTAATCACTCCTACCAACATAAATAACCATAGATCTCACCAGATCCTAGTGTTTTGTCGGTGGCATTTTGTAGTCTCACTCGTCCTCTATCGCCTGGGTGCTCACCGCGCCTCATCGCGCTCATCGCATCGTCTATCGCATCCATGGCTGGGGTCACCTGCTACGTCTACAACGACGTCTACGCCAACGTCATCGCTAAGGCCGGGCGCAACGAGGTCCAGCTAGGGAGCGTGCTGGCCGAGGGTCATCTTGAACCGCCGCAACACCGGTACGAGCTCGCCGGCGATGAGGCCGTCATCGACTCGGTGTGGGTGCCTCTACAACCCGCCGCTCCTCTGAACAAGAAACGCAAGCAGGGCCTGCTGTCGCCGTCATCACTGTCCAATACACTGCCGATGTTGTGGTGTGTGCTTCTGCTGGGCCAGTCTCGCGTGTTTAGCCCGCTGCCCATCGATATCGACACCCCCAAATTCACCGCCATCGCTCGAGGAATCAACTCCGTATGGGGGGCCACCGACTCCAAGTTGGTCGAATACACTCTTAGTGGTCCTACGGGGCTCACCATCAATTCAGAACCCGCCAACTTGCTTAAGGAGCTCGCGGTGAACGCGCCCAAGAAACTGCTGAAACCGACCCCTCAACTGTTTTGTGCTATTGCTGACGACAGTGTTGGCATCTACAAGACTACGAGAAAGACAGCCAATCCGACTTTTCTGCTAGACTTTGCCCCGACGCTGGTGGCGCAGCTGGCGAGAATACTGACGATTGTCTTTGCCAACTCTGACAGGGTGCAAGCCCGCGACATCGAAACCCTTAATCACGCCACCTACAACGTGTCTGGTTTACTGGATATTACCTCATTGACCACCGTCAACAAAGCTGGCTACGACTACTTGTTTGTTTGTGGCACTGGTGGGGTATCGGGGTACCGCCTCGACTTTATCGACCTGGCCACAAATGAGCGCCCCCAGTGGAGATGGTCCACGGAAACCCCCGTGCTGCAAGTATACCACCACGCTACCGGGTTAAAGGCAGTCGTGTACCAAGGGATCGACCCAGTCCTGGTAGATTTGGAGTGGGACGACGAAAAACCCGGCAAATACATCGTCGATACCCCCACCCCGCAACCTCAACCGGAAGACAAACGCAGTCTGCTGCTTCTTGAGCTCCCTGAGACGAACGGTAGCGTTGTCGATGGTGCTGAAATCACTCCCGAAAGACTCCACCAGCGACTCGTGGCGGCGTTGGATGAGGACTCGACCCAATCGGTAGCCATCTGCGCTTCTTGCGCCGACGATACCGTGATTAAGGAGACCGTCAAACGGTTCAGACCTGTCCCTGCCCCGCTTTTCGAAGCTGTGGCCGAAGAAGTGGCTCTGGACCCGCTGCTGCTGCTGCTGTCATTATCCACCTGGCTTAAATGGTTGTTGCTCTTGCACGGAGGTGCCCTCGCCAAGAACCCGTTGGTGGTTCCCACTCTCCAGCGACTCCAGCTGGGGTTGGACGAAGGGATGAAGGTGCTCTCGCACTTGCTTGCCCTCCAGGGTCGCCTTCAGCTTCTCAACTGCCAGGGCCAGTTGCGTGAAGAGGAAGAGGACGATGACGAAGACGAAGACGAGGTGCCAGCGCCGCAACCGGTGGCCGACATCGAGTACGCCAACGGCGAGGCCGAGTAGGTGATAGGTACAAAATTTAATAGACAAGAAACGCAACTACGACTCGAATGGGAAACTTTCAGCCATAACCAGCATTAGTGCTTTTAGTGTGAAATTTCAACATTGGATACGCCCAATGACGATGTCAATTTCTTCAAAGGAAAAAAAAAAAACCTCACACGATCTTGACTGATAGCAATTGTTGGTCAGTTATTGTTGGGGAAATAGGCCCCACAAAAATCCTTGAAGAAGGCTTAAACAATGCCCCCTAGCCTCCGAAGTTAAGCCTCCGACGTTAAGCCCTGTTGACGACTCGCGAGAGTCTATCTCTGGCACTCGATTATTATTGGCAACCACAAAAGCAACGACAATAGGGTCATTCTGACGGCATTAGCAACGCTACAACAAATGTATCCGCCCACCGCAAATTCCCCTCGATCTCGATCAGGGCCCCTCGCGTCGATCAAACCTTGTTCCTGGTCTCGACCATTGCCACTAGTGGTGACAGGGCAGGTCGAAACTGAGGCCACCTTTCCGCCCTGGAACCCGTCACTGGCCCCACCAAGCAAACGTAAATTATAGCCGCCACTGCGTTGGCCCCAACCTAGTCCCTTTAGGCAACAACTGACGAGACAAACGAGACTTCTTAAAGAAGTCATTTGATCATTGATTAACTACGCCAGCTACACCCGCAATAGGTTCCGAGTTCATCCGTGGGAGTGACAAAGACAATCACCTAGCCCTGAGCCCCATCATTCCTTGCAAAGGATGGCATGATATTCTAGCAACGATCGCGACGACCTGCCGTGACCTCCTCGGCGACCCTAAGCACTACCCCTGCACGCCAACCATAACCAGCAACTCGGCTAAAACCAGTAGTTCGTGATCCCTCATCGCCATGCAAGTTAAGGTTGATGGTGATGGGCGAGTCGAGCGGTGGGGCGCTTGTCGTAGGCGGTCCCGTACGGCACCCGTACAAATAGGACGAGAATGCGGAATGCTCTTGGAGCTGTTTCCATGGCAGTGACGATTGCCGATTGCAGATGAAACGTTGCGATAATTTCTTTGGTCTGGCCTAATCTCCTCGCGGGGTTATCGTCTAGTCGCCTAACGGGGTTATACTGGGGCTATCATCACTAACTATCTGATGAACCTAGAAACCCCTCGACCACTGACGACGCCGCCGATCCGTCAAGTGTCGGTCGCTGCCGGTATTTTGTGCCACATGGGGACACCTTTTTGTCAATGTGTGGTCACAAAAAGCACGTCGCGCGATCGAGGGCATAGGCGATTACGGGGGGATTCCCGAACCACGTCATCGCCTGGTGCCAGTAAAAAGCACCTGTAACCGGGAATATGACTTGCTTCACCCGAGACCTAGGCCATACGTTGGCGGTTGACTATTGACTCTCCGCTTTGGGCAATCGGATGCACGTATATTCGTAGCATACCGAGTGACCAATTCCCTAATGAAACCATGCTGGCGTTTGCCCTCCCCTTGCAGTGGCACCCCTGACCCCATGCCGAACCCATCGGAATGAGTGGAACGTCACCGAAGATGTGAAATTGGTGATTCATCACTAGCGAGAATGCTCATGGATGTCGTCAGTGAGTTTTTTTACCGGTCTCGGCCAGTTTCACTAAACTTTCAGTGTCAGCCCCGAGGCGCCTTAATGCCGAGTTCTAAATTCCGCTAATGACAATATAGCCATCTAAGCTGGTTGCCGCTATCGCCTACGCACGATGGCGTTAAGGTGCAGGTGGAGGCGGCAAATCTAGCTTTCGTCTCCGTATCACTGGCCCGGAGGGGAATGGCTCGCTCGCGCGGTCTAGACCAAAACATCATCGCAGACAAACATCATCGCAGACAAACATCGGTGCTGCAAAGCGTCAGGTCATATCGCTATCAGCTGCTACTGTCATTAATACTAATCACCTGGATTAAATCGTTAACTTATACCAACTACGGGAACTTGCGGATCCATTCGATGACGGCGTCAGCGACCTCGCGAGGAGCTTCCTGCTGCAAGAAGTGTCCCGCGTGAGGAATCTCTCTCACCTCGACCTTACCGTTGTGGGTACCGTTCAACAACTTCTTCTCGTACCGCAACAACCGGTTCAGCATGCACCCGTCGGTCTCACCCCCCAAGATGAGGGTGGGCACTTTATCGAAGTCGACGACCCACTTGATCTGCAACAAGTTGAGCGGGTTAAGTAAGCACCGGTAGTACGCAGTCGAGGCGTCCAATACCCCTGGCAGCTCGAGCGTTGCCTGCACCAGCTGGATGGTGCGCTCGGGGAAGTCCCACGTCGGCAGCCAGTACTTCCACAACGCATTCAAGTAGTCACCGGCAAACTTTCTCAGGTAGATTGCCTTCAACTGCATCGTCAAAAAGTACAGCAGGTACCACACTTGTTCGGGACTGTACCACAACAATTGCGGGAGGTGGACATTGGCAATATAAGGGATGGCCAACGTCACCATCAGCGTGACCAATTCCGGGTAGAGCTGCCCCACCTTGAAACAGGTGATGGCACCCCAGTCGTGGCCCACCAAGTGGACGTGTACCCCCGCCGGCGGGTTGATATTGGTGATCCACGCCTTGACGTCGCTGGCAAGGTCGCTCACGCGGTACTCGTGGTCAGGGCCCTGACTCAGGCGCTCGTAGCCTCTCATCGCCGGAGCTAAGAGCAACAGTTTTGGGAATGCTGAAACCAATTGGTCCCATACCAAGTGGTAGGTGTCATTGTTATCAGGGAACCCGTGGAGAAGGAAGATGATGCGGTCGTAAGGCTGGGCCGCATACACGTCCGACTCGCGGTGGGTCAGCTTGGCGGTGAAAACCCGCGAGTGGTTCCGTAATTGCACGTTGTAGATCATACTGGAGGTGCTGGCTGGACGACAATCTTCCTCAGTTCAGGTTATAAAGGTAGCACGTGAAGTGCATGTGACGCCCCTGAGCGCATGTGCTCTCCTCTCTAGTGCCCCGCAAACTGAAGTAGACCTTATTGTGTGCAGGTGAAAAACAAGAACTCTGAGAAGGCCGGACTTCTCGAATATATAAGGTAATTTTGAAGTTGGCTCCCAGGGGGCCGAAGGATTTTTGAATTTGAACTTCTGTGGATAACATTCATAGTCCGTTACCTCTCATATAATTGCAAATGGTCGGACTACGATAATGGAGTATTCATCATGGACTTTGGCGTTGAAATTATTTCTACTTCATTTATCAACGTACGTTTCATCATTTCAGTCAAGGCAACTCCAACGAACCCGACTTGCCTACACTTCCATAGATCAAAGCTTGTGGTCTATGGCTAGTATGGTCTGATTTGGCTGCCAAAATGTCACATGGCCTTTCTTTTAAACGCCGTAGCCTGTTCCTTACGCTAGCAAGTGCATACGCCGTTTTTCACTGACCAGCGTGCCACCCCCAGTAGTCTGGACATTGTTCCCTCGCCACACCGGCATATTGTGTCATTTCACTGAACCTAGCAGAGCCCCATGCCTTGCGTCATAGCGAGAATTAATTTGCAGCAGCGGCAGACACCAGGCCAACGTCAAGATGAAACTGCAACTGCGATCAATGACCTGGCATCGTTGGGCGTTCGCGTCGTGGCGCAGCTGTCTGCTCATCGCATAACCCTCGAGATCAGGATAGCGTAAACGCATCGTAGCGTCGCCGATTGTCTATGCAAGCGGCCTTAACACGTAATTCCGTCCTCCAAAAATCGATAAGTTGAGTAAGTTATTAAGGTGGCTTATGGGGCATATGTATCAACTGAAACAGTTTCCATCTCTCGTAATTAAGTAGAGGTGAAATTTGACGTAGATGATGTCAGGCCATCTCAGTTGTAGAATGTCTGAAAAGTTTGTTCAATTTTGTGACACAGATAAGTCGATTGAGTATTCGTTCAAAGTTTAAGAGCACGGATTTGATAACAGTGAAGTACAGGAGACGATGGATAAACTAGTAAAAACGAAGGAGACACGCCTGAACACCGTTGACAGGACAAAAAGATGCGCAAACCCGGAATCGAACCGGGGGCCCAACGATGGCAACGTTGGATTTTACCACTAAACCATTTGCGCTTCGGATGAAAAATTTAGATTTGTGGCTTTTGTCACTATGTACTCATGATAGAGTATTTCAATGTTTTGCTATTCGACTTATTAGGTATTGCATAACCCTTGGTTCACTACATTTTAGCTTTTTAATGTACCTGGAGGTCTGATAACCACTCCACAATACCTCTTAACGCAATTGAGAGTCAAATTTGGAAACCAGTTACAAAGATTTGGTTTAATCCGTGGCGCATCAAGCGTTTGAGGTTTTAAGTACACCAGTTACAATTCTCATGTTGGGAGTAACAAAATGGTAACTATTGAATCAAGATAACTAACGTAAATCTCACTTTTGAATCAGGATTCCGTAGCCACCAAATATTCAAGTAGTCACATCAAAATCACAAAGTAACAAGTCCATTCATACAACACAATACTTGTTGTATGTAAAGTACCATAACTGTGAAGTTTCTCTTCCAAATCCGTTCTTTAGTTAAGGTATCAAGTACGGGTGCCAAAATCTCAGTACCAATTTGCTCACCGCGCACCGCTCATGAGACCACCAGGGATCTTTGCCCGTGCTCTCTCCACGGAGGCTCCGGGGCTAGGATCGATGGCAGCGGTGATCCATGCCTTGGAATCCATCAATCACGTACCGCTGCCCCTGGTAACCCCCAAGATCTCCCCCGTCACCGCCAAATGGAGTCAGATCACTCGACGACTGCTCGGAGTTATCACCCACGAGTTCGGCAGCGATGTATTACGATGGAAACTCGCCTACAACGTGAGGCGATGGCAGAGAGAGGTGTTTGACCCAACAAAAAACACCCGTCGTCCCGTGGTGTTCCACCCATTGGACCATTACTTACTGACACTCATTGCGGGTCCCTATCTCCAGTGGGCCCAACAAAGAGGGCTTGATCCGTGTCAGTCGGTGACCAAGATATTCTTGGATGATCCCGTAGCGGCGATTACCGAGATTGACCTCGATATTCGTCGCCTTTGGCGAGACGAAGACTACTACCGCACGCCCAAGCGCACCCCGCTGTACCTTTTATTACCTCAATATAGCGGAGCCTTACCGGCTAAAGGTGTTCACCATCTGCTCAACGTGCGGTGGTATCGCCTGGCGTTGGGGACGGAGCCTCCGTTGGTGCTTGATTGGACATTCAAGCAGTCCCATGTGATTAAGGAACTTGTGGCATTGGCAGCGACCAAAGTGGTGGTTGATGAACCTACATTAGCTCGGGCAGAAGCAGTGGCAGCTCAGGTGATGGACAATCTCGAACGAGAGGGTCAGCTCGCCTACGCCTTGGTCGCTGAACGCATTCTTCTCAAACACATGGAGACAGCTGAGCCCATTGAAAGTACCCCTGCCTCACAAATTCACCGTATCTCCCATAAACAATACTGGGAAGCTAATTGGGGCCAACACCAGCTGTTACAAAAGCGAGCACAAACTCCATTCTACACCTTCGGGGACGGTAAGCTTCATCATCATCGCGACAAAATCCCCAAATTTACCAAGAAAACGATTGACTACAGTGCTATAAACTACGACCTTGCCATCTCAAAGTTTCTTCCAGGTGCAGACTCCGAGTTCCTCGTCAAGTTCAAGGCGCTAGCGGCCCTCAAACTGGGCTTCCATACCATTCTTTTGCCTGATAGTGGACTCCACAAGATTATGGCGAGCATAAAATTCGATGTCGACCCTCAATATAATTGTGTTGGATTCAGTCACGAAGACAATGTCATCATCAGTCTTGCATGCAACATGTTTGACCGGTTTTTTGCTCGGTGGTTCATCAAATCGCCTCAGGATGCTGAGACCTGGTTGATGAATGTGTTACTCGCCTATGACGCTGAGCCTCAATTAATATCAGACACTGCCATCCAGCAAGCCATCGCCCACTTCCGCGAGCTTGTCATCGAGCCGCCGTCACTGGAAACATGGTTTAGCGCCAACCGCCAATGGACCGATACATCTACGGAACTGACGCCATGGGCCGAAAAGGTGTTGACCCTTTTAGACGATTAAGTCACCCTGTATATACCGTTACGAAATCATAATGACTCCAGAAACACACTGAAATCCCTCAAACCAATTACACATCCCGAATATTTTTAATGAACTTAATTCCACTTTTTCGTTGTCGGAAAATTCAGGATTTTTAATTGTAGAAGCTGGATTCTCGGTTAACGAGGGGTGGGTGCGAACGGCTAAATACGTAACACCATGAATTACTTTGTAAACAAGGAATCATAAAAAGTCTTGTATACTCGAGTCATAGCTAACTGGAGGTGTATATAGAATCAAATCACGCTTCATGTATTTCATCATAATTTGTGCAGTTTGACCACCACCTAAATTTCATCCCCCCACTCATCTCCACCGCGAGTACGCGTGAATGAGTTCTCTCTACAAGCTCCTGATCAAAGGGATCCGTTCCTTTGACCCTGAACGAGAGGAAACCATTCAATTTGGATTCCCCTTAACCCTTATTTGTGGGCAGAATGGTACAGGTAAGACGACCATCATTGAGTGTCTCAAGTACGCGTGTACTGGGGACCTCCCTCCCAATTCCAAAGGTGGTGCTTTCGTCCACGACCCACTCCTTTCAGGAAGGTCTCTGGTTACCGGCCAGGTAAAACTCGCCTTCCGTGATACCCTGAAGAAGCTGATGGTGCTTACCAGAACCGTTCAATTGACCAAACGCAAACAGCGCAATGCCTCCACATACACCAATACCTTCAAAACTCTAGAGGGTCAATTGGCTATTATTCCGGGAGGGGGTCGTCCTAAGCTTACTGTGCTGACAAAGAATGCTGAGCTTGACTCCCAAACCCCACTTCATTTGGGAGCTCTGAAGTCAGTGCTCGATTACGTCATTTTCTGCCATCAAGATGATCTGCTATGGCCTTTGGCCGAGGGGCTGGTCCTCAAGAAACGGTTCGATGATATTTTCGAGGCGTCAAAGTATACTAAAGTTCTTGATAGCTTCAAGTCGATTAGAAAGGAAATGGCGACCCAAATCAAATTGTTGGAGCAATCTGTGGAGCATCTCCGCATTGACAAACAACGGGCCACTAAAGTCAAAGCAAAGATAGCAGAGTACAAAGAGAAAATCGAGTCGATGGATGCCACCATAGCTCAACTTGCCATTCAAATTGAGGAAAAGGAAGCTGAAGCTAAGAATTTATTCAATACCAATCAGGACTTCCAGAAGATTATTGCTGAAAACGAACGGTTGGTCTATGCACATGATCTGGTCAACCAAAGAATACTGGAGGTCGAAGCCACGATCGAGGAAAAGTTAGATTTGAGCGATAGTGACCTATTGGAGCAAGAACAAAACTTCAGTGTTAAGCTTACAGAAAAGAAGAAAGAAATTGAAAAGCTTAGACAACAGCGTAATGTTGCCATTGAAGAAGCCAATGCTCACGAACGTGAAACTGATGTATTAGTGGCAAAGGACGCCGAGCTTCACGCGCAGGAAATCGAATACAAGCGCAATCATGAACAGCTTGCGCAATTAATAGATACCCATGCTCAACTTGTTGGACACACCGTTGTTGCTGACCCTTCTGAAAATGTGGCTCAATTTGGGCCAAAAATATCTAAGTTTTGGACCAATCGTCAAAAGCAACACGCCGACGATGTGGCGGAGATTGAACTGCATGTCAAGTCCCTAGAGCGTGAGGTTTCTGAAATTGAAAACTCAATCAATCAGGAGACAAAGCATAGAGATTATCTCAGTGCCGAACACGTCAAAAAGCTGGATAAGCTTCAACTTATGAAGACCAAGCTATCACTCTTGGACTCTAAAAGCGAAGAATTGAAAGAAAAGCAGGAGGAAGTGGAAAAGTACTCAATTGTTGTTACTGAAAAGAAGCAAGACCTCATGAAGCAAGATTACGACGAAAAACTTGCAAATTTGAATCAACAGTGGTCTGAACTTGAGCTTAAAGTCGATGAGGTCAACCGCAAAATTGGGCATGCTACACAACAAGCAGAAGCCTCGACCAAATTGGACATGCTTCGAGAAAATCAAAGCCAATTGCAACAACAACTCCGCTCAGGTGAAAAGAAAGTTGAGAGTATTTTGAAAGGAGAGTTTGCAGCATCTGAGCTGGCAATCAATTCTGAACTTGCGCGGATTACCCATGCTCTTGAAGCCAACGAGACCGAGGCCGCTAATTTGCAAGCTCTGTTGGCCGCTGACGCGCGAGTAGTGACTGAGACGGAAGAGAAGCTAGCTGCTTCCAAGCGTGAGTGCTTGAAAGTACTTGACCTGGAGAACGACATCGATTCCTATGAAACCGATTTGGGCGAATTAGAGGATGACTATAAGAACGTGATGGAAGATTTGAGTGTGGCCGAAGTGACACGAGACTTCAACATCAAAGCGATTCTGGTTGCTGAGTCTAAACATCTGTGTATGTTGTGTCAAAGACTGTACGACGCTGATCTGCCGGGTTTCAAGAAGTTTGTCGAGCACTTGAAGCAAACCATCGATAAGGAGCGAATCAAGAAGACTGCCGATCTGGCGGCCGAAATTGAGAAAGAGCTTAATCAATTGAAAACGGTTCAAGCGAGTGTTTTAGCATACCGCCAACATAAAGCAACCCTCAAAGCCATGGAGCCTGCTAAACTGAGGGAAGATAAGCTTGCAGTGATTCGCAAGGAGGTAACCAAGGCTAAGAATGTATTGGAAAGATTGCAATCGTCGAAGCGGCAAATCTCAGAAAACACTCGTCTTTCGCTGGAAATCGATCGCCTCGAACGTGAAATCGATGACATTGTTGGCGATACCTCCACAACACAATACCTGATCAAAGAGCTTCAAGCACAACAGCAACTGGCGACGAATCAAATGCGTAAGCTTCGGACGGAAATCGACACTGTTACTGCGGCCAAGCAATCGGAGGTGAGAGAAATACAAAAGTTGGAAAATAGAGTACGTGACGCTAAGGTGGCTTTATCTCAAATCGAAGCTCAAATGGCAGATGTCACAAACATTGAGCTGCTGGTGCGTGAGCTTGAAGTTGAACTTGACGAGATTGATGCCAAACGGGAAAAGATGGATGAAACTCTTGTAAAACTTAATGGCAGCTTACAAACAAAGAAAGCTACAAGCACTGAACAAATTTCGCGACTCAATACCAAACGACGCAATCTCGAGCAAGAGTATCTGAGTCTCGAACTGGATGTTACCCGTTATAATGCATTGGCACCAGAAATTGTGCGATTTGAGCGCACTGTCAAAGATGAGTTGGAACGCTCGCAGTCATTAATTGAGAAGTCCAAGCGCTTACGTGATGAACTGCGAGCTCAGGCGCTGGCGCTAGAGAATGAGATTAAGGAGTTGGAAGCGGAAGTTGTGGGACTGGGTCCGGCACAGCAAAATATCAGGGCTAATCTCGAATTGAGAAGATTACAAGCAGAGCTCAACACCATCGCTGAGAAGTTGGAGCAGCTTAATGTGGCTGAAGCTCAGGAGAAGCTGGAGAATTACAGTAAGCTTAGTGATCGTCTTCGTCAAGATCTCTCTGGGCTTAATGCTACCCACAATACTACGCTCGGGGAAAAGAAGCAGATTGTAAACCTGCTCACTCACGCCGAAAATGAGCTTGAAACTGAGTATGCTGACATTAATGAGAAACATCACACCGAATGGGTGAACCTTCAGACTCACTTACTCGTGCTGAATGATATCCAAGTGTATGCCGCCCTGTTGGACAACGCCATTATGAAGTATCACTCGCTCAAAATGGAGGAAATTAACCGCACGTTGCGTGAACTTTGGCAACAGACTTATAGAGGGCTGGACATCGACACCATCGCCATTAAGACTGATGTTAATGTCACCGCCAAGACTCGCAGTTACAACTATCGGGTGGTGATGTCGAAAAAGGGACTGGAACTTGACATGAGAGGTCGGTGCCTGGCTGGACAGAAAGTGTTGACCTCGATTTTGATCAGATTGGCGTTGGCAGAATGTTTTGGTGTCAATTGCGGTATCATCGCTTTAGATGAGCCCACCACTAATTTAGACAAAGAGAACGCTGTATCGTTGGCCCAATCACTTAATCGAATCATCAGCTTCCGTAAGCAGCAGCTGAACTTCCAATTGATTGTGATTACTCATGATGAGCATTTCTTGGAACACATCAATGGTGACGGGTTTACCGACCACTTTTATCGCATCAAGCGCGACGAAGATGAAACTAGTGTCATCTCTAGAGTGCCGATTTCCCAATTATAGCATATATATCCGAAATTTAATGGCTGATTAACGAATTTTGACTTCTTAATATATCTCGATGTAGAGTTAGTTGCAGAAAGGGTGTTTATCCTTGATTTCTTATGTAATTGCTTATATAACACTCAGCTGCTTGCGTACTCGCACTGATCTTTAATCCATGAACGAATATTTCATATTAGGTAAATACACGACTTTTCCTTTAATTTGGGTAATACACGACAATTTTCCCACGTTGTTCTACATTTAGTGATCTATATCAAAATGGAAACTCCACAGAAGCCTAGGATTTCAAGAAGGAGTATACACAAAAATGCTTGGATCTTGTGATTCAGTCTAATTGACTCGGTCTCCCAACGGTGGCCACGTTGTCGACTATTGTACCAGAAGGGGAAGGTGTAATTTACTCCTATCCAGTTCAATTGCTACGGGATGTGAGATCACAAACGTTATATTCCTATCAAAGGCTGAGATAGGCATCATCTAGATGGCCACAATGTCTTTTTCGTCGGTGTACTCGACGTTCGAGACCAAAATTTCATTCTTGTCGTGGTTGACGGTGATGTAAGCGTGACGCAAGAACGAGTCCCCAAGGAGGTTTTCGCCCCCTGTGGCCTGGAAGGCAAAGAAGCACGTGCCCGACGGCTGGTTGTTGATAGTGTACGCCGGCACCGCCAAGTCCTTGTAGGAGAGCTTGATTTCGACGTCGTTGAACCAGAACGACACGTACTTGTCGGTGGGCTGGTTGCAGTCAACATAATATTGACCTTGCCAGTTTGTGTAAACACCGGGGATCGCCAATTCTCTGAGGGTGGAGATGGGGATGTAGGTCAAAGTGGTACCGGTGTCCAAAGCGGCTTCAAAACCTTGGACCGTCTTGCCGTCACTGGTGGTGAACTTGGCCACAGTGACGGTGTCAAAACGGGAGTATTCGTCGCTTTCGCTGGGGTGGAAGGTGGCCACGGGGCCCTTCACCTTCTTGTTGTCACGACCACCGAAAGTGATGGTGCCATCGTGGTCGTGGTCCTTGTTGAGGAAGTACGAGTACGAGTTCGAGGTGATGGTGCCTTGGTCCTTCAACTTTTGCGTGAAGTTAGGGTAGGTCTTGCCAGTGCGGTGGTAGCCAGCTTCGTTGGTGACCTTACCGATCCCGAGAATACCGTTTTGGCTACCCCCAGTCAACGTGACTTCGGTGGCCAACGCCCATTGGAAGTCCTTGACCTCGAGGCCGTTTTCAAGGAACACCGACGACTTGCCAAAGTCACCGCGAGTGGTCGAACGGTCACCGTAGCCAATGGCAAACAGTTCACCAGTCTTGGTGAAGCCGTTGGTGTTCAGCAACTTCTCAGCATCCACCCACAAGTCGGCCGAGCCGGTGTCCAACACCACCCGCACCTTTTGGTCTTCATTGATGACACCCAAGTCAATTTGGTAAGAAGCGGCAGCAGCGAAAAGCTCAACATCCTGAGGACCAGGCTTAGCCCTGTTTCTGGGGTTGGGCTGGACCGCTTCAAGGTTGGGGACTTTGTTCAAGGTAAGCTCGAGCGGTTGCGGGGCTTGATCTCTCACCACCAACGCGGCGGCGAGCGAGATCATGAAAGAGTAGACGAATGAAACCATAGTGAATTGAAGGTTAAAGAAAGAAGGGATAATTGGGGACGAAGGAGGGGTTTTTATAGCTGAAATCGAGCGGGGCCATGGCGCCAATTGGCTCTGTAACCCCGGCTAAAATAGCTATTATCGCTGGTGGCTGCAAAGCGGATTTGGTGAAACTGTGGCGACCTGCGTTTTGTGGGCAGCATTCATTCCACTTCCATTTTCAATCCCATTGTCCTGATCCATTGTCCTCATATTTAGATTATAGTCCGTACGTCGGCGTGGCACCAACCGTCGTAAACGAAGACAAGCCTCCATCGATCTCTATTGATCCCCACATTGTCGGATTTGTCGGCATGCTCTTTAGTCGTGTTTACGGTTTTATACGTGGTGGGGACGTTTGACAGGTCTAAATCTAGTCAATACCGAACGCCAGAATGCGATCCCTGCGGAATGAAAACCGAGTCCAGAGTCACAAGCGACTTTGTGACTTGGAGGTATTGTTCGTTCTCCACTTCACGCGGGGCCGGGGCCGCTAACTGGACCCTTTGGCCTGAACGTGCCACAGTCGCACAGCACTACACCACAACCACTTTCTCAAGGTCGTCGCCTGCATGTAAGGTGGTAATTAACACCGCGCTAAAGAGTGCGGTTACCGAAAACAGCGATGAGATGAGTCACTCAGCCAAAAGGCCTTGAAATCACCATTTTAAAGTCTAGAAATAAGCATTTACAACTACTTGACGATTTTGCTTTATCATTACTTTCCTTATGGTTATTCTTTTGCTTTTAAACGTTAATTTTGCACTCTACGGGCGACGAGGCTCCCCACGTTATTAGCCGCGCTTTTTCTATCTCGAAATTTATAATTTTCACTACCAATACTACTTCTACCATGTCTCTGGAGAAACAACCTACTAAGCTCTGGGGTGGTCGGTTCACCGGTGCCACCGACCCTTTGATGGATTTGTACAACGCGTCGCTTCCGTACGACAAGGCGATGTACGACGCCGACTTGACCGGCACCAAGGTGTACACCGAGGGGCTCAACAAAATCGGCCTCATCACCGCTGAGGAATTGAGCGAGATCCACAGAGGTTTGGAGGTCATCCGCAAGGAATGGGCCGCCGGTGAATTTGTGGAAAAGCCTGGTGACGAAGATATCCACACCGCCAACGAAAGACGGTTGGGGGAAATCATCGGCACCCACATCTCCGGCAAGGTCCACACCGGTCGTTCGAGAAACGACCAAGTGGCCACCGACATGCGTATCTACGTCAGAGAAAAGTTGGGCGAATTGGTCAAGTTTGTTGGTGAATTCGTCAAGGTTATTGTCACTCGTGCCGAACAAGAAATCGACGTGTTGATGCCCGGTTACACCCACTTGCAAAGAGCTCAACCCATTCGTTGGGCCCACTGGTTGCTGATGTACGCCACCTACTTCACCGAAGACTTCAAGCGGTTGAAGCAAATCCAGGCTCGGGTCAACCAGCTGCCGTTGGGCGCTGGTGCTCTTGCCGGCCACCCTTATGGTATTGACAGAGAGTTCCTTGCTCAAGGTCTTGGCTTTGACTCCGTTATCGGTAACTCGTTGACTGCGGTGTCCGACCGTGACTTCGTCGTTGAAACCATGTTCTGGTGCTCGTTGTTCATGAACCACATCTCGCGGTTCTCGGAAGACTTGATCATCTACCTGACGGCTGAGTTTGGCTTTATTCAATGTTCGGACGCCTACTCCACCGGGTCGTCGTTGATGCCGCAAAAGAAGAACCCCGACGCCTTGGAATTGTTGCGGGGTAAGGCTGGTCGTGTGTTCGGGTCGTTGTCGGGTTTCTTGATGTCGATCAAGTCGATCCCCTCCACTTACAACAAGGACATGCAAGAAGACAAGGAACCGTTGTTTGACGCCTTGAGAACTGTGGAACACTCCGTCCTCATTGCCACCGGTGTCATCTCCACCCTCAAGATCAACAAGGAGAAGATGGAAGCTGCGTTGACCATGGACATGTTGGCCACTGACTTGGCTGACTACTTGGTGCGTAAGGGTGTTCCTTTCAGAGAAACCCACCACATCTCGGGTGAGTGTGTGCGGGCTGCTGAAGAGCAAAAGCTCAGTGGCATTGACCAATTGACTTTGGAACAATTCCAAGGCATTGACAAGCGTTTCGGCGAAGATGTCAAGGACATCTTCGACTTTGAAGCCTCGGTGGAAAGACGTGACGCCATCGGTGGTACCGCCAAGAAGGCCGTGTTGGCCCAATTGAAGAATTTGGCTGCTCAAGTCAACCAATAAACTTATAGAATATAGCAAAGAATAACGGATGAATCTGATAGATTGTAATATTGTGGATCAAAGAGATTTGATCTTTCGACGTAGTCAAACGTTGGTTGCGAGAGAAACATCTACAATGACAGAATTTGTTTTGAATCATCCATTAAAAATATATTTTGGGATTCTTCCATCAGGAAGAGATGTGTGTTAGTAGTTGTTATACCAGGATATAATGGCAGTATACTTACGGGTGGGCCTCCCGGTATGACCGTGGTTGTAAACAAGGATACCTGGCAGAAGGTTTCTTAGGAGCCACCAGCAAACACCGTAATCACAAATAAATGTGAAAAAAAAAAGTACAGGAATTGCCCGTCCGAACTCATGTTGGTGAATACCGGAATCACTGGCCTCCGTTAGGTAACTTGATTAGGAGGTTCAGCCTTCTTTTACACCAACGTCTCTGCAAACGCCATTCCGTCGCGTAAGACACATGTTCAGGGTAGGGTTTCCCAATATATCGAATATTCAGTTGAAAAAGAACGCTTGGGCGTTGATGTTAGAACCAAACACTCGCTTGTAAACGCCAGGTTACCCTTGCCTCTTGCGGATGCCCAAAGTTTTCCCCAGCAGGACGCGTCAGAATAAATACACGTGGTGTGCATACAGTGCACACGAGGCTACCACTAAGCTAATGCTTCAATCGATTCACTATACAAATTACCATCTGCCGCCCTCGTCTCTGCGGTTGTCGCCACGACCACCTCCGCTGCCGTAGCCAAAGTCTTCACGCAGGAAACCACCAGAACCAAAGCGGTCGTCATTTCTGCCCCCGTAGTTGTCGTTCCTGCCACCGAAGTCATCGTTTCTACCACCACCGTAGTTGTCGTTTCTGCCACCACCGTAGTTGTCATTGCGACCACCGTAGTTGTCGTTACGACCACCATATTCGTCATTTCTGCCCCCGTAGTTGTCGTTACGGCCACCATAGTTGTCATTGCGACCGCCGAAGCTGTCATTGCCACCGTAATTGCTGTGGTTACCGCCCTGGTGGTTGCCACCGTAGTTGTTGTGGTTACCGCCTTGGTGGTTGCCTTGGTTGTTACCACCCAACACGGATTCAAGCATACCGCCCAAACCACCCTGGTTGTGGTTGCCGCCTTGGTTGTAGTTACCACCCTGGTTGTAGTTACCGCCTTGGTTACCGCCTTGGTGGTTGTTGCCTCCACCCAAGACCGAGCTGAGCATGCCACCGAGACCACCTTCATTGTGTTGCTGCTGCTGTTGTTGCTGGTTGTTGCCACCAAGCACGCCACCAAGCATACCACCAAGACCGCCGGTGTTCTGCTTGTGCTGAGAGCCACCAGAGATCTTGTCGTGCAACATCGACCCCACAATGCCGCCGGCACTCAAGCCTGACCCCCGGCCCAGGGCGCCAGCAATGACGTCTTCGACAAAGCCACGGTCCTGGTTGCCCTCGCCCCCAGAGACACGCAGCTCATTGGGTCTGTATTCGTCCTTGTTGCCCGAATCGTAGAACTCGTTAGCAGACATGTTATCGAAAGCAAATTCACCCTCGTAGCCGCGCTTATAGTGTTGGTCGTGTGTGGCTCACCACCAGGGGGCAACCGCAAGCTTGCAGGTGAAACGGTTGACGGATCAATTTCTTTTTTTGTCGTGGAGGTCATTGCCAGCGACGGGTGTAGAGCTAGCAATCATTTTTACTGTATCGTTGCTGTGTTAGGTGGCATGTTTACCCTCCACAAAGCTTGCTTACGGTGCGGCTGATGGGAGATGGCCGCTAACCGTCGTCATCGTCTCCAGATTCGCGTGTGAAAACTGTACCTGAGTCCGGGTCGGCAAATACACGACCACCAGGGACGAAAGATACATGGACTCAATTGTGAAGAGAACTACCTCGCATTTTAGTTCGAATTAGTCGTCTTATCTCTTCATTACTTCGTATAAAATACTCTATGATTCTATCAGGGGGACCTAGTCCTTTTTGGAAATGTAGGCGTTGTAGGCGTCAGGCGAGAAGTTGCCAAACTTGTAGTCGAGGTCGAGCAAGATCTTGATCGTGTCCTGCGACTTGTACAAGTATTCGGCGGGGATCATCACCACGGGGTCCTGCTTGACGTCAGTGGGCGGGGTTTGCCCCAAGATCTTCAGCTTGGTCGTGTAGACCAACCGCTTGTTCTTACCCTCCGAGTTGTACACTTGGTCGTTGGTCAAGTCGTAGATACCGGGGTAGCCCGACACCGACTTGAACAGCGACTCCTTGGTCATGGGAGGGTTCAAGGGGAACATGCTTTGTAACAATTCGTACAGGGCAAGCGTGAACCCGAATTGGGGCAGCGAGCGGAACACCCGCGCCAACGACCCCTTGAAGAACGCCGAAGGACCTTCTTCCTTCAAAATCAGGGTGAAGGCGTTGGCAATGCCGGTGTACTTGACTTGGCCGGGCTTGGCTTCCACTTGCAATCTCGTCTTGATGACATCGGCGGGGGTGGTGAAGAACGCGGCGGGGGCCCCGGCTAACGCACCCGACACCAACAATTGCCAGGTGGTCAACTTGTGCTTGGGGTCGTCGGCGACGAAGCCAAACATGTACTTCTTGATGTTGGCGTAAGTGGGGAAGTAGATGGCGGAGAAGGGCACGTCACGGAGCAAGCACGCCAGCGCCCCCTTGTACAAACCTTTAAGACCTAATTGACGGATGATTTGCATGGCGGTCAACCGCTTCTTGGGGATTTCACCGGGGGCGGTGTGCGCCTGGGCGTTACCTTGCATTTGCAATCTAATCTTGACGATTTCCAACGGGTTGGTGAAGATCACCTGACAACCCCCGGCGGTGGAACCGGCGAGGATTTCCCAGCCCATGGTGATCTTGCCGTGGTCGTCGGTCCCAATACCACGCACGAGGTCGTTAACGGTCAACTTAATGGCCTTTTCCGGCGCCACCCCGACGAGCTGAGCCCCCAAACCAGAGTACAACCCCTTGACGCCTTCGCGAGAGATGATCTTTTTGAAACAGTCCCACGAGTTGTCGTACAACAGCTTGTGCTTTTGCGCCTGCATTCTCGTCTTCACCATATCGATGGGGTAGACGACGGTGGCACCAATACACCCGGCGATCGACCCCAAGAAGAACGAGTAGAGCGAGTCGAAGATGGGCCAGAGGGAGAAGTTGTCGTTGTCACCGAACTTGACCCCGGGGACGTGGTAATGCAGCAACGGGTTGTGGAAGATGGGGTCAAGGGTGGGCAAATTGTTCGAGTAGTTGGGATTAAAAAACGAGATAAGCTCGCGCCGGGGGATGTCGTCCGACGTCTTCTTGTTGATCAACTCGTACAACAAGTCGAGTTCGCGGATGGACACGGGTTTAAAGTTCAGCGACTTGAGCAAGTGGTCGTTCAAGTGGGTGTACAAGTCCATCTTGTTGATCAAAATATCGTCTTTATCCTTCTTGGTCGGGGGGGTGTTAGCAATCACTTCGTTGATCAAGTCGACTTTATTAATAGCGTTGTACACGAAGAGGACGTTGGCCAACGTGAACTGGCGCTTAGAGTCGCCCCAGTAGTCGCAGACGTTGGACAAGTTCGATTTGAGGCGCGGGCTCAACTTGTGGTTCAAATTGGTCTGCAAAAGCTGGACGAACTGGTTGCGGTCGATCAAGCCGTTTTTGGCGATCAATTCGAACCCGCCAATCAATTTGGTGATGGGCAAATTGTTCAGTAACGTGACAAAGTCCTCGAGGTGGATATAGCCGAAGGGGTCGAAAAACCGGGTGAAGTAGGCCCAGTTCAGCTTGCCCATTTTCGGGTGGTAATTGGGGTCAATCAGCTTGTTGAGTCGGGTAAGCGCCCGCACACACCCGTCGTAGGTGATCTTGGAGTCGTCGTTCGAGTCCATGAAGTCGAACAACAACTTAAACTCGCCGTCGGTCAGCGTCAACGTGTCGATGAACTTGATCCAGTCGCCCTCGGTGACGTAGCCCTTGCGGTCTCGGTCGGCCATGAGGTATAAGAGGGCATACAGCTGCCGCTTCAAGTCGGTGGGGTACGGATTGAGGATGCGGATGAACGAGTCAAGCAGAAGCTTGCCGTCACTGTCTTTGAACTGATCAAACAATTCCTGGGCTCGGACGTTCATGGCGACAATGTGGGCGAAAGGTTGAGACGGTAAGCGTGCGCAGACGTATTTATATCGCCGAGTGGGCCAGGCGACAAATTTTCAGCGGGTGATGGGGAAAAAGGAATGGGGTAAAACTGTCCGTTACACGGGGCAAATTAGACGAGAATGGGGTGGCGGAGAACAATGGGTGGTAGAGTGGGGGAGAATGGCTTATTCTTATATAAATTTTTTTTTACTTGGGCCAATGGTAGCCGGTAATGGGCTAGAGACAATGGTGTGAGTGGGTTGGCTCAGTAGGCGTCGACTGGCGGATGAGTCGCGCTTCCTTTTAGCCGACACGTTTCCCCAGTACCAATGGCACTGACTCATCATGACTAGTCACCGCCCGCAGCGCGTCCGGGGAACCACCTGGCAAATGTATAAACCGTGCCAGTTGGCTACGGGGGTGACGACGGTGGCCAACCCTCATCGTCGGCGAATCACGCTTCGTGTCTGCCTCAAATGATCCCACGACACGCCCACACTAAGTCGGCGATATCAGGAACGACTTCCCCTCACCCGCTATCATGTGCGCGCCCCGCCAACGGCACGGTGGAGGCTCGCCGTTGCCGGTACCGAGGACTGTCAACTGCGAGTGGGGCTCGCTGCATCCCCACCGCCCACTACCAGTTGACAGTCCTCGGAGTAGTGCAATCAGTTGATTACCGGTGGCCAGTGGTCATCGGCGATATTGGCGCAGGTGGGGCGCCCGAATGGTTGGTGTCCGATGGCGGCTACCCCTCAGCGGTTTTTCTTTTACTCGAGATTACGACGCGGGCATGGGGCACGTCGATGCCGTGACCCCACAACGCCCTAACGGCCCGCTACCGGCGTTGGCAGACGAGGACGGGGCCAGGGACCAATCGCCTGCGGTTGTGATCGATTACTTGTGATCGCCGGGCCAGTCTTGTGACTAGTACTTTTTGGGGGGGGGCAGTTGCTTAAGCAAGCATGTGACGCGTCGCTCGAGGACACGAGGCATTGTTCACGTCAACGGCGTGCGAGCCGCTGGCAGTGCGGAGATACACGGGTGGACACAAGTGGGGCAGAAAAAGGCCGCTAAGGGTATATCGCTCAAATAGGCTAGCGGAGGCGCCAATGACGTCACACGTCAGCCACCACACTAGACCGTAGTACTTAGTCCAGTCCCAACGAGCCCTAACCAAACAGAAACAAAGTCTATTGTTTCCGGTTGGGCTACTGGTTTGGGTGGTGGCGGCTACTTAAACTAGACATTGCTGTCACTGGAGATAATTTTCCGGGGCCGCCGAGGCCCAGTGTTACTATCGTATGAGTTGCGGAACGTCGTACCGATGACGGCTCACACCCAGCGCTCCCAACTTTTTAATCTCGGTGGTAGGAGTTTTAATCCGATACCCTTAAGACTGACTAAAACCTGAGCAATATTTAGTCACGGTTTCGGTAGTATCGTCGCAACCATTGTTACTATGTCAAACTTTAAGTTAGCGTTGGCAGATTAATGACACAACACTCTCGGAACAAACACGGTGATGTTTTTCCGGTGCAAAATGTCAATAGACAAAGAGATGCACACAATGGGAAACTTTATTCGGTGGCGGTGAAGAACCCTTGCCAACGTGATTGGGAAAACAGGACGTTTTCGTGCCCTGGGCCCACACTCGCTTTGTGGATAGATTATTCTTATGAGTATAACGTGGTTTTGAGATAGTCTGCTAACAGCTCTGTGAGTACTTCATGTGTCACCAAAACCTTATCTGATCAACTCCAATCCGTTAAGAGAGGTGTTAGCGATTTTAATAGATCTTAAGTAATCGCACCATAAGACCCATACTGCGATTTCCAGAGCTTATCCTAGTTTCATAGTCAAGGGATGTGTACACATCCAAAAAAAATACTTCTGATATAGTAAGTTCTAATGCTTGCCGTTAATCGAAATGATACTTCCTTTCTCTTTAATCATTACCTCTACTCGATGGTGGTGCGCTGCGATCATCTCATCGCTATCGCGCACTCCGTACTAACCCCCATCGCAAGATATGGCTCCCGTGCAAACGCTTATCCTCGATGCTGGGCCCCTCATCACCCAGCCGGCACTGGTGTTGATGAAGCTCGGCGACGAGATCTACACCACCCCGGGTGTCCGCGGTGAATTGCGTGACGAACAAGTCCAGCGCCAACTTATCATCTGGGGCGATCGGCTCAAAGTGCGCCAGCCCAAGCCGGAGTCGATCCACCGGGTGACGGCGTTCGCCAAGCAGACGGGTGACTCCACCGTGCTTTCCCTTAACGATATCCACATCATCGCCTTAGCCTACGAGCTCGATGTGGAGGCTCACGGCGGCGACGATTCTCATATACGATCGCACCCTACCGAACCTAAAGCAGGGCACATCATTCAACAAACTCCGCCACAACAAGAACAACAACAAGAACAAGCACAACTGACGGAAACTACTACTGAGCGTCAACTGGAACCAGTGGCCGAAGCTTCTACTGCTGGTGAACCGGCAACAGAAGAACCCATTGAAGATGACGATGGTTTCCAAGTGGTGACCAAAAAGACTCGCAATCGCCGTCATCATCGTAAACACCAGCCTCAACCTGAGCCTCAGCCTGAGCCTGAGCCTGAGCCTGTTGTTGAAGAAATCCAGGCTGACGAAGTTCTCGAACACGTGGAACACCAAGATGACGCTGGAGAAGTCGACTTTGATGACGACGAAGGGTGGATCACTCCGGACAATATCAACCAGGAAATGCTTAAAGACGCCGCTGACGTCGTCGAGGATGCCGCCCCGGCCGAGCCGTTGAAGTGTGCGTTGGCCACGGGTGACTTTGCCTGTCAAAACGTCGCCATCCAAATGGGGCTCACCCTCATGAACTACTCGACGGGGAAACAGATCCACCGCGTGAAAAACTTCATGTACCGCTGCCACGCCTGTTTCAAGTTGACTCCAATCCCTAAGGACGGCACCCCCAAGCACTTTTGCCCCAAATGTGGTGGTGCCACTTTAATGAGATGTACCGTACTGGTGGACCTGGAGACGGGTAAAATCACCCCTCACTTGAAGCGGAACTTCGTCTACATCCGCCGTGGCGAACGCTACTCGATGCCGTCGCCGCTCCTGAAGATGTCGCAAAAGAAGGCCGGGCAACGGGGGTTCCAACACAACGAGGCCTCGAGACACCGCGCCGAGGGCGAACCGCTTTTGTTGCGTGAAGACCAGAAGGAGTACCAACAGGCACTCAAACACAACGAGTGGGAACGCCGACAACAGGAGAAAGCGATGCAACAGTGGGTTGGCGGGGGCAGCGCCGACAACTACATCTCGCCGTTTGCCCTGACCCATACCCGTAACCAAGGGGTGCGTGTGGGCCGGGGGCGCCACCTGAACGCGAAGAAGAGAAAGTAAATAATGGGGCCGTATAGAGATCTGTTTTTGCATTAAACATTAAACACACGACACGTAATTTTAACGACGCGTAGAGGTGAAGGCGGCGGGTATACGGCACCCTATAGTTGACTCGGGGTTTTTTTGAGGTATTAAAATGGTGTGTCACGTGACAAAAGCGAGACAAAAACAGACGCTGGCACCTCCGGAAAAAAAATTTATTTAGGTGACCTCGTAAACTCAAACGTGTAGATCTCCTAACCGGCTCATAACGTGCTGCTTCCCCTAACGGTAGTTTAGCTATACTCTCTCCCTCTTCCTCCAACGGCCTAGTAAATTTGCCAACCTGGATCAAACGCGGCAAGTCCCACTCTAACCGGTGGTGCGGCGTTGTCTCCACAAAACCGCTCACCAGTCAAGGGCGAGCAACACATACCCGTCAGCGGCTCCACTTCACAAAAGTTGCTTTGCGCACACCACTACTCTCGCGCAAAAAGACCCACCCGACGTCAAGTCGTTTTGCGGCTCGGTGGTGACTGGTCCGAAGGCAACCACGCTCGCCAGCCTCGCCCGAGGACCCTTGCCTCTGCACGGTGGCGCTCGATCATGGCTATCCGGCTACGCACCTTCGGCCCGTAGAATATGCCGACGGTCCTTCCGTGGCGTTTGGCTCACCCACCCCGGCTCCATTTGTCACATTTTATGGCTGCGGTTGTGTGCAGTACGCATGTTATCACGCCCTAAAACACCGGCCTCTGTCCAACCGCCAGTGCAGCACTAGGTCTCTTGCCCCCCTCATTGGAAAAGTCGTGAATGACGCTCTCTCTGTGGCAAGCTCCCGTGGCTCGTTTTGTCGACGACGCCCTCGCCACCAATGGCGCCAGCGTCGCCATCGCCCTCCGCCAGTACGTGGTGGCCCATTACCTTATTCACGGATGGTGGGGCTACGCCAACTTGTTGAGGGACATCGTGTTGTTGCTGATGGCTTCTCGATTATTCCAAACCGTGTGGACTTATGTTTACGGTTACGGCCCCGTGGGCTCGGCTAAGATGGCCTACAACTACCTGTCCCGCCGCTTCTTCGCCTGGGTGCTTTCGTTGCCCCCGATCAAGTCTAAGGTCGACAAACAGGTGTCGGAAGCGATGACTAAAGTCGAGGCCGGCTTGATCAAAAACGACGATTCGTTATTACAATTGCATAAGCTCCCCACCGAGGGGTTGCCGGTGAACGACATCGACGCCGAATTGGACAAGTTGGCCAACCTTGAACACACCGACTACCTCAACGGCCGCGTGCTGGGGGCCGTCTACCATGGCGGCGACGAGTTGCTTGCGCTCCAGACGCGTGCCTACGAAAAGTACTCGGTGGCTAACCAATTGCACCCCGACGTGTTCCCCGGTGTACGGAAGATGGAGGCGGAAGTGGTGCTGATGGTGTTGCGGGCGTTTAATGCCCCTGAAACCGGGGTCGGGTGTACCACTCTGGGGGGTACCGAGCTGCTTTTGCTCGCGGGTCTTGCCGCTAGAGAATACGGTAAGCGCTATAAGGGTATTACTCGTCCCGAGATCATCGCCCCGGTTACCATCCACGCCGGTATTGAAAAGGCGTGCTACTACTTTGGTATGACCCTTCACAAAGTCGACTTAAACCCCAAGACTTACCAAGTTGATGTCGCCCAAGTGAAGCGGTTGATCAACGGTAACACCGTGCTTTTGTGTGGTCTGACGCCTAACTACCCTCACGGGGTCATGGACGACATCGAAGCCCTCGGCGAACTCGCCACCAAATACAACATCCCCCTCCACGTCGACGCCTGTCTCGGGTCATTCATTGTCAGTTTCTTAAGCAAGCTGAAGGTCCACGGCGACAAGAAGCTCCCCATCACCGACTTCAGAGTCCCCGGTGTTACTCTGATCTCGTGTGACACTCACAAGTACGGGTTTGCCCCGAAGGGGTCGCTGATCATCATGTACCGCCTGCACAAGATGCGTGAATGTCAATACTACGTGCTGACCGACTGGACAGGTGGGTTGTATGGCTCGCCTACGTTGGCAGGGCTGCGTCCGGGGGCGTTGATGGTCGGGTGCTGGGCAACGATGCTCCACATGGGTGAAGATGGCTACACTAAGCTTTGCTACGAAATCGTGCTGACGGCAATGAAGTTCCGCACCGCCATTGAAACTCACCCGACTCTCCTGAAATACTTGGAGGTGATTGGTAACCCTCTTGGTCTGGTGGTGGCGTTCAAGACTAAAACGGACAATGTGTTCAACATCTACGATCTCTCTGACGATTTGAGCCACAAGGGCTGGCACTACGCCACTCTTCAAAACCCTCCCGCGTTGCACTTTGCCTTCACTCGTCTCACTGTACCTATCATCGATGAGTTGATTCAAGGGGTGGTGGACCTGGTGGAAAAGTTGGCTGCCGCCAGTGACGGCAAGCGGGCGAAGCCTCGGGGTGACACCGGCTCTTTCTATGGGGTGGCCGGCTCTGTGTCGACCACCGGCGTTGCCGACCGCTTAATTGTTGGCTTCTTAGACGCACTTTACAAGCAATGATACCTTGGTGTACATATATATATTTAATTTAGAACACTTGGATTATGCAAAATCCAAATTAATACATGCTTCTACCTATTCAAAACCTAAGGTGGTATATGGTTTTATAATCTATGTGCTTCTATATGCGTGGGGGTTGGTCTATGTAAGTTTGAAATGACGAGTGAGATAGCTGCCCAAAGCTCCACCTATTATGGTACACATTGAAACAGTCCCCGCAATGTCAAGCTTGCGTAATTCCACGGTGGTGAGCATCACTTGAACAACATGCGCCCACCACAACAGCAAATCGTATCGAGCTTGAACCAATAACAGCTTAAGTGATTCCCAAGCACCTGTAACCCCAGGGACTCGATCGGCTGCGTCTTTTTGAGCTTGAACTGCCTGTTCGTTTGCTTCTTTCTCTTTAGCGAGCTGCTTTTGATTGGCCTCGTACTCAGCTTCGACGGAGGGGGTGGTGTCTGCGAAGTGGACAACATCGTTGACAAAGTCCTTCACTTCATTTGCTGCCGAAGTATCAGCAACCTTCAAATTAGCAATTTCCTGGACAATTTTTTCATCGCCGGTTTCCACTGCCGTCATTGTTTGTTTCACTTTGGCTTCAAAGGCATCAACAAGCCGCTTACGCTTCCAGGGCTCAACGAAGAAAGTTGCGATTATGAATAATAACAAGTTAATGCCCATGATCACCCACGTCCCCCACGTCAGAGCTCGTCTAATCTTGTCACTCCAGATCTGTTCTTCGTGGTAACGGGTTAAGATCAGTTGAGTTAACTTCAATTGAATCGCATCCACTTTCAGTTCGGCTTCGTTCAAATTCTCTGCTGCCTCCTTCTCACGTAGTTCATTAGTATGATCATTTCTGTACAAATCGGTGAATCTTTCCAAATCTTTTGACGACCAATTGTGTTTGCGAGTAAGTAATTCATTAATCTCCCGTTGTGATGTCAGTCTGAGCTGAATGGCATCACCATAATCCAGTTTACATTCCTTCACTTGCTGTTTGGCAGCTTTCAAATCATCTTCAAGGTTATCAATCAGTTGTTTAAGCTTTTCAATCACAGAGTAACCAGTGACATCATTCAATGCTCGTGTGGCAGTCAACACAACCAGATGCAATGACTCGACTTGATCGCTAATCTTTTTCGCCCATTGCAGTTTGCGAGCTTCTTGACTGCTAGGTAAGTCCTTAAACTGGCGATGAATCTCTTCATTAATTTGTTGACTGATATTAGGGGGCTCTTTACCCAGTTCGTGGGCCTGTGCTGCTAGTGATGCCGCTTGACCCTTGATGTCATCGCCATCGGTATCTTCTTCAAGTTTGATAGCTTCTTTGTCTTCCTCTTGGGTACTCGCCTCGGGTTCAATCTTTACAGGTTCGATTTGAGGCGCTGATTCAAGATGTTTTATAGTCTCCTCCGTTTGCTCCATCTCCACTTTGGTTCGCTCGAGCTTCTCAGTAAGCCTAAGCCTCTCCACATTCTCCACCAGGTTATCAAGAGGATCAGGTTGTTCGTCACTGAATTTGCGTGGAGTTTGATTGACGGCATCGCCTAAGGTACTCCGGAACCGTACGAAGACATTGGATGGAAACTGGCGTCGTAGGAGTAGCGTTGGCGCTCGTAGAACCCCGACTCTAAACATGGAGGGGTGCAATCCTGTTGAGTGCAATGTTTGGGCCCAATCAAGTGAAGGTCACCGTTATGAGCGCGTGGAAGTGAGGTTTGGCTAATCTGATCAAGCATCAAACAATACCATAACGCCTGCTATAAGGGAGAGGTAACAATAAGACCATCAACAAAATTTGTAGCCTTCGTTTAATAGTTCCAGAAAAATTTCTGACGTTTCCAGTCACGCCAACATAGCGGACTGTATCAATGAAAATGTGTATATTCCTATTGTACAAAAGAAGGCCATTCCATGTAAACTATTACACCTTACTTCAATACTAATTATCACACTCATATCATAAAATCTTCAACAAACTAACAATTGACCTCACACCAAACATCAGGGATGACAGTATATATCACCACATAGCGTGCATACGTAGACAGCTTTCCCACACGAACAAGTCAGGGATTTTACTCCGACTATATCCGAACATTCACATTCAGCGGCTCCACATTCAAACATGGTATGTTTTTAAGAAGAATGATTGCCTTTATATATGCAACCACTTGGGCTAAGACAGTCCGTGTCAATGTGTGACCAAGTCGCTTCCAGAATATAAGATGATTAATCGTCACGAGGTGAACCGATGATTGTTTTAGATTCTGCCGAATCAGAAGAGACATCTCTAGATGAACAAGATAGCCGTTGTAAGGTTGGCATGTTCAATACGACTGCAACCCTACGACCAACAGTCAGGAACGTGGGCGTGACCATGATTTGTAGTCGATTTTTTCGTTTACGAAACTGTGGGAGATATCGGTTGACAACGATCCACCGTCACCCGCAAATCACGATACCAATAAGGTTAATAATGTCGGTACTTTTTTTCGATCCGAAAGCTGGCATTTCGCCGGATAATCTCTTTCGTGATCGAAACCGATGTTCACAAAATGAATATCTTCAAACACGACGATCCATAGAGTTGGATCACTTTGAGCGTGTGGACACGAGCTCAGTTTCGAGTCCTGTCGATCTCTTTTCGCACAAGCGTTCAGAGGTGTCTACAATACAGCTCTCCAGTGCGCGCTCCATTTGCCACTATGTTCTTGACTCGAAGCGAATACGATCGCGGGGTGCTGACGTTCTCTCCCGAAGGGAGATTGTTCCAAGTTGAATACTCGCTCGAAGCTATCAAGCTTGGGTCTACTGCCATTGGTATCTGCACTCTGGAAGGCGTGATTTTAGGGGTGGAAAAGCGGGTGACCTCGCCACTTCTTGAAGCCAACTCCATCGAGAAAATCGTCGAAATTGACCATCACATTGGCTGCGCCATGTCTGGTTTGACCGCTGATGCCCGGTCGATGATTGAACACGCTCGTGTGCTGTCGGTCACCCACAACTTATACTACGACGAAGCGATCGGTGTCGAGCCGTTGACTCAGCTGGTGTGTGACTTGGCATTGCGGTTCGGCGAGGGTGCCTCGGGTGAAAAGCAGCTTATGCTGAGACCATTCGGGGTGGCGTTGTTGATTGCTGGCTACGACAAGGACAAGGGCCCTCAATTGTACCACGCGGAGCCGTCGGGGACTTTCTACCGGTACGACGCCAAGGCGATTGGTTCGGGTTCCGAAGGTGCTCAGACCGAATTGCAAAATGAATATCACAAGTCACTTACGCTAAAGGAAGCCGAACTTTTGACGCTCAAAACTTTGAAGCAGGTGATGGAAGAAAAGTTGGACTGCAAAAACGCTCAATTGGCCTCAGTGACTGCCGATGGTGGGTTCCAAATATACCCTGATGACAAGACTGACGCTATTATCAAGGAGTTGGCTGAGCAGGAAAACGATGAGATGGAAGAATAATGGTATAGATACGAATTCAATGAGAGGTAAACCACGTTTTTAGTAGATATTTACGACCTTCTACCGCATGTTACGCGTAGCAGCTCAATAACTGTTTAAAATCTCGATGTCGATTTGGGTTTGACGCGTCAACGTGCTACGGTAATTATCATAGGCGCTATCATAAGCGTATCAGGCTGGGATCACTTTTAGCAATGAAATAAGACACTCATTTCATTTACATCAAGGTAGCCAACCCCCGTTAGGTCTCCCCCAGATATCATTCTTCCATAACCTTCCGTCGCCGATTGGTCGCAGGGTCACAATTGCTGAGCCGCACTTTTCGCCACCCCTCTCCACCTTCGACCTCACTGCTATGGAAGACCCCGTCAACTTGAATGAGGACGACGTGTATCTCAAATACAAAAAGCTCCAACGGGAGTTGGATCTTTTACAGCTCCAGGAAGAGTACATCAAGGACGAACAGCGACACCTCAAGCGTGAGCTTGTGCGGGCGCAAGAGGAGGTGAAGCGCATCAAGCTGGTGCCGTTGGTCATTGGGCAATTCCTTGAGCCCATCGACGACAAGACAGGGATCGTTTCTAGTACCACAGGGTCGAACTACGTGGTGAGAATCCTCTCAACTTTGGACAGAGAGTTGCTCAAGCCATCGTCGCTGGTGGCCTTGCATCGCCACTCTAACGCGCTTGTCGACATTCTTCCTCCTGAAGCCGACTCGCTGATCTCTATCGTTGGCGATAACGAAAAGCCGGATGTTACCTACGCTGATGTGGGGGGTTTAGACCTGCAAAAGCAAGAGATCAGAGAAGCAGTGGAGTTACCGTTGACTCAAGGTGATTTATATAGCCAGATTGGTATCGACCCACCTCGTGGTGTTCTTCTTTATGGGCCTCCGGGTACCGGTAAGACGATGTTGGTGAAGGCAGTGGCGAACGGCACCACCGCTTCGTTTATCCGGATAAACGGGCTGGAGTTCGTGCAAAAGTATCTCGGTGAAGGTCCCCGGATGGTGAGAGACGTATTCAGACTTGCTCGTGAGCACCTGCCGTCCATCATTTTCATCGATGAAATTGATGCCATTGCCACTAAGCGTTTCGATGCTCAAACCGGGGCCGATCGTGAAGTGCAACGTATCTTGTTGGAATTGTTGAACCAAATGGATGGCTTCGAACAGGATCTGACGGTGAAGGTCATTATGGCCACCAACCGTGCCGACACTCTTGATCCGGCTCTTTTGCGTCCCGGTCGTTTGGACCGTAAGATCGAGTTCCCCTCATTGAAGGATCGTCGGGAACGTCGTCTTATTTTCACCACAATTGCCTCCAAGATGAGTCTTGCTCCTGAAGTTGATTTGGACTCGTTGATTGTGCGTAACGACCCCTTGTCCGGAGCGGTGATTGCCGCCATCATGCAAGAGGCTGGTTTGCGTGCTGTGAGAAAGAATCGGTATATGATTTTGCAACTGGACTTGGAAGAAGCCTACACTGCTCAAGTGAAGACTGGCACTGAGCACGACAAATTTGAGTTCTACAAGTAAACGAAATCAACGTGGATAGCCGCGAACTCTTCCCGCCTGAGGTCAACTCATGTGGGATCATATAAAACAGAATATAATCATGACGAATCTTTACGTAGATTAGATTGGCGCGGCTGTGCGACGAATTTCACATGCGAATCCAAATTAACAAAAATCTGTCGACTTTTCGAAAGTTGCTTGTGATAATCGACTCGCCATCGCCCAAGCTGACACTATTGGCATATTTTTCAAACTCATTATCACATTCACTTGTTTACATGTCAGCTTAGATCCACAGACCAGCTAGGAGTCCACTTGAGCCGCGTCGTGAGCGAAAATTATCCGTGAGATACCGATCAGCCCGTATCATCAAACTTGTGACTTGACGTAGGCGGGTGGCGGAGCCGATTCTTCCCGTTCGTAACGAGGGAGATATTCGTTCAGGGGAGCAGACACTTGCTGTTGATGCTGCCTGCAACGCCGTTGACGTGATGGGAACAGATATGCATCATTGTGGCGCCGACCCTTGCGTCGGACGATGACCACGACGATTGCCAACACCAAAGGTCCCAAAGGCACGATGAACAAACACGAGTAGGGATTGTTGAAGCTGCGCCGTGCAAGCAACTTGAAAGCTACTCTATGGTCTATCTAACAAAGGGATGTCATCTCCGTAGACAATTGGCAGTGTCATATTCACGCTTATCTCATCAAGTCCGATTATGAAAGTCCGATAATTTAGTCCCACGAGAGTAATGGGATGGGCTTGGTGGAAGCAGGAGTGCGGTCATGTGCATTCGGAGACAGGCTTCTTTTCTTGGCTAGTGGGTAACACGTTGTGTTTAGACACTCTGTCAACTACAACTAGATATCTACGGCATTTGGAAGGGCGTTCTGGACCTCATGATAACCACTAGCGTATCAGAAACTATCGGCGATGATTTGATTTTCAGAATCACGGTGTCTCGCTTATACTTAAAAACTTGGGTGTGGGCTCGAGACCAGACATGTGGCTGAATGGGATGTTCGCCTCAGGGTCAGATTACTATGGCGCAATCTATCCCGAGGAGCAATCTGATCGGACTACGTTTTGGCTAAACTGATCAGGCCATCATCTATCTCCCTGATGGCTTCGTCACCATGTTGTGCGTAGGTGAGAGTAACAATGGAGCTGAAAAGGATGTTCGAACGCATTCACTTGTAAGAGGCGGCAGGGGCAAGTTTGATTGTTTTTAGATATGAGGACTGATTTGTCCCCTGTATCTTTAGCGCCGATTGTACAATCTCGTTTTGTGTGGTTGTACAAGGCGTACGCTCGTGTCCGTCCAACGTGCACCCGAATCGGACAGGATATGGTGATATATTGCCAACACGCAATAGTGAAAATATAACCGCCTGATAGATATATATATAGTTAGATACCTCAATTACATTCCTATAAACAAACGGTCATGACTAGGGTGGCTTTAGTTACAGGAGCCTCGCTGATTATTGGGTCGGCTTTGGCTAGAGAGTTGTGCGCTCAAGGATTTGTGGTCTATGCCGGTGACCTCAATCTTAAAGCCATATCCTACCTCAGAAATTTCGGAATCATTCCAATTTTGCTTGATATCACCCACCAGGGCTCAGTGGAGTCAGCCCGAGAAATGATTGAATCAAACAATGGTCAGTTGGACGTTCTCGTCAACAATACCGATCTCGATTATCACGGCGCTGCCACAGACATGAGGGATAAAGACATCATCGCATGTTACAATGCTAACGTCTTTGGCCCAATGAGAGTGGTTCGGGAATTTGCTCCCTTATTGATAAAGGCAGAAGGAACCATCACATTCACCGGGTCAGTGGCGGGGATATTTCCGTTACCGTTTTCATCCACGTATAATTCGCTGAAAGCTGCCATTCATCAATATGCTGCAACGTTGCGGATGGAAATGAAGCCATTCAACGTCAAGGTTCTCAATTTTGTTACGGGATCAAGGAAGTCAGATCACCATGATCAATTTGCAATTCGTCGCAATTCCATTTACAATCGCCCCGATTTGAATGAAGCTTACAATCATCGCGAGGTGTTTTTGAAAAGTCGTATTGACCCTGACGAGTATGCTGCACGAGTTGTACGCGATATCCTTGTTGCTGGCGTTGATAGTTCCTTCGACAACTATCTTGGGGTGAAAACTCCCCGAGTGATCACGTTGCAACACTGGTGTCCTCGGTGGATTGTGGAAAAGATCTTAGTGTCTCAGTTCAAGTTGGGAAAGGCATACCGCCGGATACGTAGTGATTCCCAGCTGACCTGTGAATTTCGGTTTAACGATACTGCATGAATGAATAAATGCTCAAGTAGCTGATTTTGAAAAATTGTGCAATAATCACAAATGTCTCACTCAAGCAAGATGTAATGAAATCTGTACAGCTATGAGACCTACCATAATGCCAGGCGGCTGAGACAACTCGGATCCCTGGCTACTTGCTGGTCTTGGCGAGAGGGGGCGCCGTACGAAAGCGCAAGCACATGAGTTATGAGGCTGTGACATTCAAAAAGTAATGTATCACTAGTGTTTCGGAGGTCCTATTTTCTAGTCTGCGTTCGTAATAAATAGATTAAACTCGGGTTTGCACCCCAACTCTGTAATCCCGGGTAACTCTAGATCTCTTTCCCTCACCTAAATGTCAGTTTCCCATATCATGCCCCTCGCGCCGATTTGGGTTGCCGCGGTGCATGACTTTGACGGGAATCACCGAAAAAATCAGAAATTTGGTTCTTATCGCCCAGGCTGCACAACCAGCGTGCCCCTGTGATTGGTGTTAGCAAGGAAACAGGATCAACGGAAGCCGCCCACACTGCGACTCAATCCGATATAGGTCGTGACTCACTATACGATATGGTGCGTGTTAGTTGTGTGATTTATATCAGCAGGCATCATGTAATTGATATCAGCAGGCATCATGTAATTGCGAAGCGGTAATTCGTCTTGATTACTAGCAAAGAGGGTTTTTGTGAACTCCGAAGAATGGATCTCCGACCGACCCACATAACCCCTTTACGTCATTCACTAGATATCAGCTAATGTGCCATTCAAAAAGATCTACTCTATCGTCCGTTCATTTGAACCTAATCGGACACGTTTACGAAAGCAGCCATGCACAGATTGTGTGCGATTCTATAGTAAGCCCTCGCGGAAAACTTGAGATCTCGACACAAAGAGCGGCTCCTCTAAACTATCCACTACGAAGACGGAACGTCTTGAGCCCATCACGAGGCGGACCTCCTCGTACACCCTTATGTGGAACGATCATCAGAAAAAGAAATAACGGCCGGGTTCAAGCGAAAAGCGGAGCTTAATTTCTCAATTAGAAGCCCTAGCCCGTGACGCGTAATGACCTAGACAAAAATGCTGGGAGCGAAGGGCGGTGCGATGAGCTAGCCTCGGATTCGCCCAAATCTTAAAAGCGATGCAGTCCGAATGAAATACCCCAGAAATACCCGGAGAAGCGGCTAAAGCTTGCAGCTAAATGGAATTCCTACTACGTGTCTCAACTGATAGTATATCGCACCAAATAGAGAATCGACCCGTCCTTACTTGCCGATAGCATTGTCTTGAATTTTGTAGCTCACTATACTCCCCTCCTTACACGTGACACCGCTTTGCCAGGTTCATTTAAGAGTGTGGGGTAGTCCCCTCAACGGTAGCCTCCGACTACAGCAATGATGCGGCAAAACATGCTTGGGTGCATTACCGGGTGCAAGGAAGCAAAAGATTGAGGCTACCGTTAACCAACACTAAGACTACTTCTCCAACATCTGAAACACTGTTGTGACCACAACGTGATAGGCGCAAGGCGATTAGTTGTGTAAAAACTTTTAGTTGAGTAGCGAATACGGCGGGTATCCTGCAGACAGTATAGCTTGGAAATGCGAGATTCCCCAGTTAGTCACAAACTCGATACACCCAAGGGGGCGTGTTAATCGATGGCATCGCGTATGATAGTCACGCAGGGCTGCCAAATCAGCTAACTTCCCCTATCGATTTTGCCAGCCCCTTTGCGCTTCCATCTCAGGATCGCTCCGGACCGAGGTCGCTCCTTGCTTTTCCTCCGTGTATTCATGTACCTTTGGATCATATATTGACCTGCATATAAATTTAAAGAAGATTTTCGGGGTTGGCCGTCTGGGCGTCTGCATTTCGCCAAATGTGGAGAAAGATCACCAAGCAAATAAAAGCATGAGAAATGCCACTCCATTCCTCCATATTCCACACAACCATCCTATCCACACAACATGAAGGTAGTGGAAGTGGTCAAGCACCAAGCTATGCGGTTCGTCAAGAAGTGCACCACCCGGGAAGGGATCTTTGGTGACTATGACTACAAATACTTGTTCGTGCCAGAGGTTCCATTCTTCTCCAAAGAACACAAGACGCAACCGTTCTTCGGAGTTGACGCCGATATGCCCATCTTCCTTGGGTTCATTTTAGGGTTCCAACACGCCCTTTCGATGTTGGCAGGGGTGGTGACTCCCCCCATTCTTATTGCCGGTGTCGCCAACTTGCTGCCGCAAATCACACAGTACCTTGTCCTGGCATCGCTTATCATCTCGGGTTTGTTGTCGATGGTGCAAATTACCAGAGTTAGGTTGTTCAAAGGTTACTATATGGGTACCGGTCTTTTGACTATGGTGGGGACTTCTTTTGCCTCCATCGCTGTTGTCACTAAGGCGTTCCCCATGATGTACGAGCTGGGAGACTGTCCCATTGCTGCCGACGGCACCCAGTTGCCCTGTCCTGATGGGTACGGTAAGATATTAGCCCTGGCTGTCATCTGCTCCCTTCTTGAAATTGCTCTCTCGTTCACTCCCGCTCGGATTCTTCAACTGGTGTTCCCCAACATTGTCACTGGTCCCGTGGTGTTGCTTATCGGTACTCACTTGATTGAAACAGGTATGACCGACTGGCTTGGTGGGTCAGCGTGTCACGGTACTGACACTGTTTGTCACATCGGGGGTCACGACAAGCCCTGGGGTCTGGCTCAATACATCGGGCTTGGTTTCCTTGTGTACGTCACCATCTTGTTGTCTGAACGTTTTGGTTCCCCGATCATGAAGTCGTGTGCAGTTATTATCGGTTTGTTGATTGGATGTATCGTCGCCGCCGCTGCGGACTACTTCGATGGTCTGTCGATTGGTCTTGCTCCTGCTGCCACTTTCGTCTGGGTACACACATTCAAACTCGAGCTTTACGGGCCTGCCATTTTGCCATTCCTCGCAGTGAGACTTGTGCTCATGATGGAAGCCATTGGTGACATCACCGCCACTTCTGATGTGCTGAGGCAGCCCACTGAAGGGTTGTTGTACGAGACCAGAATTCAAGGTGGGCTTCTTGCCGATGGTATTAATGGTATCATCTCGGGTCTCGGTACGGTTACCCCCACCTCGACTTTCGCTCAAAACAACGGTGTCATCTCCGTTACGAAGTGTGCCAATTTGACTGTTGGTTACTGGTGTGCTGGGTTCATGTTGATCATGGGCGTTTTCTCCAAGTTCGCCGCCGCCATTGTCACCATCCCCAAGCCAGTCTTGGGGGGTATGACCTCGTTCTTGTTCTGCTCAGTGGCCATCGCTGGTGTCAAGATTATTTCTACTACTCCCTTCACTAGACGTGACCGTTTCCTTCTTACTGCTTCGGTCCTTCCTGGTATGGGTGCCATCTTGTTGCCCAACTGGTTCGAACATGTGTTCACTTACAAGGGTTCCAACAACGCCCTTAAAGGTTTCTTCAATGCCATTGTGCTTGTGATGCAAACTGGGTTTGCCATCACTGGGTTCATTGGTGTTATTCTTAACCAATTCTTGCCTCAAGTTGGCGACGAAGCTGAAGAAATCGAGGAAGTTGTCCTTGAAACGGTGGGCTCGGCTGGTCAAGATGGTCGCAACCTTTACGCTTCTAAGGAAAACGACAAATTGCAAACCTTCAACCCCAATCACACCCTGGTGGAATACTTGGGCACCCAATCATCGAATGAGCATGAACGGTAATAATGAAGTAATGAAACCGCTAAACGAGTTCCGGATATAATCAATGACATAAACTACACTTTTAATTATCATATGACTAATTGCAAGATTAAATAAAACTGTTGCCTCAGCAATATGCTCTATCTGATTCGATATTCCTAAATTCGTCCCATAATTCTCGTCCTAATCCTCTACCCTGAAACTCAACTAACCAATTCCTAACTAAAACGTTCTCAAAGGATCACGGTCGGTTTGTGACACGATAATTTCGGCTTCTTTACCAAGCTCTTTTTCCAATTGCTTCTTGAATTCAGCAAGGAAAGCTCTTTCGGTGTTGCTATGGTTGCAGACAAGAACCGCCGATCCGTTTTCGGTAAGATACAAGGCTTCATGATGACTCAATTCGCCGGTGTAGTATAAATCCGCTTTGACTTTACTAAGCACACTCCCTCCAGAGCCAGCGCATAAAGCCACGGAGGAGATTTCTTGATACTGATCTTGATTGCGAGCAAACCCAACCTGAACGTGATCAAGCTTGAGACCCTTCTTCACATTATTGATGATGTCGCCAAGCTTGAGAGGCTTAGCGAACTCAACGATGCGACCCATGCCGCAATCGGCGGTGGCTTCGGTAGCTGACGAAGCTTCAATAGGCCGTCTCAGCTTGATCTCACCCCCAAGGGTTTCGACAAGAAAGTCATTCACTCCACCCACCTGGGAGTCCACAGCGGTGTGTGGGCAATACACGGCAATGTTATGGCTAATGAGCTTGAGTAAACTGCGTTGCTGCGGGTCATTTTGGGTAATCAGTTTCAAGCCCTTGAAGATGAAAGGGTGGTAGGCCATGATGAAATTGCAGTTTTGATCAATTGCTTCTTGAGCAACATTCTGGGTAAGGTCAATGGTCAATAACACCCTGACAGGAGCCAGCACGTCGGACACCGTGTCAACAAGGAGACCAGTATTATCCCAGGACAGGTCAGCCAAAGCCTTCGGGTAAAGCTTTTGGACTAAAAGGAGGTTAGCAATTCATCCATTAACCAACAAGAATTGGATTCAAACATACTTGCTTGCACAACTCGATTAATGTTCCGAGACATGGTGACAGTAATTCGTGGGGAAATGCGTGCGATGAGGGGAGTGGAGATATCCCCTAGCAAACAAACTTAGACAACCCCTGCATAGCAAATTTGACCTGTTTGCAATGTGAATATATCGACGGAGCGAAATTGAGTATACTGATACTGGTTTGAAATTTACTTTATTAGGTATGGGTGCGACGTGCAACCACCATAACTACTCTATATAAAAGATCAACAAATGTTCGAAAAGCCAGCTTTTCAATCATTATCAATATAATGACGGTTCAAACTATCAATCCACAGAGCCCATACTTCCCAGGCCAAAACCCCGCCATGGAGATGTTTGTCCCAAAGCCATAAAGAGTACATCAACTTAAGATTGGGCTGAATGATAATATTGAATCTCTGCACTCTCACATAAAGATACGCCACTGCCAACAGCAAGTTGAACTTCACCATGAGCAGGGCTATCACCAACAGTGCCAGACGCAGAACTCCAATCCGACAGTGTACCAAAGTGCGGGGACACGGTCGCGGACGAGGACGTACTTCCGAGCCAAATCCACCTTTATCAAGGCCTAGTTTGGCTTTAACGGCGCTGGGACACCGGAACAAGAATGGTAGAAGCAGGTCGCGTCCATCATCATTGAAGTTGTAAAGGAAGATCACCGATTTAACCAGAGGTGGCGAATTCGGTAATCTGGTGCAATCAACTTCCAATATCCTGATATCCTCATAACGCCATAGCTCAGTATACTGGCCAGAGTCGATCGATGACAGGCACCAGCGAGGACAATCGCCCAAGGATATGATACGTTCAATATTGAGTGCTCCAACGACAGTATACGACGACGCATGGAGCCATGAACCAAGGTATAGTTCATTATCTAATATCGTAGCGGGGAAATTGATGTCAGCTCCTGCTTGAAACCAGTCGTTAGGAGTTGTCATTGAAAAAGCTTCGGAAGGCTTAGCCAAAGAAGTTTGTGATGGAGTTGGAGGCTGTGCAGATTGCACTCCTTTAGCAAGTCCTCTTTCCCGTACTGGATGATTCATGGTTTGAACTTGGGGAAGCTCCCGTGGTAAAGTTGACGGCGCTACTTCAAAGTTTCGTGAAATATCTGGTAGACGTTCCTTGAGCGTAAACAGTTTACTCTTCGAAATTTGATCCAAGTATTTCTCAATGCCTTTCAAAAATGCATAATCAGTCTTGAATAAGTAAAGACGAACACGTCGACGAGTCACAAGTTCAGTAATCGCATTTTCAATCAGCGTCCTCCACATTACTTTCGCCATTGCTACCATGAAAAGCAGCACACCTGTGAAACCATCAAATGAAAAAAGATAAATGGGGGCACCACTATGTAATAATTCGTGCATGATCCGTATGGCGTTAACGAAGGATGGTGCTTGTGCATAGGAATAACTTCCCAGGGGAAATTCCAAGTAATAGTGGGTATTCCGCATTTGTCGATGCCAATCATGAGCCACCATCAAGAGAGTCTCGTACAGCGGGGGCTTTGTCACCAGATCATGACATTCAATGATCAATTTGAAGTTCAGCTTGCAGATGGTGTTAAATTCTTCGGCAGTACCAACAACTAAGTGGTCAAATAAACGAACGGTACCATGGACTGCAAATAAAAGCGCTTGCTCATAAGCTAGGAGTGGACAGAATCGATGCGGACGTGCTGGATTAGGTGGCGACTTAGTTAAAAGGCCAGTCTGTGACCATTTAGAGTCTACTAAAGACTCTCGTAAGAATTTGGGGACAGCCAACCAACTCGACAGATTTAATACACAAATGAAAATCGTACCACAACAAAGAGGCTTCGCAAATTGAGCACACCGATGCAAGTAGCTTATATCCAGCCCGTACAACAATAGCAGCAGTGCTTGGGCCATAAGCGAGAGTTGACTGCCGAAGTTGCGGTTCAGAACCTGAGTCAAACTTGATTGTGGTGGGGCTGTCAATAGATCTTCAATAGGAACAGAGTTAATGAGTCTCCAAGTCCCTTGAAGGTCAGGATTCACGGAGCATTCAACGGTGATGAGGTTGCATGTAAGTGGCGGTAACACTCGACAATTGGAGTCGCTTGCGAAAAACTGGCGCTGATGAGCCAGGTAAAGATGATGGAGCCACGGGAAGAAGGTAGCTTCCACACGAAATGGATTATCATCGTCCCGTTTCTGATCGTAGTACCATTGAAGTAGCCGAACAAGATCTTCCGTCAGCTTGAGCACGATGACACGATCCTCTGACAAAATAGACCCGCTTGGTGTCACCGAGATTGGGGGAGCAAGGAAGTCAGTCAGGGATTTTGGGCTCCTGAGGGCAGTCGAAGGCTGGCTTGGTGAGTCCACCATCGACAGTGGTGGCCCAATCAGACATGTACTCATGGCGTCTAGAATGAGGGGAACGGTGCAATATAAGCCCCGACCAAATTCTCAATTGGGAGCACGAGCACGCCAGATGCGTCAGGGGAAGACTTGGTTTACATTCTGCACTGACACGATACCGTGTCCAGACGACTTTGCGGGGTAGAAGGGAGACAATCGAAAGACGCGAAAGAGAAAATCTACATCTATAACTGCACGAACGTCGATAATCATCGTAGTACTGTTCATTAAAATTACGAACAAAGCGTGTGCCCTCGGGTTGGAGAACTGGGGTACTTGTTTTCTGATTAAGCAGGGGTACAGTGGTACATGCACGACTTCTCCTAATGGCTTCCAAGGGCTCGATATACTCAATCGCGTCGGCTGTGTCGATTGTGTGCACAGCAACTACAATACGCGAATACTTGAAGTTATTCGGTTTGCAATTTGTACCCCATAAATGTACGTTTTCCTCGAGTTTCGATCTTGATGAAAACGAATCTAGTTTACGGATATTTGCACAGACGCCGTCAATTAAACTTCATAAGGCGCTTGAGTACGGCACCGCCACAACAAGATGATGGAGGAATATCGGACAAATATCGGACTCAATGACGTAACTAAGATCAACGAGACACAAATGGCGTATTGTCCCTCTTTTCTGAATGCAAGGGTCCTGAGGGTGATTAAAGCTGAATATTCGTAGTTATGTGAAACGTATATATTAAAATCTACACTGGTTAGCTTTGTGGCTTTAATTTTCGAGGGAACAGGCAGGTATCATATAGCAACATTATCGTTACCAATCGGGGAAACAAAATTGGCGGAACGAGCAACCTTATATGACTTGTATTTTCACATCGAGTCACTGACTTGAAGTCAATCCAACCAACTCATTTGGATCCTCTGGATACTGAAACGTTGAAATACACATTGACGTTCATTCAACTCTGGGACGGCAAATAACAAGAAAATCGTCACCTACCAAGCTAAAATGCTATAAAAGAACTATACGACTACTGAATTAGCCATGTAAATTTTGGGATTACGTATTTCATAGACTTTGCCCTGAAACGAGAACCACGTAGGTTGCGCTAGTGGAAGCTTCCCCCAATGTTTGCGCTCACTAGTGAGCACTAAAATTTTGAGCCCTGATTAATGATAACCCTCATCTTCCCTCTATCACAACGCGACGCGAATACCTCATCGCTATGGACCTCCACCGACGTGCCGAAGAGGACTTGGAAAACTATCTTGCCGAGCAGCAGCGTGATGAGTTGGCACAACAGAAAGAACAGGACGAGGCGCTTCTGAAACGCCCTCGGCTCGACGACGAGCTCCGCTTCATGGCCCATCATCTTGAGCGGCTGACGGAGCTGGCCACCGCCAAGGAAGCCGATAAAGAGGTTGGTGTGGTTGACCCTGCCATCCTGGGAGTTCAGTTGGACGCCAACACTGCTCAAGCTGGCACGGTGGCGTCAGTTGTTGCGCCTTCCGCTGATGCGCTGGTTGCGGCGCCAACGCAATGGCACGGCATTGAAGTACCAGCTAACCTGGAGTTATTCAATACAAACGAAGCCGTTGCTGCGTATAAGGAGCTCAGTTCGCAACTACCACCCCTTGCAGCTTTATCACAGGCTCATTTGGCTGCCCTTCCTCTTCCAATCGTCGCTGCTGACTACTTGCCACCTCGGATTCAATTACTTATCAACACCTTACCCACTCTTGATAATTTGGCCACCCAGTTACTTCGAATTGTTGCTGTGGGGCCTTACCAGAAAATCATCGATCTCGCTCTGAGTCCTGATACTCCAGGTGGGGCTACTTTTCGAGACTTGGCACTGTTATTTGAGTTCACCAAACGATTATACCTGGAAGACGATCCGTTCTTGACTGTGGAACATTTAGCTCCTGGGATGTGGAAGGAAGGGGAGAAAACTCCTCTGATGTTTCGTAATCGAGAACAACTGATCGAGCTGACGTTGCGTAAAGTAAACCTAGCCACATTCCTTATGGCCACTTTGGGTACGTTGGAAGTGGGTTTCTTCTACTTGAACGAACTGTTCCTCGATGTGTTTTGTCCCAACAACAATTTGGACCCGTCCAATGCGCTCAGTAATATGGGCAACCTGCTGACATTGCAGCTGGGGGTTAACACCGCAATCGGTGATAGAGTCGGTAAATTGCTTAAGCCGACGGCAAATTTATACTTGGATCTCAAAACCCAAGCATACATTTCGGCAATTGAAGCTGGCGAACGACTGCTGGAAGAAATTCTCAAGGATATCTTACCTGACGACATGAAAGAAATTTTGATCGGACGTCGGGGTGTCAAAAACTTGAATCCTACTGAAATCGATTTTATTGAAAGGTGTTCGCAACGGAAGCAGGTTCTTTTGGGCTGGCCTGAAGGCGAGGATTTGAGTCATGAGTATGAGTGGTTTACGTTCTTGCGTGACTTGTTTGATTACGTACTGAAGAACATGGGGTTCATCATCTGGGGTAAGCGCGGGCGCCAACTGAGAGGATACCTGTATACTCCCACTGTGCTGCTGGATTCAAACGCAGTGCACGTGGCGATGCCAGCTCATTTGCAACAAGCACCGTATACGGCTCTGCCTGGACCGCAGGCTCCTGACCGTGACATTGATCGAGTGGAACTCAACAAGATTACACATGAATTGCTTCCTCTGGAAATTCAAGAACAACAAATCCATTTACGACTCAATCTGCTGGGACCAATCCGCAATAGTCAAAGACGACCATGGACCAGAGAGGAAGAAAAAGCATTACGACATGCTCTTGAACTCAAGGGTCCGGCGTGGGCAACGATTCTCGAGTTGTTTGGCGCTGGTGGTAAGATTTCGGAGGCACTCAAAAATAGAACTCAAGTGCAATTGAAAGATAAGGCCCGTAATTGGAAGATCTTTTTCCTCAGGCTGGGACTTCCTGTTCCTGGTTATCTTCAAAATGTGACGGGTGAGTGGGACCGCGACGCAGCAAGATCCAAACCTGCTCGCCGGAAGCAACTGAAAAAGACTGCTGCCGCTCCCGTTCCAAAGCCATGAGCGGGATACTTGCAGACATCATATTTACAAGTGTCCTGACATTTTGGAGCATCATTGCATACGACGCCATTTCATATCACTTAGTGCTGACTTTGCCGGCGAATACCAATGTACCCTGACAGATCCGTTTCCATCGTATATCGTCGTCGAATCGTGAAAGTTTTATAAAGTATCGTAGAATTATAAAGTATCGTAGAATTATAAAGTGTATTATTAACAAATAGATATATGGTTGGATGTATCAATTGACTGTGACATGAAACGCCTAGGAATGAATCTGTCAAGGTATGCAATTCTTACACATACGGCAATCAAATCGAGTATTGAGACGTATTTATAAGAGTTTCCATGATCACCACGACCATTGCTACGAAATCAGTTCGTCTTTATCGTTGCCGCACTCTCGCGCGCTATCGCCTCCAACTCACACTTCCGTTATGGATACGTTCAAAAGCATTGCCGGGACACCCGACAGTGATGATGCCGATGTTCAGAGGCTCATTGAGTTCTATGATAACGACATAAACAATGCGTTGGCTCACTACTTTGAACAGGGGTTCGAAGGAATCAGTCTGGGGGCACAAATGCATGACACGCTGGGGCTCCATCACCGTCCGGCACCCGAGCCCCCGACCCACATCCCTTCCAGAGATTTCAGACAAGAGGCAGTTAACTTGCACCAGCAGATGTTCCAGGATGGGCTAATCCGTCTTCCTAAGGCTCCTTCCGTGAGTAATAATTGGCAGCTCGATCTCGGCATCCACCGCCTGAAACGAGACCTGGAAAAGTATGATCCCGTCAAAAATAGCACCAGCCCCTGGTGGGTTTTGCTTCTCATTATACCCCGGCTGTTAATGCTGCTCGTGATGTGGATATGGCAACTTGTCGCTCCCAAAAACCCACCAAACCGTTTGCCTAAGCTGTTTGACTTCGAAGGATATATTGAGTCGTACGATCCCGAACTACCAGAGGAATTGGAAATAGTTACCTCCGACTTTGACGCCATTTACAAACAATGTCAGCTGCGCTACCAATGGCTCATTATCGTACTCGTTAATGACGAAACCGCCGAATTTGGTCAAAAGTTAGTGGCTCTGGAGTGGTTCAAAGATTATTACGGCACACAAGGCACGTACGCCCCGGCTAAAGTGTATTTTAGTAATGTTTCGTGTCAACCAGAAGCCCATGCTGTGGGTACTGCGTATGGCTGTCGTCGACTTCCATTCATCGCCGCTGCTGCCAATGTGCTGGCCTCACCAGCGGTCATGCCCTCGATGCTGGTTGTCTACAAGCTGAATATTAATCAGGCTTTGTTGGGTGACGAAGCGCATTCAACAATAGGTCGAATTGGACGCAATCTTAGTAAAATTGGAGACACATACAACGCACAACTTGTGAGTCTGCGATACGATTTACAAGAGATTGAATATGCAAGAGTGTTGAAGGAGCAGCAAGATCAAGCTTACGCCGATTCATTGGCTCAAGATCGTGAAAAGAAGGCAGCTAAGCAGGCTGCGGCTGAACAAGCTCAAAAGGCCGAGAAGCTCAAACGTCAACGCCGCCAATTTATGAAAGGTTTGACGCTGTGGCGAGAACTGGTGGAAGGGAAGGTATCTATGGCTATCAGACTTCCTCTGGGCCAGAGACAGATAGTGAAGTTAGCTCCCGATGTCACAGTGCAAGAGTTATATTTGTACATTGAATCGTTGTTATGGGATCTTCGTGAAGCTGAGGAGGCCGAGGAAGAACACAGCGATGTTGACCCGCTTTCATTTTCCGAATATTTCGAGGAGTTTCCATTCACGTTCGAAGTTGTACAGCCATTTCCGAAACAAGTGGTGGCCATCCTGTCAAAGGCAATTAAAGATGAGCCTGTGCTCAAGAGTGGCGCTAACTTGTTAGTAGAATATCTTGCATTGAGTGATGATGAAAACGACACGAATGAATAAACATAGTCTCTGGAGTCTAGATTGTTGAACATAAAGTTAAGCATGTAATGAATAAAGCATTGCTCGCAACGGACAACAACCGAATTTGTGGAGGATCGCTTGCGCCGATGAAGGCTAAAGCGGGGCGTACGTAAGGGTGCCGAGAATTTTGTCGCACCCGGTAAATGACAAGAATGATGCCGATGGTGCAGGTTAATTTGCTTTAAAATTACGGATGGAGCGTAATGACGCTGGAAGACAACGAGATGGCTAGTTTTTCTATTTTGACAGTGCACGATAGATGCACTCCTACAACCTTAATGTTAGCTAACTCCGGAGGACACCTCATTTGGCCACATTGGGAAACCTCCGAAATGGGACAATCTTAGGACTAAGGTTGCATTAAAATTCGAGAATAACTAGGCGCGCCCCTAAACTCACAAATTGGTGCTATGTCATTGATGGGCTGGAAAAAATTCTGTTGATAGATATGTTAAGGACATAAGGTTGTTTACATTGCAGCTTTTTGACAATGTGGACAGCTTGTAGAGATATGTGGACTTCAACGTATGCCGACCCATCCTGCATTTGCCGAAGGGGTGAGGGCCGGTTCTCACAGCTTAGACACAGACAATGTCAAATTTGCTCTGTAACAATTGAGGAGGACACAGTATGGAGGAAAACGTTCTCAAGAAATCGGGATTGATTACTTTTCCTTGTTGCCAGCAATCGGTCTAGACCCAGGCTAGATATAGCATCGAATATTTGTGTGAGGGGTGGCAATACGCCCGACATACCTGAAATCCCTGCTTATTGAAATGCATGAATACATTTATCATGTAGGGGATATATACTATGTGCCCTGCATGAACTGGAACCGCAGATTCGCTTGAACAACGGTCGCCAGTTGACGGTAAATACCAATTTTATACGACTCGAGTGAATCAGTAAATTATTTAAGAGAAGATTTTATTTGAGTCGCCTTTACCTTGGATTTGTTACCCCTTTCCATTTTTTTTTTGGCTCGTGCAGATTTGGTGCAATATAGTTGACATGAGTGGCACACATGACAGCTCATAAAGGAAAGTAGCCGATGTTCTTAACCATAAGGCCGGGGGCCGAGAAATAATTATTACCTTGGGCATTAGTATAAATACAACTCGCCAAAACCCTCTCTCCTGTTCTTTGCGCCGCTTGTTGAAAAGACGGTTGCCCTTTGGTTTTTGTATAATGACAATTGATCCTGTCTTTTTAGTGTTTTAGATATTTCCATATTTTTATAGTATAGTCAATCGACATTACAATGGTGCGCCTGTAGAGGTCTCAGACAATTCTGACAGTTTGTTGTGACAATTTGTCGGCATAGACTTGGATGGATCACTCAAGATGGCTTCGTTTGATTACATAAATATTGAGACGTCGCCCTGATCTGAGTTAATCTGCCGTGCTCAAAATCGGTAATCCGCTTATGTCACCGAAAACTTGTGGCGAATTTAAGGAAATAAGAGTCGTGGTGGCTCAGCGACATTCAATGGAGAGTTTGATTTTGATCATATGATCTATTTTCTTTGAGCCAAGATGATTTACAAGATTGTACAACGCCATCCTCTATAAGCATCTAAACAAGCTGATTTCTGGAGTTCTTGAACTGAGCGAGACTGTTTAGTAAGAGATAAAGAGTAATAAAAAAGCATGATGTGTGTGGAGGATATCAAGTGGAGCGGTTGAACTCCAGTTTTGGGGCAGTCGAATGCAGGAAACAATCAGCAATCAACTTTAATCAGGTCAGGTGACTTAAATTTTTGGCTATTGATGACGCCAAGTGTAGCACACATTTGGTACTCATCGACCGTGCTTTAGTTGAGACTTCAGTTGATATGAATTAAAGCCATCAATGAGTTGCTACTCCTTATTGCACCTCGCATAAAAGTTTTACCAGCGCTTCTCGGCTATTCGCATTCGGCTAGCTCTCAGTTTACGGCTATAAGGGGGTGGCATCTAGCCCTGCTAATTACACTACCTACATCACAACGTTGACCCAACCGCCTCGATGTTGAGTGGGGCCAGCCGCCTTAATTAGTAGCCCGCATGACGATTGCGGTTAAGGAGCCCTGCTGGTTGCGAACACCAGCAACGATCTTAGTTACCAACTCACCCCATATATACTCGGCAATACAAATCGAAATGCCTCCGACGAGGGTTATCAACGTCCTCACCCAATTGCCCTTGAAGATCGAGGAGAACCCGGGCAGCACCCCTCCCTACAAGCTTCGCCGCACCCGGGGGACGTCGGCGCTCTTTTCGCTGGTCCAATACCTTGCTGAAAACCCCGATTATGAACAACAAGTGGTAGCGTGGACAGGCGAGGCTCCTCGGCTTCTGCTGGAGGAACGACGTTACATCGAACTGCAACTTCCCGAGAGGATTCATCCCGTGTGGCTTGACGACCTGGAAGCCGGCGAAGATGACACGCAATTGGTGAAATGGCGGCGCTACCCTGAATGGGCACTTTGGCCAGTATTTCACTACATTCAAAATCAGCCTTCAGATGGTAAGGCTGAGAACGAATGGTGGCATGATTATGTGAAGTTCAATGAGGCGTACTTTCACAAGATCAAGCTGATCTACAAGCCCGGTGACATCATTTGGATTCACGACTACTATCTTCTCTTGTTGCCCCAGTTATGTCGTACTGAATGGCCCGACGCCACCATTGGGTTCTTTATGCATGCCCCATGGCCATCGCTGGAATATTTCCGCTGCATTCCCAAAAGAAGCGCTCTCTTAGAGGGGGTACTTGGTGTCAACCAAATTGGCTTCCAGCTGCCCCTGTTTGCCAATCACTTTTTACTGTGTTGTCAACGCATTGATGGATGCCAACTTCCTCGGAAGAATGTCGTGTCGAGTTATGGCAACATCACCCTGACGATTACTCTCCCCATTCTGATTGATGCCAAACAAACAGAGGCGGAGGCCTTCACCAGCGCTGTTGATGAAAAGGTGGCTGCTTTGAAAGAGGTTTATGGGAATTGCAAGATCATTGTTGGTCGCGACCGATTAGATAGTGTCAGAGGCGTTGTGCAAAAACTCGAAGCGTTTGAAATGTTTCTTCAAATGTACAAAGAGTGGAGAGGTAAGGTGGTGCTTATGCAAGTCCTGTCGCTTGGTTACTCCCATGGAGACAAAGTTGAAGACAAAGTTACCGAGTTGGTCACGCGTATCAACGCAAAGTATGGCCTGATTCACTTCACTCCAGTCTTGCACTACCAGATGTACGTCGTCAAGGAAGAGTACTTGGCACTTTTACGTTGTGCCGATGTGTGTTTGATCACCAGTGTCCGTGATGGCATGAATACCACACTGCTTGAGTATGTGGTATGCCAAAAGGATACCTGTCTGCCGTTGATTCTTCTGGAATTCACCGGTACTCTGACGGTTCTCAAAGATGCTATTCTTGTAAACCCTTGGGATTCTGTAGGAATTGCCAAGCAGCTTAACGAGTGCTTGAAGATGCCAATGGCGCAAAAGCAAAACCTTGAATCCAGACTTTACGCGGAAGTGAAAAGTAACACGGTTCAAAAATGGACCACCAGCTTCCTCTCCAAACTCATTGCTGCAAAAAACCATGAAAATGGTATAGAGTCGCGGGCAACTCCTCCGCTTGACCGTCCCTTGCTTCACAATAATTACGTCAAAGCTGAAAGACGTCTTTTCTTGTTTGATTATGATGGTACTTTGACTCCTATTGTTCAGGACCCCAACGCGGCTATCCCATCGCTGAAATTGAACGAGTTGCTCAGAGTTTTAGCGAGAGATCCCAAGAATGAAATCTGGATCATTCTGGGACGTGACCAGGCGTTTTTGGACAAGTGGATGGGCGATAAAAATGTTGGTCTTCTGGCCGAGCACGGTTGTTTCATGAAAGATGTCGATCTGGAGCACTGGGAAAACTTAGCCGCCAAATTTGACATGCTGTGGCAAGCTGAAGTTGATAAGGTTTTTATAGAAGCTACTGAAGCATGTCCTGGTTGTCACGTTGAGCGGAAGAAGGTGGCTTTGACTTGGCATTACCGCCGAGCGGAAGATTTCCTTGCTGCTGAACGTCAAGCGAAGAAGACTCACGCTTTATTAGAATCCACTGTTGCCAAAAAATACCCCGTGGAGGTGATGGAAGGGAAAGCCAATATTGAGGTTCGTCCCAAATTTTTGAATAAGGGTGAAATTGTCAAGCGCTTGGTACTTCTGCCTTGGGGCCAACCTCAGGATCTCCAACGGCCGTTGGAGTATAACCCCAAAGTCATGCCAGACTTTGTCCTTTGTTTAGGTGATGACCAGACTGATGAAGACATGTTCCGCTCACTTATTCATATCTCGCAAGAAGCCAACAATCGCGGACTTCCCCAACGTGATGAAAAAGCCCAGCCACTAACTCTGGCATATGGCTACTTCCCCGTGGTGGTGGGGCCGGCTCTGAAGCAGACGGTAGCTCCTTACCACTTGCACGATCCCCATCAAGTGTTGGAAACATTGGGGTTATTGGCAGGCCAAGTGCTGGTTTATGAACTGCCTGGAACGGCAGTCGTTGAAGAGGAACAAGACTAAAGCTTTAGCATTAGAAAAAAAATAGAAGTCCCTATTATTTCACTTAGGATATGGTGCAACCTTGTGAGTGCGGCACGAGTGCGTGAGATAAGAAATCGATCGCACCATCACCCATTGTTACCGTATACGTTCTGACCTTATCGTCTAGATTAAAGGCGTAATGTTTCCACGAATACGGCTTCCATTTCTGATATGGAAACGGACCTTCCTGTTAAACAGTTTGCAAACAAAAAACCCTCCAGCGCTGCTCCGATGCACCATCTTTAATAGTCAAGGGGAGCTTATTTTGCATAACAAAGACATCGAAAGAGTGCCATTCATGAAGAGACATAATTTGGCAGTGAGGGACTTCCGCAAAATATCACGTCCAACAATTGTTCCCGCGGTGGTCACCAGGCCATCTTGCATTCTCGTTAATATCCTCAACCTTCGAGCGTTGATCAAACATGACGTGGTTGTAGTGTTTGATGCCCCCCAATCAGGTATGATGGGGCCAAATAACCAACTGTTCAGTCAACTGGAGTTCTATCGAGAGCTTCAGACTCGACTCAAGGATTCTAGTGATAAAGAGACACCGTATGAATTTCGAGCTTTGGAGGCAGTTCTCATGAATGTGATGCAAAACCTTACGACTGAATACAAGGTACATGAGACAGTTCTCAAAAATCTTATTAAGCAGCTTGAACAGCTGATTGATAGAGTTAAGCTTCGTTATTTTTTGATTGAACTGAAGAAGATCACTCAATTTCACAGAAAAGTGGCATTGATTCACAACATGCTCGAGGAATTACTCGATTCTGATGATGAACTTAATGATATGTACCTTACAGATAGGGCTCGAGATAAAGTTCACACCGGGTCAGACCATACGGAAATCGAAATGTTGTTGGAACATTATCTCATACGGCTGGATGAAATCGTGCAGCAAACTGAAGGTCTCCGTCGTCTAGTTAAAACTCTGGAAGAGATCATCAATGTGATTCTCGACTCAAATCGAAATGAGCTTATGATGCTTGGCTTGAAGTATAGTACAGGTTTGTTATCAATGGGGGCTGCTCTATGGGTAGCAGCGCTTTACGGTATGAATCTTGAAAACTACATTGAAGAAAGTGATGGTGGGTTTGAAGCAGTGGTGGTGTTTGCCCTGGTGGTTTTGACGACATTGTTGGTGTACAGTGTGATCCGCCTTCGGAGGGTAGGAAAATTGAGGCTCGGTCATAAACATAGACTATTATGAAGTAACGAATTGACAACCGTATATAAATAACGTATAATGACATCCGAGCTCCTCTCAGTGCCTATAGTAAATTCAGTCGGCGTCTCACACTACCAGCGAATCACAATTTGTATCAGTGACCTGATGCAGAAGAAAACAATCACCTATATTAACAAGAGGAACTCTAAATGTCCCGTATTTTCTATCTTGACTCTATAAACATGCATCACTTATTCCGGGTCATAACCAGATTGGTCAAAAACTCGAGGGCTGAACGAGCATCCGATTCAGGTAATGCTCGAAGGTTGGCTAACGCCAGGGAACAGTATTCCTGAGCCATTTCCCGAGTTTGTTCTAGCCCTTGACATTCACGCACTGCCAGTCTGGCAGCTTCAACATCACCGGGGGCAGAGAACTTGCGGCCGATCATTTCTCCTAATTCAGGTCTTTGTTTCCAAGCAAAGAGGATAGGGGCAGTGGCAAGCCCCAACTTGAGGTCAGCCTGCAGAGGTTTACCAAAAGTAGCATCGCTCAGGGTATAATCCAACATGTCATCAACCAATTGGAAACACAAACCTAAATTACGCCCAAACTGGTAACATTGCTCAATGATATCGTCTTGCGAACCCAGCAAAACAGCAGCGGCTCTGCTCAGCTTCAGCATGAGCGACGCGGTTTTAAGGTAGGTCTTATGCAAATAGTACTCGAAGGCAGCGTTCACGTTGGTCGCGTGGTCCAAGTCTTGAGGGGTTTGCACAGTGTATTCATGCAGCTTAACCGGGACCTTACCCGTGGGGGTGGGAATCTTCTTAAGATCACCATCGTTTATGATGCTATCTGTGTCCTGATTCATTACAGTGTTCTTCAATTGCATGAACTCACCTTCGACGAGGTTGGCAATAGTCGTGGACAAAAGCTCAATCACTTCGGGGTTCCGCAATCGGGCAATGGCGACCGAAGCACGACCGAGCAAAAAGTCACCAGCAAGGACTGCCATTTTATTGGTGAAAGCAATATTGCCCAGAGGACGCCCTCTACGAGCATCAGCAAGATCGATCACATCGTCATGAAGTAACGAGGCAGTGTGGATCATCTCCACAATCTCGGCAAGTCTTCTTTGCTTGGGTAAAATCCCATTTTCAGCGTCGAACTGCGGCAACTGGTCCATGGGTTTCAGCAAGGGATCCAAGATCACCTTCGGATTGATGCCGTGCAACACTCTGAGGGGTGAGATCAGGTCGTCAACACTTTTGCCAGCCACCAGTGTCAGAGTAGGAGTACCTGCAAAATGAGATTGGTCCACCACGTCGAACGTGTCGATGGTTATCCGATTGCGTTCCGACAAAGGGATAGCCGCCAAGGCCTTCGACAACAATAACACAATGAGAGGTCTGACATTCTTGCCTTCAGCTTCAAAATAGTACAGCAGGACTCGGTTCAAGGTTGGGTGTCCCAGACCGATCAATTGAGCAATCAGCTTTGCGAGGTTGGACATCTCGTGGGACACGATAGAAAAGGGGTCCGAGAACCTAGGGCTGGGTTGAACCAACTTTTCCGCTGTCTCCACTGCCGTTTTGAAGCTCAGAGGCAGCACCGCCAGGGCCAGACGGCCTATGGTACTCTGCCACCGAATGAGTCTGAGCATGGTGGATGAGGTGCGCAACGATTTTCGAGTGCTTCAAGCACGTTCGTCCGACGCCCACAGTAAATTAAGTTAGCGGCCAATAATGATCGACATTCGTCGAAAGCATCCATTTTGTTGATGGAATTGCCGATATCCGTTATGAGGATTACAAAGTGATGATGGATTAGTGGTTGTTGACGTGTACTGGGGAACTTTGAGCAAGTGGCCCAAGTGAAAATATTAGAAAAATTCTTGCAGGAAAGAAACTGATGTCATTGACAATTCACAAAAACGTTACAAGTGTGTCAATAACGACTGCTACCGTATCCAATTCACCATTCGGTTACCGTACCGGGTACCTTGCCGAGCACCCGAATTGCTGTGCGATGTGCAATGGCGTAATGTAGTGACGATTGACCAATGAGCACTCCTGACTACCATTGCGAGATCGTATGAGTTGCATCATAAAGTACTGGTAAACGAACATATTTGAATTCATACACGTATTCGACAAAAAGTGTCTGATACATTAGATCACGTGAAACTCAGCTCAGCGGAATGATGTCTCAGTTCCTGGCAGTTGGGCGTCTGACTTCACGTCAACTTACGAAATGAGGCAGAACATAACCACAAAGGAGAATACTGCGTTCCCAGTAAACTAAGTACAATAATCACAGGGGAACGCATTTATATCAAATAATTAATGTGAAAGATACCTCTGACAGCTATTGTCTCGGATAACATCTTTCAAGCTTTATGCAGCAGGTTACGTTGGAAGCAAAACGGTTACTATTTACGTCCAAAGTCCAGAAGTTATCAATTTACTACCATGAATATTGTCAACTGCCCACTGAATACGGCGACTTTGTCATCAGGCTTATTTTGCTTGATCCACAACACGACTGATACCCCCTGTATCAAAGTATACACGCCACAATTATTTCAGTTTTCCCACGGACCTTAACCCCCTTATTAAAGCCACCACACTAACCTAGCACCGACATCGCTTCTTGTTACCTGCGCCGGTGTGGCGTTCAATTCGCCGGTATCGCGCAACGCAGATCCCGATCAAGAGAGCCGCTAAGACTTTAGCAATTGGTACAGAATTCAGATTCCCCCCCTACACCAAGGTTGATCGAATCGAAACGCAGTGAATTACCTTTGTTCAGTCATTGGTTTCGGTTCCTCGACTTCTAACATACTAATTGCGGACTTGGAACGAGTATCGGAAAAAGTTTCCGTTGCACGGCATTTTCGCCTTGCCAGGGGCGTAACCGGAGTCGAGACAATAATCATGGGGGTCTGGGGTGCGGCTGCAAGTGCATGGCCACGATGGAATCTTAGTTCAGTACCGAAATGGAAACCAATACGCCAGCAGTGCATACACGTATTCCGATCAGGGAATGCATTATTGTAGTTTATCCAGTTTTCTTCTTGGCCGTAGTGAATAACTTCATCTCATCGCCATCTGAATTTTAGCCGTTCGCTCACGTGAAATGTGCTGATTATGACTCGAGTTAAGGACGATTAAGGCCACATACGAACGTGCATGCGATGGAGTCAATGGGTATATAATCCACAGACCCCCATAGGGATGGTACTATTTAGCGTAACACTTTTCAATGTCCGTTGTTTTGGGACGACTCAAATGGGGGTTTCTCCCCACCCGACGTGTGGTTGATGAACACGAGAATCTGATCAAATCGGAATTGTCCGACGACGCCCTTTCCACCAAAGAAGAACCTGAAAAGCAGCAGGAGGAACCTGAGCAGCAAGAACTTGAATACCGTGATGAGAAGGGCAGACCGTGGTATAAGTTTTTTGACGAATACGAATACCGTGTGAAAAGAGACACCAAAAAGAACCGTAAGTGGTATCACTGGTTCCACGATGAAGATACCCCCGCTGAGAAGAAATTGATCATGAAGATTGATATTCTCCTTACCTTCTACTCGCTCATGGCATACCTTATCAAATATTTGGACCAATCCAACTTGAACTCAGCGTACATTGGTGGCCTTAAAGAAGGCATTGGCATGAAAGGTAACGATTTGGTTGAAGTCCAATCAATATTCTCCGTTGGTAATATTGTATTTCAGCTTCCTTTCATCTACATCTTATATGCTTGGCCCCTCAACTATGTTTTACCTACCTTGGACCTTGTCTGGTCCATTCTTACTGTGTGCACTTACAGAGTTACCCTGGTGGGTGGTTTGAAAGCCATCAGATTTTTCATTGGTGCCGCTGAAGCTCCGCTGTACTTAGCATACCATGCTTTATTTGCCCTGTGGTATAAGCTGAGTACTGGTGAAGTGCTGAGACGTGCTGGGTTCTATTATCTTGGGCAATACTTGGGTCTTTTGACCTCTGGGTTGATCTCAGGCTCCATCGAACGTCATCTTGATGGCGTAAATGGTCTCAAGGCTTGGCAATGGATTTTCATTATCGACGGTATTGCCTCGGTGTTTGTCGGTATCCTTGGTTTCTACATGATTCCAGGTACCCCTACTGACTGCTACTCGATTTTCTTGACAGATGATGATATCCGTGTTGCTCGTAAGCGGATGAAGGATGATGGCAAGGATGCCCCTCCTCAAAAGAACGCTGGTAAGCTCATCTTTAACAAGGAAACTTGGAAGCTGATTTTTTCGTCATGGCACGTTTACGTCCTTTCCCTCTGGAACATTTTCTGCTGGAATAACAATAATGGGACCCTGGGTTCATACTCTCTTTGGCTTAAGTCCCTTACCAACTCAGATGGTTCTCCCAGATTTGCTCAGGGTACATTACAGGATTATACTGCATTGACTCCAGCGTTGGGTCTCCTTTATTTGATTGTCACCTCATCAGTGGCCGACTTGGCTTCTTCCAGATGGGCAGCAATTGTGTTTTCGCAAGTATTCAACATATTGGGTAACATCATTCTTGCAGTGTGGAACATTCCTGAAGGAGCCAAGTGGTTCGCTTTCTGTCTTCAATACTTTGGGTGGGCAATGGCTCCCGCTTTATATTCGTGGCAAGGGGACATTGTGCGGTTCAGCGCAGTACAAAGAAACGTGTGTCTCGTGATTATGAACATCATGGCTCAACAGCTGACAGCGTGGATTTCGGTATTGGTTTGGAAAACCGTCGAGGCCCCGAGATTCTTGAAGGGGTTCACCTTCACCGCGTGTCTGGCGTTTGCACTTTGTGTTTGGACGTTTTATGTGCTTTATCTTTACAAGAAGCAAGAGCGCAAAAATGCTCGGGCTAATGGTATTGTCCTTTACAACTCCGATGATCCTGATTCCATTCCCCCTGAAATATCCGGCACCGCCTATCTTTCTGATCTGGTTGCGTCCAACGATGGCAATGATGAAAAGGCTAGCATCAAGGCTTCCTATATTGCCAATGAGAAGGTGGTGACCAGAACCAGCTCTCATTCTGACTAAATTTCAACTTTAATTCAACTTAATGACTAATGACCGCTACTCAACTTGGCATAATATTTATTTTAATCGATATTAATATTCACTGTCTTTTAGAAAGTTTCTTATTTGTCTTAATTAATGAATTCAATCCCATATTATAAGAAATGTTGGTCTCCGAGATCGTACATTAACTTTTGCCAGGGATCTCTCGCACGCGCGCCCTGTGAGGACATCATAGTGCGGAAATTTGCACGGACACGGTATCCCCACCAAAACCGCGGCTAGGGTTGCGACTATGTACAGTGATGTTCTCCGACCCAGTTAAAAGGATAAACACTGGCGCCGACCTTGCCAATTTCAGAAGGTCCCAAGCCTTACTGAGAATACAGGAGACTCTCTTCAGCACCATTGAAAAAATTAAGCTGGTGCCGGTTCCCCTGGGTATACTCCAAGCAGCAATTATTACCAAGGGCTCTACTGAAGAATTGATTCATGTTCAGCTGCCATCCACAGAGTACCAAGACACTGTGAATAAGTTCAGCAAACCCATCCAAGGGTTGATGGCGGTTCTTGACCATCTAGATCACTTATTGACAGAAACTCCTCCAGCTAAGGGCCCTCGTCGTTTCGGCAACTTGGAGTGTCGCAAGTGGCATGATAAGGTATCCTCATCTCTTGATGAAGCTCTTAGAACGCATTTATACCCCTACTATAGCGGAAAGGATCCAGATGGGTTTTTCTCCGAGGCCAAATGTTACTTGGCTAATGCATTTGGTCTGAAGATGAGACTTGACTATGGCACCGGACATGAGCTTCTGTATATGGCATTCGTGGGGGCGTTGGTTAGAAATGGAGTAATCGATTGGTCTTCGGTGCTGGCGGAGGAAGTGATATCCATTTATTCTCGATACTTTGACGTTGCGCGTCGCTTGATCCTTGTATATAACCTAGAGCCTGCTGGTCTGCATGGTGTGTGGGGCTTAGATGATCATTTCCACTTGATGTATATTCTTGGTGCTGCTCAATTCGTTGACAATCGCAGTGCTCCTCTGGTATCGCAGGTACTTCAGCTGCAAGTCATCTCGCGATTTCGGTTACTGAATCTCTACGTCAACGCAGTTGGATTTATTTATACCATCAAGCTGGGCCCATTTAACGAACATCTGCCAATTGTTTATGATATCCACAGTACAGTGACATTGTGGTCAAAAGTGCTTCAGGGATTAGTGCGAATGTATGAGGCGGAGGTTATCAGCAAATTTCCTGTCGTACAGCATTTCTGGTTTGGTGGGGAATTGTACCCTTGGAAAGACCAGCTGGGGTCCGCCTTGCCGCAAAGTGAGGCAATCGAGTCATCTGAAACGGGAATGCCTCCGTCTATAAACGTTCATACCACGCGGAATAATATTTCCATGACGGGGGCTCCATGGGCTCGACGTTAAAGCAATAAAGGTTTAATTCAGGAGATTTTAACGACACTCTAGATTGAATGCCCATGATGATTTGAATTAGCTTTCTCATTTTGTGTAGATAGGCAAACTAGACTCGCCTCAATTGCTTTCAAAGCCATTTTGTACCGTCTAGCTATGGGGATACACACTAAAACGCCGTACAATTGTCTCCTCATAAATAAGAATCCCCGCATACCCTTCTCCTTCGTCGCCGCGCACATATACGGAGCATGTGCATAGATATCATGCACGCTGCAAGGCGTACAATAAGCTTCTGCCACGTTGCCACGACATAATTGAGAGTTGCATCTATATTAACTAAAACCTTTCTCCAATAGCTCTATCCAAAGTTACTAACATATATTACATTAAAAATCGTCACCTAGTTGTTCATCGTGTAAACCACACCATTAGAGGGCGAGTGGATGATGTACGCATTAAGAAGGCCAGCAATGAGACCAGCAACGGGCAAGGTAATGAACCACCCGCAGTAACACCAGATCACCATTCTCCAATTGATGGATCTCCAGTCACCGTTACAGGCACCAACAAACACAGTAGCACCGACAGCCGACTGAGTAGTAGAGACAGGGATGGACAATTGAGTGGCCATCACAGTGGTCACAGCAGCGCCCAATTCAATCGAGAAACCACGCGAGGGCGATTGCAAGATGAGCTTGTTACCCAAGTTTCTCATGATCCGGTAACCGAATGTCCAAACACCGATGACAAGGGCAGCAGCAGCGTAACAAAGAACCCAAACGGGAACATCAACATCATTAGCGATGGTATTAGTAGACCAGACGAGATAAACGGTGGCCAAGGGACCAGTGGCGTTGGAAATATCGTTGGCACCGTGGGCGAACGACATGGTACCCGCAGTAATACCTTGAAGCAACGAGTACAAGAATTCAATCCGGTTGTCGTAGTACTTGGCCGAAGTGTGCAACTTGTGCTGGTCACCACTCAACATGTCCACATTGGTTTGCGAAGCAATGACATCTTGGGTGAAACCGTGGAGAACAAATTCAACGATAAGAGCGCCCCACAACTTGGGTTTCTTGAGCATCTTAATCCAGCGAGACTTGGTGTCTTCCTTTTGCACTTCTCTGTCGACACCCCACTTGTAGTAAAGAGGTTTCCATTCGTCAGACGAAGATTCCTTGTCCAGAGAAACGGGAGCCAGCTCCACCTTGTGGACGTCGACGTGAGTGTCGTCTTTGAGATTTTCAATATCTCCGGAACGCAACAGTTCAGCAGTGGTGTTGTCTTCCTTGATCAATTTACCCGTCTCATCATAACGTCTACCCTTGTAGTAGTCAGGAACCAATTGGTAACCTTCAGGCATGGGAGGAATGTCATCAGTAGACTTGAAGTAAAGCAAAGGGCCCAACGGGATCGACTTCCAGGTCAAAGTCCAGTCGTTGTACTTAAGCTTCCGGCGGTAGTAAGGGTAAAGGAAAAGCATGTAAAGCACCAAGGCTACGGCAGCCACCCCCAAAATAGAAGCGGCAATGGCGTTGGGCAGCAACTTGTTCAACTTCAAAGCAGGGGCACCCTTCCACACAATCAACATAGTCAAAATGGCAAAACATGAGAACACAAGGAATGGAACAAGCACCATAGCGTTACGCAACGAGGTCTTGAAGCTCTTCACTTCCAATACGAAGAATTTCAGCACCAAGAAAGTGATGGTAGCGAAGGCACCAGCGATAGCAGGGGCAATAAACCAGGAAGCAATGATTTGGGACACCCCATTCCACCCCCAGTGAATGTTTCTTTGACCCTTGGCGGCAATAGCACTACCGATAATACCACCGACGATCGAGTGAGTGGTCGACACGGGCATACCAATGGCAGTAGCAATTGTCAACCACACCGAAGACCCAATAAGAGCACACGACATGGTCAACATGAGAATAGCGGGTTCACCCTCGAAAACTTTGACGTCGACAATTTTATTTCTGATAGTGTTCGAGACCTTCGACCCGACCAAAACTGCCCCCAAGAACTCACAAAGGGCGGCAAGAATCATTGCTTGCCAGTACGTAAGCGATCTCGACAGCACGGACGAAGCGAACGAATTGGCAACGTCATTGGCCCCGATGTTCCAAGCATCCAAGAATGCAAAGATCATCGTCACCGCGAAGATGTGATTGAACTGAGTCAAGGCCATTTCTGATTCTGATTTCGATGAGCTACAACATTGTGACGATGCCAGTAATTTTTATAGTCCCAGGGCTGCTCTTAGAACGAACCAAGAAAATTCCTTGATTTTCAGGAATTATACCAAGAAATTTCGTACCAAGAAATTTGCAGCCACTATCGTGCACACACGTGGGCCATCCAAGAGCAGGCCGTTGAGTAAAAACAAGTGGAAAACGCTTGAAAAATCGAGGGCTACGTTATTGCTGAGGTTCACCACTTGCTACTACCAACCAGTGTTTCACCTAAGTTTACGAGTGGTCTCGTGAGTGTTTACAGCTGTAAATGTTCAGCCGCGCGTGCGCAGGCAAGGGGGCCCACGTGTGCCACTTTATCCTTAGACTCTAAAGTGTCCACACGACACAATACCAAGGATCGACAGTTTATTGTCAACTTTGTGTCATTCCTCGGTTAGCGATTACAATACAGCAATTGTTAAAGGGAGGGGCCAGGCTTGTGTAGCTGATCACTATCAGTCACTACGATCAAGGTGAAGTTTAAGTGGAGTTTATGGCGTGTCTCATTTTCCATGCTGAGGTAATCTAAAGCGAGAACTCGCGAGTGAGCTCACAAAACATCCCCCGTGGGGCCTCCCCACGTTGCCAACCTCGCCTCGGGGCTTATTCGCCAGTCGTACGGCAATTGCCAAAACTGACGCAGTGAGGTTTGCAACCTACGCCGTATTCACATCGTTGCCCACGGGGGTGCTGGCGATATCGCCTGTTAGTGCATGAAGCCCATCTTCGATCAGCATATAGAACCCAGGACCGAGCCCTGAGCTCATCTCTACCCCACTTATCGTGCCCATTGATTCGTTAATGAGGGCAACTATGCCACTGGATTCAAGCTTTTTTCTTACAGGACCAAGGGGGACTCTCGTGAAAACCAATTTCAGGCCATCCCGTACCATTGTCGACTCAACGAGCTCCTTGAGTGCTTGCACGCCTGCAGTGTCAACCGCGGTCATGCCCTTGCAGTCGATCACCACTTTTCGAGGCGTTTGAGCCCCTTGAGGTTGTGATGGGTGCACTAGAAGCAGGCGATATTTGTGAAGGCGGGCATACTTACTCCTCAAATCAGTTGCGTTAGCAAAGGTAAGTGGTTCGGGTATCTTTACAATAAGCGTACCTTCGATCAGCTCTAGCTCGGCGGCTAGATCATTAATGCCATCAGCGTCACCCAACCCCTCAAACCGCTCTTCAATTAACTCATCGGCGTTTCTGAATGCCGGTGTGTTGGGAATACGGCCAAGTATTTGAATTCTCAGGGTAGTGCCAATTTTAATTACACGGATCACCGCTATGGCGACCCCCAAAAACACTCCCGCTTGTGCCAGCCATCCTAACGTAACAAAAAAGACTGCGGCAAACGTCGCTAATTCGTCGTAGCCTCCTGTATTCCAATAAAATTTAAGGTCGTGCGGCATTTCCTCCAAAACGGTTATACCTATCACGGTAGTCGTTAATGCGAGAACACACTCAGGAAGCCAGAATAAAAATTCAAGCACGAACATTGCCACTGTCAATGTCAGGCACAGCATTATGACGCCTGCCATCGGGCTCAGAGCGCCAGCAGCTTTTGAAATTTTGGACCGGCCAAATGCTCCAAATGATGGTAATCCTGCCACAAGCGAAGTGGCCAAATTCACCGCTCCCAACGCAATGAGCTCACGATTCAGCAGAACATGCAAATCATACTTCGATTCTAACGTACGTGTAGCCGTCGTCAGGTCAAAGAATCCGAGGATTGTCACCAAAACACTAGTGGTGAACACCTTCAGGTACAAGTCCTTTTTCAGTGGGGCAAATATATTTTGAAACTGGACCAGGTCAAGGGAAATTTTGCCGATGACACTGACGCCTTTTCCATGCCAGTTGAATCTCCATGAAAGCAACGTCAGAACCACAACCATGATGAGAAGCTCGGGAAACACCGTCACCGCTTTTTTCAACAGGGGGGAACCTTGTGACAGATCTATACGTGACTTCACCCGTTTGACTAGAAGAACCAAAAGTAAGGTTACGACCAGAATCAAGCATGTAAGCTTGTGGGCTTTACCAGCGTAGTCCCATATGAAATGCATCTTAGCGAAAATCAGATGTTGAGGGTGCTCACTCATATATGGCTCAAGCCCCAACTCTATAGGAAGTTGATTGACAATCATTATGACCCCCATGGCGCCGATGAACCCCTTCAAGAGGGCACGGCTGAAAACTTTATCAAGGTAACCAAGCCGACATAACCCACATAATAAAAGTAGAACGCTGAGAACTGCTGTAAGCGCACTCAGTACCTCCAATTGACTGTACTTAGGCTTTTCTGACGCCGCTACGTCATCAAACTGATACGATTCCACCACTTGCCCATACATGATTGCACTCAGCGGCAGGGGTCCAACCATGAGAATAGGCACAGTGCCGAACACTGCATACACTAATGGTCCCACAATAATGGATAAGAGACCCAGGATTGCCGGCAAATGAGCAAGCAGGCGGGCAAAACTCATCACGAGAGGGATCTGGAAAGATGCTGACGAAAGTCCTGCCACGAGATCACCGAGAAACTGATCTGACCACCGGTACAGAGGCAACCACTGCAAAATGGGAAGATAATACGCCACATACGCCCAGCGTTGAGGTTTTTGACTCAGAAGTTGCATGTATTTGTCAAAGTTCTCTTGGAATTTGGCTGAATGGACCAGTAAGTTATCTTGAGATCGAGATTGGAGATCAGCCAAAGGCAGTTTGATTGACTGAGACAGGGGCACCAGATAAAGGTGTGGTCTTCGAGACAAAGACCGGGAGCGCTGAGGCAGCAGGGAGCATTGCTGACTAGGCGGGAGAAGAAACTGTCGCTCGTCCATTTTGAATCATAGTGTGGGGTTGTTGTCGCATAAACGTGTAGCATACACTCTGTTTATGCTTAGTCAGACCTATGTCTTATCTGAATAAGCAATTCGGCGCGTGATTCCATACCTTCGGAGTAGCGGCGATGCGATTTAGAGTCACATAATGTATATTTGTAAAGCAATCACAGACACTCGAATTTGGCTTGAGTCTAACAGGTTTTCGTGGTGAGGTTTATCAATTCGTGTGTCTCAGCTAATGAGGATTGCGCCTTCCATCATCCTCCGCAAATATGCAATCAATATTCAGTCAAAACCCTTCTATTTGTTGACGCTAACGATGAGATATAGAAAATGTAAGCTAGCCAAGTAATTCCCTTCACTGGAGGCCTATTGTTAACGGGTTTCGTAACCTGGATTCGGTAAAAGTCCAATGCGCGCCAATCATAGTGATCATCTTTAACGCCGATCACACAATTCACCTCATCCCTCTTCAAACCAAGACTACCGTTATGCTGCGACCCGTGCCTGCTCGAGCGGTATCTCGGGCAATGAGACAGAGGTTTATGTTTTACGATCTTGTTATGAAGACCCCTACCCACCCTCATCACCCGAGCGATTTACAAGTTATCGAACACCAGGTCGGCAAGGAGAAGAGTTTCAGCGAAATGACTCCTTTGGAAAGAATGGAAAAGGTATTTGGCGGGCGCATCAGAGGGGATGATCGTCAAGCCAGTTCGCGGGTATCGAGATCACAACCAAGAGTGATTGCAGGCGTGACTGTTCCTGCTAAGCCAGTGGAACCTGACAATTGTTGCATGCTGGGATGCATCAACTGTGTTTGGGAGTTATTCAATGAAGATGTCAAGGAATGGAAGGAAAAGCGACTGGAGGCAGCGAAAGCTATCAAAAAGACCGGCGGTGTATGGCCGGCCGACTTTCATCCTCCCTTGAAGGAATTGGCTCCCGAAAACCGTCCTAAAGACGTTGAGGACGTTGAAGACGGTGTAGAGACTAAAGACGACGCTTGGGGCGGAGTGCCCGTGGCAATGCGGGTATTCGCTGAGACCGAACGGAAAATTAAGGCGAGAGCAGCAGCAAGACGAGCTGCCCAGGAGGCAGCGAGATAGTAACATTGACGCATTCAAAATGTATATATTCATACAAATCAATCATCACGAGCACAAATGCTTGCGCAAAACAAGACTTGTAAATTGTACAGATCTTACCACGTTAATAATATGTACTAATATCTTTGTGATATAATTCCTCAGATATTTAAATTATATGACTTTCTGATACATCGACCATTTGTAACTAATTTATGCCGTTTTGTGCTTTGCATGAAAACATCGCAGCACCCCCTCAGTCCATCATCATTTGTGCGCGCTTCGGTGCGACAACCAAACCATAGTCTCATCAATGATCGCTGAGAGCTATCGGGATGATTTCCGGTTCAAGGCGATCACCAATGCCGAGGGCGAGTTTGGCGTTGTGGCGTTTGATCATACCTTAAACCCTGACGCTGACTCCACTGCCGCCGTGCGGCTATTAGCCATCACTCGAGATGGCAAAACCATGGCAGCCTCCGATGGTGCTGTCATTAAAATTGGACCCAGTGACCAAGTTCCAAGTCTGTGGAAGTCGTATACCATTCCAAAGGTGAAAAAGATTACCCAATTGGCTTTCACGCCCAACGGCGATGAGCTTTACATCCTCCATAATGAAACCTTGAGTAAGGTCAAGTTGAGTGAGTTAGCTTCCGAACCAACAGCTGTCAAGGTGGCCAATGCAACGGACTTCCAAGTTGCTCCAAACGGCGATGTTGGTTACCTTGATAGTGGTAGCGCCTATCTCAAACGAGGAAACGAACCCCCTAAAGAAATTGCCGAAGACGTGTTTTGCGTATGCTTTGATCAGGAAAGCAAGTTTTGTTATATTTCCATGGCGAATGCCACTGCGGTTATGTCTACTGATGGTAAAAAGGTTTCGTTTGATTGTGAGTCGGTCACCGATTTGTATCCATGCGCACTTATAGCACTTCGCCCTAATGTTTATTTCATTGCTGCCCAAGATGACGAAGACAATGACCCAGTAAACGTTGTTGCCGATCCCCTGAAGATTGAGACTGATGTTGAATTTCTTGGTCCTTACGGTCCTGTAAAATGGGCACCTTCTTACTTTTCGCAGAGTTTGGATAAGTACAACCCCAAAAAGAAGTTCACCTTGGTGTCTGGCACACGTACCACGGATATTTATGTAATTGAATCCACCGGAGACTCGGTGGCATCTTTGCAATGGCCCATCCCTAGTGATGACAGTTGTCGCGCATCCTTTCCTACTACGGAAGACTTCGAGGACACGGCAGTTTTGGGAATTGCGGTTGACGTTTCTCAAAGCACCCGCGTGGTAGATGATCCATGGCCGGGGGCCGAAGAAGATGTAAAGGGCGCTCCAATTGTTCATGCATTGTTGGATGATGGGCGCTTGATTCTGTGGTGGATTGTCGACAAGCAAGCTATTCTTGAAGATGGGGCATCTTTGCTTAATGAATCTGTTTCTCTGATATCTCTGAAAGCTAGTCTCCTGAACAACCTGCAGACCACTTCAGAGAATCTGATCAACGATGAGTCTCCAGCCACAAATACGCAACCGAATCCCTTTGCGAAATCCCTGGCAAGTGATAATCCATTTGCTAATAATGCTTCTAATCCATTTGGGAAATCGCTGGGCGGGTCATTTGGCGGGTCATTTGGTGGGTCATCCCAAAAGTCTGAGAATGTGTTTGGATCCACAGGCGCTTTTGGTAGTATAGCTGACAAGAAAGCTGAATCCTCAAATAATGAGCCAAAAGGCGCCTCGGAGGACACCGGGAGTACCATAGGCCTGCAGTCGCAAAATGATAAGGCAAAGGCAAGTGGAGGCGCATTTGGTAGTGTTGGTTTTGGTGGCAAGACATCTACCACCAGCTCTACATCTGGGGGGTCTGCTTTTGGTAGCTCCGGTTTTGGAAACTCTGGCTTCGGCAGCTCAGGCTTTGGGCAACTGAAGAGCGGCAATAGTTCTGCTAGTTCCGCATTCGGAAGTTCTGGTTTTGGTCAGAAGTCATCATCTGAAACCAAATCTGCTTTTTCTGGTTTTGGTGGTTTTGCCACCAAGGACAAACCTAGTCTGTCCCTGTTTGCTTCTCATGCCCGCTCCCAATCTCCCTTTGCTAATTTGCTGAAAACAGCCCTGTCTTCTCCTTTTGGAGCAGTCAATAGTGAGAGCAAAGCATCTCCCTTTGGTACCATGAACGCGAAAGGCAAATCCTCTTCTTTTGGTTCACTAGGAGGCGATGCGTCAAAGTCTTCACCTTTTGGTGCAGTCAATCTGCAAAAGGAACTGAAGCCATCTCCCTTTGGTGCAGTAAAAAGCGACGACACAACCCATACTTCTTTCGGTTCCAGCAAGACTGAATCGGAGCCTTCTTTATTTGGAAAAACTTCACCGTCCCCCTTTGAAGGGTTGCAAAACAAATCGAAATCGTCTACACCGTTTGGTGGCACTCAAGAAAAGACCTCCTCGCCACTCGAAACCAGCGAAAATGGAAAGGATTCGCCTAATTCTCTATTTGCTAGTCTCAACATCTCCAAAGATACGCAAGCATTTGGTGCATCAAAAAGCGACACATCGACGCACTCTCCTTCCGGCGACCTGTCAACGACGCTGCCATTTATGAAGAACCACAACTCTAACGCTGCTTTTGGTACTAAGAATGAGACGTCCCATGTTGAACATGGCCTCTTCGGACAACGCGAATCGTCACTGTTACCAGAGAAAACTGAGAAACTGACTGATTCCGGACTTCAGCTGGAGCTGAAGGACGAGGCCAACCCAACGTCTCAACACAATGAAAAGCTGAGCCCATTCACTTCAAACAATTCACAAAAACCCAAATCGAATTTGTTTGAACATATTCCGATTCTGTCTGCTCTACCTGACTCAATTGAAGAGCCAGAGACTGTTCCTCCATCGAGAGCGGAAACCGTCACACCTATTAACAACGTGGATAACTTTGAAGGTTCGTCATTTGTTGACCGTACGGAAGGCGAGTCGACGCTGTCGCTGGAGTTCGAGTCAGAACCGGAAGAAGAACTCGAGCAAGAATATGAGCAAGAGCTGGAATTTGAACCTGAGTTAATAGACTATAGGGAAGTTTTCATTGCTCGAGAATCACCGCAAATCCCGATTTTCAACTACTTCGATGGGTTTACCGCCCCCTTGGCTGGTGGAGCAAGCCGAAGTGAAATGGATGCCAAGGTTGCTCAACAATACCGTGAGATTATCGGATTTACGAAAGGTCATTTGAAGGTTCTGAAAGATAATGCCGAAAAGTTGGCCCCACTTTTCGCTTACCACTCTCCAATGACTGAATACTGCCCCGGTGAGGATGACCTCGAACATACTTCGGCATGGGCTTTGGGCAATGCTCCTCAATTGAGGGAAATTGCAGTTAATAGACAGCAGTCTGTTGATGATGTTTTACTGGAATTGCAGCTTTCGGAGCTGAAAGTTAAAAGAGTGCTCTCACAACTCGAAGACACGCATTTGGTGCGGGGTCAAATTGACACCATGCTCAAACAACTCAAACACCTTTTGGATCAGCAGGAGATTCTGAAACATCGGCAACTTGATTTTGCAAATGAAGCATTGAGAAAGAAGCTTCAAGCTAAGTATGACAATGTTTGTCAACTTGAACTGGTGGTGCTCGAGAAGTTAGTTCCGTTAAAGGCTCGTACTTCTGGGAGTGAAGCCGAAGTGGTGAAACGTTTATATGATTTGGTTTACTCTCTTAGAGCTCAAATCAAGCAACACGCTGAACTGATCCTTAAACTCAGGCAAGAGGTCAAGGATGCCCAATTGGAAAACTTGAAAAAGTCCGCCACTGATTTGATTGCGGCCGAGGCACCACCTACAATTATTGGCTCGCTGATGAAACTGAGAGTCCAAGTTGCTAAGGTTTTAAGAAAATAGGTAATATAGGTAAGGCAGTGGTATTTTTTTAAGTGTTTATGAAAGATGATGAAAGTACGTCAAGCATATATATATAATTAATTTCACCGAAATTATGAATTATCGAATTTTTGCTATTTTGCATCTTAAACGCAAATGTATATATACAAATTATTCTATCTTAGCCACTCTAAGACGGGCTTTCAGTCTCGATCGAATGAAATTCTGGTAGAATTTTACAATTGTAGTTTACTATGTATATATGAAGTTATTTAGTTTCAACTTCCGAAGCATACCTTTCGTTATTAGTCAAAAACTTCTTGAACACAATGTTATCCAGTTCGTCTTGATACTTGTAACCAACGGTGTCCAAAAATTGCTGGAGTTCATTTTCCTCGCCCTTAGGGAGAATGAAAGCAGCAAGAACCTTGGCAACATCATGACCATGATTACGGTAGTGAAATAAGGAGATGGACCAACCCAGCTTGAGAGCTTGAAGGAATTTGTAAAGAGCCCCAGGACGTTCAGGGAATTCAAACTGGTATACACGTTCATGTTGCAAAAGTTCGTTAGCTTGCAGAGGAGGGCGGCCACCCACGAGATATCTCCCGTGTGACTTTGCAACTTCATTGTCAGAGATATCAACAACATCAAAGCCATGCTCACGCATGGAGTCAACTATTTCGCTGTATTCCTTCTTGTGGTCAGTAACAGTGAACGACAAGTAAATGTTGGCTGTGTCAGTTCCGTTGTGACGGTAACTGAATTCAGTGATAGGGCGAGGGTTGATGATGCTCTGCAACTTAGCGAATTCACCAGGTTTTTCAGGGATAGTAACCACCAACAGAACTTCCTTGCCCGACCCCAACACAGCTCTTTCTGAAACAAACCGAAGGCGGTCGAAATTCATGTTAGCACCAGAGAGAACGGGAACGTATGTTTCTTGCGAGTGGTCAATGTCACCATGTTCAGCCACATATCTTTTGAGACCTGCCACAGATAAGGCACCCAGAGGTTCGACAATCAGTCTAGTATCTTCAAAGACATCCTTGATCGCAGCACAAAGCTCGTCCGTCGACACACGAACAACTTCATCAACCAAGTTTTCACAAAGGCGCCAAGTTTCGTTACCGAGCACTCTCACAGCTGTACCATCGGCAAACATACCTACGCGGTCAAGAGTTACCAGTTTGCGTTGCTCAAGAGATTGGTAGAGCGCATCGGCGTCAAAAGTTTCCACGCCAATGACCTTGACATGAGGAGCAATTTCCTTAATGTATGCAGCAATACCGGCAATCAAACCACCACCGCCAACGGGGACGAAGATAGCAGTAAGCTTATCGAGACGGATTTGACGGGTGATTTCAAGAGCAACAGTGCCTTGCCCTGCGACAACCAACGGGTGGTCAAACGGAGGGATGTTGATCAAGTTATTGAGCGAAGATAACCGGTCACACTCTTGTTTAGCGGAATCGAAATCATCACCATACAACACCACTTGAGAGCCTAAACGCAGCACATTAGTATATTTGATGGAGGGGGTGGCAGTGGGCATTACGATAGTCAGGGGAATGTTAAGCTTGTTTGCCAGATAGGCAACACCCTGAGCGTGGTTCCCGGCGGAGCAGGCGATAACCCCCAGTATAGGCTTTTTCAGTCGCAGGTGTAAGTTGGCGATCATATTGTAGGCCCCTCTCAACTTGAAAGAGAATACTGGCAATAAATCCTCTCGTTTGAGGTACACGTTCGTGTTACACTTGTGCAGCAAGTTGACTGCTTTGGTAAGAGGCAGACCACCTTCTTCAACGACGTCATACACTCTCAGAGTAAGGATCAACTTGACGTAGTTGGGGTCGCCTTCAGGGGTGTAATCCAGCGGCTGTAATTCGGGATAGACTGGCTTCTGCGAGTACAGCCTGGCTTGGAGAACCCGAGCCAAAGGCACTCGCAATCGGGTTAACGACATTAGTGGGGTGGGAGATGGCGCTATGTTTGAGTCATAGTTGAAAAATGCGCCTAAACCGGGCCGGATGTAGGTACTGCAGGTAACTGAAAACCATCCTGCAATCGCGCATCGCGTTGATGTCACCCCCGCACATCAAAGGTGACAATCAATTCATAGATGGGATGGCAAAATGGGGGATTCGAAAGGGTTTGAGAATTGCTATCACGATCTCATGGGATCAAGGGGCGAATATGGCCTGACTTTTGTGTCGGTCACGGGAGAAGTCCATGCCGAAGCGTTGCTGATGTTACAACGAAAGTGGTGAGTTAATGCACTTGGCAGGCCTGTTGCAAGTCGAATGGAATTGGTATCTATTATCACAGAGATCATTAATAATCGGGTTCGGTCAGGCATGCATTCGATGACGTTAAATCCGGCACCTCTGCCATGATCTGGCTAATGTGGAAAGTTGAGCGAGCCCTTGAGAGCTTGTACTTTCCACGTAAATTATAGCAAGAATGGTCTGCAATGAAGTATTAAAGAGAAATTATCGGCATTGAATTGATGCTACTGCATCATGGAGTACCCGATGTATCTTGGCCACGTTGGCTCTTCCTACGTGAAGCTCGAACAAACCACAGACGAACAACCACAATGTGTTAGTCACTCGGACACCAATGCATCCGAGACTACCTCCGGAGGCGGTTCGATCCGCGTCAAACAGGAACCAGGCTCACCCGAGTTCTGCTTCGAGGACTGGCTACAGAGGTTTGAACAGGATTCGCTACTGCTGCTGGAACTTCTGCAACTGCCGGAAAAGAATGTCCCTGTTGGCTCAAACATTGGGGCGACAAATGTGGTGCTGACCAACCATGTATCCTCCGACTTCATCATCAATGAGAATGGCTACTACACGTACGTGGGACTCCCTGAGTCGCATCATCCTGTCGTCAATGATGCTACGTTTGGTACAAACAAAGTCGCTAACGTCGTTGGTGCCTCAAAAGTGTCTAAGGAGTTCAAACGCCCGTCGTTTGGTGAGTTCTGTGAATCAAGATACCCATGGCTAGAGCGAGGCGACTCGGTTACCCCTTTTGATGGTAATGTCTACATGTGGAAGAGTGGTGAAGACCTCCCATTGTACGTGAACGACGAGCCGTGGGTGCTATCGCTTGACAAATCGAAATTAAACCCCGCTCGGGTGTCGCGACTGGTACAGCGGACGACTCATTACGAACGGAGCTACTTGGATGCTGTCTACGCCTACGTAGATGCTGAAGGGGGCGTCGTTAATTCGTCGTTGGTAGAAGCAGGGGTGACGCGTCCAATGGGCCAAGTGAAACGTCGCCGCCACTCAGACAAGGCTCTGCCCTGGGAACCGATGCTGATTTTCACCGTGTTCACCAACTGCAAACCGATCAACTTCAAAGGCTCATTTGTGGTGGCTCCTCACCGCATCCGCCAACTGTGTTTCGGCAAAGTCAACATGAGAAAGCGCCGGGCGTGGACTCGTGTGGCTAGACAACGGCACCACTTGGAGTGAAACTGCTGGGTAGGTGGTTTGACCAGATGAACTTAGATTCCAAATGCGGCAGGCTCCCCCAGAGAATAGAAGGACTTCCACCAGTTACAGCATTATTTTTAAAAAAAGACAAAGCACTAATCAAATAAAGATCTGTGATTTTTAAAAAATTCTGTAAAATTATACGCCACAAATATCACTATCTTGTGGCGACTGTTGTATTGTTTCCGATTGTGTCTCGAGATCGGGATTGATACGACGTCTAAATCCGACACTAGATTTTTTTATATGAAGTATGTGATGCTTCAGTGAATGAAACAGTAGAAGAGCGGAAGCGTTCTCCGTGACAACCCATGTGATAATCTTATTTTGGGTTGTCTCACTCCCGGTTCAGGCGCACGGGATCTGCCGTCAGCCGTTCATGAAAATGTTTGCAGCCCGCGCCACAGTTCCCACCAATGGCAGATAAGGCGTAGTCAGCGGCAGTTTGTGTCAATATTTCAGCCTCAAGAAGTTTATCGATGAGACTATGAACAACGGACTCGGTCTACACCACTATAAACAAAAGTTATAAGTGCCCCGTAGTCCGGGCCAGCCGCGTATAGATCAGTGTTTCTATGAGGTAATCTGCTGTGCGTTGTCGCAGGCACTAGACACCCCTCACGGAACAACTCTCCAGTAGTAGCCGACACTGACCGCCACCAGCTAGGCCCCTGTCAGGCAACATCGCCTATCCAGCGAAACCAAACCCCATAAGCTACACTATATCGCCAGTATCAAACCCCGCTAACGCCTGCACCATCATTTGAAAGGTGGAGCTCGACACTTCACGTGACGATTGCGGATCGGGGCCACACCTATAAAACCCCACTTATGCCCTTCACAGCCAACCAAGATGCCATCGAGTAAGTAAATTCCCCCAGATTTCGCTGCCGACGCCGCCAAATGCAGAAATAACGCCATGTTTTGTCATCATCAGCTACTAACCCATCAGTTGGTCGAGTCTATGTCACCTCTGACACCAAAGGGGTGCCCTCGAAATACGGCGATGGCGAGGTCCTCATCGCCCATAACGACCCTTATGCGGTGATCGACGACTTCGTGGCGCTGAGGCTGCCAGAAGACGACGACTTCGTCACCGTCTACACCGACGCCGCTACTCTTTTGAGCCAGCTCCCGTTGTTGCTGCTGCTGGCGTTGAAGGCGGCCCGCGTGGTTCTGCACGTGGAGGTCTCCGGCGACTACGGCGCCGTCAACGCCTTGCGCGACGCTGGGGTCCCCGTGCTTGTGTCTAACGGCAAGAATCTGGCGCAAATTGCCACCTTGGCCTACAACTTGGCCGGCCGTTTGAGCACGCCAGTGTACCACTTCTACCCCACCTTCCAATCGCAATTCGGCGACGTCAACATCTTGGACAAGGTGAGAGACTTGGAAGTCAACGACATTGCTCTGCAACTTCAAGTGGCGGCCTTCCCTCGCCTCAACAAGGTGACCGGGGCTCACGCTGTGTTGTTGTTGGGCGATGCCTCTGCTGACGCGGTCCTGGCAGCGACTAGCCACAACGTGCTGTTGTTTGCCGTGCAAATCTACCAACCGTTCGATCTTGCTCTGTTCTTGTCGAACGTCCCCGCTGAGGTTGAGACCATCACTCTTGTCACCCAGCTGACCGGCTTCACCCCTTTCATCATTGACTTCTTCCAAGACTACTCGCAATACCAGGCTCTCAAGAACTTCACCCAGGTTGTTGGTGCTCAGTTCGCTTCGTCGGTGGACTACGAAGATGCCTTCGGTAAGATCGTTTCCAACGCTGCTGCTCCCACCCCCAAGCAAAACGTCACTTACGGTAGCGACACCGGCGCCAAGCCCAAGGTGGTGCAATTAGCGCTGGCTCAAGCTTTGGAACAACCCTACATGAAGATGTTGCAACTGGTCGACGCTTCCAACCCTCTCACTATCCTCAATCAAAGTACTCTGGCGCTGGTGCTGACAGCTCCCGAGTACGGGTACGGGGCGTTCTTGGCGGCCAAGGACCAACGCACTAACTTGGAAGCGGCGGTGTTGCTGGCCGTCCAAGACAACAAGTTCGTCACCAAGGACAATACCAAGCTCCTTGAACTGTTGCTGGAATGGCTTGTTCAACTGAAAGCCGGCACCGTTGACGCCGAGCTTGTCTCCACCATCATTGAATTGCTCGAACTGGACACTCTGTCGGCGCTGAAGCCGTTGTTGGAACTCAAGGAGCTGTTCGCCATTGGCCGCAACTGGTTGGTTGGTTCTGACGCCTGGGCGTTCGACTTGGGTGCCCTGGGGGTGCACTCGGTCATTGCTCTGGGGCAAAACATCAACATGTTGGTGATTGACTCTGAACCTTTCGCCGACAAGAAGGTCGATGGTTTCCGCAAGAAGGACATTGGTTTGTACGCTATGAACTACGGCGGAGTGTACGTGGCCCTGGTGGCGATCTATTCGCTGTACACTCAAGTGCTCCAAGCTTTAATCGAAGCCGAAAAGTTTAACGGGCCCTCGGTGGTATTGGCTTACTTGCCTTACAACAAGCTGACCGATCTGACCCTCACGGTGTTGCAAGAAACCAAGAAAGCTGTTGACCTGGGTCACTGGCCCCTCTACCGTTACAACCCGTCCCTCGAAGATGACCTTCAATTCCAGTTGGACTCGCTGAACTTGCGCAAGCAACTTAAGGACTTCTTGGACCGCGAAAACAAATTGACTCTCTTGGCTAAGGCTAACCCAGTGTTGCTGCGCAACTTGACTGCCACCGCCAATACCGATGGTGCCGCCAAGCAAAAGCAAGTGGCCGACGATCTGTACGCTGCTCTTTTGTCGGGCTTGTCAGGTCCTCCCTTGACGGTGTTGTTTGCCTCCGACGGTGGTAACGCTGAAGCTCTTGCCCGTAAGGTGCACCGTCAAGCCAGTGGCAGAGGTCTTAAGCTGGTTGTGATGGCCATGGACGACTTAGCCGTGGAAGACTTGCCCACCGAAACTAACGTTGTGTTCGTGGTCCTGACTTCGGGTCAAGGTGAGTTCCCCGTCAACGGTAAGCAATTCTGGGATGCCCTCAAGGGTCTGACTGACACCGACCTTGCTCTGGTCCATTTCTCGGTGTTCGGGCTTGGTGACTCGGAATACTGGCCTAGAAAGGAAGACAAGCACTACTACAACAAGCCTTCTAAGGACTTGTTTGCTAAGCTTGAGCTTTACGGTGGTCAAGTCCTCGCTCCCTTGGGCCTCGGTGATGACCAAGATGCTGACGGCTTCAACACTGGCTTCAACGAATGGATCCCTCAATTGTGGACGGCTCTTGGCGTCGACAACGTCGACGGTGTTGAAGAGCCCAAGCCTTTGACCAACGAAGACATGAAGGCGGCGCTGGACTTTTTGCGTGGTACTATTGCTGAAGGTCTTCAAGACGAGCTGACCGGTGCTATCAGCGCCACTGACCAACAAATGACCAAGTTCCACGGTATCTACATGCAAGATGACCGTGACATCCGTGAGCAACGTAAGGCTGATGGCTTGGAACCGGCCTACTCGTTCATGGTTCGGGTTCGTTTGCCTGGTGGGGTGGCTACTCCTAAGCAATACCTCAAGATGGACGAATTGTCGGACACTAGAGGTAACGGTACGTTGAAGGTCACCACCAGAGCCACTTTCCAATTGCACGGTGTGGTCAAGCACGACTTGAAGCCGGCTATCCGTGGTATGAACTCGGCGTTGATGGACACTCTTGCCGCTTGTGGTGACGTTAACCGTAACGTGATGTTACTGGCCCTTCCTCACAACAAGAAAGTCCACTCGCAAGTGCTGGCTGACGGTGCGATGATCTCGGAATACTTGTTGCCCAAGACTACTGCTTACCACGAAATTTGGTTGGCTGGCGAAGACCCTCTGGACAAGCCTGGTGACCGTGAGGCCTGGGAAAACCGCGCTGAAGGTCCCACCAAGAAGAAGACGTTGGTGGCTGGTGGCGCCTTGGTCGATTTTGAACCCATGTACGGCGAATTGTACTTGCCCCGTAAGTTCAAGATCTCGATCACCGTTCCTCCTTACAACGATGTCGATGTCTACGCTCACGACATTGGTCTCGTGACCATCGTTGGCGACAACGATGAAGTGTTGGGTTACAACGTGTTTGTTGGTGGTGGTATGGGTACTACCCACAACAACAAGAAGACCTATCCTCGTTTGGGGTCGCTGTTCGGGTTCGTTAAGCGGGAAAACATCCACAAGGCTTGTGAAGCTATCATGTTGGTGCAACGCGACTTTGGTGACCGCACTAACCGTAAGCACGCTCGTCTTAAGTACACCATTGATGATTTGGGCGTGTCCGAATACAAGGCCAAGGTTGAAGAACGTTTGGAATTCAAGTTTGAGGCTGAAAAGCCCTACGAAATCACCTCCAACGTCGACTTTTTCGGGTGGTGCAAGGACGAAACTGGGCTTAACCACTTCACTTGCTTCATTGAAAACGGTCGTATTGAAGACACTCCTGACCTCCCTCAAAAGCAGGGACTCAAGAAGATCGCTGAATACTTGACTACCGCCAAGCTGGGTGAATTCAGATTGACTGGTAACCAACACATCGTCATCCTGAACATTTTGGATGCCGACTTGGACCACGTCAAGGGGTTGATGAAGGAATACAAGTTGGACAACACCGATTTCTCGGCGTTGCGTTTGCTGCTGGCGGCGTGTGTGGCTTTCCCCACCTGTGGGTTGGCTATGGCCGAGCTGGAGCGTTACTTGCCCGTGTTGATCACCAAGTTGGAACTGGCTCTTGAGGACTTGGGATTGCGTCATGACCTGGTGGTGATGCGTATGACCGGGTGCCCCAACGGGTGTGCTCGTCCCTGGGTGGCGGAAGTCGCCCTCGTCGGTAAGGCGTTGGGTGCCTACAACTTGATGCTTGGTGGTGGTCACCATGGTGAACGTTTGAACAAGATCTATCGTATGTCGATCAAGGAAGACGAAATCTTGGAGACTTTGGTGCCGTTGTTCAAGCGCTGGTCGGTGGAGCGTAACGATGGTGAACCTTTTGGTGACTGGGTCATCCGTGCTGGGATCATCAAGCCTACTTTGGAAGGTAAGAAATTCCATGACGACATCCCTGAGGATGCTTAGATATAAATTTATAGATAATGGAAAACGTATGTATTCATATCAACTTTAGTAGGGGTCAATGGCTCGACGAAGCTGACCGTACCTGTTGAATTAAACAAAAACACTGATAGTTCTGGAACAAAGACACTGAAGTCGCAAGCCAAACGCAATCCTTTATTATCGATAGAGCCTCCTTAAACCTCAAGAGGTAGGTCCATAGATTCAATCAATCTTCATCAGCCATTATATCTTGTTTTGCTCCTTCAAGATCATCTCAACGTAGTGCGCCAATTCGCGAGGGTCAACGCCTTGATCCAAGAGGTTGAAACATAACTGTAAGTTCAAATCGGAGAGAACCAACGCGTTGACTCCTAATATTCGAGCGATGTCCACCTCTGAAGTAGACGTGTTCATTGTTGATAGTTCACGTGACAGGGTCTTGCGACTTCCATGCTATTTTTTTATCTATAAGTATGCATTAATATCTACCTGTAAAAAACGGTTGTAGAAGACTCTAAGAGCCATCTACCGTCGTGAAAAAAAAAAACAGATAAGATATCTGCGAGTTGAGGAAGCAAGAACAAATTGCAAACCTCAGAGAGAGTAATAACTGAAGTAGGGTACTCAAGCAAAAGGGGGAATGTGACCCGTAGCCGCTATAAGGCGCGTATAGTTAATCACTTCAAAAGCATGCACATCGTTACAAGAGCCAAGCCGAGAATATTCGGATTAGTACATCCACCAGCACCTGACGCTAAAAGTCTTGCAAGAAGACCACCGCAGTAAAGCGCAAAATGGACACTAGTGTTGTAATGTATCAATTACATTAAATGTCAAAAATTTGCAAAAGGTCCCTTGGCCCAGTTGGTTAAGGCGTGGTGCTAATAACGCCAAGATCAGCGGTTCGATCCCGCTAGGGACCACTTCTTTTTGTCTCCTGAATATCTTATTCCAGTACAAGTCCTAAATCACCGAGGTTTTAGTTTGTCCGACATTTTTTTGTTCCTATACGATATTAAATGGATTCCATTTGGTGGAGCGTATCTTACTTCCATTTTGGGACAGAAGCGCATTATTCAAATAAGCATATAAAAGGCGAAAGCCAATGCAGATGGGACAATCACAAATGTTGTTACCCTTGACGTTGGTATCAATTGCACTTGCAGCACAAATTCCGTTAGTCAAAGAGCAGTCCCAAGGCTCGCTTATGGATGGTCTTTTCGGTGAATTAGTTGACTCTGAAGCCACTCTTGATAAGACTGCGATCACTGAATACGGCAAAGGAGCTTCTCACTTGTTGTACGCGCTGCTGATCAAGCTTCCTGATAACGATGACATCAGCGACATCAATGTCGATCAGACGTTCTTTGGAGGAATTTTGACTTATGCTCATTTACCTCACTTCAGCTGTGTCAGTCATGATGATGACAGGCCCATCGATATCGCCATCATGGGAGCACCGTTTGACACCGCAGTCAGTTACCGGCCGGGAGCTCGCTTTGGTCCTGAGGCTATCCGTCTGGGAGCCCGTCGATTTGGGGGAGTTGGTCATAGTTCTCCCCAAACTAAACCCGGTGAACGTCCCCAGGTACCATACGACCCTGAAAGTCACAACTTCCTGCTTGTTGATTGTGGTGATGTACCAATGTCACCCTTTGACAATCGAGTCGCTTTGAACCAGCTTTATAGAGCCCAAAGGGCCACCCACAAACGGAAAGGAAATGTGTTTTCCACCCCCAAGATCATCACTATGGGTGGTGATCACACTATTGCTCTCATGGCATTGAAGCTGGTCTCGGAAAAGGTAGGTCCTGTGCATGTCATTCATTTTGACTCTCATATCGACACTTGGGACCCTCGTCAGCTTGGAGGTGGCATCACCGACTATATGAAGCTTAATCATGGTACTTTCTTACACTACGCCCATGAAAAGGGATACGTTCACCCCGATAACAATTATCATGTCGGTATTCGGGCTCCCATGGTTGATGAGGTTTTTGACCGCAAGCACGATAGAGAGTGTGGATTTAAAACAATTGAAGCCACGGATATTGACCATATTGGCATCAAAGGCATTGTTAATACCCTTAAGGAAGCCTTCGGAGATGAGCCTGTATATATTTCCGTGGACATTGATGTGTTGGACCCTGCTTTTGCTCCTGGGACTGGTACCATGGAAGCCGGCGGATTTACCTCGCGTGAATTGCTTTCAATTTTGAGAGGTTTGAAGGGACTCAACGTTGTCGGTGCCGATGTTGTTGAAGTTTCGCCTCCTTTCGACACCAACGCTGAGATTACTTCGTTGGCGGCAACTTTCGTCATAGATGAATTTCTCAAGCTTATGATGCACATAAAGAAGTAGAAGTAAATATATACCTTTTAAAGTGAAGTTTATGATGCCAAATGTTTTTTATTCTATTTCGTACGTCATTCTTCCATTTTAGTTAGGGGCATAGTTCTCGATAGCCCTTTAATCGAAAGGTTCGAGATAACTTTCCGCGATAACTCTAGCACGGGCGTTCAAGAACAATTTCATCTCACGGATTTCCTTGTCAACCACACCCATGAATTCGACAATGAAGTCGACCAATTTAGCCTTCAACATCTTCTCAGTGTGGAAGTTGGTCACAAGGAAAGAAAGGTCGTAGCCCTTTATCGGAACCCGCCGTAAAATGAAGAACTGTTCGGCTCTTTGCGTCAAGAACCGGGTAAACATGTGGACCAATAATTGCTCGATTTCGTCGACTTGTTTGATCTTGATCGAAACCCGCACTGAGTTCACCGACGGCTCGATCAAAATCAGCTCGTTCTCGTTTCTGGCGATAACCATGGGATTCAAAATCAACTCAGGCGTGTGGTTGGGCTCGACTTCGATTTCCGGCCGGTTGTGTCTTTCGACCAATTGGGACGAAAAGTCCTCAAGACAGATCGCCGCCGTAAGCGACGCCCGCACCGCCGTCAAGTATGGTTTCAATGATTGCGACTATTGGTTAGTACTCGTTCAGTAGGCTCAACTCAAATAAGGATACGTACCATTCCTGAGGTGTGTTGCGAGTGTCGTGGTGGAGCGTTGGTACGCGGAAAATACCTGTCGCACTACCGACGCCGACAAACGATTGAATCACTGAGAGCTCAGGCCAGAACGCAACAGACGGTATTAAAACAAATGTATTAGGTGAGAAAACTATATAAACTATTACTTTTTGAGAATGGTGATAACATCCTCATCCTCCAATTGATGTTGCAAACCTACAATTTGAGGTTGGTGCTTGACTGAGGTACCGTACACAAGAGCGTTTCGGAAATCTTCAACCAAGGACTTGTGGATGGAGTTACAGAAATCTTCAACCGTACAACGGTCATTCCGCAACACCACCGGCTCATTGAAGTCCGGTAACTTACCCTTGGGCTTGGTGTACACTCTGACCAATTTGAGACGCTCCCACATCATCTCGAGCAAATCGTCAAGATTCCACCCGTTACCTGACGAAATGGGAATAGCATTGGGAATTTTGTACATCAAATCTAATTCCTCAATCAGGAAAGCATCAATTTTGTTAAGAACGTAGATGGCAGGAATGTACTTACGAGCCTTCGCTTCGATAGCATCAATCAAGTCATCGACAGTGGCGTCACATCTGAATGCAATATTTGCCAGGTTGATTTTGTATTCACTCATCACAGCTCTGATTTCATCGTTGTCAAGATGTGTCAACGGCAGAGTGGTGGTGATATTAATCCCACCACGTTCCTTCTTTGTGATGACGATGTTGGGAGGTTCTTTGTTGAGTCGAATACCCATACCTTCTAATTCCTTTTCGATGATCTGCTTGTGATGGAGAGGCTTGTTAACGTCAAGAACGATGAAGATGAGGTTGACGGACCGGGCAACAGCAATGACCTGTCTACCTCTACCCTTACCGTCCTTGGCACCCTCAATAATCCCGGGTAAATCCAACATTTGGATCTTGGCCCCCTTGTATTTGATGACACCAGGGACTGTGGTTAATGTAGTGAACTCATAAGCAGCAGCTTCAGAGTGGGTACCAGTCAACTTGGACAAGAGGGTTGACTTCCCCACTGAGGGGAACCCAACAAACCCAATAGTGGCAACCCCGGTACGAGCGACATCGAACCCTACACCACCACCACCACCACCACCGCTGGAATCAGTCAACAACTCACGCCGAAGCTTAGCCAACTTCGCCTTCAACTGACCCAAGTGGAACGAGGTGGCCTTGTTCTTTTGGGTCTTGGCCATCTCATCCTCGATGGCTTTGATCTTTTCAACGGTAGTCATCTTGAATGTAACGAGTGCAAAAGTTCGCTTCGCGAATCGAAGATCTATATGGTAGAGGTCAACGTGAAAAATCTAAGCATATGCAATAACTTTTAATCTAGCGTGATGAATTAAAGGCTACTCACAAGCTTAAAGCCTAGATACTGTCATTTAAGTTACGCGATATGGGCATGGCTTGTCAAGTTCGCCATTGTTCAATCGAAATCATCGTTTGAGTTTAAATTGTGTTCCAACTCTTAATAATAAAGATACTAATACGAAAAGAAGAGCAAGTATCTTCAAAAATCGTGTTAAGTTGAACGTACTTTGTCAGAAACGCCTTAGACATTCTCTCTTGTACTCAAGTTAACTCCGGCTCGTTCATAAGATGAATGTAAAATCAATTTCTCAAGATCCCTCAAAAGTGGTGGATTCAATTTGATACTTTTGTTTATGTTCAGTTATTCTACACAGGTCTCGTGGTGGACGCCCTCTCCACCCGTCTTCATCGGGTGCGCGGTGGCAAAATACCTTTACCATGCTGCGTCGGTACGACTCGAGAACAACGATCTTCTCGCCCGAAGGGCGTCTCTATCAAGTGGAATACGCCCAGGAGGCCATTTCCAATGCCGGTACCGCAATTGGCATTCTTTCCACTGAGGGTGTCGTGCTTGCATGCGAGAAGAAGGTGACGTCGAAATTGCTCGACGACGACGGGTCTCCGGAGAAGATCTACGTGGTTGACGACCATATGGTGGCCGCTGTTGCCGGGATGACGGCTGATGCGACCATCTTGGTCAATCATGCTCGAGTGCAAGCTCAACTTTACTTGAAGAAGTATGGTGAGCAAATTCCTTGTGAACAATTGATCAAACAAGTTTGCAACATCAAGCAAGGTTACACTCAGCACGGGGGGTTGCGTCCGTTTGGTGTTGCCTTCCTTTATGCTGGGTACGATGATCGCTACGAATTCCAATTATACCTGTCGAATCCGTCGGGCAACTACCTGGGGTGGAGAGCAACATCGATCGGGGCCAACAACTCCGCGGCTCAAACTCTTTTGAAAAAGGACTTTACTGACGATATCTCGTTGAAGGACGCGTGTTTCCTCGCGGTGAAGGTGTTACTGAAGACGATGGACTCGCTGAACTTGAAGCTGGACAAGTTGGAATTTGCCACTTTGAGTAAGACGAAGGATGGCAAGGTTGTCCACAAAGCGTGGCTGCCCAAGGATATCGATGCGCTTATCGCTGACTCGGGGGTATTGGATGACAAAGATCTGGATGAGTAGTTTTACTAGTAGTAATGATAATGATAGAGCATGCAACTGCGTAGTCGAAAAATCCGGGGTAGCCTTACGATACATCGGTCACTTAAATATTTGGTGATTTATTTGCCAACCCACGGTGGTATTGTGAGTTCGGTAGAACTTGTATTTCAGAGACGATGGACGCATCGAGCGACTCGTTGTACCCCGAGTGGAAAAATGACCTATAAAAAATTCGTCGTATTTTTCATTGAGCTTTGTTCTCAGGCAAAGACACGTTAGATTCACCTTCCCGAAACTGACGTTAGCCTTTGCAGCTCTAGCGTGGTATACCCGAGGAGTCTCGGAGGAGTTAAGCTGCCGCGTCCTACATTTGTCTGCAGGACACTTTATAACAGTGACGCAAAAAACTACCCTTGACATTCAAACGCTTCAGCTACTCCAATGTCCTACAACCGAGGCGGCCTGTACTACGGCCCGCGATATACCGGTTCGTCTGGCTCGGACAAACGAAGTCCACCCGAGCCCACACCCGGTCAACTGAGTACCAGTGGCGGAGGACTGTACTCGAGCTCCCAGCGAAGAGACTACTACGGCGCGTACCGCTCTGGCAGCGGGTCCAATGCTTCTAGTGGCAGCTCAGGCCTTGCGGGAAACTCTGGAAAGTACTCTAAGTACGGGCTGGACCGCGACCGTGAACGTGAACGGGATCGTGATCGCGACCGTGATCGCGAGCGGCGCCGTTATGAAAGCTATCAGAAGCACCTGCAACGATACGACCAGCGTTATGACAAATATTACGGAGGTGGAACTGACTCTTACAAACCACTGCGACGGCGGAGAGGGGGCCGAGACGACCGCAGACGAGAAATTCGAGACGACCGCCGAGACTCTCGAGATGAGCGACCTAAGGAGAGTGAGCGCCGTGAAGATGGTCGAGATGACCGAAGGGACTCCAGGGACGAACGACGTGACTCTCGCGATGATCGTCGGGAAAACGTGGATGAACGCCGTGGCCTGAGAGATGAGCGCCGCGACAGCCGTCGTGACGATCGCCGAAACTTGGAGAGACGAGACTCGAAGGATGGGAGCAAGGACCAACGTGACTCTCGATCTCTTAGTCGAAGAAACAGTCATGTCGAGCCCCGAGACAGAGAACAAACTCGATCCAAATCTGAAGTTCGCGACAATAGTTTCGTGGATCTCCCCCAAAAAGCACCACACGAAGCTTCAAATGCATCCACGTTACCTCGCGGACCTTCGGCAAGTACCACTTCACAAGCCAACACTTCGAAGGCTGCGTTCAAGTTGGGTGATGAGCCTGAAAGACCAAGCTTCCCAGCAGAACCGAAGAAAAAGCTGTTCAGTGAATACAAACTGTTAAAGCAAAAGATGGTGACTGAGTCGGCAACCCTGGTCGAGAACTTGTCCTCCCGCTCTGCGTCGAATGACAAGCCTGTGTCAGTCATAGAGGATGACGAGGGAACAAGTTCTAACAGTGTCGCAACAAAGCAAACAAAGCTGCCTGCAACTTTGGAAAAACACGACGGCAACAACAACTTGTTAAAACCAAACGACAATTCTAAAATTGCGCCTTCGGGTAGTTTGTCCAAATCACCTGTGGAGCAGTCCGCAAACGCCAAAGATACAATTAAACACGTTGAGCCCGCGAAGCCAAAACTGTCACTGGATGATCTTATTGCTAAGGGCTTACAAGAGGCTTCGTCCAAAGAGCTGCAGTTGTCAACCGAGCAAAGGCCTTCTCCGCTATTAAAGCCAATTGTTGATTTGGCTAATATCACAGAAGCCGCCAAGTCTTCGAATTCTGATAAAGATGAAGAGGAGAAAGAGAGAGAGAAGAAAACAGAAGAGAACAAAGAGGTTGTGAAGAAAGAGGAACTCCAGAAAGAGGAACTTCAGAAAGAGGAACTTAAGAAAGCGGAACTTGAAGATTCAAAGGACGAAGGCATGATTGATGACTCAAGGGATAAGTTTGAAGTACCACAATCTAAGGGCAAAGAGGATATAGTTAAGGAGGAGGAAATGTCGACCACAAATGAAGTTGGTCAAAACCTTCCGGATAGTCTCGAATCAGCAGAAAAGACGCAAATGACTCCAAAACGCGTCCCTGCCACGCCCCTCAAGATTGACTCCTCTTTCGATACACTGACGTTGTCCCCCGTCAAGGATACTCCCAAGCCGGATCTGTATTTCCATGCTTTGGGTACTGGTGTTCTTGACGCCTCCTCGAAGCCCGATTTGAAGAAGCACATACTGGAACCCACAAAACAACGGGATGTCGTGGACTCTGATACCGAGACGGTCGCTGGCGATTCTCCTCCTCACTTTGACAAGGCTAAGCAGTATATCCGCAAAAATGAGAGTGATAGATCCCGTCTCAAACGCAAGCATCGCAATGTTTTACCTGACGAGGAAAGCTTTGGGGAAGTTGACGACGAAGATGAAGATGAAGGCGAAAATCCCTCGTTGAACAAGAGACCCCGCCCCGCTGACGCTCGATCTCTGGAGAGCTTGGCCACATCAAAGCCGTATAAAATCAAGCGTGACTCTGGTGGAAGAACCCTTCTTCAACGTGCTTGTAAAAAAGGGGACTTGCGACTCATCAAGGAATATCTTGCTCGTGGAGCTGATGCAAACGAAAAAGATTTTGGTGGTTTCACTTGTTTGCATGAAGCAGCGCTTGAAGGTAACACTGAAGTTGTTGAACTTCTCTTGAGTCACGGGGCCAATGTAAACGCCAAAGCTGACGCTGTGGGTGCAGGTGAGACTCCTCTTATTGATGCTGCCGAAAATAAGCATCTTGAGACTGTCAAGTGTCTTTTGCGGCATGGAGCTGATCCCACAATCTATAACATTGATGGCCTTAATGCGTTAACGAAAATTCTCAATGATCACGGTGACGAAGACGGTTATGAGGACATCGTTGCTCTTCTTGAAAAGGCAATTGAAGAGCGGCCTCAACAAGAAATTGTGGCATCAGCGGAAGCCGCCGATACAAGAGCTGATGCTCCTCGACAAGTTATTGATGATCCTCATGACATGTATTTTGCTGATTTGCTTCGTAAAAAGCAAATATATAAGTACGCTGCTGAAGGTACCAAGGAGCAAACGGCAACATATTTCGTCCAGGGTAATCTGCTTTCTGCTAAGCCTGACATTCTCTTTTTGGCAGCAAGAAATGGTCATTCGGAACTTGTTGATATCATCCTTGGGTTGGATCTGCTGGGTTTCGATTTGGACACGGAAAATGATTGTGGCACTACGGCCTTATTGGCGGCGGTTGGACGTGGTCATCTAGATACCGTTGAGCTGCTTCTTTCTAAAGGAGCTGATCCATTCAAGATTCGCCATTCTGATAATCGGAATGCTCTCCAAATCGCCCAAACTGCTATCAAGTACGACCCTAAGGAAGTTGTTTTAATCCAGCAGTATATGGATAAGAAGAGACCCCAGGTTCCTCTGCGGAGTACCTCGAAGAATTTCGTACGCGCCCATATGAAGAGCCTGCTGCGCGCACCTCTGATTGCTCCAAGTGATGATGAGGAAGATAGCAACAACGATGAGGATGTTAAATCTAAGAAGCACGGGCAGACTATTGAGCACACTCGTCATGAAGTTAAATCGGAGGATGTGAAGCCAAATCTCGACAATGAGAGTCAACCAAGTGGAGATGAAAGTAATGACGAAGATGAAGAAGAACAGTTGATAGTTGTACGCAAGCGTAAGCTGAGGGATCGTGATCAGAACGACGGTCGCGAAGCTAAGCGATCGCGACTGGAGACACTTTCCAAGGATGAAGCATCACCTCCTAGACGCGTGGCCACTGCACCTACTGGGGGTTCTTTACTGCCACAACCCCAATCAACAGCACAGGGTTTAGCCGCTGATGACCGAGAGAAGCTGGCCCTGCCGTCTCCTCATCCGGAGCATATTCCTCGCGAACGTGACGCCGAGCAGGCCCGCGCCTGGCAGCAAAAACAAGAAGCGAAGAAGAAAGCTAGACGAGACATGTTCCTCAAGGCCGAGCGTGAAAAAGAGCGTTTACGCCAACAGGAGATCGAAATGAAGCATAAGGAAGAGCAACGTGTTGAGGAAGCTAAATCGTTGGAGCGTGAGCGCCAAGCTCATGAAGCTGAGCAACATTGTAAGCTTATCCAGGAAAAGCGTCTCAAGTTGCAGCAACAATTGGTGAAAGAAAACTACCCGGAGGGACTTCTCGCTGCACTTGGTTTTGACGGTACTGTTGGTGAACGTCTAGATCGGTTTGGACCATTGTACGTGTTTGAGAAGGGGGATAAGCGCTATGTGGTTGATTTGCAATTGGCGCTTATGTTTGGACTTCCTGTGTCACTGATTGATGTTGAAAACAAATCTCCGTTGCAGACTGAGGATAAACAGCGCATATGGAGATTTTTCTACCGAATTATTGGTGGTTCCGACTCAATTGAGGAAGGTTGTGTCAAGTTTGGCCATTTGCTTACGCATTTTTTGCCTGAAACTGAGGTAACTAAATGGGCCGATGAAAATCTGGTTTCAATCAAGCAATCGTTGAAGGTTGCAGTGGACTTGAATAATTTGGAATTGCCACGAGAATCCAGAGCGGTGGTGGTCGATCAAGGTGATGATGACGATGTAATTGTTGACGAAAAGGCGGTGGAAACAAATTGTTTTGTGCCACCCAATTTGAGGGGAAGAAAGGATGCAATGAAGGTATTGCAAATGGTTACGATGCTGTTGTGGTAATATTAATGAGTTATGATAATACAAGCGCGCGATTTTTGAATAAATCAGAGTAGATGTTAAGACTCACTCAAGTACATGATTATCAAATGCTTGAGCCTTTCAGCTAGTTAAAAAATTTATTCAGGTAACTTGAAATGATCAAGAGAATTTCCTATAATTTAAAACAAAGTAATTCGAATGTTGAGTACCACTACAATGTCAGCAGAGTTAGTTTTCTGCTTCGACGTCGATGAGTTCACAGACGCCGTTTTCGTCGCCTACTGCAAGTTCAACAATTCTTTCACTCACGTCTTGCACCGGTACCATGGGGGCATCTATACCCGCCAGTCTACCCATGTCGGTGTCCATAAGGCCGGGAAGAACGCAATTGACTCTAACTTTACCGTTGAGTTCATGCGCCAAAGACTGCGAGAACACCGCAAGAGCCCCCTTAGTAGCAGAATACACGGTCAGGCCGGACTGTACGCAATGATCAGGTATCGCGAGCTTTGACAGAACGTTAACGATGGCAGGGCTTATATTTTCCCGCTTACCATTAGCCATCAATGGCTTTATTGCCTGCTTCAGTAGCTTTAACGGGCTGGTCAAATTGGTAGCTATAGTTCGTTCGATGTCTTTATCAGCCATCAGCACCATAAGCAGGGCGGGGGCAATGCCAGCACAGTTCACCAAATAGGTAACCCCGGTCCAGTCAATACTGACGTCGCCCTTGGAAAGGTCTGCAGCCACGGTGGCGTGACCCAATCCAGGAAGGCTAGCGATCGCGGCATCGAGATTGGATTGGGAGCGAGACACTAGCGTGACGGGAATGTTTCGCTTCGCAAATGCTTGAGCCACTCCGAGCCCTAAGCCCCGTGATCCTCCAGTGATCACCGCTTTCATCGTAGGTAAATGCGGAATGACCCTGGCATGAGACCAGTACCGGGGTATATTGTGCGCCTATGAGCAAGGAAGCAAATGACATGCACCTAACGGGAAATAGGAATGCCGCCGTTATGTAGACTTGCTTAGGACGGTGTCACCGGTGCGGGGTCGGTGGAGGGCAGTGACGGGTACGCCACCTCGTGATTGCGAACTACAGTGTGGTGGATCCTCCATCGAAGCGAGAGGGCTACCCCGGATACGGCTGTCGTCGCTAATTACCGAATCCGTTCCGTCTGTGGCCGGGAACGACCTGTAGCGTAGCCCTGAGCCTCAACAATTACTGTTAGGCTGCGTTTGCGCTCGTACCGATCCCACGTGACCGCAGGCCCCAACACCAACATCTTCACGTCACTTAAGCCCAACCACTCGCGACCCCAACCAAAGCCAACGCCTCCTCAAGTTTACCGGTCAGTAACGTTGTTTGCGAAGACCCTTCGATGAACTCGTTTAAGCTCTTGGCTAACCGGATCACCGCCTACAGCCCCCCTCTTCAAGATGGCGCCGGCGAGGAGACGGAGGGCACTGTTTGTCCCGAGGTCACGGTTGATCAAATCGAAGACAAAGACGATCCTCTACCGAGTCCAACCCCACGAGAGCCCGAAGAAGATGCCGTTCCCGGCAGCGATGACGCGTCGGTGGAACAGGAACTGGTGTCTTCTCCCGAAGGACTGCTGTGGACATCGCGAGTCATCATGGCCATACTCTTCTTCCCCAATTATATGATCATCCATCCGATTCTTCTTATATACCATTTTGTTGCCATTCCCTCATGGTTTACACTGAAGAAGACGATGGCCACCGATGTGGTCGTCGAGGAACCGAGAATGCCTGCGCCGGCGCAGACTTCCCTTCGCTCCCAAGTGCTTACTGCCCTGCGACCTCGCTCCTCGCTGGTGGCGCTGGATGACTCGGTCGATATCAGTGAGCCAGCAGAATCATACGTCGACCCAGTAAAGCTGCTGCTGTGCACACAAAAATACATCATCCCGTCACCATTGCGGCTATACCCACGTTCTCGAAACCCTGAACGGCCGAAGCCTCGAAAGAAGTTGGTTCTTGATTTGGACGAAACTCTCATCCATTCGCTTCTGCGGAGTCAGCCGCGTCTGGCATTTAGTGGAGCACCACTGCCGAAAGTCATCGAGATCCAATTGAACGGACTTGCTAGTCTTTACTACGTCTACAAACGCCCTCATTGCGATTACTTTTTGCTGGAAATCAGCAAATGGTACGAACTTCAGATTTTTACCGCATCTGTACGGGAGTATGCTGATCCTATCATTGATTGGCTTGAAAATACTATCCGGGCCAAGCGGCGAAACTTACGGGATACGCCAGTATTCACCAAGCGCTACTATCGTGACCATTGTACGCTCCGTAAAGGCGTGGGCTATGTCAAGGACTTATCAAAGTTCTTCGCAGCCGACGAACTCAAGTCTGTGGTGATATTGGACAATTCACCTGTACTGTATGCATTGCATGAAGACAATGCGGTAATGATTGAAGGTTGGATCAATGACCAACATGACCGCGATCTTTTAAACCTTTTGCCTATGTTGCGGCTGCTCAGTCGATGCATTGATGTTCGTTACATCTTAGGTCTCCGCAGTGGTGATAAGATGTTTGGTCAAGCTAATCCCATTAGGAGACCCTGAACCATCTAGCTGAAAACTTAATGATTATAGACCGCCCCCAATTATTGGACACTTTTGAATTTGCATAGTGTGAGACCCTATCTTGAACTTACGGGGCCACCCAAAAATAAACACATTTCATTTCTTAAACCGTCATACACGGCACTCGTAAATTTTAAGGCTCATCATCAATCATGTCGGTCACGCCAAATGTATAATGGACTATTTTGGAGGGGCATAAGCACAACACTTTTCAAAAGCAAGCAATAATAGAGACACTCCGAATAAGGTAACCAAATTAGACTAGCTGATGGCTATTATTGTTCTATTGCGTGATCAAGATGATCGTTACAGATAATTTTTATAGTCATGTATTACCTGGATCAAAATCCAGAGGTATTTTCAAAAATTTCCCTAAAATCAAGCTAGATATCAAAAAATCAAAAAAGCAAACTAATGTCTAAGTTTGAAGAAGTAATAAGGCTCCAGGCCTTGCAGAAGCACCACTAGTACATTCTGTTGAATTCTCTCTTTTGCTTGGGGGCACCAGTAGCAGCGGGAGCAGGAGCAGGCGCCGCGCTTTGGGTAGTAGTGCCAGCTTTGTTGCCACCGAACAAGCTCAAGATGAAGTTGATGACGGAGGTAAGAATTTTACCAATGTTGGCACCGATCCATTGGAAGACCTTTTCGACGTAACCGTTTTGTTGAGCCCAGGTCCAGATCGAACTCACCAACTTAGACACCACCGACAAAGCCAGCTTGAGCAAGTTCTGGACTTGTTCCGGGTTGGTCTTAACCCAGTTGATAACCCAGTTGAACACCAGTTGGATGATGCCAGAGTTCCAGATGGCCTTGATAATGGTGCCAATAGTGTCAACGAAGTCACGAGCCGAGAGGTCGTTGGACATTTGAAGACGTTCAAGTTCGTCCAACATTCTCTTAGTTTGAGCCTTGCCAGTAGCAGCGGCGGGGGTGGTGTCAGCAGACTTAGTGAAGAGACCCAAGATGGCGTTAAGCACGTACTTAAGCCCGTTGAAAAGGGCATCCTTAATAGTTTGGTTGTTCCAGATAGCCTTGAACACCAGTTGGATGATACCCGAGTCCCAGACAGACTTGATAAGACCAGGCAAAGCCTTGAGCAACAGTTGCAAAAGCGCGCTCCAGTCGAAGTCACGTTGGGCCAATTCAGCGGCGTAGGCAACAACATCGATTTCACCAGCTTCACGCTTGGTGTTAAGGACAGCGACCAAGTTGTCAATGGCACCGAGAACATCATTGAGTTCAGCACGCTTTTCCAAGCCCTCTTCGACAACGACGGGAGCAGGGATGGCTTGAGCCAGGACGGAGGCGGCAGCAACAGCGGCAACAGCGGCAGTGGAGAACTTCATGATGTTGTAGAGAGTGAGTTGTTGTTGATGATGATGATGAGAAGAAGAAGAAACTAGGAATTTCGAGCGTTACTTATACTCCCAGACTGTGGTAGCGAAATGGTCGTTTTGGAGCCTACCTTCCTATTTAGGAAGTCGCCTCGAACGGTGCGCTAACGGACATTAGTCCACATTAGCATGAAGCATGTCGCCGCCTGGTAGCCCGCTACTGGCATCATTTCGGCTTTGTGTCTCGTAAATATGCATGTCGCTTTTTTGACGGTAACCTTCAGAAAAATGTTGACTCGTCTACCCCAAAGCTCAGGCCAAGCGTCACCATTGCTTCAATGCGCTGATACAAATGGTTAGGAAACGTAAGGTCATTTCTCAAACGCGTGACTAAGCTGAATATCAGCAGCAAACAGTGGTGAGCAATATTACGAGTGTGGCTCTCGTCATCATGAAGGAGCGATATCAGGTCGCAAAGACCTATGCCAAGCTCACAAAGTTTAATGCACACTCCCGGGCCGTTACTTTCAAATGCAAATAAGGATAATGAAGAGGTATCCTCCAAAAAGCTGTACGCTACATGGATGGGGAATAATACCAGCAACAGATCAAACCCGTGCGTTTTGTCAACTAAGATGCCTTGACGGTTACACATATGCCAGCATAGCATTTCCATCCAATACTTCAGCAATAATAGATTCAACTTCTGCGTCTCACTCATGTCGTCGCTAACTTCTATCAGTTGAAGCTGGAATTGCACATCGATGACCCATTGACGCCGAAGCTCCTTCAGTCCTACCCCGTATTGGATTATCAGGTCAAAGAACAGCTTATGTGGGATGGAAAACACCTTCACAAGTTCGCCAAACCCATTAAGAAGTTGTTGGTATTCCTCATCAGCCAATCGAGGGTGGGCAATCATTGATTCGAGAATGGGAGGCATGCGATGAGAAATAGAGATGAATCTCTCTGTGACAAGAAGTAGATAAAACACTTTGCGGAGAACATGGGCTCTAGCTGGCGTCAATTGAGCGTAGGTAGATTCAACGTCAAGCCGTAATATTTGAGCTGTTGCAATCGCCTGACGAAGATACGCGATTCCCGCTGATATACCCCCCTTGACATTAATCAGATGAACATACATGAAGAAGTATATGAGGACTGCATCCACCAGTGGTGTCCCGTTGAGATCTAGTTGGTAGATCATTTGCTTGGTCTCAATGCCAAATTTAATGGGGTCAAATCCATCAGGGACAACGAGCAGGGTGGGAGGGGAAGTGAGGAATTGTAATTGGATGCTAACAGCGGCTGCAATTGACACCGCTAACGTATACGCAGTCATGTCTGAAGGAATTGCCAAAATCCTTGGAGAAAGCTCGGGCACCAGTACCACAGGATATATGCCATAGTAATAAGCCTGGTATAGATGAAGAAATGGTAATAACTGCTCAGGTGTGAATTTTGGCTCAACGCTGTGATCCACCATCACCGCAACCTGTTTGGCGAGTGCATCCACCTGAGCCCTAGTCTTCTCCCGTAAACGTTTGGGACCACTTTTGCGCCGAGGCCGATTGTAAGAACAGATGATTTTGTGGGCAATACATCGATCACACGGGTTTTGGGTATTGCATCGGACTTTTCGAACAGCGCAAGCATCACAAGGACGAGTGTACTTTCCACGTGTTGTCGCCATTTGATTAGACGTATATGACTGAAAATTAATGAATCACAAGCCAAGACTCTAAATTATCGTAATGGCGGTGCCTTTCAAGAGGTGTAGGACTCGCTGGCGTCAAGCCGTAATCTGGGGTAGCGTTGATGGTCACCCGCAATTATTCTCGGAAATGCCGGATCCGCGGTGCGACTCCCGCTATCTACTGTGACACTCAAAAGCGGAGATGGCATTGACGAGAAAGCTGCGAAAGGCATATACGGGGGTGGGTCTAGTTTACGTCGTAAAGGATTTCCTTGCAGATAGCCACGTTGAGGCGGACAGCAAAAATACCGGCTTAGACCCTGTTGCAGCCGCAAGTGGCCTTGATGAACGTTAACTCCTTTGTTACCCTTCAAGGAAATGTTCGCTGCGCTTCAGCCTCGTCTCACGCGAGGCAAGTATTATTGTGGCTTATAGGAGCGGCATCAACTACCCCACAATACCGATTTTTCCCCAAATGGTCGTTTCTTTTATGCCCGCTTGTAATATACGACACTGACGTTTGATTCATGGCCGTTTTGGCTCATTGTTGACTCTGGACCTAACCCAGTGCGTCGAGCCCCCGCTATGCACCGGGTGCCTGTCACCCCCGCCAAAGTCGCAAGGAGGGGTAGATCACGGCGCTACCAGGCGCACGCTTTTTGAGATTTACCCCAGGGCTGTCTAATCCGACGTCATGTTCGTCACCTTCGACCCGTCGCTCTCGGCCATAGACCGCCAGATATCGCTAGCCGACGGTAACAAACGCACCCGGCTGAAAACTGGTTGCACCACCTGTCGCCGACGGAAAAAGAAGTGCGACGAGACCCGTCCACGCTGCAATTATTGTGAGGCACGGGGCCTTGCGTGTGAGTGGGGGATCAAGCGGGTAAGCTTCGAATCGTTGGAAAACCGGGTTCACAAAGCGAAGCCGGCGAGGAATCGAACCTCCATATCCCCAGATAAATGCCCCACGCCAATTGCCATTGATTCTCATGGTGAATCTCACTTTGAAACCTTGATCACCCCCGAACCCATACTTGGGGTGGAGCCGATGTCCGTGACCGATACAAACCCGACAATTGAGGTGAGTAATTCTCCAGCTTCATCGCATTTAATTGATCAATTAACCGATCAACCTCTTGAGTTGAGTACATCGTTGACGCAAATCCAACCTCATGAATACCCGGAATTTGATTTCAGCTTTCTCATTGAGCCACTGCTGGTCGCAAACTTATACTTAGATGATGCTGGCATCAACTATCTTCATTACTTTGAACACGAAGTGGCTCCCCTTCTTTCGGTGCTGCCATCAAGTTCAAATTACTTTCTCAAAACATTTTTTGCCGCTGCCCACGATCATGAGCTGATTTCGCAAGCAATAGCTGCGTGGGGAGCATTATTCCGTGATCATGACATCGATATCGTCAACGAATACCTCGGGAAAGCCCGAAATCTGTTGGTTCGCGCGAATAAATCTAGTGCTGACGCTGATCTGGCCCTGTTATTCGTGCAATTTGCATTCTACCTCATTAGTTTGGGAATCCAGGTATGCCTGGGCGATGTCCACAATTGGTATGGCTTATTCAACAAGTGTGTGGGCATTCTCAAAAAAGTTGGCGGCGTGAATAAGTTTTTGGAGCGATACCAATACTCTAACGATGCCAAGTTTCTTGTGGCAAATTTCCAATGCCATGATATAATGCTGCTGACTGGCGCTACCGTGTGTAGTATCAACAGCTACCTGGATGTCGTACGAATTTTGGAATACTCTGAAGATTATGGTGTTGATCCCTTTCAAGGGTGTACTCAACCTTTGGGATTACTATTGGGAGAGATGACAAATATTTACCAAAACTTCCGCTCTACACGAGATGAACTTGAACTTCGCATGGCTCGTGTGGATGTCGACAATAGCGATCTTTCATTCGCTCGTCTTCAGTATTATATGGAAATCGAAAAGCAATACAATTCACTATTGATTCGAGTGTCCAATGCCAAGCCTCTCAATAACTTGGGCCATATTGATTCCCCGCTGGAACGAAGCGCCCATATGAAGCTTTTCGAGGTGTTCCGCAATACTTGCAAGCTCTTTCTTCTTTTGTACTTCAAGCAAATGGCACCATCGGCAATTGATATCCAGCAGATTCTTTTGAGTCAACTTCAGTTAATGGAGGGCTTGGCGGTGATGCCTCGTCTTGTGCTGTGTCTCAATATGGCTATCATAATCAGCGGGGTCGCAGCTCTGACCGAGTATGACCGAGATCGTATTCAACGTCTTGTAGACACGGTCTACGAGAATTACTCTGTGGGTAACGTTCGCCGTATTCGGGAATTATTACGGATTATCTGGCGTCGCAATCCGCAAGGTAACATTGTTGTGGATTGGATGGAGTTATGCAACGAGTTGGGTTGGAACTTGAGCGTATGTTAACGTGGGGCGGTTTAGGCGACCCGCATTAGGATAGACAATAAAACGTTTCTGTACCTAGGAATTAAGGTTCCGAATATGGAATGTCGTCAATTCGTTGACGATTATTTTTTATGCTTTTATTTTTAGCTCAGTGACTCCTATCACCTCACGACGTCTCGACGCGTGTATCGTCACAAAAACTGGCAGTTCAGCTTAATACTTACTCAAGAACAGCTACGTTTCTCTGTGTTAAGGGTCTAAAATATACCAAATATCACCACCAGGAAAACCTTGTATCTACCTGAATTTGCGAGACTACCAGATCAAGTCATCCTATTGTGAATAATACGCGTCGGCAATTGTTAAGTGACACAAAATGTTTGATAACTTCAATCACCGGCATACCTCGATAGGGAAGTTATGTGAGGAGCCGTACCGTAGAATAACAAGTACTCAAGTTGAGCCATACTACCTCTTTGGACTTTGTGACCTGCTGGGTGGGGAGCTCGGGAACTCCGGGGTTACCCTGTTCACAACTTGAGTCGTATACCCAATGTGGGTCATCAGTAAACTGAGACATATTTTGAGAGACGTTCTACGATAACCCAACGTATTAACTTGCTAGCTTTCGTTCGTACAACCAGACCTGAAACATCGATTGAAGAGCTTTATTAAACCACATACCTATTACTGAAGCAAGATATGCCTGACTGGTACCGAAGGAAATTCCAACTTTTAGGTGAAAGGACCTTGACGTATCGCGAGGAGATCGATCATGAATTGGACAATTTGTATCTCCTGACAAGCTCATATAAACAGGAGCATCATAAGGGGTGCAACAAGTGCACTGTGGTGCCCCATGTGTGGATGCATTCCGGAAGTGTATTCGATTGAAGCTCGTTTGACATGTATTCAGAATGATGGGCCCACTTCACACTGACATAATCGCAAAGTGGGAAGACAAGTAACGCTCAGGAAGTTTGCTTCAGCCTTACGAGATGCTCCAACAATACAACGACATTTTTGACGATGTATGGGTTGATGTGCGTTCTTGTTCATGGAGCTTTCGGCGCCTCCGCAATGAGCCAATGTGTATTCAGTTTCGGAGATCGCTTTATTTGAGCTTTCGTGTTTGTGTCTATAACTATCCTAGTGTGACCATATCCGCACCATCTTGTCCTTGCCCCCGGAGCCAACGCGAGCCCCATCTACCAGCCAGTCTACTGCAAATACCTCGTCGGCATGGCCCGGTAAATCCACCTTGAGTTTGCGCGTCCGAATGTCCCACACCTTGAGAGTGGTGTCCTTCAGCGCACTCACCAACAACCGATTGTCAGCAGACCAAGCAGTTTGGTACACAGGAGCAACGTGCCCTCTGAGTGTGCCTATGAAAGTACCTTTGAGCCCGTCCCACACCTTGATCAGGTTATCAAACAGAGACAGTACAACATAACGCCCGTCCGGCAGGAACAGGACATGGTTGACAAGCTTTTGATGACCCGTCATGCGGGTAACCGGCTTCAGCAGTTTCAAAGGTTCCCAAAAGTACATAGTGAAATCGTCCAGAGCCAGGACAAGTCTCTCGCTCAATTTACCGTTCACCATGGCAGCTTTTTCGTATTGCTCCTTGGCCTTTCGCCTAAGTTCAGCCGGCAGCTCCTTGCGAGCCAGCAGTCTCGTCAGAGTGTGATCGAAGCCACCTTTTCGAAGCACGTAGTCAGTAGAAAGCGACAAGTGGTTCACCCAGTGAGCGTGCAGCTTGAGAGTCTGAATGCACTTGCCCTGAGCACTCATGTCCCATGCCTTGATGGTTTTATCGTGAGAAGCCAGGTAGACTATGTTAGATCCACTCCATTTCACACACAGCACGGCGTTAGTGTGTCCACTCATCAGGAAGAGGCATTGGGTGTGGGTAGTGTCCCACACTCGAATGGTACCATCTTTCAGTCCCAGCACCAACCGAGGAGTTTCCGATTCTTTCGTCAAATGTAACGGTTCCCACGCCAACGACGAAACCCATTTGTTGTGACCAGTCAACGGCTTACCGATGGGTTTACCTGTGTTAGCATCCCAAAGCCTGACAGTGCTGTCCATAGATCCAGTAGCGATCATAGAGCCACACGGCGAATATGATACCACCAAGACGAAGTTGGTATGGCCATTAAGCGTGAAAAGAGGCGTTTGCGTCAAGCAATCCCACACGCGGGCGGTGCTGTCACCAGCACCAGTGCACAAACGGCCAGAATCGTTAGGAGCAAACTGAGCGCAAAGAATCGTCAGACCATGACCAGCAATGGCAGCATTTGACCTGGTGATAGGTCTAACTTTAAATACTGCACGTGGAGTGTACACGAGGGTCAAGAAATCTTCAGTCGTTTTGATGCCAGGTTTGAGTACCAGGTGATAAAGAGTACTTTTGATGTCGACAAGTGATTCGGAACCATCTTCATTGTTAAGAACCAGGAAAGTGTAAGGGACGGGTTCGTCTGTTTCACCTTGGATTTGATTCAACAATTCTTCAAGTTGTTTCTCGGTGATGCCCCCAGGCACTCGAAGCAGACTACCCACTTGTTCACCCAGATCAGCAGCCTGGAATTTGATGAGCACATGAGGTAAATCCTCTGGCACGAGATCGACCTCTCGAACCTGCTGGGCCTCCTTTTTCTGTCGCTTGTTTTGGGGGGGGACGACAGTGGCCATGTCGACTTATTGAGAGGAAGTGATGAGATGAGATGCGATGCCTCACATAGATAATAACCAACAACGAACAAACTTGAAACTTCGACAAATTAACATTTACCAAAAGGTCCATTTACTAATCGTAATATCGAATGTGTGTATACTGAATGTTACCTGATAATGATACTACTCAAATCCAAAGAGAAAATAAGAAGAAAGGAAGAATCAACTATCACGATTTTATACTCCACGTTATTTTGCATCATTTACAATGCCAGCAGGTTTTAGTATATTTTTTTGACTTCATCGCTAATTTGTGGCGGATAACCTTAATTTCACGTCAGCGTGGCCTCGGCGTGTCCATTATCTGACCTCGGATCGTTTCTCATTTTTCCACATGTCCAACCACCCGTCACAAATCGAGGAGATCTTAAGGCTCCTTCTGATGGGCCAAGAGCTCGATGACAGTCAACAGAAGACCATGGATGACTACAAGTTCTGGAAGACCCAACCCGTTCCCAAATTGGACGAAAAGATCGACAGCGAAGGGCCCATTGAACACAAACAAGTTAGTGAGGTCAGATCTGAACCGTACCCTATGTTGGATGCGTTTGAATGGCTGACGGTGGACATTGAAAATGAAAAGGAGTTGGACGAAGTCTATCAACTTCTATACGAGAATTACGTGGAGGACCAAGACGCCACATTCAGATTCAAGTACTCGCACGAGTTCTTCAAGTGGGGTCTTAAACCTCCTGGTTGGCGTCGAGAATGGCATGTGGGTGTCAAGGTCAAGGATACTGGTAAACTTGTGGCATTTATCTCGGCCATCCCCGTCAATCTCCACCTCAACTCCACAAACACTGATATTCCCTCTGTGGAAATCAATTTCCTCTGCGTCCACAAGAAGTTACGTGCCAAGCGGTTGGCTCCCGTGCTTATCAAAGAAATCACCCGTCGAGTTAACCAGGCGAATATCTGGCAGGCGTTGTATACTGCGGGTGTCGTGCTTCCGTCGCCAGTATCGACAGCTCGTTATGCCCACCGCCCTATCAATTGGGGTAAATTGAACGACGTGGGCTTTCTGCACTTGCCTGCAAACCAGACTCGGGAGGGTGTCGAAGCATACTACGCGCTCCCGGACACCACATCGACCCCTGGTTTGCGGCCGATGGAGAAAAAGGATTTGAAGCAAGTGGGAGAGTTATTACATCGCTTCCAAAAGAAGTTTGAGCTTGTTCAAACTTTCACGGAAGATGAATTGGCTCACTGGTTATTGGGCAAGGACGACGGACCGAGCAACGTCATCAAGACGTATGTCGTGGAAACTGATAGGAAGATAACCGACTTTTTCTCCTACTACTTACTTCCCTTCACTGTTTTGGGCAACGCTCAACACAACGAATTAGGAGTAGCATACCTTTATTACTACGCAGTTGATGACTCTCAAGGTGACTACAAGCAGAGACTAACACAATTGGTGAGCGATGCACTCGTGACTCTGAAGGAGGACAATGTTGACGTATTCAATTGTTTGACCGTTCAAGACAACACTTTCTTTATCAAGGATTGCAAGTTCGGTCAAGGTGACGGACTCTTGAACTATTACTTGTTTAACTACCGAAAGCAACCCGTCAATGGAGGCATCAATCCTAAATCTAAGGAAGTATTAGAGGATACCACTCTGGGTGTCGGGGTAGTTTTGTTATAGACTCACACGTCTACCATAATACATACAAATAATCCATAATCCGAGCAATTGCCGGCAATCCTCCTAATTCTTGTCCTTGGCCGCCATCAGCTTCCATTGCTCGATTTCACGGTAGGCTCGCTCGAGCTCCAGCTTGAGCTTGTCGTTCAGTGCACTTAATTCAGCCATTGCCTGTTCCGTTAACAACTTTTCCAAAGTCCACTTTTCGATGTTATTGTTCTCGTTTTCCTTCAAACGTTTGATGTATTCCACCGCCCGTTGTAAAATTTGGGCTTTGTTGGTATCGTTGGTTGGAATCAACGCTGCCAATTCCTTAATCCCTTGATTTATCAGTTCCCGACGACGACGTTCGACCTCTTTGTGATTTTCGCGTCTTTGACGGTGCCACTCGTCCAGGCCGTGAGACGGCTTCAGCGGTAATGTGGTCGGAGCGAACGTATGTTGTTGTTGTTGCTGGTGCTGTTGCTGACGGTAAAATTGTAGCTGTTGCATTTGTTGAGCCAGGTGATGGTGGGGGTCGGCGTTCACCGCTGCCACGGCCGCTGCCACAGCCAGGTCCTCTGTGGGCAGATCACGCAAGTCATCCTTATGCTGGTGGTATGAGGATTGCTGCTGTAACAATTCCAGGTCGATGGCTAAATTCTCATCCTTTTTGTCGCGCTTGAGTTTTTTGGCGTGCTGGTGAACTTGGTCGTCGATGTCCCGCTTAACCATAGTCAGGTGATATCCAGGTGATGTTGTTGTCCGGAAGAAGCGCGCGCACCAATCACTAAGGGAAAAAAAGGGGGGTACACCGGCAGTGCGAGGGGATGTCGAGCCAGAAAATAACGCAAACGCCTTAGTCGAATTGTTCTATTGGTTTAGAATAGAGATGTTTGTGTGTTCGATATAGAAAGGTCGAGCTGGTTGAAGTATTTCGTTCTACTGTAAACCCATGTCCGCTTGCGCGTAGTTTCGTGTGAGAGCAATTATAACACCGCCCTGGATAAAGAGTCACGCGTTTGAGTCATTGGATGATTTTCAATCTGAAGATATCTCGTTTACCTTTTGATTACGATAAATTGTTGAGTAACTGGATTCCACATTGACATAATTGACATTTATTCTATTTATCCACCAAATACTCGGCAGCACCGTCTTCTTAGACTACTTTTCTGATCCTTAGCTAAATTTGAAATATTCGTGAAACCAAAACTCAATTTCTTGAAAACCAAGATCAAATCTTTAGAAGATGTTATAATTGATAGTATCGACATCTACTCAGCTTCTGGCTTCACGCAAATTGAAGTCATATTCGCGCCATTATTCAACGTTGACGCCAGCATGTGGTGGCAAATAAAACAGATGGGCCCATAATTGTTCGTGGTAGCAGACACCGCTATTACCACATCGGACTCGGAGGTGGCATCATCGTGTTCTAGACAAGACTGCGTAGAATCAAACCTAGACTTTATACTGATCATGGAATTAAAGAAAATCTTACGTCTTTCCGATATTGACTTCACGCATGTCGCCTTGACAGGCCATTACTTCCATGGCGCGGCTCCTCGGATTAATTCGTCCAGCACGGCCTTGAAACTCCGGCCTCCGGAGTCGCAAATGACATCTTATTGCTCATACACCACCCGGCCCGCAATAGTAAACCGCTTTGTATCATTCTCTTTGGAATTTTATAGCCATGGGTGTAGCACCCAACCTTTTTATTATGGTGTTACTATTGATCTTAAAAAATTCAGTGTAAAGTCGTATCATGTCTACGTTCCATTTGTTGATTGATTCGGGCCTGTCTCTTGCGCATCGATCGACTTGCTCTCCCTGCACAAAACCAAAGTACCCCTTCCTAAAACCCAGACCTTTATATAGAGGCATGGGCCCAATTGCATTACCATTCTTCAATTAACGATGTCAGAGATTTCCCTCGGAAAGTACTTGTTCGAACGCTTGCACCAATTGGACTGCAACACCATTTTCGGGGTCCCCGGTGACTTCAACCTTGCTCTCTTGGATCTGGTCTATGAAGTCCCAGGAATGAGATGGGCGGGTAACGCCAACGAGCTTAACGCTGCTTACGCCGCTGATGGCTACCTGCGTATCAAGAAGCTTGGTTGTGTTGTGACCACCTTCGGTGTTGGTGAGCTCTCGGCCATCAACGGGGTCGCGGGGTCGTTTGCTGAACACGTCGGTGTCGTCCATGTGGTGGGTGTACCCCTGATTGCTGCCCAAGCCAAACAGTTGTTGTTGCACCACACCTTGGGTAACGGTGACTTTACTGTGTTTAAGAGAATGCTGCAAAACATCAGTCAGACGCTGGTGATCTTGCTGGACCTTTCCACCGCTCCCAGAGAAATCGACCGCTGCTTGCGTGAGTGCTACTTGCACCAAAGACCAGTCTACATCGGCTTGCCTGCCAACTTAGCTGACGGCAAAGTGCTGGGCGAGCTTCTCAACACCCCCATCGACCTCAATTTGAACCCTAACGACCCCGAATCACAAGATGAAATCTTGGAAACCATTATGCAACTTGTTGAAAATGCGAAGAAACCAATCATCCTCGTCGATGCCTGCGCTTCCCGCCATCAATGCCAAGAGGAGACCCGTCGACTCGTGGAAGTAACTCAATTCCCGGTTTACTCGTCGCCTATGGGTAAGCTGACTATTGATGAACTGTGCCCTCGCTTCGGTGGTGTGTACGTTGGTGAATTGTCGCTTCCCCCGATCCGTGCCGAAGTTGAACTGGCGGATCTTGTGTTCAGTGTTGGTGCTCTCATGCTGGATTTCAACACCGGGCTGTTCTCGTACCACATGAACACCCGTAACGTGATTGAATTCCACTCGGACTACACCAAGATCCGCCTGGCCACCTTCCCTGGCATCCAAATGAAGGAACTCTTGCAAAAGATTTGCGAAACTATCCCGAAACACATCCCCAAGCTGTACGTGCCGCCCACTTTAGCTCCGTTCACGCTCCAACCCGAAACGCTCAAGCAAGATGAGCCTCTCACTCAGGAATACTTATGGGCCACTGTGGGTTCGTGGTTCCAAGAAGGTGACATCATCATTACCGAAACGGGTACCCTGGCCTTTGGTATCATCCAAGCCAAATTCCCCAACAACACCATTGGTATCTCGCAAGTCTTGTGGGGGTCGATCGGTTACACTGTGGGCTCCTTCTGTGGGGCGGCCATGGCCGCTGCGGAACTCAAGACTCCTCGCAGAGTCATCTTGTTTGTCGGTGATGGGTCGCTTCAATTGACTGTGCAAGAGATCTCCACGATTTGCAAGTGGGAATGCAACAACACTTACATGTTCGTGCTTAATAATGACGGGTACACTATCGAACGGCTCATTCACGGACCTAAGGCCAACTACAACGATATCCAACCGTGGAAAAACCAAAAGCTTTTGGACGTATTCAATGCTAAGGAGTCTGAAACCCGTGAAGTCAGAACTCGAGCTCAACTCGACGAATTGTTCGCCGACAAGCAGTTCGCCAAGGCCGACAAAATCCGTCTTGTTGAAGTGTTCTTGGGCAAGATGGATGCCCCGAAGAATTTGGTGGGCCAAGCCCAATTGAGTGAGAAGTTGAACTCCGAATTATAATCAATTCTTGTGCTCCTGTATTGTGACCAAAGTACATTATCGCCGCGCGTGCTGGTGCATTGTTGCCAGTTCTTAAAATCGCTCATTATGATTGGTACTTGGAAATAGGATTTAAAAATCGAACGACTAATCTAACCATCTACTCAGCCAGAATCCTCGGTGCCCTCTTTACCGAGCTCCTGTAGCGGGATTTTTTTCTGTCACACTAAACTTGCTTTATGCCGTGCAATGCCGGTTTGACCTGCAGGGAATAGACACCTCCGCAATTACCGCCCTTGTGCCGTGCGTAATCGGCTGCATCACGTGAGGGTACCAGCCCGTCAGCTTTGACATCACAACGGCTCAAGGCAACCCGCTATGAGTCTACGTCTTCTCAATGAAAGTGTCGGCGACCTACCCGACTACGATGAACCTCCACCTTACTTCGACGAAAACGAGCCTGAGGAGACGCTTCGAGTGGTGCATTATGGCCATATCGCTCAATTCCCAGCCATTTCTACCCCACTTTTAAGTGCTCGGTGGGTTCATATCTCTCAGATAGGCCAACGTTCAGGCAACAACAAATGGGGTAGCACTGCCCGTTACGATATACATGGACCCACTGGAGAGCCATTGGGGTATATCCTCAAAAAAGGCGTGATGCTGAAAGGGTTCCCCGCCGAAGAGGCTTCTCGCAAACGCTCGGTGTTCATTGACTTCTTCGACCATAAGCAGCGACTTGTGACCAGGGTTTTGGGAATGGGGGTGAATATATATGTGTATCTTCCCGGCGAAGACCGCACTGGCCAACGAGTTTTCCAAGAGGTTGGTCGATTCGAGAATTGGGGTGACTACCATTCATACCGTCTTCAGCAACTAGTCGAGCATAGACAAGAGGCTCGCAACTATCAAGAGAAAAAGACTTATGAAGATCTCGGCGTTGTCAGTTACGATGAGATTGGAACTTTGAAGTTTCCTATATATTCCCAGGATCTTCGAGGAAATATCAATCGATGGGGTCCTCATGTGGCTGTGGTCCGAAGTCAAGCTCGAGGGGCTGTTCCCGGTTATACAGTGGAGAGTGATCGCATGTCATTTGAACAACGTGCATTGGTGTTTGGATTTTTGTTACTGGTTGATCATCGTATTCCCAGTAACTCGAACGATCGTCAGTGCTATGACCGACCAACTGTCGATTTGAAAGAATCGAACGTGTCGAACGGATACAAACTCCCAATGAGTGTCATGCATGAAGATTCAATCCAGAACTTTCCCCGAGTCGGAACAGGTGAGCTCTTTGAGTACTCCTGTTTGAAGTGCCCCATCTTTACTGACAAACGGATAAAGATAACGAGATGTACAATACCAACCAGTGGCAATAACCAACCTCGTACAATATTACCATTTGTTTTCCGTAAAAACAGTCCCGCTCCGGCGACGCTCACGGCACAATACAGGATACACAATTCTAAAGGAACGTTAAGAGGATTGGTGGAAGAACGAACCCAAAAGATATTGGGAGAGACCGGCGTTTGTACTGATGTGTTTGATCTTGATCATCATATAATCTTAAGAGTCTACATTCGCCGTTCACTTGCGTGGGTATACGTCCCGGCTCTCAATTCTATGGGAAAGCGAGTATTCCATTTGATAGGTACATGCGCTAATTGGGACACAAATTATGAACTTCGCGTTGGAGGAAGCTATCTTGGCTCTGTCAATTCAAGTGACCTAACCTTAAAGAGTTACGCAATTCGCCCAACTCGTGAAGTGCTAGGAGATAGAATCGACTCGGAAATTGACGTGGCACAATTCAGGATCCACGTGAAGGAAAATCATGACTTTTGTGAAATGATTACAAGTGGAATGTCTTTCAGGCAGCGGGGAGTTGTGTTAGGATTTCTCTTCTTGCAAGACAATAACCGGCTCCGTAAGACCAAGTAAGACGATTATCAATAAGTGAAAGACTTTCTTTCTCCAAAAATTTGCATACCAACACATCCAATTTTTTTTTTTTTGATCCAACGTTTATGATCTTCTATAATTATGCATTTTTAGCCAACTTTCGTCCGTAAAAAAATTGGGACCTTTACAATTTGAAGCTACAGTTCAGATCATGTTAATAAACTTGACTGAAAGTTACTCTAACTGGCAAAAATCCGCAAAAATGCATGATTTCTGCCCTGACTTGAAAATGGCTGCTGCAACGTTTTTGCAATTAGTCAGTTTGTCCGAGTGGTTAAGGAGTTTGACTCGAATTTCTTCGAGGCATCAAATGCTCTCTGAGCGCACAGGTTCGAGTCCTGTAGCTGACGAAATATTCCTTTTTTCTTACATAATTTTACTTATAAATTACAAAAAGTCAATCGATGTCAGTATAAAGCTCGATTGTTTGGTGCACCCTTCCAACGCAACAGCATGAAGTCTCGTGTCCTGTTTACGTGTGATTATTCTCCACAATGACCGTGTCAAGTTGACATACATCACATCACCTTCGACTTTACGACGTTTCAGCTGATCCCCGCCTGGTCTCATGAATTCAGTGGCCCAGTCTTCACTCATTTCCATGCCATTGATAATACACTTGGCCGTCTTGAGTGACACAGGGAAGATAATGCGGCCGGTGGCTTGATCGATTTCGAATTTTGTCAGGTATGGCTTGAACACTTGAATCATTTTCTTCGCAAACCGATCCCCAATATAAAGAGTAGGAAAAGGCATCTTCCGGTTAAGTACAAGTTGAACGTGGTTATCATCCAGCACAAGCTGCATGAGTAGAGTTCGTACAGGTTCTCGATGGATGAACGGCCGTTGATATCCCATAGCATGCTCTTCCAATGATTCAGGATCAGAGTGAACTAAGCCTTTTTGTTGCAAATCACGAAGCTCAATGATGATTTGTTGGCGAGGTTCAAACGGGTCGTTGATGACTTTATGTTTGATCAAATGCTGCTCAAGCTCAAGAAACCGATAATAACGACACTCTTTGAGAAGAGCCAACCGCTTCTTGTCATCAGTAACCACTAAGAAGTTTCCTCGTAAGCACTCTAGCAAGTCATTGAAAAGCTGAGCCAGTCGGTTAGCAACACAGGGAGGTGCTTGAGGTGCAGGTCGAAGCAATTGACGCTGTTCGATAATCTGGACGTTGTTCTGTAATAAATTGTCATACTGTAATGTGAAGTAGTTTGGCAGGTTGCCTGGGCCCAACAATTCCCGAGGAATCTTGAACAGGGTGCTTCCCACCACGCAATGGATATCGCATTCAGTCAAAAAACGTTGGAGCCGAGTGAGCCCATAGTAAAACGAGTCCAGCCACAAGTTCATCATTTCATAAGCGTTTTGAACAGTAACATGGTAGCCTTGTAAATGGTTGTAGATCAATTCAAATAATTTCGGGTCCCGGTCCAAAAACAAAGTTGCGTCAGCTCCGTGAGATGCAAACCATCGGGTGAAATACGACGGCGAGTCCAGTGAGAGCAGGAGCCCCGAAAGTTGGAATAGTTTGTACCCAACTTGTATTTGGTAGATCTTTTCGTTTTGAAGAACCGTTGGCTCTGGGGGTATTTCTTCGTTGATAATTGTTACCGGTATATCGGACATTTCTTGGTGATATTGTGAGTGAGCGCGTGCTTGACTTATATAGTAAATAGTCGTACAGAATCGTCACACCTTCGATGAGATTTAGGAGTGCCTCCACAATGCATGTACGAAGGCTCCATGCTTAATCATGGGTTAGACGGATTTACCATCCGGCGCTCCCCGGGAAAAGGTGGATGGCTGACTATTCTCACCCAATTAATGTGCGCCGCGACTTTTTTACTAAGTACTCCAGACGGGCTTGTATACAGAATTTTACTTGCTTTTGGCCATGTATGGAACCACTCCCAAAAGAGATCGACGAGGCGTGTTGTTTTTGACACAAGAAAGCCTTCAATAAACAAATATCAAACTCAATTTGTATCGTGGCTGCCTCTGTTTGGTATAAACAACGCAAGTCATCTGGAAAGCTATTTCTCGTCATCTCCCGTGAGCCGATTACTAAATTTAACGGTTTTGTGTCATCGACGGCTGAATCTCTTTAGTGCAAGTGAGATGCGCAGCTTGGCACCGGCTTTGGGGTACAAATTTTTGTGAAATATTTGTTTGTTGTTTCCGACACGATTTCTACGTATTTGGCGTTATCCACCAGCTTCAGATTCAACTTCGGTTCAGTATGTCGTGATTCATCGAATCTCATGATTAATCAGTGAAAGGTCATCAACTCAATTAATAAGTTTTTATATCGCGCGGGGACAGTCGTGTGCTCGTTAATAAGCGCAACATCCAGCAGATACCCATCATTTATCATTGGGATAGCATCATCCCATAGGTTGAAGAAAGAAACATCTAATGTAATTTAACTGATCAGAACGTCAGTTACACCTAATGAAGTGAAAAATACCCCACATCAGTGGTTAATGCGGCATCGCCGTTGACCATTGAAAAAAGGTATCATAAGCGACAGCCCTAAGATAACTCGCGCGGGGTGGCATTTTGTTGACATTTGCGGAAGTTGTTACCGAGAACAATAACCACATATACCCATCTCATCTGCTGGAAGCAACGTGCCGTTCCATGGCGCCAAAGCTAAGGGAGTTCACTGGATGCTGGACTTGCCGCCAGCGCAAAGTCAAGTGTGACCTCACCCGGCCTAAGTGTATTCGTTGTGCCAAGCGCAAACTTGAGTGCCAGGGTTACCAAATTATCCTTGGATGGGCACCACCTCTCACCGTTGAAAACAATCAACTCGTTCCTTTGGAAGGTTGGGGAGATAATTTGGACAATTTCCAACGTCGAAATGTTGATACTGTACATTTTCCCGATGACCAGCGCTACTCCTTGAAACAGCTTGTTGAAGTTATTGACACACTTGAAGGTTACAAACGTCGAAGAGTTGGGCCTTTTGGCGTTTACAAGACATATTGCCAGGAGTTGAAACCAGCACTGCCTCAAATTGCTGCGGAAGAGCCATTGGCCATCGTCACATCAGCGGCGCCAGATATCACGCAGGTAACGGTAGATGACCTTTTCTCCAAAACTGAGAATTCATGGGTTCATTACGACTACTTAGACTACGCTAAACTTACCATTGTTGCTATCAAAGGGCCGCTGTACCGTTTTAATGAGCAAAATATGCTTCATATTTTGTACCCCAAGTTCTTTCCAAATGTGGATCTGGACGAATGGGAGGTTAATTATGTTGGCAGTAAATCTATTTTGGTACGCGAATCTAATGCTGGCGTGGTGTTAACCCCACTTATGCTTGAATTAATGGGAGGTGTCCGTCAGAAACGTTTGTTTTTCTTTTCTCGAGTTGACCTCGAATGTGACAGCTACTTTGATCGGCTCGTGGCACCATTGCTTGAGCTGCTATGGTGTCGATGGCTTATGCAACGTGATCAATGGCCAGTGAAGGTGGTGGACACAGAAGAAGACAGCACTAAGCTCATCAATAATGTCAGGCACATCATTGTCGCTTTGACTGTCGCGTTAACGGCGTTTCATCGGGCTAACTTTAGCCACAGTCACTCCAAATATGAGTACGTATGTGATGATTACCTTGATCTACTGGTTCAAATGCGGAAGCTTGCGATTCTGATGCTTAATGTGCATTTGGACGAATACGACACGTTCAGTCAACTCAAATTCGCATCAGATCCTCAAGAATATGAAGTGCTTCTATTGTTGGCAATACTCATGCAGATCGAAGCTGACACTTGTTTTAGTGTCTACGAAAACTACGAAGTGCTCTTTGCCATTGGAGACCACATTGTTCGTAACAAATTCACCCACGCTAAGCTACTGAACCTAGCTCGATTCATATTACTGTGGTTTCATATTGTTCACACCTTCTACCAGCTGACGCAACATGTCAATACCTTCAACTATGAAGTGCTGGATACGGGCAACTTTCGCGACTTGGTTACAGAATATGATATGGAACTGGACAAAAGTGATCTGGAACAGAAATCCAAATCGATCAGTGAACGTATGCCGATGCGATTCAGCGTTTCCTTTGACAAATATGAGCTTCAGCACGCACCTTCCTTAAACACAACGGGTGCAGATTCTACAAAGATGCGATACACTCCTTCCCGAAGTCGTATAAGTCCAGATGTTGATTCTCAGCTGGTCTACCTCATGTATGGATTGCCCAAAGATTTACTTGACTTGTTTCTCGAGATCATTCATCTCACTAACCATAAGAATATCTTCCGCAGACAACGAGTTTTTCCACGAAACTTTCCAAGACTCTGCGCCGAGACCTATGATCGTTTGATTAATTGGCATCACGAATGGAATATTGACTTCAGTGACGAGTTTCACCGACAACTCAACTTGTACGCCCTTCTGTTCCACAAAGCTTTAGTGGTGTATTATCTTAAATTGATCAAAGAGGCCCCTCTCGTGCTGTATCAAGATGAGATCAGTCAACTGGTGGCATATCTTGAACAACTCGAGAAATTGGGGGCATCTCGGATGATCACACCTACATTTTGGATTCCCCTCGTTTGTGGAGCCGACGCTCTTAATTCCCAACTCATCACTCGTGTTGAACAACTTGTACAGTCGAGTTTATATTCATCGCAGGCTAACTACTGGCGTGGTAAACAAATTTTGCGTGAAATTTGGAGACGCCGTGACACTGAGACTTTGGGGTTTATGGACTTAGTCAAAGAATGGGATGTTTGTCTTCAGTTAGCCTGAATTCACCTAAGTCGACGAGTCGATAATTTACGATATTATGACACTATTTTACAGCTAATTAAGCGGCTAGTTAATCAAAAATGTTCGAATATATTAAGTTTGTGATATAAACCTTGTGTATAAGTTGCACTGTCAAAGTGTCTTACTCTAGTCAACACCACCCGTTTGTGGTTTCGTCAATAATACATTGCATGACTTGGGGTTTCCAATGACCTCGCCAGCTGGCCATGACTTGAGCTCCCGTCATCGGTTTTGGTGACGGTGGACGCACCGGCACCACAAATTGAAGATCGTAGCCATTGACCGTTGCTTTCAACTTCTCAATGGCAGCAGGTCCTAACAGCAATCCCAAGTAGTTCAGGGTTAACTGAATGTATGCTTGCGAGAGATCTGTGTGAACCTTCATCATTCGTTGGACAAGATCTGGACCCAACGCTGGAAGCGCAAATGCAAGGCCGTCGACGACGGTCTTGACAAACTTGATCATGCGGAACAGTTGGCCAACAGCAAGTTGGATCCATGGAGCAATCGTATACTTATACACAGTGGCTAATGATGCCACGAGTGCCACAAGCAGCAGCACCAACTTTTTAAGTAATCTCAAAAGCTTTGCCGCGTAGTCACTGAGGGTCTCTCGAAGCTCTTCATCATTGGATGGGGTGGGCTGATCCAACCACAGACACATCTCATAGATGTAATGATACATCTCGAACTTGTTAGCGACAAGGGTTAAGAATAGATCATCCGCTGATTCCAACGGTGGAAATTTTATTGGGTTGGATGGCTCAATCAACAGACGAGTACGAGCATCTGCTGCTTGGGCCAACAATGCCCATAATGGACGTAATTTCACCATCCATTGCAGTGGTACCAACCACTGAAGGTGGGCGTCCATGAATCCCATTAACGATAACAGTTCCGCCGTGCGTTGTTTCCCCAGTCCCAACGCCCAGGCGGTATCAAGGACTGATGTGAGATACGCAAGCTTTGGAAGCATAACCTCGGGGGTATCGGCCACTGGTTGCTTTCCCGATGCCATGAGAGCAGCAAACCCTTCGAGAACCCGTAAATCATGAAACACCAGTACACTCATACCAATGCCAATGGAGTAGTTTTCACCGGCTAAGAATAGAGCGTAGTTGGTAAGAAGAAATGTCGCCATGAATAGAATTAAAACAGGTTGGGGAAGCCCGAGACACGGCATGTCAGCGAGGCGGGAAAGAATGGCCACATGATCGGATACATGAGCCTGACGGTAGTGGATCAAGTTTGCGAGTGCTTGGGCAAAGAGCTGAGCAATCTTAACGCTGCGTTCGTCGTCGACGGATATCGACTCGAGAAATCGCGGGATCGCACCATTATCGTTGGTCAAGATGGGGAAGTCCCCGTGTATCTGGTGATAGTAGGTGCGGATATTTTGTTCGAGTGGTTCAGGAGGCACTGATGTCCCCACGGTGGGGGTGGTGGCTATCTGTGGCAGATGGGACGAAAGGGTGACCTTTTTGATACGTCCGTTGAGCAGCAGCAACAGCAGCACTGAGTTACGAGGCAGGTTCAGCCCCAGAAGCGGTCCTCGCAGCCGCACACTGTAGAAGTCGTCGTCCGAGTCCAGGTAGAGCGCGCTGTCCAGCGGCACTGGGATACGAGGCACTCCCAGGGTCAGGGTGCTCAGTAAGGATTCCACCAGCAGTTTCCGACGTAGCACTGGCGCCTGAGGCGTCGGCATTTCGTAGGGGACCTTCCAGAACGGGCCCAGGATGGGAGGGCTGGTGTTGCGGTCCATAGCGAGGGGCGGCGCCTCCGACTTGATCGAGGGAAAGAGGGGCGGAAGCTTGATGGGTACGTTTTTCAGGAGCTGGGGTCCCTGGGGGATTAGCGGCGCTGCTGGCGGACTGATGTGTGGTAGTGTCGACGTCGGCGTCAGCGACTGGGTGGGCACCAGCATTTCCCGTTCGAGCTTCTCGCGGACGAACCCCTTCGTCGGCCCCCGCTTCATTGGAATACGGGAGAAGGTACACTCTTCGCCGTGCTTGCGGCAGTTTTCACATATCTGGGTAACTCTGGATTCTGCCACCAGGTATACGGCGTCGCAGCGCACCTTCTTCCGGCGGCAAACGTCGCACGCCCGCAGGATCTTGGTGCGCTTTTTCGGGTGGGCTCTCTGTCCCCCGTCGTCGTCCATAGGTGCAACAACTCGCCGTACGCAAGGGTCTGTGTGGGGTAGCTCCAGAACCGTAAACCTTAGCGAGGTTGATGGCTGACAGTGGGGGTGTTAGGCACCGTGTGCGCGACTTGGTAGCGCAACGATGGCGGCCTGCGCACGCTTCTCCGGGACAGCATAAGCGGGCGGATTAGCGAAGGAGGTGAGAAGCAAAATACGAGGCTGCTGTCAACCGCCCGACGCTGGCCTGACAACTAAAATGTGAGTGTGGCATTAGGAAGTAGTAATACTACTAAAAATTTGACGTGGACATGCAAACTTGTGATAGTTTGTTGCCAGCTGGTTATGGGGCCCTGGATATGGACGATCCACGGGGGGCGGAACAAATTTACGGCGACGCAGCCAATGTGATGGAGGTTAACGGAATTATGCGATAGGTCACAATTGTTTGTGGCTGCCATTGAAGCAATCCATGGATGTCATTATTGGGGACAATCGATGATTCTATAAAATGTTGATGAGGGGGTGACGCGGCGTTTTATTTGTGGGGGAACACGCCTTTCCCCAAACGGGCTATCCTGGCTATGGACAATTGGCGTGATGCCCCCAGTCACGTTAAATTTCTCATGGACACGCCAAAGAACAAACAGGGCGTGCCAACAGTAGTGACACATCGTGAGGCAGATCGCTTATTTAACTCCGCTCGAAATTGCCCTACACAGTGATAGTTTATCATGATCTTCATTCATCTATACTTCGTGCTAAAATTCACCGAATGTTATTTTTAACCGGTCTACCAGTCGTCGTCATCTTCATCATCGTCATCACTCTCGCCCGTAGCCCCTTGGCGGCGCTTCAAGGCGTCGGCCAAAGACAGCGCCAAAGTCGTTTCCTCTTGCTTCTTCAGTTTGAGAGCGTCGGCGAGGCCATTGGAAAGGCTGCTGGCCTGGGTGGTGGCATCGCTCGCGATCGTTGGTTGGGTTTGCTGAGTCACTTGCAGAGCAGGCAGAGCTGCGGGTGCCAAAGCGGCCGAGCCATCGCCAGAGGACTCTTGCAAGTAATTGAGAGGTGCCCAACCTTCTCTCAGCTCGTCGAGGGGCTTAGTGAGCGCCCACGGCCCGTTCAAGTTGGTCACGTAGTACGTAGTACCTTTAACAAGAGCGAGAGACCCCGAAACCAGCCCGTCGTAATCGTACAACGCCACATAAGTCGGGTGCTTGGGCTTGGGCGGCGCAGGCGGCGTTTGTAAAGATGCAGGAGGCGCAGGAGGAGCCTTCTTCTTTGCCGGCGGCGCGGGGGCAGCCTTCTTCTTCACCGGACGACCAGGGGGCAGTCTCGGCAGCGTCGGCAGTCTAGGCAGCGTCGGCAGCAATTGGCCGTGGTGTTCTAACGCCGCGGCAGCGGCTGCTGCCAGGGCGCCAGCACCCACGCCCAACGTGGGGCCAGTGGGGGGTTTCCGCACCAGGTGAGCTGGGGTAGAATGAGGCATATCCAGAGGGTGAGGAATCGCCAGGTGCTGAGGGTACGGCAGCAGCGACAGCGCCACCAGCGCCGGACCCGGGTCGAGGGTTTGTTGGGTCTGGTACGATTGCTGAGGTTCTTGGTACGACTGTTGAGGCTGCGAGTTGTACGACGGTTGCGTTTGGCGGTGGGGGAAGCGGTTGTAGTACTTCAGGTAGTCCACTGCCGTCAGCTTACCCCGGGGTCTCTTGGGGTTCACCAGGTTAGGCGGGAGCCCCTTGTGCACCCGCACTTGACCCAGCTTGTAGTAGTCACTGTTAGCAGGGATTTCCGGTCCATTGCCCACAGCAAACTTCACCGTCTGGTACTTGCCGGCCTTCTTTTGGTATTGAACCGTGGGGCCGATCTTGATGTCGATGCCTTGGTTCAACCGCTTCAACTGAGCCGTTAGCTCAGTCTTAAACGGAGTGTTGATGAACACATCAGGCAGCTGATGGGTGAACTTACGCGTGGAAATGGCCATCCAATCATCTTGGAATGACGACAACCCCACATAGGCGATGTTGTTCACCGGCAACACGAACTCGCGCTGAAGCTTAAGTCTCCCGTCGATAGGAGCCGCCAGAATCACGTTGAACAGCAGCTTGGTGAGGACAAACACCCGCTTCACCCGCTTCAGCGACCGGCCGAACTTCAGCGCCAAAAGCTCACCAGAACACAGGAAGACTACCGGCTCGCTAATACCCACCTGCAGCACCACAAACTGCCCGTAACCCTTAGTGTCATTACAGTTAAGGTAGTCACCTTGGTACAGTCTCGATCCAAGCATCGAGAACCGACGACGCTCCTTGCGACCAGCCAACAACTTGGTACCCCAATCACGGAATTGTTCCTCGGTGTTACCGTGAGTACGGTTACGCCACGCGCGCTGGATCGTGATCGCAGCGTTAGTCTTTCTTTGGATGTAACGTCTCCAAGCACGCTGGATCCGAGCAGCCATGTTGTGCCAGTACTTGTCTCTCATGTCTTCAAGTCCAAAAAGCGTTTCAGGAGTCTTGATAAACACCTTGGTGGTACCCAATTGGAACTCCAGTTGAGGGACTTTACACAGACGAAGAATCTCCTTCACAGCGGTGATGTCATCCCCTTGCCAGATATAATCACCAGCATAGCCAGTAGCGGGAGAAAGAAGGTAGAACCGCTGCACAAACTTGTCAAACGTAGTACGGTAAGCAAACCCAGCACGACGAATACGGACGTTTTCCTTAAGCCCCAAATACTTGATTTGATGAAGCACTTGTGCGTTATCATACTCCTTGGGACGTTTAGTTTGGTTGGGCTTGATGGTCCGAATATACAGCGGTTGACATTTCAGAAGAGTTTCGACAAGGAGATTGGCACTCTTTTTGATTTTGTCCAGGGCAGTGGGAGGCTGCTTTTTCAGATCCAGTACTGCCTGTAAGAGTTGAGGAGGGAACAACGTTTGGGTGACAAATTGATTCTGCAGGGTCAGCAAAAGCTCAAGCAAGTCACGCAACATCGCATCCTTATTCTTTTCGGTGATACCGTGGACATCGTAGGTGACGTCACCGGCGTAATGCTTGATGATGAACTTGCCTCTACGGTCTTCAAAGTGAGGGTTTTGCGCCCCCACCATCAGCAACCGTTGGGCAAACACCTGGTCAGCCGCGTCGGAGTCGGCGTGAGCTTGCTTGATCGAGTCATTGAGAGCAGCGAACAACCCGGGAGGACGTACAGCTTCAATCAAATCACAGACAACCTTGTTGTTGAAGTAGTCAATCGGAGTCCACTGAATCTGTTCTTGGACGTATTCGTCTTGTTCAGCCTTCAACGTTAACAGAATGAAGATTTGTTGCAACTTTTCGTTGACGTAATTAATACAGATTTGTTCGAACGAGTTTTGGTCAAAAATCTCGAACCCATAAATATCCAAGATCCCAATCAGCTTGGTGAAGTCGCCGGAAGTTCCCTGGAGCGACAAGTTGACACGCTCGACAATCCAGTCGAATAAGTTGTTGTAAATACCCTTGGCAAGAGCATCTCTGACTGCAGTTGCTTGGACAATGTTCAATGGGACATGGTATGTCAGACCACGCTTCATGCCCATTTGGACTTGCATGATTCTTTCAGTGATCAGCTTGATAAGGATAGTGGCGTCCACTTGTAAAAGGTAGGCGACAAAGTTCGTCACCAGCTCATCGCGAACTTTGGCGTTCCCTTCTTCATTTTCAACAAACAGAATGTTACCAATCCACAAGATAGTGGCAAGCATACGGAAAATCTGGTCCTGTTCGGCCTTCGACAAACCGATGACTTCCATGGCTCTGATGGTGTCGGCAAAGTCGTGTCTGTCGTCAATCCCGTCAACGTTTACACAATGAGCACCCAGAGTGTAGACGTAAGTTTCAGGACCTTGAATACCGAACAGTTGTTGGTATTCCGGCGGGCAGGCCTTAGTGAACTGGTAGAAGATGTGAAAGTTCCGTTCATTGTTGATTTGGCCCACGACTCTCTGCTTCTCAAGCAAGTAGTTGGTGATGTGGGCCGACACTGGTTGCAGCCGGTCGTTGAAGCGGATCTCCAAGTACTTCCCGTGCCGCAGCGAGTTGTTATTCCGGAGGGTTTTAGCACACCCAAACGATTCTAAAAGCGGGTTGGTGGCAAGCACCATGTCCTTGATCTTGGAGATGTCGGCGGTGGCGTTGTCGACCAGCACGTTGGCGATGTATTGCATGATCCGCTTGGCAGCCTCAGTCTTACCTGCCCCCAGCTCGCCGGAAATGATGACACACTGGTTGTCACCGTAACTTTTAAGCTGGTAGAACATCAGTTCGGCAATGGCAAACACGTGAGGGGGCACCTCCAACCGATTGCGCCCTTTATAGGTTTGCAACACTTCATCGGTATAGATCCCCAAATCCTCAAACGGGTTGACGGAGATAAGCACATGGCCAATGTAGGTGTAGATGGTCCCGTTCATAAACCGCTTGTACAAGTTGTCGTTGATGGCTTCGTCGGTGATTTGCGATAACAACGTGAGATCAGATACCCCGACCTCTTTCTTCTTGTGGAGATCGAACTCGGCTTTCTTGATCCCCAGCTTCGCCGGCGGCGCCTGCTGGGTTCTCGCTTTGTTACGTACACCCCGTTTAACAATCGCCATCGTGGGTTGGGGGTAATGGAGAACTAGGGTCGAAGGTGGCTGGGGGCAACCGAAATAAGTGCGCACGGTGTGACGGCTGGCAGTGCCGAGAGGACTGCCCAGCGCCAATGACCAATAGGAGCACGAGGCATCACGAGACTGGCGGAGCTATAGTGGCAACGACAATTGATAGAGTAGGTAAAATATGAATTGGCGTAGGCTGGGCGTAGGGCCCCTGAGTTACAATATGGAGGCCGATAATTTGTCTCTTGAACGGATGGCCACCGATGAGGGTTAGCGGCACTTCCGGCTGACGGAAACCTGAAATTTTTACTAGATCTTCGGTGATTGACAGCTCTCATTGACTTCTATCCAGCAATCATTGAGGATCTGCCACTGATAAATACGGGTGGTGCTGAGCAACCGTAATAATGGTGCGCAATCACTATGGCGGGCACCCATCTCCAAAAGATTAACATCAGCATCTCGACCATCCGCGATGGCTGCACTTCATATAAAATGGATGCCTGCAGGCGAGTTCACCCACACTATAGTGATGTTCACGAGAGCTACATGACGACATGGCACCCCAGAGGCGCAGTCGTCATGACCGGGGTTAATCGCGCAGCCAAATTGCCGGTGCCGGCATTTTTCCGAAACATACACTCGTGCTGCACTATCGCTCCTCAGCCGTTGAAATGGAAAGTAAAATTACGGACCAACTACCTCCGGTGCGAAAAGTATGCTGCACTACGATGTTGCATTTTGGAGATAGGCCTACTCCAAACTATATGAATGTTCGACTGGGTGATATTCGGTAAACGAAAATATTCTACTTGACTTTGGCCTCTATCATCTTATTGTTCGTACCACCATCGCCATCGCCATCGCCATCGCCGTATATCACTTCGGCACCACGCACGCCCCATCGGCCAAAAAACAGCATCACTATGCGTCGTGCCGTTTTCAGATCCACTCTCCAAGACACTATTTCCAGTTCCCGAAGCTAAATATAGCCCGAATAGTAAACATTGTTTTCCTTTTCGATTAATTACCCCGTAAAATGTCTCGCAAAATGGCGGGAACCTTGTTTGCTACCCTTGGTGACGTGTCAATACCCAGAATGAGGTAGACGTCCCCCTTACCGGCCCAGTCGCGTGGCTCAGTTCATAGGTGCGTCGACGCTGTCGTACACGCAGCAATGGGGTCTTAACAATCCTAAGTTTTCAGCCATTCATCAGCGCTTAATCAGTTCGACGCGTGTGGAATGCCTCGTGTCGTCGTCGTGTTGTCGTCGTGGCTTGAGGGGTTTCTGCCAGCGAATGGTTAAGCTACCCGCGAACCGTCCCCCTTAAGTGCTGCGAACCAACGGTTGAGCTTTACTGAAGCGCCGACACCGAGAGATATCTCTAATATTGTCATATTAAACTTAGAGAAACGTTTTTTTTTCGTTGAGTAAACAATAGACCACGTTCCCCTCGAACGCCGTCTCGGACGCGGCCACGCGACCGTGTCGCACGTTTGGCCAACACATCGATTTTACCTGCAGTTCTCCGGCGCGTCGCTATAAATATTCGACAGCGTCCGCAAAATTGACTTTCCTCTTTGACCACGGTTCTCCTGGTAAATTACATATAGCAAAATGAAGGGTTTGATTCTTGTCGGTGGTTACGGTACCCGTTTGAGACCCCTCACTCTCTCGGCTCCCAAGCCTTTGGTCGAATTCGGCAACAGACCCATGATTTTGCACCAAATTGAAGCCCTTGCTAAGGCCGGTGTCACCGACATTGTGTTGGCGGTGAACTACCGTCCCGAAGTGATGGTGCTGGCGCTCACCGAATACGGTAAGGAATACGGTGTCAACATCACTTTTTCCGTCGAAGAAGAGCCTTTGGGCACTGCCGGTCCTTTGAAGTTGGCCGAAAAGGTGTTGAAGAAGGACAACTCGCCGTTCTTCGTGCTTAACTCCGATGTCATCTGTGACTACCCTTTCGAAGAATTGGCTAAGTTCCACAAGGACCACGGTGCCATGGGTACCATCATCGCCACAAAGGTCGACGAACCCTCCAAGTACGGTGTCATTGTCCACGACAGAGACACCCCTAACTTGATTGACCGTTTCGTTGAAAAGCCCGTCGAATTCGTCGGTAACCGGATTAACGCTGGTCTCTACATTTTGAACCCCGAAGTCATTGACTTGATCCCCATGAAGCCCACCTCCATCGAAAAGGAAACTTTCCCTAAGCTCGTGGAAAAGAAGCAATTGTACTCCTTTGACTTGGAAGGCTACTGGATGGATGTCGGTCAACCCAAGGACTTCTTAGCTGGTACCGCTTTGTACCTTAATTCGGTGCTGAAGAAGAACCCCGAAAAGTTGGCTAAGGGCGACTTCATTCACCCCGACGGTAACGTGTTGATTGACTCTACTGCCACCATTCACCCCACCGCCTTGATCGGTCCTAACGTCACCATTGGTCCCAACGTCAAGGTTGGCGAAGGTGCTCGTATTGTCGGCTCGGTGTTGCTTGATAACTCCGAGGTCAAGGACCATGCCCTTGTCAAGGACACCATTGTCGGTTGGAACTCGAGAATCGGCAAGTGGGCCCGTACCGAAGGGTGCACTGTCTTGGGTGAAGACGTTGAAGTCAAGAACGAAGTCTACGTCAACGGCGCCAAGGTGTTGCCTCACAAGTCTATTTCAGCCAACGTTCAATCGGAAGCCATTATTATGTGAGCCGGCCTCCTCTGTAATATAATACCCCTGAGACTTTTATCTTACGAGTGCCGGATCGCGTTAAACGTCATGCAATCCTCAACACAGCCCGAAACTAGATTATGAGTTATTTAAAGTACATTATATGATTACATAAAGCTCCTAACTAATTACCACCTTTACATAGTGAGGTTTTCTTTTATCAGCTAATGAAAATTGGGTGCTTTTCTCTATGTACTTCATCTCGATCCTTTTTGCATAGAGCCGGACCGATCTGACACCAACCCGGCGCAACCAATTAAAATAAATGCTCACGCTTGCTGGAAACTACATCTAGTTTTTACCATCCGAAAGCACGTGATGTCACGGATAATCCGAGACTGAGTAACTACTTTTTATTGAAACGATTTTTGGGCGTTTATAATGGTGGTTGCTTGCTGATTGTGGTGTGCCGTCGGCAAACAAGCCAATCCGTTGAGAACAAAAGCGCTTGACAATGACCCCAGTACTGCAGATAGTGTGTGGACACTTCTTGCGATATCAAAACCCCTCGGAACAGTTTTCGTCATTTGTAAAACGCCTACAATTAATTTTGTGATTCATTTTGAAGTTCATTTCGTTCTACCGTAGCTCCTAAAGTTTCCCTTAAACCATGTCAGTTGAATTTCCTTCCTAAAACTCGAGGCTCTGCCCCTGCTCGTCAATATTAATCGCAGTCCCGCGCTCGCAACCAAAAAAACTCTAGCGCGGACGTCTCGGTCATAAAATCTGTACCACCTATATCCGCTCCACAGTTATAGCCCGGCAGGTCGGCAGGATGACTCTGAATCAAGATGACGATTTGGGGTGGCTTGTGGGTCCTCTGGGTGCTGGCGACGTCGACGTCGTCATGGATGACAACCTAGCCTGGGCTGCAGCTATCCCCGGTGCCTACAACGCCGATCCTCCGCTAACCAACCCTATGGACTTGGATCAACTGCCATTCGACATTGATCCCGCGATGGTGTCAGAAATGTCCCTGTTCACTCCAGAATGGACCCAGCCTGTCGCTCCGGCCGTCCCGCCAATGCCTCCTCACGGATCGATATCTGGGGATTTACCGGAGTCGCAAATCAACACCAATGACCTATTCACCCAGCCATTTGATTACAACTTCCCTCATCAGATACAAAGAGACGACCACGGCCACCGCAGCTTGTTCCGAAAATTCCAAAATGACACCACTGAGTCTCCTCAACCACTTACGGTATCGGCGCGATCTCCCGACAATAATAGCGATATCAGTCATTTGGATGATCCGCTGCAGGCACTACATCATGAGCTCAGCCCGTTGACCACCACCACATCGCATACGCCATCCCTCAGCTCAATGCATTCAGCGCAACCGCTGTTCTTCCTGGCACAACAGTATTTCAGTCGCAACTCAATGGAAACTGGGCTGCTTGCTGGTCTGACTAACGAGTACTTTGCTCGACCACTGTTAGATCTGGGGAAGCTGGTTCGAAGTTTTAATGGTGGGCCCATGCTGAGATACCAACTGTTTCTGTTCCTGAACATTATTCCGTTTATGGGTGAACGTAATCAACAGCAACAGCCATCCGAAGAGTTCTTCAGTCAGCCGGTCATGCCACCTGAGCAATTGAACCAACAACGTCATCTGATACGCAATATCTTCAACAAGGCGCCTCCTCCTGCACAGTCTCAGCCTCCCGAAGAAGACTTAGCCATGGTCGATATTGCCAATGTTGACGACTCCAAGGTGAAAAAGCCAAAACGCAGTATCTTCATGAGATTCAAAGCCCTGAATGCTGCTACCAAGGAAGGAGCGCCGCTGGAAGAAGTGATTGACGAAGAAGATGAGCCAATGGTCACCGAGTGTGAATCAAACGAGGCACCTGATTATGGGGCGCTTTTTGAGAACGTGCTCAAACGTAAGGGCAAACCGCTGAAGCCACGTAAGACTGATGAAGGCAGTGGCGGTGATGTAAGCGAACAACATTCACTACATGAAGCTGTCACCAATGCCCTGGGACTGCTGGTGGGACAGCAGTCGCAAAATACGCACGGCCTGGGGCCAGCGCCGACCCTGGCGGCGGCGCTGGTGATACTGGGTGAGAGTTACGAGGATGCTATTCCTCAGCCCGAAGGTGCATTCGCCGCTGGCAAGCGGATATTGGGCGCGAAACTCATCAATCGGAAGAAAGCTGTGCCGCCGAACGTTTCCAATGGTGCAGCTGTGACTTTGATCGATGGCTTTTCAGTGGCCCCTACTGCAAACGGCAAGCCAGTTGCGACGATGATTTCAAAGGGGGTCGAAGTGGAGGTTGATTTGAAGCTGTTGGATCTTCCCCCTGATACTCAAATTTTCCCCACTAACGTTATCAACCAGAAGAACCGAACTCGTGGTCGTAAAGAAAACAAAGAAGCCGATTTAGCGGATGCGCTGAAAGTATATTTGTGCAATTACTGCCTGCGACGGTTCAAGAGACAGGAGCATTTGAAGCGACATTTCCGTTCGCTCCACACATTTGAGAAACCCTACGATTGTCCAATGTGCCACAAAAAATTCCTGCGGCAGGACAATTTGAACCAGCACTTGAAAACCCACAAGGGTGACAACGCGGACGAAGATAATGTGATTGAGGAATGAGTGGACGCTTGGAGTTCAAGGCAAAAATTTTGAATGTCATTAGTTTTTTTTTAATCAGGTGTTTAGGTTTAGTATGGATAATATTTTGACGACGTATGACGAGTGATGTCAACGCCCTGCTTTGGGCTATAGTGATATTTTCTAAAACTAAATTGGAAAGTTCATCGTTTGTCTCTCAGGTTGAATGCTGGGTCTAATGGAAAATACCGTAACGTAATAAAATTGGAACGGACCCTCCTTCAACTGTATATGAGGGGGTTCATGCACTCATTTAGATGACTCCTTCCTCAAAGCATACGCCACGTTGCACTTACGTCCGGGAATTTCCTTGATCCAAGCTAATCCGAACGCCCTACCGTTGCATGATTGGTTGATATATCACTGGTGGACTCCGCATTTTTGGAGGCACAAAACGTATCCGCCAAAAATTGCCAATTCTAGTTGAAATATGTTGAAAAATCCTGACAGACTAACAAAAGAATAAGATCTTGTATCATAACGCCAATTGAGTGGGATTTCAGATGGTTGCTTGATTTTTATACCATCATTACGAAGCTAGTGCCGATTATCCAAGCGTTTGCGTATCCGTCAGGATCCAGCGTGACAATGTCCATAAGCTCATGTCTATTGTTCCCTGTACAAAATATCCAATGAACGCTGCGCGCAGGGTCCTTGCACCATGTTCGCCAAGACCGTTTATGTCCTAAAGGATTAAAGATGAAATTGATAAATGCCGTCCCAGAACGTATGCAGTACATTTAACCATATTATGCCCGACTCGGCGAGAGGCCGCCACTCCAGAATGGTGAGTGGCTCTCTGGCTTTGAGGGATGAACTATATATACTGGTAGGGAAATCCCACGAGTCTACAATCAATTGACTCTTATGAAGCTTACTACCATTGCTTTCGCCGCCATTGCCGCTGCTGTGACCACTCCCACCAACTTCGAAACCTTCCCTGAAGTTCCGAAGACGGCGCTGATCAACGGGTTTGCTGATCCCGTATACACCGCGGTTGCCGAGTGTGCCCAGGAGTGCCTCGTTGAGAACAAGGACACTGGCAATACCCCGTGCCCGTATTGGGACACTGGTTGCCTCTGCGTGATGTCTCAGTTCGCCAACCCCATCGCCGATTGTTGGGCTACCGCCTGTAAGGGTCAAGAGGTTAGCAGGGCTACTATGGCTGCGTATCTGGCATGCCAAGCAGCTGGTGTCTGGGCGCCCTACTGGTTTATCGGTACTGACCAACAATCGGACTTGGCTGCTGCTGCTACCGCCACCTAGATGGTCTGGTAATTTATACGGACGTAGTCATATTTGTATCGTTTGTCGAATAATACAGCTGTCTGTCCAAACTAGCAATCAACATTGCATTGTATGTTATATATGTAGAGTATTAGATGCATCAAGAGAATGAGCTTTTTGCGGTTTCAATTGAAGTTTCATTAATATAACATGTCATAACAAAATTCGTATAATACAACAAAATTGTAGCAGTAATTATTTACAGGCATTCACTAGATTCGAGGCGTTGCATCTTGGAAAGGCAAATCGGAAAAGAAATCGATGATCGCGAAATTGTCCGCCATTGGGTTGATAATCAGAGACGGTTGATCCATTGGATTTTGAGTTTGCGGTTGCCTTTGCGTTAAGAGATTGAACCACCACTTATCAATGTCTTCCGATACCTCATAGGTGAAATCATTCAACACCAGATCATCACTCAGAGCCATCGGTGTCGCACTCATGGGAGTGGCGTCGGGGTTAGTGAAATCAGGGACATACAGGCGATTCTCGTCCGATGCCCGTTCTTCCTTAGTGACCATGAAGTTGGGTACTAAAGGTTGTGTACTTGCCACGGAACCCACCTTTTGAAGCGCAGCCTCGTAGATGTTAATAACCTCCTCACATTGCTGGAGAGTGAACACAGGATTTCCAAAATCAGCTTTCAGTGCATTTTGGGCGTAGAAATCATTAGAAGTGACTAAACGTAACATCAAGGTGTGGCCCTTAGACACCCTCCAAGAAAAGTAGTACCGCAGAGAGAGCTTCAGTAATGCCAGAATCAGAACCTCGGCTGCTCGGGTAATGCACAGCAGAAGCCGGCAAAGCGCATTGAAATAGGCGGCATAGCCAGGGTCCAGCCCGAGCTTAACCTTGTGATCACTCCGTTGACGCAAGTTCCAAATCTTGATGTTGCACCGAATGAGTAAAGAGCAGTTGAGTTGATTCAGTTTTGCAATAAACATCAAGAGCAGTGGATTGAATACAAGATCGCCAACATAGGTCAGGTTCAGAAGCAATTTGAAGTAATGGGGCATCATGTCAGTGATGGATATGTCTAATAAGCGTTTGAGATAATGGAAAAACAAGTCACCATCTTGCCGTTGACCGTAGTAGTGGAACAAATAAAGGTAGATCCCCCAAAGGAACATTCTCATGAACACGTAAACCTTAATCAGGTAGTTGGTATGGAAAAGATAAGTATTACCGTGACCTTTATGCAAAAGAATATCCTCAAGACTAGTACCCTCGGTACTCACGATGTAATCCAAATTATCAAGCAAATGACATAACTCCAGCATCTTCACCTGACCCAGCACATTTAAGGCAAGACTGGCGATTTGTCGTGCAATGGGGACGGGGCGGAAACAACGACTGTAACTCTCGATAACGTACCGGTCCAAATTAGCGTCGCTAATATTCTCATTACCTGGTTCGTAAAATGGCGGACGTGTATCAGCAAAATTGGGGTCAAAACTGAAAGGATGACCCTCAGTACAAGCATAAAAGCAATCCCACATCATGATCATGTACCACATCTTGCGTTGCAAATTTCTTTGCTTGGGGTCAGGGAACATTTCAGGGAAATTGTCAGGGTCTCGATGGAGACCCGTGGCAAATGCCATCTTTGTGATCACACCACCTAACACTTGCGACTCACAATCACAGATTTCACCTTCTTCAGGTGCGTACATCATGTAAATCCGCACAAACATCGCTAGCTGAAGAACCGGGAATGAAAACTTCCGCAAGAATTGGAACTGGTCAAGGCATTGCTTGGCAAACTCAAACAGCTCTATGTTGATGGGATTGAGCATGAGATATTTGTGCTCCTGCGCCCGAGGCAGTGGATCGGTGCTATTCAAATTTTTCTCGTTAAGCTTAGGGTTATTGTAAAACAACAGAAGGTAAGCCAAACGCAAGATGATTAACAAAAGACCAAGGTAAGCTAAATCCAAACGTCTCTTCACTGAAAGAGAATCCACAGGCGTGTCTTCGACCGTTTCGGGACCGATAACTTGAGATATGTCTTGAATGAATGACAGTTCATCAATAATCGGCATGTAAGGGTACATAAGCGAGAAAAACCGTCGAATCAACTTCCAGATTACTTTTTTCTTCGGTAAGACACGTTGAATATTGACCAATAGGTTCTGTTCGGAGTCGTATTCGTTATACGTGAGTCCAAGTTGAGCACACTGAGCCAGATAAGTCTTGTCCAGATGCTTTGAAGTTGCTCTTCTAATTTTCTCAGCCCGAGTAGGATCATACGGAAGTGAATCGGCATACTGGTTCGATGCCAATTCTTTCCGGGAAAAAGCGTCATTGCCTGACCCATCAGCAAGAACAGTCTGGGGGCCTTTTTCCTTTTCGGACGATTCAACTTGATTCATAATCGTAAATTGGCACACGTCCCCACCTTTACTGATGTTGTGAACGTGGTCCCAGAGCAACTTCATGGCCTTATCCCTCTTCAACAACAGCAGCCATGCGAAGGGACCAAAGTTAAGAGTCCGATAATTTTCCTTGTTGTGCAAGGGGTTGTACCCCTCGAAGAAATTGATAGTCTCTTCAGGGTCAAGATACGGGTGGGGTCGGGTTTGTCCTCTGACTGATAACCCATTAGTGGAGGTCGAGGCTGATGAAAATGAACTGGCTGGACTAGGTACCCCATTGAATCCTCCGGGGCTTGTTTGCGAAGACGCCGGTTGAGCCGACAGATTTTGGCGATTGGTGATAGTCAGCTCGATCGACAAAAGCCTCTCCTTGAGCTTGGCGAATTCGTCAATCGACACCATGACGTGACCTTGTTGCCCGTTGGATTGTCCCGTCCGGTCGGGAGACTTCGACAGGGACGATCCCAGGAGAGGTGAAGATTGCGAGGTCTGCGTTGACGAAACTGGCTGCCTCTCTACCTTCGTTCGTTTCGGGGGACGAAAATCAAACAGAGGGTTTCGTGCCAGCATCACATATGGCAAACTCAGCAGCAGGCCGCTGTCCGAGTCCAAGTTAAACTCACATTGCTTGTGAGACTTCACACACTGATTGCAAGGATGGACACGGTCACACTTGATTTTCTTGCGGCGGCACAGGATACAAGCTCGGGAGTAGAGCTTCAAGGGCTCATTGGAGCTGTTGAACTGAATCAGCCCTTCGCCATTCATGTTGACAATAGAAGGCTGGACGAAACGAGTTCACTAAAGTCTGACTTCTTTTTTTCGGTGGCGCACCCGAATAGGAAAGAATCCGTGACGGAAATATAAAATTAGTCAGAGCGGCTGACAAACCACGACCCTTCCCTCGAATATCCCGCTGATATAAGCAATGGCTCTCACTTTGAGCTAAGGGTTCATTTTCTTAGATCTCTTCTATACATTTTGCAGTTCATCCCTCAATCGCATTCGGCGCAATCCAAATGATGTGGTCAACTGCTCTTGAAATTACATTACGAATGAGTGTAGCATTTTCAGTGGGTCATCCAAAAACAGCCTTACTTCTGGTTTTCATAGTTATCGAAGACACAGTCTATGATGGCTTCTACGATCATAGTAGCACGCCTTCGTCTCGATATCTATGGCAGTTACTTTTCAATTGTATACAGTATTCCGCGCTCCGCGAAATCGTCGTTGTACAAACAGCTGTCACTATACCAAACCACCATGGCGATACAGTTTCTATTATTATTGCTGCGACAAGGCAAGGTCCGCCTCAGCAAATGGTATCAGACAATTCTGCAAAAAGAGAAGAGTAAGATAACCCGGGAGCTCACCACCCTCGTTCTCGCGAGAAGGGCAAAAATGTGCAATGTGTTGGAGTACAAGAATATCAAAATTGTATACCGCCGATATGCTCTGTTGTTTTTTGTCGTTGGTATTGACACAGATGACAACGAGTTACTTGCTCTTGAGATTGTCCACCGATTCGTTGAGCAAATGGACCGCATGTACGGCAACGTTTGTGAGCTTGATATCATCTTTGGTTTTGACAAAGCGTACCACGTACTCGATGAACTATTACTAGATGGGTACATTCAGGAACTGCTGAAGAAGGAAGTCTTGAGGCGCGTGGCGCAACAGGATGAGTTGGAGAACATGGATGAATTCACGTCGGTATTGGCCTAATCGGAGTAACTGGGATTTTTTGATGGATTACATACATTATCAGGAACGGGAATAAAATTCGAAACAAACAGGTTGTTCGGGTAAGAACGTGAGCAGTTTGGATTGAGTAGATAGTATCGAGCAATACTACGCAACGTAGTTACATGAGATGTCGTTGAATTATTGTAGATGCTATTAATTGTGTTATGCAAGTCAGATTACCAGGACGCGGCGTATTTGGAGCGAGCTCTCAACTTGGGGCCGATGAGCAAAAAGGTAACGGGGATGGCGATCATCGCCACACAAATGAAACCGAGGATTGACAGACCCCAGCCAACAAGGAAACGTTGAGTTTTCAAGTTGACAAACAAAGGTCTGGCAAACAATGGGAACACCCCGGCAATCGTCGAACGAGCGAAATCGTTCGAGGCAAACACCAGGGCAAGGTATTCGGGAGCAAACGAGGCACCCAAAAAGTTGAACAACGTTTGAAAAATCATGAATGCCCCACTAGCAAAAGTGGCCGCACCAACGATGGGGCCCATCCAGTGGAGATCAGGAGCCGCCGTCCAGCCGAAGATGAACACCCCGATCGGCATCAACACCGACCCAGCAATAGCCAAAGGCATGAATACTTCCGGCTTGACCATACCCCCTGCCAACATCTTTTTAGTGAACTGATGGTAGATGATGAACACGTACACAATCGCCGCCAAAATGATCCCGGTGATGATGGCAACAAAAGTCGTGCCCATGGGCACAAGCTTGAAGTGGAACACTTCGATGAACACCATGGGGAAGGCTTCAAACCACAAGTACATGATGGCATAGACAAGGGAAATGTATAAATTTACAGCCAACACCACCGGCTCCAACACCGTGATCTCAATGGGGCGCCACAACGTGTCCACGAGGAGCTGGTGAGTGGTGAGTTCCTCGTTTTCGATTTCGCCGGCCAGCTTGATGTTGGGGTTTTGCGTCACCGCTCTCAACCGCTTCGCCTTCCGGGCAAGCAAAGTCTTCTCGTACAGCTCAGGCAAAGTGAACGTCAACAAGACGAACGCCGCCCCCAGGAGAATCGCCATGAACCAGAAAGTCCATCTCCAGCCGCCAGCAACGATGAGGGCCGAGCCAATGAGCGCACCCAACGAAGGACCGGCCACCGCACCCATGGCCCAGGTGGCAAGCCCCACGGGCATCCAGGGCAATTGCAAAACGTCGGAAACCGAGGCACCACCGGTGGCAAGCGCTGGCAGGGCGAAGATCCCCGCGATGAACCGCAAAATACATAACCCAGCGATGTTGTTGACGAGGGCGGTGGGGATTTGCAAAATAAAGAAAATGAACAACGTGACAATATAGATCAGGGTACGGCCGAAACGCGAGTTTTCCAGCATTGGCAGAAACCACATCGGACCGACACCGTAGCCGATGACGAAAAGGGTAAGGGGTAATGTCGCCACCACTGACCCGACGTTAAATTGGGCCATGATTTGATCGTAACCAGGGGTGTAAATCGCCAGGGCCATGTACACCGACATAGTGAGGATGGCAATTTGAATGACAAAGAATGCCTTTTGCAACACCAGCCAGTTGCGAGGGTTTTCAGGGTCGTCGTCGCCGTCCCAAGTGACCATGATCACCGACGATTGGGTTGTGAGCGTCTTCTCCCCGGACCCCAGCAGATCCAGCAGGTCGTCGACGATGTTGGTGGCCTCGTTGGACACCGATGCTTTGGAAGGAGCGTACTCATGGGTGAGGTACTTGCGTTCGACTTCGTATTCCGATTGCTCTTCTTTGTAAGAAAAGTATTTATGCTGAGAGAGATGGTACACCGAACGGCCGAAAAATGAGTCACGTACGAACTGATACCACATTGGATGATCAAGGTGACGTCGGGAGGACGCGTAACTAAATACTGCCAGCGGTATTAGCCATCACACATGCAAACGTTGCCTTGCCGCTCAATACGGAAGCGGCCCGATGCATCTCGCACGGCCCACAGTGTTGCAACGCGTAGGGAGCCGTGCGAAAGCGGCAATAACCGACGCACCCTGTCACCAAATGAGAAACCGCCGATGCTTTTCACGTAAGCAATTTTCATTTTTGCCCGCCTGCATTTGAGGGATGAGCATGCACCCAGTGGAAATGTTGTAGTGATAACTGCCACTGCTGACAATTTAGGATCACAACCATCCTTCGGATCACTTGGAATATTTCTTGTTGTCACGTAGGGGGGGTTTGAGTCTCATCTGGTGTGCTGGATATGGTCGAGAAATTAGAGATGAGCGGCTATACTACAAAGATCACGCAGTGTTAGCCGCACTGATGTAAGCAGGCTTTAGACTTGAGTTCTGTCACAATCTGATCCGTGTGCTATC